CGTTTGGGGAACAGAACATCACGGATTTGCTGTTGCTGATCATCTGGCCTGATGCTTGGCAAAAGAGGTCCAAGGTGTCGTGAATAGTCCTGACTTGATTTAAGTCCGCCGCTGCAAACAAAATGAGATCATCAGCGAAAAAAAGGTGAGACAGAGAGACTTGGTTGTTACCAAAGGTGAGAGGTTTCCAACGCCCCGAGTTGACTTCGATGTTGATTGCATGGGAGAGCCTTTCCATGCATAAGACTAAGACATAAGGCGAGACGGGATCTCCTTGTCGCACTCCCCTGTTGGGTTTAAAGATTGGTCCTAGCTTGCCGTTCCACAAGACTTGTGTTGAGCCCGTATTAAGGTAGCTGAGTATGAGTTTGCTTAAATACTGAGGAATACCGGCGTCTTCCATTGTATCCTTGATAAATTCCCAACGGACCTTATCAAAGGCCTTGGCTAGATCAATTATGACGGCGATCCATCCGTTCCTCCCAGTTGCCATTCTCATGGAGTGTACCGCTTCTTGAGCTACTACTATGTTGTCTATTATGCTTCTTCCCTTTATAAAACTTGATTGAGCCGAGGAGATAAGAACCGGCATGAGTTTTTTCAGGCGATTAGCCATGACTTTAGATACAATTTTCGCAGAGATATTGATTAGACTGATTGGCCGTAGGTTCTGGAAACGTTCCGGCGGGTGCACCTTAGGTATCAGGACGATCATAGCCTGATTGATTTCTGGGTTTATTGCTCCCGAGTCGAAAGCTTCTTTGACCATGCCAATGACGTTTGGCTTTATTGTGTGCCAGTTGTTCCTGTAAAATGCCGCACTAAAGCCATCCCTTCCTCCGGCTTTCATAGGGTCCATCTCGAAGATTGCTTGTCTGATTTCCGCTTCTTGAACTGGAGCATGTAGGGGTCTGGTGAGTGAGCTAGGGAGATGAGGGAACTGGGTTCGGATGTGGTAGGAGGTACAAGTATCTGCCGGCAAGTGGGTGTATAGTTTCCTGAAGAAATTGGTTGCCTCATCACACAAAATGCTGGGATCTGAGCTCCACCTGCCATTCTCCAGTTGCATCTCGGAGATTTTGGCTCTTTTGCTTCTGAATTTGTGGACTAAGTGGAAGACTCTAGTATTGCGGTCGCCCTGGTCAAGCCACACAGTTCTGCGATTTTGAGCTTTTAGTTTTTCCTCCTGTGTGGCCGTTCTCTCGAATTCTTCTCTCAGTTGTTGTTCCAGTTTCAAGAGATTTTTTGACTGATGAAGTGATAGAGCTCTCTGCAAGCCTGTTAATCTCGCTAATGTTCGACATTGTCTTTTATAGATATCTCCAAAGATATCAAACTTCCAGCCCTCTAATTTGTTTGTGATATCATCCAGTGCAACATGGAGCTTGGCGTTTCTGTTCCAGTTTGTGTAAAGCCATTCTCTCCACTTTTCATGTGATTCCCATGCCACCAGATACTGGAATGTTCTACAATTGCTAGGCGGCTGAGGAGATTTGGTAAATTGAACCAGAAGGGGGCTATAATCTGATGCGATTCTAGGAATATGATGTACTGTGGTGCTTCCAAAAGCTTCTTTCCATTTGTTGTTTGCTAGCGCCCGATCCAATCTTTCGTGGATTAATCCACCTTTCCAAGTAAATCGAGAACCGGAGTAACCCAAATCAACCATGTCTGCAGAGTTTATCCAGCTAATAAAATGTTTACATCCCTGAGATCTATAATTCTTTTACAAAAGTGGAAAAAATGGAAAAAATGGAAAGTGGAAAAAATGGGCTCTTAAAAAAATATCTTAAATCCAATGAGCTTTATTTTTTAACCTACAGTTTGGGGTTTAAAGTGGAGTCTTGGCCCAATTTTTTACAAATTTTATTTCTAAGTGATGTTTGGGCTTCACATATTTAATAAATATCCAGCCCAAAAAGGAGCTGAGTCTTCTTCTTCTCTTATCTTTCCTCAAATCCAAAGGGGCGGCGTTCCACGAACGGAACCGCCAGAAAATAGCCGGAGATACCTATTAAGGGTTTCTCAGAGAGGCCGTAGGGTCGACGGACCCTGCAGGCCCTAAGGTAGGTCCGTCCCTGGTTTAATTCGAGTATTCTCCAGATGGTTCATCTCCTTCAGCCGTTCACGCTCAAGTCTCAAGGTTCATCACAATTTCAAGATAGTGGGCCTAGCCTTGCTGTTTTTGGAGTTACAATTCCAAAAGAAACGACACCTCTTTTGGGCTCGGCCCATAATTGAACTGTACAAGAGCTTGACCGCTTTTTTTTTTTTTCCTTTTTTTGGTTTTTGGCTTTTTGCTTCATGTTTAAAATTTCAAAAAAGAAAAAAAAAGTTAAAAATTACACGACTTCTAAAATTCACCGCTTGAATCTCCCCAACTGTTTATCTTGAATTGCTGTCTCTCCATGAATTGCTATCTCTCCAGTAGGGTTTTGGGTCTTTTGATCAACCACCCAAGTGAAAGTGGCATAAGGGGGTAAAGCGGTGCTAAAAGTTTGTATATTCCTTCGTCTAGCTGGATCATAGCACTTGGTCTTCTGTTGGTGTAGGTAGGACTATTTTTCCTTTATATATATACTAGTATGTGTCCTGCGCTTTGCGCGGGTTTGTCAATGTTGAAAATTTATCTTTCAAAAGAATTAATTAGATAATGTAGTTACTAATATTTCTTAAAACCGTAATATTTTTTTATTAATCAATTTTAGATCAAAATGAGAGGTACTGATATTATTTATGAGATGTATATTTGTAAGATCTGGCAAAAAATATTACAACAAAAATTTTAAAAAATTGAATAATAAAAATTATCACCACTAACTAATATTATGTTTGGATAAAAAAATTTATTTAAAAAATGCACAAATTATGTCTAAATGTCTATGGCTTATTTATAGGTAAGGGGACTTTGGGGATTAGATTAATCGTCCTGAAAAATGTAAAATCAATAAACTTGAAGACTAAATAGTACATAAATAGAACTTTAAGGGCTAAAATGATAATAAGTTGAAAATAAAGTTTGATGATCTCAATTAGCGACACGTGTCGATTATCTTTCTTTCTTTTAATACTAGTGATGTCTGGTCGCGCAATGCGCGACCCTGGCCCAGTCTATCTGTAGATCTTAGAAATATTTATATTTGAAAAAAAAATAAAATTTTGTATTTGTAGCGATATATTTTAGAAATGTTTGAAGGATTTAGAAATGTTTTATAAGTGTGATCATAGAAATATTTGTATTTCACACAAAAAAAAAAAGAAATTGTATTTCGCCATGTATGTTTTAGAAATGTTTTATAAATGTTACTTATTAAATATAAATAGCCTTAATCGAATAAATGTGTTGAAGTAAATGTTAAATAAAATATAAAAGCATCCTAATAAATTTAAATATTAGTAAGATGATTTATTGATGTTCTCCATTGGTCGTGCCAAATCAATACTTAGTTTTGGAGATTTTTAATAGTTTTGTAATAAGCTTCATCCGAAGGGTATACGCTTAAAACAAAGTTGACACTTTGTAACAAAAACCTAATTGATCAATTCAATTTAAAAAACCACTATAGTTGAATGAAACATAAAGAAAAAATAAAATTAAAAAAACGTGTCACGTAAAGTGGAAATGGAAATTTAGTAATTTAGTTATGGTTAGACAAAAGGGCAATTTAGTACTTTCTACATGCCACGTGGCAATCATATGAGGTGTTTGAAAAGGAGGTTTTTGTTTCTAATATAGTAAGATATATAATGATTTTTAAAAAAAATTAGTAAGTTTTGGCCAAATTAACCAAAAAAAAAAAATAGAATCTTGTATATATTTTTGATACCATATCGACAATTCTATAATATATTGTTCTGGATAGAGTAAACTCCTTGTAAGAGCTTTGGAAATTTCGTGTTAAATTAGATTTCTTTCTGGAATAGTGATAAGTATAGGAAAAAAATGACAAAGAAAAATGACAAGAAATGAAGTGTCAAGATATTAACTATACCCTAACTTTAAAAAATAGATGAATGAGATCATTTCCTTATAATTTTTCCTTGTCATTTTTTTCTTGTACCAATCGTCACTCTTCTTTTTGCCACCTAAATTTCCTTTTTGAGCTCCTTAATGATTTTCTTGAAAGAAAGCTCCTTAATGAAATTTAGTCAGTACTTATCTTGATTTCCATTATTTTGATTTTCCTTGTTTTCCCCTGGTTTGATGTTTTTGTTTTTTCGGATATGAAGCTTGAGAGAAAGTTTTGATCTTTTTTGATGGAGAGAAAGATCACCTCAGTGGTTCGACTCAAAACCCATTGCCGAGCCCAAATCTTTCATGATTTTGATAGGTAGTATTATGACAGAATACAGCAGAATTCTAATGCATTGATTGTCCATTCTTTTTCCCGTCTCCTAAAAATAGCGTGAGAAGAAACAGCGGCAACGACTTGATCGGATTACTCAGCCCCCGGATGAAATTCATGTTTGTATCCTATCTTTTTTGAGTCTTGAAACTGCTGCTAGAACAAATCTCCAGTCAAAAAGGTGGGCACATCTTTGGTTGTCTGTTGCTAGTCTGGATTTTGAGTCTGCAAAACTGTTGAAAGAGATAGAAGAACTAGATCTGTTATAGGAGTCATATCGTGCTATACACCGTAGCAATCGTCAAAAGTATGTCGATTGGGTGAACAAGGTGATGCAATCACGCCGGGACTCTGTTTTGGATGTCATCAGGATCCACTTTCATTTGGACAAGTTCTTTAAAAACGATATCGATAAATGGCTCCAGTATGCGTTTGCCAAGAGAGTGCAGAGGCTTAGTTTGACCTTGCTTCAAGTAGATCGTGACCAGTCTTATGCTTTTCCTCATGACTTGTGTTGCTTGATTGATAGTAATCGTATCAACTCAGATATATTGTTTGGACTTAAGGCCCTCAGGGAATTGACATTTTCATGTGTGAATGTGTCTGGGGAAGTTCTCGAATTTTTCTCGCATAATTGCCCTGTTTTTTGAATATATGCGGGTGGAAAGCTCTGGCGGTTTCAAAAAATTGAAAGTTTTTGGTCCATCTCTTGCACTTAAACATCTAGTGATAATTTACTGTCGCTCTTTGCTTTCTCTCGTCGGTCGCGATACAGATATTGTCTCGCTTTCGACCAATTCTGGTCATAACCTGGTTCTTGAGAATGTTTCGATGCTTGTGAATGTTTGGGCTGCTGGAACCCCTACTGGAACTGCAAACTTTGTCGAGAAGGCTGTTTCCTGGATCTCTTGTTGCCTGTCGAGATTAGAAATTCTCACCTTAGAACTGGAGGATTGGCAAGTGGAAGAAATGCAGGATTGGCAATGGGCAGTGGCAAAGGTTAGCCTCAATTGATCATTCAAGCATTTCCTTCATTTATATATAAATCTAAGTCATTTATTAATTGATCCCTTCTTTCTTGTATGATGTTTTGTTTTTTGTCATTCCAGAAAAGAGAGACAAATGCCACCCTTCCTCAGTTAATAAATTGAAGCAATTAACTTTATCTGTTCGCATGCCAAGAAGAACGAGTCTGATTGCCCAACTTGGAGAAGTTTATTCTGAAGGTAACTTTACTAATATATGAGCCTGATTGCATTAATCTCTTTTATAGTACTAGTTTAATTAATTAGCAGAGCTTGGTAGTGGTATGTTTGAACTTGAACTCGGTATTGAACGTAGCTGCTTGCTTGAGCATGGCTACTTTATAATATGGATGGTAACTTGAGTTCGATTGTTTGTTGACGACCTTAAAAAATATTTTTAAAAAAAATTATAAGACCCAATTTAAAATATCATTTTACATTTAATAATACTCTTGCCTTTCGAAAAAGAAAAGTTTTTTTGTTGAATTGAAATAATACATTTTAAAATTAACGTGAAAATTACACGATTTTTCAAAAGTGATTCATTATGTTAATAATATTTTATAAAATATACGGTAGAAACTCATTAAATTGATAAATTATTGGGTGCACTCAGAATCACCATGGTCCCCTCCTATTTTTTTGCACATATGATTATTTTTTGTCAAAATTCTTATGTTTTGCAAAAAAAAATTTTTAATAAAAGGTAAATTTGTATTACTTTGAAAACTGTACAGCCACCAATGCTTCCTATTCCAACTTTACAGCTAACAATTTACATATATAAGTAAACTTAGAAATCTAATGGCATCATTGTTACTAAAACGACAATAACATTGAGTCTTCCAAGTTACTTCTTGAATAATAGCCAGCTTCCTCGCTTCCACTATCATCCGTTGCTTGATAAATTTTTCTCTTTTCTCCTCCAAAAAATATTTAGAATCTTTAAACGAGTATATCTCTCAATCTATGAAGAATTAGAGAACGTGTTACACATGGATTTTATTGTATTTGTCGAGATCTATCCAACAAGATCCATATCAAATATTTTTTTTTGACTTAAAAATAATTTAACTATGATGGGCAGAATTAAGATGGATATCCAGTTTAAATAGATAGATAACCAACTTATTTTATATTGATATTCTTGTAAAATTTATATCTCATGATCCATAAAGAATTACAAAACAAATTATATATGAAGTTTATAGTGCTCAAAGAAACGAAGAAAGTATTTGTGTTAGATAACTAATACAAATACCTTGGACAACTATTTTTTCAGGAAAAAAAAACGATTGGATAACCATTACAAATAACTTGAATAACCAGTGAAAATAATTGTATAAGTAGTACAAACCGGTTGGATAATCAGTATAAAAAATCGGATAATCATTTTCATAAAAAAAAAAACAAGCAGAAAGGAAAAGGTCGGATAACCATCGCCAAGAAGTTGGAATATTGGATACTTGAACATCTATTTTTTTTTTATGGAAATACTTGCACGACATGTTTGCACTGATTATCCAACTAATTGGTACTGCTTATCCAACATAGTTTTCTTTTTCTTTCTTTTGTATTTTAAAAAAAGAAAGTTGCTCAACGTGTTCGTCTTGACTATCCAACAGCTTGGTATTGGTTACCTAATCATTTTTTTCTCTCTTCTCTTTTTATGAAAATCCTTGTCCAGTTTTTTGTATTGACTATCCAACCGTTTTATATTGGTTTATCCAATCATTTTCAATGATTATCAAAACAGAATATCTTTTCTTTTTTTTTTGTCATTTGAGAAAATGTATGTCCAATGTGTCTATATTGATTATACAACTTCTTAGTGATGGTTATCCAACCTTTTTTTTTTTTTTGTTTTTTTATGAAAACGATTGTCCGGTTTTTTTGTACTAATTATCCAGCCAGTTTGTACTGGCACGTACTATTGTTTCTCTAGCTTTTTTTAAAAAATTTTTTTATGAAAATACTTGTCCAACATATTTCTGCTTGTTATTCAACTAATTGGTACTGTTTATCCAACGTAGTTTTTTCTTAAAATTGTTATCCATTGTGTTCATACTGATTATCCGACCGGTTTGAACTGATTATCCATTTTGTTTGTACTGGTTATCCGATCTTTCTTTTTTAAAAAATCATTGTCCAATGTGTTAATACCGATTATCCAATGAATTAATACTAATTATCCAACCTAGTTTTTCTTTTTATTATTTTTTTCTTGAAAAAAATGATTGTCCACCGTGTTCATATTGATTATCCAACTGCTTGGTATAGATTATCCAACTATGGTTTTCTCTACTCTTTGCGAAAAATACTTGTCTAATTTTTTGTACTGACTATCCAACTGTTTTGTATTGGTTATCCAATCATTTTTACTGCTTATCCAAATAGAATTTCTTTTTTTTTTTTGAGAAAATATATGTCCAATGTTTATCCAATTATTTTTCTCTTCTTTTTTATTCTAAAAAAAATGGTTGTCCAGTGTGTTCATACCTATCATTCAACCGGTTTGGTTTGGTAATGCCTATCCACTTGCTTTATACGTCCTATTCATCACTAAGGAAGGAATGTCCAAGAGAGTTCAAATCGAAACGCTTACCCATTTGTTTTTTTGGTACTTATACAACGTCTCACTATTGGTTATCCATTATATTTGTACTGCTTATCCAATCATTTATTCTGTAAAAAATGATTGTCCAACGTGTTAAGTAGTGGTTATCTAACTTATGGTACTGCTTATCCAGCTATTTTCCCTCTTCTCGACCATTCTTTTCATTTTACTTTTTATGAAAATCCTTGTCCAGTTTGTTTGGACTGACTATTCAAACGTTTTGTGTTTGTTTATCTAATCATTTTTTCTGCTTATCCAAACAGAATTTGTACTGCTTGTCCAATGATTTTTTTTCTTTTTTTTTTTGAGAAAATGTATATCCAATATATATGTTCGTACTAATTATCTAACTTATCGGTGATGATTATCCGAATTTTTTTTTTTGCTTGTATTTTTATGAAAATAATTGTCAATTTTTTATACTGATTATCCAACCAGTTTCTACTCCTTATCCAATTATTTTTACTGGTTTTCCAAATAATTTGTAATGGTTATCCAATCATCTTTTTGTCTTTGAAAAAATGGATGTCCAATGTTTTCATACCAGTTATCCAACCGATTTGCATTGTTTCTCCAACTATTTTTTTCTTTTCCTTTTTATGAAAATCATTGTCCGGTTTTTTTTACTGGCTATCCAACCATTTTGCATTAGTTATCCAATCATTTTCATCGCTTATCCAAACGGTGTTTGTACTGTTTGTCCAATCAATTTTTTTTTTCTGAAAAATAGTTGTCCAATGTTTTCATATAGTTGCTTATGTTTCATATCCAGTATCCAATATAAAATAGTTATTTATCCATCTTTTTAAACTAGATATCAATCCAAATAACATACAAATTTTCTTCATTTCTGCCATCAAAATTTAGTCATTTTTAAGTTCAAAAAAAATATTCCATATGGATCTCGTTGGATAGATGTCGACGAGTACTATAAATTTTATATATTATTAATTCACAAATTCTTCACGGATTATGAGTTATGCTCATTTAAATATTAAAGATGTTTTTTTAGAGGGAGAGAAAAAAAGTAACTGTAACTAAATTTGCAAAATGTAAGAAGTTATTTAGAAAAAGTATAACAAGGACTAATAATACAAAAAATAGGAGACTGTGGTACCGATACACTCAAGATGGTCTCCATTAAATTAGTACTACATGAATTACTTAACTCTAATAAATAATAAATTTTTAGGTCCCTTGAGACCGGTGAATAACCAAACAAAATTGACAACAAAAAAATTTAAAAAGTTACTAGATAAATATAGTTCCCCTCAATGGATAAAATTGTGTATCTAAAAGTGATCATCTTGATTTTTTTTCATTCATTGATACACGTACTTATTTTTTACAGTCTATCCCGGATGTAATGCCCACGAAAGGATGGCCTAGTAAGATACACAGGGATTTTGGAGAGTTCCCCATGAACATCTCAAAGTTGTTGAATTTTGGGGAAACTGGGTGGATGTGGAAATTCTTGACTATTTTTGTGAAAAATAGTGTTGCCCTAGAGAGAGTTGTGGTTGATCATCGTCATCGGGATTGTCCAGATAATCGTCCCCTATGTGGTTATCTTCTGGGGGAAGATCCTGATTCTAAATTCTTTTTAAGGAAGGGATCCGGGCATTTTTACCTGAACATGTTGAATTCGTATTTATTTAGGAGAGGAGATGTCCCCATAACAATCAATCTAGATAGGAGGATCAATGTTGGTGAGTAACTTATTTACGGTGTAACTTATTTGTTGTTGTGTTTTGCATTCTATTTACTTTGTTGCGGCATTGCATCTTATTTATTGTTTTTAAACCGGTCAATTTTTCATGTAATTTTTAATGAATGGGTAGTCTACACCGTTTATCACATTATTATATGGCAAGGCCAATTTTTTTTTTTTACGCACTGTGACTGGAATTTAGCATTGGTATAAATTTCAAAATTTAATGTGAGTTAGGGAGCATATATGTGAAGAAGTAGGAACGATATGTAAGATGTATTTCATATAGACCAAACAAATATATGCTAAATATATGTCTGAATGGAATGGAGGCATTGAATTGAGAAATTTCATTGAATGAGAAGAAATCGAAAAATCAGTAAGACGAATTCTCAAGGAACAACAGATGAAGAAATTGTATATGTGAAGGTGGTTCTACAAACAACTTTTTGAATAATTTGGGCGCATGAATTGAACTGTTTTAGACTGTTAGTTAGTCTCCCCTCACAATGGTATGAACCATGAATGATGAATTGAATTGTTGAAGACTTTTAAGTTCACCCTTTAGGGTCTGTGCAATTAACTTGCCTTTATTAGCAGAGAGTTGTTGAAATGTACAAGAGCTCGACCGCTTTCTGCTTAATTCTATTTATTTTATTCTTTTATTTTTGTTTTTTCTTTGGCTTCATGTTTAAAATTTCAGTATAAAATAAAGAAATAAAATTCGCCGTAATACACAACGTCGATGGTCTAAAATTCACCGGGTTGCATTCTCCAATCGTTTATACGGAATTTCTGTCGTCGTCCCAACTCCCAACTCTCCATTAGGGTTTTGAGTCTTTTGATCACCCACCCTTAGTTAAAGCGGCAATAAGGGGTAAAGCGGAGCTAAAAGTGGTAAAAAGTTTCTTTTTGAGCTCCACAGAACAGTTAATAAAATTTAGTCAGTGCTCAGCTTGATTTCCATTATTTTGGTTTTCCTTTAATTTTTCCCCTGGATTTGATGTTTTTGTCCTTTTGAATATGAAGCTTGAGAGAGTTTTGATATCTTTTGACGGAGAGAAAGATCACCTCAGATTATTCGACTCGAAAAGGTAATAAAACCCCATTGCCCAGCCCATATCTTTCATGGTTTTGATAGGTATTATTATGACAGAGTATTTTTAGAAGAAGTCTAATGCATTGATTGTCCATTCTTTTTCCCCTCTCCTCAAAATAGTGTGAGAAGAAACAGCGGCAACCACTTGATCGAATTAATTAGTCAGCGCCCAGATGAAATTCTTGTTTGTATCCTTTCTTTTTTGAGTCTTGAAGCTGCGGCTAGAACAAGTCTTCTGTCAAAACGGTGGGCTCATCCTTGGTTGTCTGTTGCTAGTCTGGATTTTGAGTCCGCAAACTTACTGAAAGGCATTGAAAGACTACATGCGTTATCGGCGTCAGATTGGAAATTCGCCATGGCCATCGTCATTGATTGGGTGAACGAGGTGATCCAATCACGCGATTCCTCTGTTTTGGATGCAATCAGAATCCACTACCATTTTGGACAAGTACTTTGGTAATGATATTGATAAATGGCTGCAGTATGCGCTTGCCAGGAGAGTGCAGAGGCTTAGTTTGAACTTGCTTCAATTAGATTACAAACTGTCTTATGCTAGCTTTTCCTTGTCACTTGTTTGGCTTGAGTATTGATGGGAACTCTTCGTCAGAATCAGTTATCAATTCTGGTGTATTGTTTGGCCTTAAGGCCCTCAGGTCATTGACATTTTCATGCGTCAATGTGGGTGGGGAAGTTCTTGAATTTTTCTGGATTTCTTGAATTTAAAGGGTGGCCCCCAGCAAACTTTGTGGAGGAGGCTATTTCCTGGATTTCTTGCTGCCTGTCAAAATTGGCAAGTGGAAGAAATGCATGATTGGCAATTGGCAGTGGCAATGGTTAGCCTTTATTGATCATTCAGAAATTTCCTTCATTATATCTATATATATATATAGTATTTGTTAATGAACGGGTAATCTATCCCGTTTTATCACATTCGGTGATAGGAGCATTTTTACGTGCATTGTGATTGGAACTCAACGTCGTAAAGTGAATGTAAAGGCTTATACAAGCCGCATTCCGCAAACCAAACAATAAACACTATATGTCTCATGAATGGGGTGTAGGCATTTTCATCAAGAGAGCAGAGGAAAAGCTGCAAGCCGAATTCTAGTGGAAAGAGCAAGTACAGAAACGAGACAGAAAGCAATCTCAGATCAAAAAGAACATGATAACAACTCTTTGAATTTAAATTTATGCAGCTCCTTAATCATCTTTCTGATGCTCTAACCAGAGACCATTTGAGTTCTTGTCAAACTTTGGATCCATTATCATAATCACATACTCGATTTCAAACAACAAGGAGACCCAATTACAGCTGTTCAACCAGAGATTTCAATAGCTTTGATCTCTGGCTTCTTAACTTCCGCCTTAGGAACAGTAATTGTGAGCACCCCGTTCTCCATCGCCGCCTTCACTTGATCCACTTTGGCGTCCTCCGGCAGCCGGAACCTCCTCAGGAATTTCCCACTGCTGCGCTCCATCCGGTGCCACGTGTCGTTCTTATCTTCTTTCTCGACGCTCCTCTCCCCGCTTATCTGAAGGACGTTCCCGTCTTCGATCTCAACCTTCACTTCTTCTTTCTTAATTCCGGGCAAATCCGCCTTGAAGACGTGAGCCTGCGGAGTTTCCTTCCAGTCGACACGGGTGCTCACGAACGCCGACGTTTCGTTGGATGTGGAAGAAGCAAACGGGAAATCCTTGAATGGATCCCAAATTTCCATTCCGAACGGGCTGCTGTTCCTTCTTCGGTCACCGAAAAGGGTTGGAATCAGCGACATTTTTCTTCCTGATTGGAGATTAAAACGAAAGATGATATACTCAAAAGGATGTTTTTCAGCTTTTGAGAGCTTTGTTGGTGAGTTGCTTTCTAGGATGATTTTGAGTCTGATTGATTGATTGATTTCAGAGTGGCGAGGTTATGGCGGATATTTATAGCAACCCATAAGAATTCGAGTTTTTTTCTCGAGAATTCCAGATGGTTCACGGCGTTAACGCTCATTTCTGGTGAACTTTTTAAAAATATCACACGTTCTGGAAATAAGAAGAACTTTCTGGGCCTTTCTAAGATGTTTCTGGAATTGCAAATCCATACCTCTTTTGGGTCATAGCCCAATACTTGGGCCTTCTTCGGCGATTCACATCAATCCTCCTTAGTTGCGTTTTCTTCTTATTTTCTTTCCTCTGCATTTTACACGTTTTAATTCAGTGCGGTATTCATCGTATAACAAATTCCTTCCTCTAATAAAAATTCTCTTCTCTAAATTAAATCAGTAAAACTGGAAATTTTTTGCAGCGCAAAGAGTAAATAATATACTTGGCAACATAATAAACGCCATGCAATATGGCATTAGTACAACGTACAACGGATATGTAACCTATTGAGTGCACAATGTAGACTGTATACACCTCTAGATGTGAAATTGCACAAGTCTGCTTGAAGTCTTCAAGACAAAATGTCTAGTTAGGGAATTTTGATATTACTGGTTCCCTCTTTTGTTTCGTAGCGTCTCGTTGAGTTGATAAAAATTACTCTTCTTGTCTTTGAAAAATAGTTTATTATTAAATAAATTATGTTTATCATAGATTATTTTTATGGCACATAAGGAGTATTATTTTTCGTCCTAAAATTATTTACTAAAAACAAAAATCCAAACTGTATAACAATTTTAAGATGGAGGGTATAAATACTTTTACAACTTGAATCTAGAAATTGTGAAAGAAGCTCAACTGCTAACTCAAACTATCCTATAGCAGCATGATAGAAAACGTCTCCCATAAATCTAAAATAGCATCATATAACAGTAGAAGCGTGAAATACACTTAAAAATGGAAAGAAAAAAAAAAAGAAAGGAAATGATCGAGCTAGAATTCTAGATCTATTAGTGTGAATCAACTGCTAATCTACTATCATGGTGTCGGTGATATCTTGGATTAGCTGCGTGACATTGAGGTATGAGGAATTCCCTTCGTCAAGTGCCTTCCGTGCTATCTTCCCTAGTTCTTGAGCTCGCCTTCGTCTCATCCGCCCTTCATCTCCTCCGTCCATCAATTTTTCAACTGCCATTTTAGTGTCATTCCTTGTAACCTGCACTCCAACTGTTTCTTCGTGTCCAATCAAGACCGGAATCTCCATTCCAACCTTCACTCCGATATCCAGTACGTCAACGATGAGCTTCTCGTTCACGAATTGTTCCGAGATCATTGGCCATGTAATCATTGGCACACCAGAGCATATCGATTCGATAGTTGAGTTCCACCCGCAATGTGTTAGGAACCCTCCGATGGAAGGATGTGAGAGTATCAAAACCTGTGGCGCCCAGCCGTTGATTAAAAATCCTCTGCCCTGGAGTCTCTCTTCGAATTTCTCTTCCAGGAGCCATTTCTGGAATTCACTGGACGGATCCTTGATGACACATATGAAGGGCCGATTCGATTCTTGTAAACCCGTTCCAAGTTCTATCAACTGTGATGTTGATGGACGGTTGATGCTTCCCAAACAGGCATAAATAACTGAGTTTTCTTCCCATGAATCAAGCCATTTTAAACACAGGTCACTGTTAACGGCAGCTTTGTTTCCTCTTTCAACTATTTCTGTGTTGTTTTTGTTGCACAGGCTAACAGGACCAATGCACCAGACTTTTTTACCTTTTGCCTTCCTGAATTGGGCAATGTAATCAGGCTCTAATTCCTCAAAGGTATTGAGAACAAATCCCAATGCTCCGTTTTCTGCTTCTTCAATTTCCTGGTGAAGATTTTTCCATTGAGGTACCAAAGGTCTATCAAGGCTTGCAGTCTGAGCTTTAGTCAGTTCGATTCGATGAGGCAAATCAGGTACCGGGAAGTACTCTGAAAACGAAGGATTTCATCCGATCCCTTGAATGCCGTCGATAAATTGTGTTTGCACAAGAGGGTAAAACAGCAGAACACATGGAATATAATCCTTGGAATACCAAACTTCTCAGCGACCTGATTTGCCCAGGGATGGGTAAAATCAGCAAGGATGCAGCTCGGAGAAGGTTTCAGCTCTTCTAGCTTTTCTTCCACTGAAGGCTGTAGCATTTTACAAGCTGCGAAGAACTTGAGAGAGGAATCCACGGACGGAAGCATGTCAAAACACTCGCACCCTTCCGGCAGTCCCGACTCGGCGGACGGAAAATGGATTTGGATGACATGGATTGGCAAGCCGGAATTCACAGCTTGAGCAAGAACTGAATCGGATCTTTTAGCATTAACAGGGGTGGTGAGAATGGTGACGACAACTCCCTGTCGGGCCAACATTCGGGCAATGTCCACCATCGGAATCATGTGGCCTTGAGCCATGAAAGGAATCAATACAAAATGAGGATTCATTTGGCTGTCCATATTAACTGGTTCTACTACTGAAGAAGTACTGAAACAAAAAACTTCTGGATCCCGGGTTGATCTTGCAGTGTATCAGTGGTATGTCTATGTGAGAAATATTAATTTCAATTCCCAAAAATGAAAAAGAATCTGATCAAGTGATCAAGATGAATCGCAGCAGAGCATATTTTTGGGGACAAAAACTTTGACTTCAAAACTCCATTGACGCTCCCACCAAGATTTCGGTGGATTAATTCTTTAACAGTTTAACTGTAGCTTCCGATAGAACAAGGACCAAAAAAGAAAGGTACTGCTCTAACCATATTCTCTCTTAGGTAGGGCAGATGAAACTTAGAACCACAAAACAAACGGTGACTAATCCATTACATTGAATGTTCTATTCTAATTATTTATGAGATAATTATTTATGAGATTTTGAAACTTAATAGCTGATCAAGTGATCAAGATGAATAGCTGCAGAGGATATTTTTGGGGGACAAAAACTTTTGACTTCAAAACTCCAATAAATGCGGCATTTATGCTCCACCTAGACTTCGGTGGATTAACTCTTAACTGTAGCTTTCAATAGAAGTTAATGCCCCTAGCATGGGAAAAAAAGGATTGAAGTTGCAATTATAATATAGGGATTAAGGTGTATCTAGTGTGAGTCTTATGCGACCCAAAAATGAGAATCTCTCAATATTTATAACAATCCCATTTAATTCTCCATTTTATGGAATTTTTAGAATTTCAAATCCCACCATTTCCTCCTAATTTTCAGCCATTAACCATATCCATCTTCCACCTCATTCATCACAATCCGTCTCAAACAAAAAAAAACTAAAAAACTAAATTTTCTCTACAGCGATTTGGCCAGGAAACCCCTCGTCGGCTGGATTTTTTGGGACGAAATCAGATTGTGTATCAAATCCAGTGGAAATTGTGGAAATATACTATGTTCAAGATGCGATTTAAGGTAATACATTAACAAAATTCATCCACGCATAAACCACGGATTGAGGATCTGAATCGAACAGAAGCAGTTCGGAAAGTGAAGATGAACGAATGTAATACTATTAATCTTTTGGACTATTGATGCGTTTTTGATATGTTTTGTAGATTTACTGTATATGCATTCGATTATGCATATCTGTTCACCAAAGTTTAAATTTTTCTTCATATTCAACCATTGGTGTTTTTTTTTTTTTTTGGTTCTGTAGATGTAAGGTATATTCACGCGATTGACGATGTTTGTTCATCAATTTTAGAGTTTTGTTCTTCTATTGGATGTTGTTTTTCTGAAAAATTGGTAGATTTTTGTATTATTCATCAGGTTGGTATAGTTATTCATTGTTGAAATTGTCATATTCATCGTTTACCATAACTACGTAGTATTTTTTTTTGGTAAATTAGTAGATATTTGTGTTATTTATCAGTTTAGTATAATTATTCATTGCTGAAATTGTCAGATTCATCGTTTACCATAACTATGTAGTATTGTTTTTTTGGTAAATTACTAAATCTTTGTATTATTCATCAGTTTGGTATAATTATTCATTGTTGAAATTGTCGGATTCATCGTTTACTATAACTATGTAGTATTCTTTTTTTGGTAAAAAATTCATCACATCTGACAAGTTATTCGTAGAATTTGTAAACATATTGTAGCATGAGCGAACAATATCAGACAGAATATGAAAGAAGCATGAGCGAAGAACAACAATCAGAAACCGAAAGAAGCAGGATATCTAAATCTGCAAAAAGACCAAACCACAATAAGTGTAGACATTGATATAGAGGGTTATTCAGCAGTTTTGTAAACTAGTATTATTTTTTTGGTAAATTAGTAGATCTTTGTATTATTCATCAGTTTGATATAATTATTCATTGTTGAAATTACCGTATTCATCAGTTTGGTATAATTATTCATTGTTGAAATTGTCGTATTCATCAGTTTGGTATAATCATTTATTGTTGTATATCATCTAACTCATGAATTTTTTACTCCTTGTTTGCTACATGCAAATTGTTTCCAATAACAACATCAGATTTGGACATTTTCCAATCTCTGAACCTTTTTATTGAAAAAACAATGAGCTAGAATTATAAGCAGCAAAAGTCTCTTTCTCAGAGTTGAAACATCGTCCAATTATTCATCAATAAGAACTCGTTATTCATTAATTATCATAAGATATTCATTATAAAAACGTAATAAGATAATACACCATCGGTCAGAAAACAACAATGAAATTCCTGTTCATCATTAACCATATAATACGCATTACCTTACGCATGTATATTCATCAATAAAACGAATACATTCTACATCAATCATCTTTCAATAATTGCATAACATTATTCATTGTCTAAACGTTGGTTATTGATTACTGGGAAAATACACATTGATTCTCCATATTCATAAGTCTCAATGATTAATCATAGTCAATTTTACTAAAATAAAATCTATTGTTATAAAAAAAATTATCTCATAAAATAAAATAATATAAAAGCTAACATGATAAACAAATAAAAAAAAATTGAAATTAATCGAGTGCCAAAAAAAGAGGATAAGATCAGGGAGTTAAATGCCAAAAAAAAAGGGATAAGATTAGGGGATTAAATGCCAAAAAAGGGGGGGATAAATTGGGTGATTAAATGCGCGTGTGGACTCCTTTTACCCGGGCTCAAAAATTCCAATTTCTTTTCTCTTGTGTGTGATTCACGCACTGCCTAGGTATCTTAATATTATTTGCCTTGAAGTTGGCCTCCGGTTGCTCATTACCGCTCATATTTGAAACCTATAGTCCCCATCCACATCTTTTGCAAGGATGCTTACGCATTCTATTGGTTGAGTCTTTTGTTTATATACTCCCTCCATTCCAAAATAAGTTTACACTTTGCACATAGTTTAAGAAACTATTAATTAAGGTAATAAAATTACTTAAATATCCTCAACTTATCGCATTAAAACAATGTCCACTAATAATATTAATTCTTTTGAGGGTAATTTTGAAAACTTTGGACAAAAAATGTATTGAAATGTGAGAACGACACTTATTTTGAAATTTCTTCATTTTGCTAAAACGACACTTATTTTAGAACGGAGGGAGTATCAAATAAGCTAATTTAATGATATATATATATATATATATATATATATATATATATATAATACTGGAATCAATAGCAAACGTAATGCGACAGTATTAGGAACTCAAAATCATAACCACAGAGAGAATATCCGAACCCCAAAAACTAGTGAGAAATGAGAGAAGCTGCACCAAGGAGACCACGAGACAAACATTTCAAAGATATCAGATTTGTATCCATTCAGGTGCTATTAGACTAAAACTATCAATCGTAACTCAAGTTAGTGAACAACATCTTTAGAGACATGTGGTAGTTCACTTGGAACTCGTTGTTATCATTTTATTGATGTGCTAATGACTTATACCATGAAAGAAAAGTACTTTTTATAGGAATCACAAAGAGATTTTGCCAATGGAAAATCTTACAGGGGAAAATGATAGATAGCAGCTACTTGCCTACCTCTTGAGCATTCTTCTTTCAGGCGAGCATTGTTATATATGTATGTGATAGGGGATGTCTCGTGGCAATAACATTTCCTACATTAATTTTCATGTCAACTTCAATTTTGCGCAACTTGGGGCTGCATTTCAGTTTTCCCGTAGAATTGCAGGAAAAATGAGAGATGAATCATCAGCTCAAAGCAGCGAAATGTAGGCATATTTATTAATCTGGATTTCGGGTGGGATTACTATCAGCAAAACGCAGAAAAAATAAGGTTTTCATTAGCGGTAGCAGAAGATTCCAAGCACTTCTGATTCAAATCATGTCTTGATTTTTAAAGAAAAACGAATGTTGGCCGAATGTTATTGGTATTGGTATTTGAGAAAATTTTGCTCTCACTTTATCAACTGCTAACATATTATTCAAGAAAATTTAAATTTAAATATGACATTCTAAGGTACCAAATAAAAAACTTGAATAGAAGATACATCAGTCGAGCAAATTTGTTGTCCGCATCACATCAGCAAAAGTGCAAAACAACCAGGATGATACCGGATATTATTTTTTATTTTTTTTTGAAAACCACTAATTACATTTACATAACATAAACCTAGGGCCACTCCGAATACCACACACTCGATCGCTTCAACTATTAAGTCTGCAATTGAGCATATAGTTACCAAAATTAACCAGAGATTTCAATGGATTTGATCTCAGGCTTCTTAACTTCCTCCTTAGGAACAGTGATTGTGAGCACCCCGTTCTCCATCGCCGCCTTCACTTGATCCACTCTGGCGTCCTCCGGCAGCCGGAATCTCCTCAGGAATTTCCCGCTGCTGCGCTCCATCCGGTGCCACGTGTCGTTCTTATCTTCTTTCTCCACGCTCCTCTCCCCGCTGATCTGAAGGACGTTGCCGTCTTCGATCTCAACCTTCACTTCTTCCTTCTTAATTCCGGGAAGATCCGCCTTGAAGACGTGAGCCTCCGGAGTCTCCTTCCAGTCGACCCGGGTGTTCACAAACGCCGACGTTTCGTTGGAGACGGAATTGAAGGAAAAATCCTTGAATGGATCCCATATGTCCATACCGAATGGGCTGCTGCTGCTGCTCCTTCGGTTGCCGAAAAAGGTTGGAATCAACGACATTTTTCTTATTGATGATTGATTGAAGATTGAAATTGGATGATTTTTTGAAGATGGCTAGTGAGAAATTTTCTTCTGATGATTGCTAGAGCTTTACTGAACAACGATAACGAGCTTGATTGATGTTTTATGAAAAATGGATCACGTCGGGTATTTATAGGTATCTGAAGAAGAATTCCAGTATAATCTAGATAATTCCCTTCCCGCTTCTTTTTCCTAATCGAAAATATCTTCTTCCCGCTCCCTGGAAAGGATTAGAACTTTCTGGACTCGTCTCGTTGTTTCCGCTGCTTTCCATTCAAAAATCTCTCTGAAGAAAAATGAAAAAAAGGCCCATATTTTGGGCTTGGCCCGAATTTACAATGGCATTATGGACCTGTATACCCCAATATCTAGATGAATATAGTTTCTTTTTCTTTTTTTCGGTACAAAGAGTAATATTGTCAAGGATAATAAGAGAACATATTTTGTGCCAAAATTAACAATTCAATATTGCAAGTTTTATATGATGAATCTGGAATATGTTTATCAATATTACAATTACGCAAAGTTTAAATCTGCCTTTCTTATAAAAGCTTTCTATAGTTAGCCAAAAGGCTAGGATTTTTATAACTCGGGAGGCAGAGCGTAGATTCGACCATAACTCGGGATAAAATGGGATTCAGTCCAGTAAAGAAAGCCTAATAATCAATCTAGAAGCCACATAAAATAGAACGAACATAATAGAGTGGTGATATATACGGTAAAAAATAACATTAAAAACTTACGAGGAAGTTGTCAATCATCTGACTATATTCTAACTTTAAATACTTAAAACCGAAATGAAAAGTGTTAAAAATGAACGGATACGATCAATTCCTTGTTATTTTTCTTTGTCATTTTTTCTATGTACGTATCATTATTCTACATAATAATAGGCTTCAAAATACTTTGCTTGTTTGGACGTCATCTTACATTTCATTTTGCTACTTACAAGTAAAAAGTGTTTCAAGTTGAAAACTAAATGGAAAATAAAAATGTTGTTTGTATGATATTTTGAACAAAAAGTTATTCAGATGTTGGTTTTGAAAAAAATATTTTGAACTACATTTTGAAAATATCAAGTAGAGTCATCACTAAACAATTAAATATTGTCAATTATAGTCACTGCAAAAAAGAACTTTTCAAAAAACAATCAACCAACAACAGAATCCTGCCAAATTTGTCACTGAACTATTTGTAGTTCTAAAATGATTTTTTTTTTTTTTGAAATGGAGTTCTAAAATGGTCATTACACTAACAAAAAGCGTTTCAAATTGAAATTTAAAATGTAAATCAAAAAATTATTTGGATGGTGTTTTCTTTTCCATTGAATTTTGTGTTTAAGAGGTAAAATGAGTTAAAATGTAAAATGAGTGGACGTCCAAACAAGACATGGTGACCTTGGATTTTACCTATTAACTTCTACCTGAAATTTTACCTTTCAATTTTGGTTGGTCGGCAATGACGCGTTCAATTTTGTAGCTGTATTTTGGCAATGCAACTTTGGCCGCTGGTGAATAACTAGAATCGTAGAGAACTACCACTCTATAGAACATGGCAATTTGTCATTGTTACTAAAATTTCTACCAAAGGTTTTGAGTTGTCTGAAGGAAAAAGGACGAACCAACAACCAGATATGATGATGGTAATGGACAAAGATTTTCCAGACTTTTCGATCCAAAAAACAAAGGCCACATTATACTATTATAGGACTTTTGAAAGTAGTACATATTGTGTATCTTTTTCAAGATTTGGGTGCCTAGGAACTGGACAAGGTGATTGGATTGAACCTTTCATTGAAAAAAAGAAAAAAAAAAAAAAAAAAAGGAAGAAGAAAAAGCTATCCTGAGATATGCTTTCGCCATTAGAATCATGTCCACTTTTAATTTTATAATTCTTCATAAAGTTGATTTTATTTCTGGTGAAAGAAACTTTAGAATGACTGATGATTACTAACACGAGGACAATATGGCCGAAGCCTCCTTTTGGTGTGGACTGTGGAGCCACGGTTTGGCCGGAATTTATATTATTCAATGGGAATAATATAAGTCCTTTCCCTTTCTTTATTAGGTATAAAATTGTCAGAAAGTATAAATCATTCCAAATGTTACAATTGTGTCCCACAAATTCACAAACAGTTGGATTAGTGGTCGCATTTGATACTCTTCTTTTGATAAATATGTTTAATTCATGCAGAATAATTACAAGAAATGAAGGAATGAATGGAAACAAATTAAGGGTGCATTTCTGCTTTTGGAGAAAATGATATATATATATATATAGTGAATAAAAATAGTGACAAAATATAGTAACTGATGTGGATTAATCATGGCCTCTAATTTTTTATTACTTTTTCGTTGAAGTTTTATTTTTTCCCTAAAATTATATTTTTACCTTTAATTAATAAATAAACATGTTTAGTAAATGGATGGTATATTTGTCTTTTCATTTGTCACTATATATTTTCACTGTACTTAGTCATTAAATGTATCATTGTTGTAGGTACAAAAATTGAAAGCTATACCCTTTCAAGAATATCAATTATCTATCATTGAACAAACATTGTCAAAATAACATATGCCAGACGTATGTATCTAGTATCTTAAAGCCATAATTCTTTTGAGAGAAACTCACCCGGTTTGATATAAATTAGTCGTGACAATGCTTCGGATATTAAATACTATGAAATAATCCCCAAAATAAATCCGAATTCTCCATCTTCCTAGTAAGTTAAAGACGAGGGACAGTCAAAATTATATGCAAGTCTATTTGACACCTATGCATTGTACAAGGAGGTTATAACTGCTATTCTAGTACGGACATCAGTACATGCTAGGAATAATTCTGTTCCTTTCGATTCTTCATTAGTTTTTTTTTTAATTAAAATATCCTCCATTCTTGTATATTGTTTTTACATTTTTAATATATATATATATTTTATATATATATAAAAAACACAAAATGAAAAAAATAATACTCTACAAACACAGAAGAAATGAGATATTGTTCATCACTCATGTTATAAAGGCGTTCCTTTCCGACCCGCACCAATTCAAGAACTTAATATGATACAGTACTTTAGTCTTATTTTTCTCTGATAAATTGTTTTCTTTTTGACATTTTTGGTACTAAAATCAACTCCTGGAATTGACCGGATTAATTTAAAGATACTGGTCTGGTGCATGTGGTTCTCTCAGGCCAATCAATCAAAAACTACCCCGACTACACTTAATTAAACTAACATTTTGATTATTGACTTTTCACTTTGATGTTTACTAGACTCACCTACTCTCGCAATTCTTGACACACATTGAACGTGAAAACCTGCAGTTTCACACCTTCACTCTATAGTCTATATATCTAGAGACATGATACATCAATCACACAAAGATGCCACTAAAAAATAAAAATGAAGAATCCAATCGTGACCAGTGTGGTTAAACTGTTGTTATACACCACACTCTTAATCGTTTTTTTTTTTTTTAAGTAAATACTCTTAATCGTTATGTGACTTGTTCTTGGCGATATGGATGTTAATCGTTGAGCGATTCGTTCTTAATGATACAAGAGTCTGAATATTCTTTGTGCTGAACAAACAATATACGCGAGGAAATCTTTTTCCCGTTGTAATAGTTCTAGTATATAATTCTTCCATTTCAAAATATAAGTCACTTTAGACTTTGCACGTAAATTAAAGAGATAAACATCTAACAATTAGTAATTTATGTGTTAAATATCTATTTTACCCTCATTAATTACATTGAAACTATAAACAAAACTAAATTAAAATAGATTAGTATAATTTATTAAGGATAAAGTTAGAAAATTAGTCGTTAATTTACCTAAAATTTATAAAACGACTTACATTTTAAAAAATCTTTCCAAACCTAAAACGACTTATAATTTGAAATGGATGGACTACTTAAAAATACCGATAGATAATGTCTAAGAAACCCATTAGATGCACTGGATTAGAACTGCAATTTCGTGTGGGAAACGAGGTTCGTAAAATTAACAATGCATTTTGTTTTGTCGTGTGATTGTTGTTTTAGCACCAACCTTTATGGATATACCAATATATTATCAATACCGTCATCAGAATGTATGTACATGTGAAACCGATACACCGGCAAAAGAATGGAGGAGATAATTATTGGACACGGACTAAACGTATGCATATGTCACAGGGTTTTAAAAAAAAAGAAGACGGAAGAATTCATGCAAAATGATCAATAAATAGGTGTGTACTCTCTCCATGGGGGACCTATACGTTTTATTAGTCATCCCCTGTTGAATTCGGCTGTCGGTGAATCTTGGATTCGATTTTGCAATTGCCATTTAACAAACCACCAAAAAAAACAAAAAAAAGGAAAAAAGAAGAAGATGAAAATTACTTATGGAATTAAATATCACCCAATTGAGCAAACCCACTACCCCATTGGATGATTCTCCGAATCCGAATGAAGAAGTCATTAGTGTAGCACATTTCATCATTAGCCTCACATTCACAATGAAACCTCCACTTGTTTTACTAATCCTTTTTTTGGTCTGAACCAATACGATAATTTTAATCAGGACATTATATTACACTTAGACTAATTTGTATTTCTAAATAACTTAAACATAGTAAGGTAATAAAAAAAAAAGAGTGAAAGTGTGGAGCATTTATTTTCTGAGTGCAAGTTTTCCCAGGAGACTCTGAGACTGATGAACCAATGGCTGGGCATAAGTCTACCTGATAAACTAGAGAATGGAGACAGTGTATTCTCAGGATTTGGAATAGAACTAAGCTGAAACAAAGGATCTTGTTTGCTTCACTGGCTGGACTGATCTATCATCTGTGAGAGGAGAGGAATGCAAGATGTTTCAAAAGAACTCACGGAAGTAGTAAACAAATAGTACAATGTATAAAAAGGAGGTATTATGGAGAACACAGTTTTATCTTAGAGAGTCATATACTGTTACAGAAAAGAGTATTATAAACAGTTTTTTCAGTTAGCCGGTTTTGTTTTGTTTAGTTTAAGGTAGTGAAATTATGTAATAGAGTAGTTTGGTTGTAGATATGTGCTCCAAATCAGTTTTCATTAATAATTTACGTTTATACCAAAAAAAAAAAAGAGTAGTGATAGGTATAAGGAAAAAATGACAAAGAATATTTTGTCAAAATCTTAACTATGTCTTAATCTTAAATGCATAAACCTTATATAGAAAGTTTTAACAATAAATAGGTGAGATCATTTTCTTGTAATTTTTTCTTGTACTAATGATTATTCATTAAAAAAAAAAATCTTACTACTTTGGTAAGTTCTTGTTGGGTTTTGAACATTTTTTATGTAATGCAATAATTATGAATCACTAAACTTCAGGTAATATGCCAAATACTAACAGCTCAATATTAAAGTGACGAGGTAACTAATGTCAACTTAAGATCACCTGGCTCTGTAATAAATAAAGAATTAAAACACAGAATTCTTAGGTGGGGGGTAAAAAAGAGTTCTTAACGCAATCCAAGGAGCTTTTCGACAAAAGAATATGTCATCAACGGCGTTAATCTTTTGGTCTCTATCAAAAGAGTACTTATTTGGGACCTCTGACAAATTCATATGGAATCAATGGCTGGCTGGCAGGTGCGCAGAAAGAAAGAGAATGCAGGCCCCAAAATTCCTTGTTACAACAAACACTAGTAAACAATGGTTAAAATATGTGATAATAGTATACCTAGCTCAAATCTAGATTAATAAGAATAGTAAGTTTGTAATACACTTATATCAAGTAAAAGATTTAGGAAGTGAATTACTAACGTCGTTAGTGTTTTAAGACCCGAAACGATTTGCAATGGTTAAAAATTTCGTCAATAAAATCAAATTATGATTGGAGTACGATATTATTGAAGCAACATATAGTATTAGTGATGTGCTTATATAGATCTTAGACATTAGTTTCCATTATTATTTATACCGAAGAAGAATAAAAAAGGTAGGAGATTAGGGAAAATAAATCAACCCAGAAGCTTGCTTTTCATAAGCATCCAATAAATAAAAAAATGTACAGTGGGATCAAGTCATTATGTGGGCCATTCCGATGTGACCTCCCGCGAATATCTCCTTTCATTATGAGCCGTCCGATCACTACCGCCATCTCTCTCCCTATTCCCCAATAACGTGTTCTTTGCTTTCTCACACTGTTCGTTCCGACACAGTTCCGAGTTACAGAAAAACCAAACAGTGATCTTCTTCCACTTCCCCCAAATTTACCCAAATCCCACAACACCCTCTTTTCTTTCTTCCCTTTCCTTTCTACAAAGTTACCAACTTTACTTTGGTATGCTTTTCTGATTTTCTCCTTCTGTTCGTGATTCTCTGTATATACTTTCACACTCTGGAGTTAAAAGAGGAGTTTGGGGAATTGAAGAGAGCAAAAAGGCATTTTGGGATACTACAAATCAACTTTCTTCTTTCTTTTCCTCTGCTTTACCTCAGTGTAAAGCTCTGATTTTTTAGTTTTTACACCCAGCTTTTTGATCTTGTGGGTTATGCTGTTGATGAGTGGTTTTTTTGTTTTTCCACACCGACCACCTGTTATGGGCCACCGACTTGGGTCTTGGATTTTTTTTTCTTGCTCTGCATGTTCATAGCTGAACCGGGTAAGTTTCCAATTTGTGTTATTCTCTTTGTGTTTTCTGCAAATTGGCTGGGTTGGTGTGTGTAATCAATTTTCTCTTTTCTTCATTGAGATGGGAGGGATCACTAGTAAAGTGTGATTATGATTTGCATTTCTGGTTGTGGTGAAGCTCTTCTGGATGAATCTCTTTCTCAGGTTTCACATTTTCATTTTTGATTGGTTTATGTCAAAGATCCCTTCACTAATTTGTGTTTTCGGGCTTCGATTTGAGGAAAAGTTCATCAGAAAATGGGTGTCTTTTGTTTTTTTAAGCTGTTGCCTGTTATTGAATTTTTGAGCTTGATCTTTGGGGGAAACGGTGGATTCAAGGAGAGAACTTTTTGTTATGTCAATGTATTCTTCCACGAAACTAACTCATGGGCTAATTATTGTACTGTTGAGGAATTGTTTGGTAGTCTTTCCACCTGGAATCATTTCATATGAAAGAAGTTAGATGTCAATTTCAGTTTCTCTTTTTGGTTGAAATGTGATGCCGCTGAATAGCTGTTCTTACTTGTCGTTTGCAAGGAGTTTTTGAGGTTGATGAAGACAGCCTTACCTTATCTTTAACAACCAACAGTCTCTCTTTTGGTTCTCAAGGACCACCTTTCAACCTGCTTTCAGAAATGGTCTAATTTGGCTCACTTTTGGCTGTTTTTTGCCCAGTTGGTTGATTTAAGTTGAACCTGCGAACTATTCTTCTTTCTTTTCTAATTCTTTAATTGCATAAACTGAAAAGGATTGGTCCTGTAGTTGCCCCATTTTCCCTTTTACCACTCTATGCTTGTGTGTAAATTGCAAAGTATTAATACCATAACTGCCCCCATTTTATCTTTAGTTGCCATTTAATTTACTTTCAGTTGGGACCATAACGATTTGTGGATGAACTTGAATGTTTAGTTCTATTGGCTACAATTGAAAGTTGCATGAATTTTATGAATAATAATAGGAAAGTTTCATGTATATTACTTGAAGATTTGCATTGGCCATTGTTATGTAACTTTTACCTCACGGAGGTTTACTTCTGGGCTTTTGGTTTCAAAGTGAAGTTGAACCTCTGGTGAAATTCAGTTCTTCTTCTATTAGAATTCTTCTATGTGGCATCTTTGCCCATGATACATTGGATGCAAATTTATTTTATCGTAGATTATTAGCCTGTAGGGGCAAGATTTGTGCAGTGTAAACAAAATTGATCCACTGAGGCCTTTAGTTTGTGACACTGTGTATAAAACCTTCTTTGTGTACTATTTTCAGTTCCCTTGCTATTTGGTGTCTTTGACAACTCTGAGGTGACTTAACTTATCTTTCAAAGTGCTAGATGCAGTGCACTTTCTTCAACATTGGCATCTTAGATAACCAAATTGCTTTCCTCTTTTCTCTTTTAGGTACCCATCCAGATGAAATGGATAAGCTGGCCAAGTAAAATCTTCAGAAGCCAGTTCGTGAACTGTGAGATAAAAATTTTATAGTTAGACCTGTTATTTGCGTGATCAAAAGGATGGAATGCCAACTGGAGCTTAAGCGGAACCTGAGCTCTCAAGAAGCCTCAGTAATAATCTCCAGGCAAATATCAGTTCGTCCATATCGATGTACAAAACTGGGTGACAAATTTAAACTAGAGAGGAATGATTCTCCTTCCACAGGTTCTCATCATAAAGTAGTAAAAGGTACGGAAAATATTCCCAAAAAATCAAAAGCTCTGCACCAAAGGCAACCAACGAGCAAGGAAGATGAACTTATCAGATACATGTCAAACTTGCCAACTTATCTGGAGAGAGGAGAGAAAGTTGAGGAGAAAGCTTTCAATGTTGGAGTTCTTGAGTGGGGTCGCCTAGAGAAGTGGCAGGATAACCACAGGCATATTCCCCATCGAAGTGCCAAGACTTCACCTTCCAACAGCAATGCCTCATCATCTTCCTCAACAGAAGGATCCTCATCTAGTTCTGGCAGAGGTCATAGCACCTCTCCTGCCAGGCAGAGGATGCACTACTTTGGTTCGCAACCTAATACTAGTTCATCTCCAAGCAAAACTTTTTCCCGGAGCATCAGATCGTTTGAAGTAAGTGGCAGAAAGTTTCAGGACCTTGCTGCTAGCTCGAGTAATTATGTGAGAGTTTCACAAAGTATCCTCAGCACCCATAAGTGTTTTCACAAGTACACTAATAACCAGTCTAAGGAGTCAACCAATGGTCAAGATCCAATGTGCATTTCCAAGAAGAGGGATTCACAGACACAAAATTCCCCTATCACATCAGGCTCTGAAGAAAAAATGAAGCTTCGGGATTGTGAATCTCTTGAGGTTAAAGGAAAGCTGTTGAGTCCTAATCATGCTTCTGCTCAAAGCGATGACAGTGACAAGCCAGAACTACTTAAGCAGGAAGATGGACTTGAATCTTGGTCTCCTGTGACATCCGAAGCATCTGTGGCTGTTGGGCATCGGCAGGGAACAATAGAAGCGAATCCACAGAGGTTCTCTGACATATCGCAATATAGTGCCTGCAAGATGTCTTCTGATATACCTTTATCTTGTCCTTTTCCTCGTGAAGCTAATAACTTCATGATTGAAAAGCCTCGTTCCACCCCTACAAAGATTATCAAGTCACCTGATCCTCCACGATATTCTGGAAAATTCTCAGCTAGCTCCAGCCGAGATAGCAGTCTGGAAGAAAAGAAATCCATCCAAACGTTTTCTAGGTCGACTGAAGCTCTGAACCTGAAACTTTATCCTGAGGAAGATAGTAAAGTAAGACATCCTTCCCCAATCCGCCGACTGGTGGCTAAGATAGGCAGGAATGCCAACACCAAAGACACCTCATCACTACCACTGAGCAGTCCTGATGCTGATAAGTTTAGATCCAGGGGTGCTGAAACTGATGCTTCTTCAGGTGACTCATCTTGTGAGAAGTCAAATGTCTCTGGAAAGGGAAGATCAAGCCCTTTAAGAAGACTGCTAGATCCTCTACTTAAGCCAAGAGCTAGCAGTGTTGACAACTCTAATAGCTCGCCCCAGAGAGATGCAGCATCAGTCAGTATAGCATGCCAATTATCCAAGGGGCTGGAAGAGCCCGTGACACGACAATCCGTGAAAGTGAAGTTAGATCTTGGGAGTTGTAAAACTATCAATGTTGACCATCCACAAGATATTGGGAGATGTGGACCACAGATGGTGCAAGCTCTTTTTCAAGTGGCAGTTAAGAACGGGCTCCCTCTATTTACATTTGCTGTTGACAACAGTAGTGACATTCTGGCAGCCACGATGAGGAAGCTAGGTTCTGCTAAAAAGGATGGCAACAGATGGATGTACACATTCTTCACTGTACATGAAATGAAGAAGAAAAATGGTGGTTGGTTACATCAGGGAACCAAAGATAGAAGTCTCGGATACATACCTAATGTTGTTGCCCAAATGAAGGTTTCTGATGTTGCGTCAACAGATCTGAGCAGGCCAAACTCCCTGGATCAATGTACTACGAGGGAATGTGTGCTGGTTGCGACAAAGAATAGAGGGGATGAACAAATTTCTGATCAGCATGTGAATGATGAACTTGCTGCTATTGTTCTTAAGCTACCAAAAGTGCCCGCAAAAGATTTCAGTGAAGTGGATCAGAAATTTTGTAAAGTTGATGATCTCTCTAAAGGAGACCGAAAATGCTCATCTCAAGAAGTTTTTGATGTGGCCAATGGTATGCAACTCAAAGAGGGTGGATCTTCTGGTAAAAACCTGAACCGCTTTGGGCTTGCAGTTGTCCTTCCTGATGGTGACCACGGATTGCCGAATGAAGGAGAACCTTCACCTCTACTGCAAAGATGGAGATCAGGGTCATGTGACTGTGGGGGCTGGGATTTGGGTTGCAAACTAAAGGTTCTGGCTGCTCAGTATGGCCGGGCATCAGTTCCCGTTGCAACCCAGTTCACCACAGGAAAATTTCAGCTCTACTCTCAGGTATTTTTATGGTTAGGTGCATACTGCACTGTGTTCCTCATGTAGTTAATGCTATACATGCATTTTCTTTCTCCAATTTTATTACTGGAGCACATTTACTAGCATTGGATTTCTAATTTGTTTTTGCAAACTTCAGAATGGCGGACTGGACCGGAAACCTACTTTCAGCTTGTCTCCATTCAAGGATGGTATCTATTCAGTTGACTTCGACTCTTCACTCACACTTCTACAAGCATTCTCCATATGCATTGCAGTTCTAAATGGTATGCAGCCAGCTAAGTTTTCAGAAATGGGTACTTTCTTTGAGAAGAAATTTTCAGAAGTAGGCCTACTATCAGAACCTGAGAGACCAAGAGCCAACCGAGGCAGAGAAGAGCAGTCTTACAGTGAGTAGCTCTTGTTGATCCCCTGGAAGTTGGAAAAATATCAATTTGGCTGTACAGTTAGTCATCATTTACCTAATGGTTTAGAAGATTATTTATAGTAGCAAATAAATCGGCTTGGTGATCACTAAATTGGAAAGTTCAACCAGAAGAAAACGCCATTAGGATAAGGAAGGGTTGATGATGCCATAACAGTGATACTTTGTTGTATTGAGTCATCGGGGAAAAAAAAGAAAAAAGCCCTCTATGTTCATCCAATTGAATTCAAGTGTGCATATCGCTAATTGATACTATTTCTTCGTGCAGTTTAACTTTGATTTGTGTTGTCTGAACTCTTGAATAAGTACGCTAAGCACTAATTTGTGGTCTCAATAAGCACATTTTTAGAAGCAATAAGTGTATATGTATATATACTTTCACTGCTTGAAATGTGCTGTACTTTGAACAAACTTCAGAATGTCAAGAAAATGCTTGCTACGAGTTCAAGAACATTTCTGGGTTTTTACTCTACTTAAGGACTGGATGTAGCTATGTATAAGATCCTAACTAAATACTATTTCTATTCATAAGCTTCACTCGTATGATAGTTTCACTTCTAGTCTAATATTCCTTCTGTCTCAAAATTATTATCTAGTTTCCGATTTTACTTATTATTTAGTTTCCGATTTTACTTTTAGTACAATTTGAACTGAAAATGAAAATCTAAATTGGACAATTATTTCAAGACAGAGGGAGTAATAGTTTTGGTGCTTTTAAAACTTGCACGATGTTGCCGGATTTCAAAAGAAAATTAGGAAAAAGAAAAAGAAACAAACTTAAATTCCTAAATTCTACGAGCCTCGCGGGGAAAAAAAAAAAAAAAGCCCAAAATACTGGTTAGTTCGTCGTGAAGAAGAAAAGATAATTAGGGAGAAGAAAATCAGGTCAATAAAAGCACGAAAAGGTAGCCCAATAAATTCAGGAACATTTTATAGATCGGACAAAAAAAAAAGTTGGAGAAAGCGAATTCCTCCAGATTGGATCAAATGTGGTCAGCATCATTTTTTGTTCCTAGGATATTTTTTTTTTTGCAATTACATTCCTCCTCTGCTTAAAAAGAAGAAGAAAGCCAAAAATTGATTGGATAGAGAAGGGGACCACGCACAAGAGGGATGGTGATTAAGGATTTTTAAGGATTTTTTCTAATGTTAATGAGTAAAGATGTGGAAAAAGATTAAGAAAATGGTGACTGGTGAGCACGTGAGGCGCCATAAAGCCAAACGGCGCTGTCATGTGACCCAATATCTTGCCATTATTTAATAATGCTACTCTCCTGCTCCCTACCCATTTACGTCCCTGTCTTGTGGATCTCCTCTTAAGTCTTTATGGAGTTCTTAATTTAGAGAATTTGCTTTCCAAAAAATTAAAAAAAAATAAAAATTTAGAGAATGCGATATTTAATTCGCACCAAAAAAAAGTTTTGCTAGGAAATGCTTCTTTCTAATAATAAAAACGAGTACACTTCTATGAATTTTGAGTCTGATTTCTGAAGTGGTAAACACCTAGGAATAAGGGAAATCAGTGATAAAAAAAAATTAAGAATAAAAAAATGATTACTTTAGTTCTTTTATTGACAATTTTATACGTTTTTCTTAGTGTAAAGACTTTCTAAAAGACATTAATTTCCCGAGGGGTTAAAATATATAGATACTTTTTGATAATAATGAAGGTAGTCTAAATAGTTTCATTTTAAGAGATATTTCATTATATTCAAAGCCCTCTCACAAAAGAGATATATGTCCAAAAGTTTCGATCGGGGGATCAATATAACAGAGCAAATGATGTCAAACGATTAGTAAGTAAAATAAAGAATCTATAAACCCTAGAGTACCAAAAAACTGAACTAGAGATGCGAAGTTGCTGCGTTTCTTAGGTTGAAGAAACAATAACGCAATGTTCTTCATACTCCGGAAATTGCTGCGCGGGACTATTACAATTTCTTCTTGTTTTTATTTTTTTTTTCTTTCCTTTCTGAAGAAGAATAATGAAAGAACATTATGAACAGATAACATGGAGCCGCCCGGAAATCTTTTCATGTTTTATGGCAGCATTATTCAAACGTATGAATGTGGATTTGCTAAAATTATTTCAAAAAATTGGTACAACCAATAGGGCCCTTGGGATCCTTAACAACCATTTTTATAACCACCCAAATCTTAGCAAAATCACGTCCTTTACTTTTTTGGAAACCAAAAATAGGTTTATTAATTAAGGAATTCATGTTTCGCATCTCATCTTTCTTACTTGATGATCATGATCTCAGTGTGCTTCAAAAGATTGTAACATGTAGATCTTTGTTAAACATTTGGAAAATATATTTGTAGATTCGGACAAATTGTAATACCATATGAATTCGAACCGGTTCTTAAATCCTTTGACTAGGGTATTTATCATGAGCGAGAGGGAATAGTCACTGTTGTCGACGATGAATACCCTGTAATATGAAAAAAAATGTTATGATTCTCACTTATTATAATTAATAAATTTGAATGTTTTTTTTTTATTTTTTTGTGAAAAGATAATTCAACAAAGTGTATTATTAATACGAGATAATTGTTTCGATCTAACACGAATAGGACGATCAAGGGAGGGGATCTATAATGATGAATCTCACAGCTAGCTCGCGCGGTTTTTGCTGGTGGGATTGGATTCTTGAGAAGGTGACAGGGAGGAGGAGGGAGGATGCTGTTCAAAGGGGTGCATGTATTTTCATGATGGCTGTGTGTGTGTGTGTGCCCCCCTTTTCATCATCAATTTATCCATTAATTTCCAAATCAATGGAACTTGATGTCCATTAAAGAGCTAGCTCTGCTAGCACACTTGAGCTGTATAAAGTAGGACAATGTCAGTGATGGCCACAATTTGTTTGGGCAATTTTCCTCCTTTGCCTTTGTTGTGCATCATTCTGGCAAATGCATTTCCATGTCCTTTGTGGACCTTCCTGTTACACCATATAATGTGATTCATCTTGTTACCTCCAAAGAAATCAAAGAGAAGAGTTTTCACAACTTACAAATTTCAAATTGATGTCAATTATGTACATGCAAATTTATTTATTTTTACATAGATTTAACTCGAGAAACATTTGTGTGCACTCAAAGAGTTATATAGGAGTCCAACCTCATGCATGTTTGAAACCAGCTTACTACTTAACTACTTGTTTTGCCAATCGCTGGATGCAATTTGCACTGTTGATAAGACTTAATGCTTGGAGTTAATCCTTTTTGCTAAAACGAACATTTCTTGTTCCAGAAAAATGGTTCTAAATTTTTAAGTAAATTAAATGAACCAGTTGGGAACTATTGATAAAGAAGGATGCTCTTCTATTTCCTCAAAAAAAAAAGAAAAAAAAAAAGAAGAGGATGTTCTTCTAGTACTTTTACAACTTTTAACTAGTTGGAAGCAACTCTTTTCCCCCCTTATACAAGAGTATTAACATTTGTGTACCCCCTTAACTAGTTGGGAGTATTTAGTTTCAAATTGTAGTTTATAATTTTATTTATTTATTTTTTTTTTGGTGTGGGTAAAGTTTAGGTTTTTGTAGAATTATAAGGAAAACAACCATGAAACACGGAGCTTTTTCTTTGGAGAGAAAAGATTGATGAGCTAAAAGTTGAGGATGGATTAGGCTTTGTTCGTCAAAGTTTATGCCAAAAGAATGCCCTAGTAATGGCAAGTGGAATTGAAGCTGACAGGAATATGATGCCAATAAGTAATATAATCTACTAATAAGAGTAGCATTAATTTATAGAGTAATGTATCTATCTTTGGTAATAATGAGTGATTAATATTAGCAAAATTGTACTTTTGTGAACAAAATAACTAAAAAAAATTATGATTATTTCATAATTCATGTCTAATGTGGAATTCGAACACCAACCACCTTTGTTCCTTTCATTCAACCACAACTTCTTTTAGACAATAATGGTGTACAAAAGTTTTCCACTCATACACTCGTACTTTGACTAACTACCTAACTCTTCTGTATTTTTCTTATTCTTCTTATTCGACTCACGATAATTAAAAATAATTATAGAGCAATTTAAGCCTAACTAAGGAAGAGACTTCTTTTGGTCCAAATTTATTTTAAACTATATCTTTACAGTAATCTTCTAGTGGAGTCCACAAAACTCAAGTGCAATTATCTTTATTTGTTTTGCAATTGGTGTTAGACCATTTCCGATAAAAATTTTAATAAAAGTTTGTTTTACTACAATTTTTTTTTATTTTTTTTATAAAAAATGCAGTGACGAGGCAAGGTGGCGAAATCGGACCTTCCATTTTTAGTGCTAAATAATTAACTGCATTATATTAAAATTCAGTAAAGTTATTTCATTGCCACATTTCATACTTTGTTTTAACAAATTGTAATATTTGGTGTTTTTTTTTTTTTTCATATGTGTCTCAATCAATTAGCATTTCTTTGTATGATACACAGTGCAAATGTGATAAAAAATAAAATAAAACCAAGCAACTTAATTGATAAAAGGATTAACAATTTTATAATAACGATATGGATTAAAAACCTTTAAAGTACTAGTAGTAATATTTATGAGTAAATAATTTTTTTTAAAAAAACTCTATTACTCTAAGTCGGAAGTGTTGTTTAACGTTTGTTATACATTTATACCCTTTTGTACTCTGTAGAGTGTAGTGTGGACGTTCCGTTTTGTTGCATTTGACCACCTGAACGAATCAAAGCATGAGAAGCTCTGTTCCCCCTTTCTTATAAAACACACAGTCACACACTAACACCAAAACCAAAAATCACCTCCATTTTCCTCTCTCTTCTCTACTCCCATCATCATCACCATTCCCCCTGTCAGTTTCACAGAGAGAGAGAGGAAAAATGCTGCATTGAGTGTTTCTTTCTTGGTTGTAGAGAAAAGGGTTTCACTTTTTCACTCATTCCCTCCATAATACATAAAGGGTTCTAACATTCAATTTCATCTCAAACACGTTTGTCTGGAAAAAAAACCCCTTCCCTTTTCTTCTGTTTGTTATGGGAGCTCGCTGCTCTAAATTCGGCCTTTGCTGGTGGCCATCCAGCCTCAACTCCCACGTCCCTTATTCATCTGATCTCGGTAATCATCTTCAACACTCTATTACTTTTTAATGGGTACATTCTTCTGTTACATTTTTGGTTTCTGAAGTCTAATAAAGATGGTAACTTTGTTGCATGATGAATGGAGTTTTCTTAGATGTGATGTTTTTGACAAGCGATTGTTTTGTTCTTTTTGTGGGATTTTAGAGAAATGTGAGGAGAGTGAGAAGATGAGACTGCCAGTATTCAGAGAATTCAGTTTGGATGAGCTTAGAATTGCAACCTCAGGATTTGCAGTAGATAACATTGTATCAGAACATGGTGAAAAAGCCCCTAATGTTGTTTATAAAGGCCAGCTTGAAGATGAAGGTAACTGGGTTGCTGTTAAGCGCTTCCATAAGTCTGCTTGGCCTGATCCTCGCCAATTTCTGGTTATTACTTCTTCTTTGTTTATGTTCCTTTCTCTTTTCTTTTTTACATCTATCAGTAGAGAATTTTTCAGCAAATGGTATTTATATTTGTGCATTGCTTGGACTTGTGGATTGTTTAGGAAGAGGCAAAGGCAGTGGGGCAGTTGAGGAGCGAGAGGTTGGCGAATTTGATAGGATGTTGTTGTGATGGAAATGAGAGGTTGTTGGTGGCTGAGTTCATGCCTCATGAAACTCTGTCCAAGCATTTATTCCATTGTAAGTTCATTTTATTTGAAGATGCTTAATTCAATGTGCAAAGATGTCAGTGAGAATAGCTTTATGAGTTCGTGTTGTAAAAGTTTTAAACATGGTGGTTTTTTGCTGGTAACTAGATGCTGTTTACATGGATTAATTTACGCATAATATCAGTATTGGGTAATAGTTTCAAGCTGAATGCAGACATCTTGTTTGGGAAACTAATTAATTGTATGAATGGCCTGGGATAGTTTTTGGTTCTTTATTTGAAGTTGGCTTTCCATATCACTTAAAAATGGCACTTTAAATGCAGGAAGAGCATAAGGGTAAAATTACTGGTAAATTTCTTGTGCCTGTAATTTGCTTTTCTTCTACTTAGGTGTTTTAGCTCGATCCAAGACAGAAAAAGTGATTATGTTCTATATTAGCCATCTGCTCATCAAACTGCTTGTGCTGCCAAAAGATTCAACTAACTTTAGTTTATCATCTGAACTGTTTTAGGGGAAACCCAACCACTGAAATGGTCAATGAGACTAAGAGTTTCTTTATATCTAGCACAAGCATTGGACTACTGCAGTAGCAAAGGCCGAGCGCTGTATCACGACCTAAATGCCTATCGAATCTTATTTGATCAGGTATCGTCTTCTATTCTTGTGCCTTTATCTTTGAATATCCGTAAAATTTATCCCCTTCCTACATGTTTTAGCATTTCAATTCCTCTGGCTCTCTCTGTAACAGGATGGTAATCCCAGGCTTTCTTGTTTTGGCCTGATGAAGAATAGCAGGGATGGAAAGAGTTACAGCACAAACCTGGCTTTTACCCCTCCAGAGTATCTAAGGACAGGTAATGTGCTCTAACACTCATTTACTTACAGTCTTACCGGCTTTTCCATGCAAATGGATACACTGATTTGGGGGAGGTGCGCTGCTAGAACTAAATATATACCTCAGTTGCTGGGAGACATATTGTAAGATCTTAGAGATGTGTTTCTATAGTGATCAACTCTTTCGAAGAAGGAAACTTAATAGAAGAAATTTGTCTGAGTTGCATATATATTTATGTTGCTGTTCTATCATATTCTTGAATATAGCATTATTTGTTTTATAAGGCCATGATTGGAGTAAGCGCTTTGGTGATTTGCATGCTTAGCTTTATACTCAGAACTTAAAAAGATCATGATGCTGCTGAACTTTTTAACAAGCTTCAGCGAGGGGACAATTGGGTTATCCAACTATCCGATGATTAACTTGTCTCGTTGTTTCCTTCTCAGGTAGAGTTATCGCTGAGAGTGTAGTTTACAGTTTTGGTACACTATTGATTGATCTCCTCACTGGCAAGCATATCCCTCCGAGCCATGTAAATCCTCTGTTAACTATCTTTGTGTTGAAATTTTTGAAAAGTTTCTATTCTGCTATTGCCTATAAAGTCCTCTGATATTAATGTTCTGAGTAGAATCCTTCAAATATTTATCTTATAGAACTAATGTACAGTTAATTCCTATTAGGCTCTCGACTTGCTACATGGGAAGAGCATTCAGATGCTTGTGGACTCTTGTTTGGAGGGTCATTTCTCAAATGATGATGCGGCAGAATTAGTTCGAATAGCCACACGCTGTTTACAATATGAGCCGCGTGATCGGCCAAATGCCAAGGCTCTTGTGATTTCTCTCACCCCTCTTCAGAAGGAGAGAGAGGTAAGGTCCTGTTACAATGGTTGTCCAGATTTTGATTGTGTTTTCCGAATCTGATTCACCTGGAATTTACAGGTCCCGTCACATGTTCTGCTTGATATTCATCATAAAACTGCATCTCCTACCAGGAGTTCAAATTTATCACCTCTTGCTGAGGCTTGCTCAAGAGTAGATCTAACTTCTATTCATCAATTACTGGAGAAAGTTGGTTACAACGATGATGAAGAGATCGCAAATGAGGTTAGTCTATCTCATTTTAGCTCAAGCAGGATTTGAATTCTCAACCCAAGAAACACTTATAAAACACTGAAGCTTTAGTTCATTAGATGTGCAATTGTTAACTTTTTTCTCTAGGAGGGTTCTCAGTTTTGGTTTTTTTTTTTTTTTTTTTGGGTATCTTCAGCTTTCATTTCAGGTGTGGACTGCCCAGATACAGGAGGCACTAAATTGCAGAAAGCGGGGTGATTCAGCCTTTCGTTCAAAAGATTTCACAAATGCTATTATATGCTACACTGAGGTGAGTATAATTTGGATACTATTTTGGAAGTCAGGTGCTAGTGGCAATTTTATGACATGTCCATAGTTGGTCTTATCATCTGAAGAGAAGATAGAATCTATAAGCAGCAGATACTGCTAGAATATAACAGTATTAAGGAGAGATCGTTTTGGCTCAGGCTTTTAGTGTGTCAAAACTTGCATCAGAAAGATGGCGATGATAGGACAATCTTGTTGGTTCCCCTACATTCTGGACTATACGAAGCATCGTCTTTCTTGTGATATTAATGTTCTCCTTCATTTTGACGGTGCAAAACACGAATGTTTACAATTGATTCTGAAAATCTTATTTCTGCATTGCTCTACAGTTCATGGAGAGCGGAATTGTGGTATCACCAACAGTCCTTGCCAGGCGCTGCCTGTGTTTTTTGATGAACAACAGGCCACAAGAGGCCCTTGCTGATGCCATGCAGGCGCAAGTAACTTCCCCTGATTGGCCAACCGCGTTTTATCTTCAAGCAGCAGCCCTATTTAGCTTAGGAATGGATAGTGATGCGATCGAGATCCTTAAAGACGGATCATCTTTGGAAAGCCAATGTCAGCACAAGTGACTTCCTCAATTGGTGTACTATATATCTTTGTCTCCATCCAACAGCAGATATGAGCAGCAAAATGAGCAGTCAGCTGGAGATACTCTTCAAAATGGCCCCTTTCAATGGAAAGCCAGATCGATGACAACATGAATTTGAAAATGTAAAGAATTTTTTAGTTGCTTTGAGAAATTCCAAAAAAAAAAAAAAAAAGATGATGGTATGAGTAGAAGATGATTATGGCGTGTATCCTGTGTTAAAAATGAGATTAATTAGATAAAACCATTCGATCATTGTGCGTCATAGACAACATTTCTATGACATTTCTCAAATCTCAAGCCAACAAAAGATAATGGCATTGGTCTGAAAGTTTTATTCTAACCAGGTCAATCAATAAAAGCACCAAAAGGTCGCCCAATAATTTCTTAAATTTGGACTTTATTTACATGAAAACAATTTTGGGCTCAAAATTGCATGGAAATTGGGCTTCAGGAATATACAACTCCAACTGGACATCCTACAAGCAGTCAACCTCCTCAATGAAAGTGGCCCAACTAATAATTCAAGTAATGTCCTTTAGTAGAATTATAGGAATTTTGAAGCGTCCTTGGACGGTTAAGGTCTCACACATAGAGAGACCCGGCAATGAACCAGCCGGTTCATTAGCCAAACTAGGCCTTTTGTACGACCCGGGGTTGCATGTTCTATCAACACCCCCCACTAAAACCTTAGACAAAATAAGGCTAAATTATTCTAGTTCAATTCTCCCGTTGAGTTGCTTTTGTATTCAAGTTTTCGGCTTCCTCAATATATATATATGTAAAAAAAAAAAAGGAGGAGGAGGACCAATAACAAGAGTTGGTAGCGGGTCAGCATCTAAGCATTTGTGCTACGTTGATTAACGACTTTTTTCATTTCATTTTTTTTTAATTTATATTTGTGTTTGATTAAGTATGAGAAAGATTAAGAAAATGGTGACAGAAAAATCTAATTAAAATACTGCTACACCCTTGAAAATAAAACAACACACTAATAAACTCTTTAATTTATTTGCCCAATGTATATATGTTATAACAACTTTTCCGAAAAAAAAAGAGATTCTTATGGTATTTCCCTGTCTTAAAATAATTGTCTAATTTAAATTTGTACTTTTAGTGAACGATAATCATTTTGAGATATAAAAATATTTAGTTTTTTTTATAGGAGTTTAGATATTTTTGGGGAGAAAAAACCCTCAATATTATATGCCTTAGTCATACAGGAGAAAAGTTTTAATTTTTTCAATTTTTTTTTTTAAAATTTTTTTCCCCATTTTTGCAAGTGTTTACTGGCAAGGAGCTGGCAAAACAACTGATAAATTTTTTTTTAAAAAAATGGAAGTTGCTCCAAACAAACGATGAATTTTAGTTTCCTTCATACCAAACAAACAATGAATTTTGAGTCTAGGTTCTCTAATATTCAGTCTAACCTGCTATTGACTAAATCATTTTTCAATCCTTTCATACGATACAAAGGCTGAATTTTTTTTATTTTTTTTTTTTGCCCTTTTCCTTTAGGTAACCAAAATAGGAAGATGATAGGGAAGAAGATCATCAACACCTTTTTTTTTTTTTTTTGCACAAAGAAAAGATCAGCTTAAGTAACCAACTTAAGAATTGGAAAAAATCAACTAAGTCTAATCACCTAGGCTTATAACAAATATATGCATGAACTCCGAGGATATTTTGCAAATTACGAAGAGTTGTTTTCTTAATATTTTGCAACTTGTTGATTCTTAGTTGTTGTTGTTGTATCCAAAAGTCAAGTCATTTCTCTTTTTTATTCCTTCCCCTTGATAAAAGAAAAGTTGTTTCTTAATCTTTAAATTATTAAACAATAATACTAGTTGTTTCTTAATCTTTAAATTGTTAAACAATAATACTAGTAATTAACAGTGTGTATAACCCTCGGGCACACCGAGTTTGACTAATTGACTCTTACTATTCAACTATTCTTGTTCATCCACTCATGATAATAAAAATATACTACTCCCTCCATTTCTTTTTAATAGTATCACTTTTCCTTTTGGAATATTTCAAAACTTTAGTCCCACTTCAGACGATTAATTAACTTTTTATGTAAACTCTCTAATATACCCTTCCTACTTTCACTGAAATCAAGAATATTTAATTAATTTCAACTATTACTCTCTTATATCAACTAATAACTCATTAGTCATTAGTAAGGGTGTAGTAGGAATTTCATTTAAAATTAATTATATAAATTACATTACCCACTTTTTCTTAATCTTAACATATGCCTAAATGGGTCTATTGAAAAGAAATGGAATGAGTAGTTGTTTCTTAATCTTTAAATTGTTAAACAATAATACTAGTAATTAACAGTGTGTATAACGCTCGGGCACACCGAGTTTGACCAATTGACTCTTACTATTCAACTATTCTTGTTCTTCCACTCATGATAATAAAAATATACTACTCCCTCATTCTAATTTAATAGGCTCACTTCCCTTTTTGGGATATTTTAAAACTTAGTCCCACTTCATATAATTAATTAAGTTTTACTATAAACTCCCTCATATACTCTTTCTACTTTCACTAAAATCATGAACATTTATTAATTTTAACAATTACTCTCTCATATCAATCAATAACTCACTAGTCATTAATAGGGGTGTAATAGAAATTTCATTTAAAATTAACCACATAAACTACATTATCCACTTTTTCTTAATTACCGTGTATGTCTAAATGAGTCTATTAAATTGGAACGGAGGAAGTACTAAAATTTTCCTAATATGAATGTCTAAGGAAGGAACTTGACTTTCTTTTTGGTTCAATTTATCTGAAATTACTAGTGATAAAGTAATCTTAGACAGCTCTAAAAAAAAATTAATATCCGACATAAATACGAATTAGTCCAGCGAGTTCCGCATCTCACACGCTCTCATTAATATAATACGTATTCTATTCATTTCGAAATAATCACTCAATTTAAATTTTCATTTTTATATTAAATAAAATTAGAAAAAAAATAATTTTAAAATAAAAGAAATATGTGTATTAGTAGGCACAAGGATAGAAAAAAAAAAGGGAAAAAAAAAAGCTCCATTACGGCAAAAGTCTTTAGTGGTGCTATGATGAAGTTGTATTGTGAACTTCCGTTTCTTGCATGAAACCCCACATTTGGATAAAAAAATTTAAGGCTTTGTTTGGCCAATCACTTATTTTCCATTTTCAATCATTTTAACTTTTAAACACAAAACCCAATGGAAAAAAAAAAAAATCATCCTAACAATTTTTTGATTTACATTTTAAATTCCAACTTGAAACCTTTTTTGTTAATGTAATGACTATTTTAGAACTAAAAATATTTCAGTGACCAAATCTAACAATTCACAAGGTCTTGTTTGGCCAACTCCATATTTTGCATTTTCTCTCATTTTCGTCCACCAGCACCGGACCACCTCCACCACCGGCGCCGTCGTCGGACCTCCACCCACCGCCACCGAACTGCCGCCGGTCGGCGGCGGCGCCAGTGATGGAGGTGGTCCGGTGGTGGTCTATTTTATTTAAAATATTACCCAAACAAAATGTTGTCCAAACAAGCTCTTGTAGTTCAGCGACCATTTTGACTATTTGTAGTTCAATATATTTTTTTCAAAACCAACATCCAAACAACTTTTTGCTCAAAATACCATCTAAACAACATTTTCATTTCCCATTTAGTTTTCAACTTGAAACACTTTCCATTTTTAAGTGAGAAAATGAAATGTAAGCTGACGTCCAAACAAGCAAACATTTCCAGAGCAACACAGGAAGCTTTTACAACCAGAAACTTTTCGAATCATTCTATCGAAGGGAGGTTTTAAAAAAATGTAAATAAATGAAAATAAAAAAATCAAAAAAAATAAGCTTAGAAATGAAGCTAGATGCGAACATACTCTGAAATTACTTAGAGTTGGTCTTATTCTCCTTTAAACACACGTTCCGACACAAAAATCACCTCCATTTTGCTCTCTCTTACAGTTCTACTCCATCATCATAATTAGTTTTAGTATTTCAGTTCCAAAGAAAGAGAGAGAGAGAGAGGACTGTGTTTTTTTGGTGGTTGCAGTGAAAATATATATCCTTTTCTTCTTTCTGTCATGGAAGCTCCTCCCTCTAAAAAGTCTAAATTAGGTTTTCGCTGGTGGCCATTCAGCCTCAGGTCTCGCGTCCCATCTACTTATTCATATGATCTTGGTATGATAATCTTCAATATATACTACTACTCCTTGTTTTCTTTTTTCCCTTCTTTTTTTCGCCCCTTTTATAATGTATACATTTTTCTTTTGCATTTTTGCTTTTTCTGAACTCCAAAGGTGGTAACTTTTTTTTCTTTTTTTTTTATTTTTTATTTTGGTGCATGACCAATGGAGTTTTCTGTATTCTGTCACTTCCTTCGTCATTAAATGAGTGCCCAGTTTGGATTTTCATTTTTAATATTCAAACTGGACAATTATTTTGGAACGGAGCCAGGGAGCTAGTGTCTGATAAGGGGTTGTTTTTTGTTTTGTGGGATTGTAGAGAAACGTGAGGAAATTGAGAATATGAGAGTGCCAGGATTCAGAAAATTCAGTTTGGATGAGCTCAGGACAGCAACCTCAGGATTTGCAGTAGACAACATAGTATCTGAACAAGGTGAAAAAGGCCCTAATGTTGTTTATAAAGGCCAGCTTGAAGATGAAGGTAGTAGTTTGGTTGCTGTTAAGCGTTTCCACAAGTCTGCTTGGCCTGATCCTCGCCAATTTCTGGTCATTACTTCTTCTTTTGTTTACTTTCCTTTTTTGTTTTCCTTTTCCAGACATCTAGTAATAGAAGATGTTTCAGCAAATGATGTCCTATATATATCATATATGTGTGCATTCTTGTTTAGGAGGAGGCTACAGCAGTAGGGCAGTTGAGGAGCGAGAGGTTGGCAAATTTGATCGGATGTTGTTGCGATGGAGATGAGAGGTTATTGGTGGCTGAGTTCATGCCTCATGAAACTTTGTCCAATCGTTTATTTTATTGTGAGTTCATTTTCTTTGAAGAAGCATAATAACCAACTAATATCTGAATTTTTCCTGTCATCTATTTTAAATTGAGTTGGTGTTACTTTGTTAGTAAATTAATGTTCTTTACATGGATATATTTATGTTTATATATCCGTTTTATGCAAGCTGAATGCAGAAAGCATCGTCTGATGCTTCTCCTAATTTAAGTTGTTTTTAGGTCAAAAAATACTGAAGAAATGATGGCACGTTACCTTTGAATAGTCTCCTACACTTCAGAAACTGCTAGTGTTACTACATGATTCAACTTAGTTTTGTCATCTGAATCATTTCAGGGGAAACCCAACCACTGAAATGGTCTATGAGGCTGAGAGTCGCTTTATATGTAGCACAAGCATTAGACTATTGCAGTAGCAGAGGGCTAGCACTGTACCATGATCTCAATGCCTATCGAATCTTATTTGATCAGGTAGCCTCTTTTCGTACATTTAGATTAGTTGTCAAAGTTATGCCTTCTCAACATGTAATTCAGCACTTCAAATTCACAACTCATGTAATGTATAGGATGGCGATCCCAGGCTTTCTTGTTTTGGCCTAATGAAGAACAGCAGTGATGGAAAAAGCTACAACACAAACCTGGCTTTTACTCCTCCAGAATACTTAAGGACAGGTAATATTCTCTGAAACTCACATTTAACCATAGTGAAGTTGTGCTTTTTTGTTTTCGCATCACATGCTCACACCAAATTGTGAGCAAGGTACATGTCAAGGTCTTAATGTTTAATTAAATTGGTCAAAATCATATTATAATCTTTTGGAGATATTGTGTTGCAATAAATCATATTGAAGAAGGAAGCATCACACAAGAAGTTTTCCTTATCTGAATGAAAGAGATTTGAATATTGATGTTCTACAATAGTACCACGTACCTTTCATATGGCCATGGTTATTTGGTGATTTCCATGGTCAGCATTATCCTTTCAACCAAAAAAGACTACAATGTTGCCTGCACAAGATTGCTAAACATTTTAACAAGCTTCAGCAAAGGGGACAGTTTGGCTTTTCCAAATTATTCAATGATTAACTTGTCCGTTGTTGCTTTGTCAGGTAGGATCACAGCTGAGAGTGTTGCATTCAGTTTTGGCACACTATTGATTGATCTCCTCGCTGGCAAGCATATTCCTCCTAGCCATGTAAATCTGCGGTTACTTCTCATGGTGTTTCTTTTCTGCTTTTGATATTAATGTTCCGATTAGAATGCTTGAAATATTTATCTTTATTCTAGAACTAAATTTACAGTTACTTCCTTTAAGGTTCTTCACTTGCTACATGGGAAGAACATTCAGGTCCTTGTAGACTCCTTTTTGGAGGATGATTTCTCAAATGATGATGCAGCAGAATTAGTTCGAATAGCTGCACGCTGTTTACAATATGAGCCTCGTGACCGGCCAAATGCCAAGGCTCTTGTTATTTCTCTCAATCCTCTTCAAAAGGAGAGAGAGGTGAGGTCTTGTTACTCTGGCTGTCCAGATTTTGATTGTGTTTTCAGTATCTGATTCATCTGAAATTTTACAGGTTCCGTCGCATGTTTTGCTAGCTATTCATCATAAAACTGCATCTCCAGCAAATCTATCACCTCTCGCTCAGGCTTGCTCAATATTAGATCTAACTTCTATTCATCAAATATTGGTGGGAGTTCATTACAGAGATGATGAGTGCACAAATGAAGTTAGTCTACCTCATTCTAGCACAAGCAGGATTTGAAAATTCTCAAACCAAAGAAATTTATAATTTTGTTTCTTTTAGAGGGTTCTCAGTTTTTGTGTATTTGGTATCTTCAGCTTTCATTTCAAGTGTGGACAACCCAGGCACAGGAGGCACTCAAATGCAGAAAGCGGGGTGACACTGCCTTTCTAGAAAAAGACTTCACAAATGCTATTGTTGGTTATACTGAGGTGAGTATAATTTTGGATAGTATTCAGAAATCGTGTACTAGTGGCAATTTTATGACATGTCATAATTTGGTCAATCATTCAGAACAGTACTTTGAGTGTTAAAAGCAGATGTTCCTAGGATTATAGCAGTATTAAGGCAAGATCATTTAAAGTTCTACGGCTATCGCGAAGATGCCCTATATTTGGATCAATTTGATTTGTTTCCGACATATGGAATATAAGAAGCATCGTCTTTTCTGTGATTTTAATGTTCTCACCAATTGTGCTCTTGCGAGACACAAATTTGTGAATCAAATTCGGAGCTTTTGCTATCCATTCAGTTAACAGATTCTGAAAATCATGTTTCTGCCTCTGCTCTACAGTGTTTGGAGTTTGAAACCTTGGTATCACCGACAGTCCTTGCTCGGCGCGCTCTGTGTTTTTTGATGAACAACAGGCCACAAGAGGCCCTTGCAGATGCCATGCAAGCTCAAATGATTTCCTCTGGTTGGCCAACCGCGTTTTATCTTCAAGCAGCAACCCTGTTTAGCTTAGGAATGGACAGTGACGCAATTGAGATGCTTAAAGATGGATCATCATTGGAAACCCGAGATAAGCTCCAGTGACTTCCCTCAACGGAAGTCTTGGAATGAACAGCAAGATGGAAAGATACTTCAAAATGGCTCCCTTCAATGGAAGCCAGAAGACCACAAATTTAGAATGTTCAAAAATACTTGGACCTCTAGTATTTGATGTTGGGGCGATTTACCTAAAAAAATTCTTTAAAATAAAGGTGGACAATTTAATTTTTTAAAAATATATGTGGACATATATATATATATATATATATATATTTCTGGATTTCACAAATCCGAAGGTTCATTAAAATTAAACCGTCGGATTTCAGAAATCTGAATATCCAAATAATATTAAAATAATAAATATTTACATTTTGTGAAAATACAATCAAAAAAGTCAGAAAATGAACAGTACACTTCAGAATTGTAAATTCCGAATTCAATAAAATAAAAAAATACAGAAGGAAAATTGAGGCCCGAAATTTTTGAATTTCAACTCCGGAATTTAGTAATCCGGACTAAGGAATTCGGATTTTCAAAATCCCGACTATATTAAATTTTAGTTGGTGGAAGTAGGCATTTGTCATAAATTGGAGGACCAAAAAAAAGGAATTAAAAATCCGTAATTGACTAAACTCGGATTTATGGAATCCGAGCTTAGTAGGAGTCGGATTTGTGAAATTCGAACTACTTACGTATTCGGATATCGGTAATCCGAGTTTAGCGTGATATAAATGAAAAAAAAGAAGACAGTTCTCATTTGAGAATTGAATTGGACTTTCTGTTTCTGCGGCTCTTGGTTGGCGAATTGGAGTTTTTGATGCAACCTTATCGCTAGATACGTGTGGATCGTTATTTGAAAGAGGTTAGATTGCAAAACCATGTTAGTTAGTTTATTTTTGTGTTATTTTGATTGTTAGAACGATAAATGATAGATTAGGGTTTTTGTTTGTTGATTGTTTGGATGTTTTAGGTGTTGATTTTGAGGTTAGAGATGAGAAATCATAGTTGTTCATGAGATATAGAAGTTGATTTATAAGTATTTTAAGATTTTATAGGTTTTTTGAATTATGAATGGAGTATGTATGGTGTATTTGTTGATTTTGTTATTAAGAAATGATTAGATATTGATGTTTTTTTAAACAGTTATCAATGGCATGTAATGTATCATACATGCTTAATTTCTTTCGTACAAGCAAGTATGTGATAGAGAATGGTAGCATCAACACTTTTTCAAATATGTCGGATCATGGCTTGTTTGTTGAGAAAAAGTTGTCTTATATGGAATTGATTAGTAAGATTTGTATGACACTTGGTTGGGATCAAGCACACGTGAAACTCCACGTTTCTGCGATTGTCGATAGTCCCAGTGGTAGGCGTATAATGAAGATTAAAAATGATTTGCATGTAGAGTTCATGAACCGTGTAGCTCCAATGTCATGTTTGGATTTATAAATAGATTTGGAAGATATCACTCCCGAAGAAAGAGAAGCGAGTTTGGAAAACAACGTGGGGGGAACGTGCTAGTACTTCTCGAAATCGTGATGAAGAGGAGACATCTTTATTTGCACAAGATAACTACATGGAAGAGTCGGACCCCGACTATATAGCTCCAAGCGAAAGCGAAGAATACTGTGAGGTCTCTGCAGATAGTGATTTGATGAAAGTGATGATGAATTATTGGAAAATGAGGAAAGGAATCTTAATTCATTGCCCCGACACCAGGTATATAGTAAGGTGGAGAAATGGGATGCCTCGTGTGTGGACAAGGATGAATTTTCTCTTAAGATGTGGGATGAGACCCCGAAGGAATGGACATTGGTGTTTGTTTCAAATCTCAATTAGAAGCAAAACATGCTGTGAAATTATGGAACATCCATCATAAAAGAGAATATATGGTTGCCGCGAGTAGTCCAACGACGTGGTCTGTGCGGTGCAGAACATTAAATGTACCAAGTGAGGATGGTGATCCACCATGTGTGTGAAAGATGCGTGTGTCTTTGAAAGATCACGGCCTTCATGAAATTGTGAGATGGCATGATGCACATAATTGCATGACTCCCGTGAATGATAATGACAATTGGTGTTTGGACGCATCTTTGATTGCTAGACTCATCAGGAGAAAGGTTGAGGACAACGTAGATTATACAGTGGCCTCGGCACAGAAAGATGTGAAGACCTTATTGAAAGTAGATGTGCCATACAAAAGGGCGTTGCACGGGAGGAAGAAAGCCATAGAAACGGTCTATGATGATTGGAACTCGAATTTCAAAGAACTTCCTAGGTAAATATCAACTTTTATAATTGTGGTGTGTATTATTTTATTTTATTAGAACTCGAATTTCGAAGAACTTCCTATGTATTGAAAAGTTTTAACTATGTCTCGTTTGTTGTGTACGTATATCGCTGCGCTTAAGTTTATTAATCCTGAGACTGTAATACAATGGGAATGGAAGGAGGGAGAAGAAGATAAATGGCCAGTTTGTCAAGATTGGTGTTTTTGAGGATGAGATGAAACGTGCACTGCATGAGGATTCCCTAATCGAGCGACTCGAGCAAAGGGCCGGACAATAATCCTGCAATTTATGAACAATTTCATGTTTCCTACCAAGACTCAAAACACTGTCAATCTGCAGTTGTTGGCCCAAGTCGAGGATTTGGAGCAGTGTAGTCGATACAGTTGGGGATCGGCCCTGCTGGCTTGTTTGTACATTGGCCTGTGGTGAGGCAACCCAGCGACATCACTGGCTGTGTATATATGCTACAGGTACATATTAGTTTTCATTAGGTGTTATATTTGTTTTTATTTTTGACATTATAATTTGAAATGTTAACATTATTATTGAAATTTATAGGTACGTGCGTATGAGCGGATCGAGAGAATCGCGCCACATAGAGTAGCACTAGATTATATACTGGATGAGACCGCTCCATTAGCTCAACGGTGCGTATTTTCATTTCAAAATAACTCAATGTTTATTTCTATTTATTTCTTATTCAATTTTTTAACTAATTAAAATGTAACCCCTTCGTGTTTGTTCATTAAGATGGGAATGTTCGTACACCTACGGAGACATCTCAAGGAGCAGCTTAACACCTTTTAGAGATCAATTAACAAGCCTGTGTATTGGAGATGTAAATTTTGAATTTTTTTTCTTCCGTTTAGACCATTTAAACAAATTCATTTCGTACAGTTTCTGTGGCAACCATATGCAAGCGTCTTTCCTAAACTCCCTGATTTTTGTAAGCAAGGCCAAGCCATTTGGACGACTAGATGTTGGATGTTCTGTTGGGCTGTTAGAGAAGCCCACGAGTCGCTCAGGGTTGTGAGACAATTTGGATACATACAGGATGTTCCTCGTGACCCTATAATTAAAGATCGCGCAACATTTCTTCTTGATCACGCCCATAATATGTCTAGCCTACTTAGCAACAATTGGGTGGATCACCATTCCGCAGTACGTCCCCACTGGAGAAAGAGAGAAAAGTATGTTTCAAAAGATTTGGAGGTTGGATTCCCTGGCCAAACATATGAGGGGTACCATGAATGGTTCATGATGAATACAATCAAACTTATATCCAATCCCAAAAATTATGAAGTTAAAGGATATTAGACTTTTTCGAGCCGAATGAAATTATATGTGAGTATTTTTTATTTTTTATTTCTTATATTTTCCTTTTATTTTTTAATCTTTTTATGATTTTTGTATTTTACTCTTTTAATTAACATTCCAATCTCTTTTCAGGGTGAAGTATTGAACAATATTCGCGTGAGTTCCGAACAGTTTAGGGATGATAGAGATAAGAAGAATCTCCTAGACAATGAATTCGAAGAGTATTTGAATGAAATCATCGATCAAACATATGCTGCTTTAACCCTGCGCCCAAATGATGAGATTGACATGGACGTTACCCAAATCATAATTGATGACGAATCATCTCTGCCCTCACAACCTGCGCCGGGTAAAAAAGAGAAACCGTGGCCGAGAGAGAAAATTGGAGGAGGAAGAAAGCGAAAAATAGTGATCTCTCTCGGTCATTGCAAGAACAAAATGAAGGTGACGGTTTAGGTAATCAACAATGAGAGCGCGAGGCTAGCAAATATATTTAAAGAAAAAACTCTTTGATGTTGGCAAAGCAGGTTGATTGGTTGGTTTGAAGAGATTCTTGGTTTGCTAGCCAGATTTGGACTAGGTTATTCTTGTCAACCTGAAATCGACTTCTATTTTGCTTGTCAAGCGCTAATTTCTTGTGGCGTTTTGGTATCATGTCAGAAGAAATAATACTAAACAGTTAATTTAAAGCAGCAAAAGATATCAGCAATGGACCATGACTGCAATTTCATAGTCCAGTAACCAGTCAGAAGCGATAAAAGAAAGTCAAAATGATCCATACTCAGAACTCAGAAGCATTTACACAATTTACATTCCACTAACAAATCCTATAATTTTCCTGTAGTTAATAAAGCAACCCACTATTGCAAACACAATTTAACTCTCCTTGATATTCTTTTTCTGCCTGGAACATATATTATCCATTCATGGTAGTATTTTGAAGTGAAAAAGCCATGAGATTATGAAGGCAAATACCATGCAGGCAAGCAAGAAATTCATCACGCGGCGGCCATGGCAGTAACTTCTGTTCTCTGGGAAGATAAAAGGTGTTGCTGATGCTGCAGGAGCTAAACCATTGCTGACATGTATCTCAATTGTCTGTTCTCCGGCGATATTAACTGCAGAGGCACCACAAATTTCACACGTTCTGCAACAAAGGTTCAAATCAAAACTTCATCAAAAAGCAGAACAGCAGAAAGTGGAACAGATACATAGCCAGATCTTATCTGAGTTCATTCATTCCAAGTATTCATAAGTTAAAGGTTCTCTTTATGTTTGATATACGACGTTCAAGATAACATTACTAACAATCATCCCCTTGACCCACTTCATATGAACCTCAGAAAAGAAAAACTGTATCATGCACGGGCATTATAGAACATTAGTAATGCTTTTAGAATCCTTGTCTGTCATCAAGGACAATATACAGATACACGACAATAAGTAAATATATTGTTGCATCAAAGAATGAAACTGCTGTCTATAACCTCATAAGCTTTTGGGTGTCCTTGCACCGCGATAAACTACACGCTGTACTGAGAAGATCAATGACAACAATTAAACAATCCACCCCATTCAAGTTAATGTGCTCGAGGACGGAAGTTGGAAAGGAGAAGGAGATACAATGAGAAGAAGAGCAAATAACAGAAACAAAACTGTTCCCCATCTCCTATTCTTCATATCACTAGCCCTGATGTTATCAAATTGAGACTGCCAAGAACAACGATACTATAGAAATATATTATTTCACTTCAAGGGTCCATACTCACACTTCAAAAATGAGAAAAGCAAGCAACTTCCGTCAGAATAATATAATGGACTTTTCTCATTGAACAAAAAGGAATAATTGAAAGTGTTGAGATACTGCTAAAAAGAATTTGTATGCCCTCTTTGCCCAAAAGACTTGAAATTTGGGATGGAGAACTATCCATTTCTTCACCCACATGTTCATCGAGATAATTTCAAGTATGTAGATGACCAAGTACAAGTAGACTAGACAAACCTCATAAAGGCATTTACTCTTTCACAATGAAGATGTAAATCCTGTTAAGAGATAGTTTCGTATAAAGATTAATCCAGGAAAAAAAAAAACTTATGATCTGCTGGCTGTTACCATTCTACGTTATTAGGATTATAACATCAACAATTTCCCCAAAAAAATGATAAAAGGGCTGGGCATAAGCAACCAGAAGAGAAAGTTAGCGATTGGCAGCGGTCCCATAGTCATTAATGAGCCCCACCTAACATCTAGTGCACAGCCTATAACCTAACATAAGAGCAAACTTCTAACCGCTTACATGCAAAAAAAATGGTTGTTACAGAGTTGATAGTCCATGAGTGGTTGTTAGTTTAGTAAATACAGATTCAAGTGAAACTGAGATGACAGGTAATTGCAAAAGTGTATGCACAACCACAGACATCAATGAAAATGAAGGGGCACCAATGATGCTAGTCATACTTGAAATTAACAGCAACCACTCTAGATTTCACGAATGGGACACTTCCATAAAGTTCACTAGACAGTGATGATATGCAATTATTTATCAAAGTACACAGCAATATACCAATAACACTACAAAGCGGGTGGCTAATAAGACACGTCACACACTTCAGATCAGATAATTAGTATGATGGATCTGCTACTGAAGCCAAAAAGAGGATGGTCAACCAATTTTACTAGTCTCTAATATCGTAAGAATTTTCTGATATTTGATCCCATGTATCACATGCAAAGGGAGATGGAGAGATAATTTTTTAAAAGAGGAGACTCAAAGGAACATCCTGCAATACTGCTGTAACTATTCAAGAAAACTATGCAAAAATTAGCAATTTATACATGAAGCATGAAAAGAATCAAATTCTTGCATGGAAAGACAGAATACAACAGGACACAAGCAGAAAACATTACAGAAAGGTCATTTCATTCTTGGCTCTTTGTGAGAAACAGTTGTGGTTTACTGATTACGTTTTAAGCTCATAAACCAAGAAATTAAATTGTAACATCTTGATTCTCATTTCATTACCAAGGAACTATTGCTGCTATGGAAATTTCAATCCAAGTAATAGCAACAGTAAGATGAAAACAGATTCGATTCTAAGATGAGAACAGTAACAACTCCCCAATAAACTTGTCTACAACAAAATTTGGTAGCCCATTAAATCAAACTTAATAGCGATCACACATCATCCCAAAGAACAACAAATAAAGAGAAGCCACACTGGCCCAGGCACATTCTAGAGTTAGATACTTTAATCTGCTAGCCGCCACCACCACCATCCCATATCAAATCTCACAAGAGAAAGTCTTTTAAGTGAATGTACTGTTCATAGATTCCAATAAAAACAACTGGGTATTGGGGACCTTTGACATTTGACACTATCAATCTCTCTTCAACATCAAAACATCCAGATCAATAGCACAAGAAGCAGAAGAAAGGGCTTTCAGTGGCAAAGATTCAGGGAATCTTTCTTTTTCCTCAACCTTAATCATGGAAAGAAGCTTTCCCTGCAACTGATCTGGCTGGATTTCTATTTTCTTAACAGGGTTTCAGAAAACAGACGGAAAAATATTACACAGGGAAAATTCTGGGAAGTACAAGCACCAGAATTTAGCATGAAACAGACAAATGGGTGCCGAAGTTTCAAACTTTCAAGAACGTTAAAAACCCAAATTTACAAGGATGGGAAACCAAAAAAACGGAGTATACAAAATTCAAACAAAGACCAACTAATACACTCCACAACAAAACCAATTTTTTTTAACGATTTCTGAGAAAATGGAGCAGACAAGTAAGGATCAAAACAAACGTCAGAATAAAGATGGGTAAGGAAGGAGTTTAGTACTCACGTGTTGCCCTTAATCTTGAACCAAGTCTCAGCACATTGCTCATGGGCTGAACCCAAATCCCCTTTACAGCTACAACCTAACTCAATAAAGCTCTGATCGCCGCCACCGCGACCGGCACCATTTCCGGCGGCGCTGGATTTCAAATGGCAAATTCTACATTCCCTCCTATTCCCTCTACTATGAACTTTAAGCTCCAATTCACCACTCTCCAAATCCACCATCCCCTCCTCCTCTTCCGCTTCTTCCTCATCCGAAAATGTCGACGACCCTCCTCGCCGGCTGCTGTGCCTTTTCGTGCCGGAAACCACCGATATCCCATCAGACTCCGTCGAGAACCTGCATTCCTCGTACGACCCGCCGGCCGTGGACCCCAGCCGCTGCGAATGCATCGACCGTTCCTCGTCCTCGGTGTCCGAAAACTTGAAACTCCCGTCGGTAGTCGTCTCACTGCTAGCTGCCGCGGAGGGCCTCTGCCTCCGTCGACGGCGGCGGCGACGGTGGCGACGAACACTACCACTCCCAACATCAGCACCGGGATTCTCACCGGATTCTAAGTCGGCCGGAGGAACATTTAAGGCAGCCATTTTCAGTAGCAACCCAGAAACTCAAAAACAGAGTATTAGGGATAGAATCAGTTCAGTTCATTGAATGTGGGTTGCTCTGTTGGTGGCGGTGGTGGTTGGGTTTTTTTTTTCTACTTTCCTCCATGGAAGAAATAAATATCTGAAAAATTATTCTCAGTTATGAAACTCCATTAAATTTTGGATTCACATATAAAGGGGGTGCGTGCTGTTGTGCGTGAAGGAAGAGATGACGAGGTTAGAGTAGAGGAATGAAAGTGCAAAAAACGCATGAAAAAAGGGATCGGGGTTTGGAGCAGAGAGAAGAGTAGAGAGAAAGGAGTGGGGGAGAGAGGGGAGCGTGGTGGAGGAAGGCGGGCCTGCCCTGCTTCCCGGGCTCTTTGCCTGTGTGGATTGTGATGGATACTCATAGACGTGTCGTGTCAGTTTTAAGAAGAAATGAAAAAAATAACAAAAAGAAAAGGAAGGAAAAAAAAAAAAGAAAAAGAAGAGAGAAATAAATAAAGCCTTAACAACACATTACACACAAATTTAATAGAAGATTTTTTTTTTTTTTAAATGGACATGGTGAGAACCGAACCATTATCGATCTCTGAGTTATAACCATTATCCGTCTTAATATCTTAATAATCCTAACCAATCCTCGTAAGGAGCTTATAACTTTTATTTTTTTTATTTTCCCTCTTATCTACGGATTGTAACAAGAACTAATTTTTCCTTAATTGTAGTGAAAGAATTTCGATAATAGTAATAATTGGACAAAAGTTGTTTGTATTATTTACCCTATGTATCCATGAGGACCATGATCTGTAAAACTTTAACCGAGCAGATATTTGTCTACATGTACATACTCGAACTCAACCTAGTTTGAAATTTGTTTAAGGGAAAAAAAGAAAAGAAAATCTCATTCTATTACCAGAATGTGTAGTATATGGACATTACATAGTTCATCATTGTGGGAGTATCTACTTTGGGTATGGATCTTTACATTTGTCACTCAATTGACTCAGTCAAAGTGACTTTTTGTGTGCCATTCTGATACTTATCATGCTAAAATAGTGCCTATTTTCTTTTCCTAATACCGTAAAATTTTGTAGTATTGCTTTTTAAGTAGTACTCCCGCCATTCCAAAGTAAGTGTCATTCTAGAGTTTTCACACAGTTTAAGAAAACATTAAACATGATAGTTAAATTATTAGAATATCCTCAACCAACCCCATTGAAAGAAATGCTCACCAATAATATTATTTCTTTTAAGGATATGTTTGGAAATTTTTGAGAAAAAATACATTGGAATCTGAAAACGACACTTATTTTGAAACTTCTCCATTTTACCAAAACAACACTTATTTTGGAATGGAGGGAGTACTAGTAATCGTATACAAGAAAAATTATTTCTCGGGATTAATTACTCCCTCTATTCTAAAATAAGTGTCATCGGACAATTTATACATTGTTTAAAAAACTCTTCAATAAGATAATAAAATTACTTGAATATACTCAACCAATCATATTAAAAAAATGTCCATCAATAGTGCTAAATTTTTTGAGAGCAATATTGAAAATTTAGAACAAAAATTACATTAAAATATAAGAACGACATTTATTTTAAAATTTTTCCATTTTATTAAAATGACACGTAGGTTACAACAACAGTAAACATATATTCAACTAATGAGCTGAACGAGCGCCGAGATATCCACAGTAGAAGGGGTGGGGCCCACAGTGCCATGTGGGGACAACACACTCTTGTGGACTGACATTCTTTTCTGGAACCAAAAGAAAACCGAGATTGCTTTCTCCATAACACCCCTCATTTTCCCTTTTCCTTTTTTTTTTTTTTTTCTTTTTTGTGAATAAAACACGCACGATTATGATTTTGGAGGACACAAAGCCAAATCTGCCGTAGAATGAAGTTTTAATTTCGGAATGCCCCCATTCAGCTTTGCTTGAAACCAACCCACCCCCCGCACACACAAAAAATTTGCTCTCAAAATCTTTATTCACGCAATTGTTAGAAAATCATGTTCCATTTTTAACATATAATACCCTCATTTTTTTTTGCGTCTAAATCTTTTGATTCATATTTCATGCAATTTATTTGGCCAAACATGTTATTTTGATGGTTTCATTTGATTTTCTTTCACCTCTTTTCTCCTTTTTTTTCATTTGTTCTTCAATCCCGCCAATTATTTTAATTTTTTTAATAAATTTCAATTGCATCGAAAATGAACTCAGTCTGCACCATTTCAAACATAATTCAATTCTATAAATTAGTTTGCACTCTAATTTGTTTTGTGTTCCCTCCATCTCAATTTAAAATAGTTTTAGAGAACGTCGTATACAGTATTTATTATAATATCTTCTCTTTTTTTTTTCATTTAATTTCTTGTTTACTGTGTATCTATTTATAACTTCATACTACAAGGAACTGAAGGAAGACAAGAATGCGAGTGAAACTTATAAAGCAGAGATGATTTACAAGTTCACTAAATAATATACCGGTCATAACTTTAGAGTTTAGTTTACATTACCTAAACTTTGTTTTTTTTTTTTAGAAAATAAAATAAAATTCACCCTTCGAGAGATGAACGTCCACCTTTGTGATAATAACAATAATCTAACTTATTAATCTCTAACTGTTCCACCCAATCTTCCTACCTGCATTACTCTTACCTTAGTTTAACAAAAAAATTTTACTGGTTCTGTTTTTATTTTTTTTTTCCCCTTAGTTTTTATCAACATATGTAACTTTCCAGCAATGTCTTTTATATTTTCAATATACATTTTCTCAATCCAAAAAAGAGCTCGCAAAGAAATTCCCTACTTTTCGATTTTAAGGCCATCCAAGATTCATAGCACAAGAGCAGCTTTCGGTTGAGGGAAGGTGGGGGTCCGAATTTCTTTTCCATGGACAAGCTCAACTTTTGTCCAAATTATGTGTAATTCTTTTTCTCTTTCTCTTTTTCTTTTCTAAATATTTGGAATGTGTGGACGATTTTCTTTTTCTTTTTGTGGTCCAAAAATATTTTGTGGTTTGCAATAAAAACGTCAAAATCAGTAATACCTGATGCAATCTCTCTTAGGTTGTACATTTGTTAAGCTTAGGTTGTACATTAAAGATTCGCTCCACCCTCCCCAAAAAAATGGCCTCTTTAGTACTCCCTCCTTCCTCCGTTCCTTATTATAAGACATTTTGATTTGGTCCTACGTTTAATTTAGGATATCTTTTTAATTGGAAAAAAAATCTTAAAAATATATTTTCGCATTCGTTGTGTTATCATATTTATTATGAAATGTTTTTAAGGTTTTTATTCCAATTAAAAAGACATCTTAGGTAAAACCTAGGACGAAAAACAATATAATAAATAAACAAACAAAATTCAATCTTTTGTTAACGGAGAGAATACTATAAATCCTGAATTTTTTAGCACTTTGGAAGGTTTTCTCAAATTGCGAGGTCACTGACACCTTGGTAAAATATTTTGTTTTAAGATGTGTTTTTTATCTTTTATATGTATTTTCCTGTCCCGAAAAAAAAAAAAACAATTCTTCAAGTTTGTTGAACTAATATGGCAAATGAGATTCTGTTTGGGGTGAAGGTAGCACAAGATATATCGTAAAATATAATACAAAAAGGGTGTACGTATATAATACAGATCGAGTGTTCATATTGAGATACTCCTATCAAAGCCTAAGCCCATACTGCCCAACAGACAACAACAAATGCACATTTCACACATCATGTTGGTGAGACTGAAGTAATTTGTGTTTTCCATGACCGTGTACAACAAAACATAGCCGATATTAGAGAACCCTTTTTTCTTCTTCTGGGAAACCATATATATTCTTGCAGAAGAGTTTTTTTACAAGGTTCCATCCAGCAACTTCACATATCTTCTTGTTGATTAAGGTGATGACAGAGCGCAGTCTACGAACTGCTGTTCCGAACAGGTAAAGACAAGCCTCCATCCTCGGCTTCTTGTGAATTCTGGATCTTCCGAAGAGAACGATATTGTAACCGGATGTTTTCACCAGTATCAATAGTCTTAAGCAAGTACCTTAAAAATAAAAAGAACAGACAATGTTGTTTTAGGAGGAGAAACCAAAAGAACAAAAATGAGATTTCATTCTGATTCATATAAAACTGGCTCCTCAAAGCATGCGGCAAGCTGCTTTCTCAACATTACCCAGCCACAAGTGAATGCACTCACTGAATTGAAAATTTCAAATAAGCATACTCTTCAAATGAAAAACTTGAAAAGTAGTCAGCTTCATGTCAGTAACTTGGAATAAGTTTCAAAATCATTCATACTATGTAGAAAATAAACTTAAGAGGAACAAGGGTTAGATTAGGCGACAACAAAAAGTCACAAAGCTAATTGTGCCGATGTGTATTTTCTCTTAATATTGTTAGCCTTTGATTCATACAAAGACTAGAATTTCTCAATTCCAATTGTTTGTTAGTATCTCAAAAGTATTCTGGTCCTGATCAGTCCACTACATTAATCCACCGCCACATAAATATCAGAAACTTTGAAGCTTCATTTAATTTGGACGCTCCATATGTCCGAAAAAGACACAGTAAGTTTTGTGACTAACCAGCCATTAAGACACTGTGAAGTGATTATTGCTTCTCTGCCGACGAATTTATCAGGTGTTCTCCTGTTGCCCTGCAAAATTAATATTTCATGTCAGAACACTGTAATAGATTGATAAATAATGGAGATTAGATGATTGCAATGAGATCCACACAACACCTTACCCTTATTATTACTTTCTCATCAACTGAGAATGGGTATTTTACACCTTTATGCTGTCCATTTTCAGAAGAAATATCCCCATTTTCCTGAGAAGTTCAAGCCCATAAATCAAACTCTTTTTAACATCAGAAGAGGCAGCTGTTTGAAAATAACAATAGTAGTGAACAGAAGCTTCAGCCAGAAACAGAGAATGTGGAGGGGGAGAGATCATGTCAAGGAAACTTAGTAATAATATATACAAAGAAGTTACCCTAATATAGCCTTCCTTCCTGCGCTTCCGAAGAGCTGAATTGTGGAATCGCCTTCTATCATCCTCCTGCTTTACTGCGGCTGCTGCAGCTCGTAAAGCTAAGACAACACACAAGAAAAGCATTAAAAATAGCAGCAAAAATGGAAAAGTAAACGTGAAAAGCTTCATTTTAAATAATCTAAGACAGAGTAATGAAAGAAAGAAAGTAACTGGGGACTCCAAGAAGACAAAAAGAGATGATCTACCATGATTAGGTACCAGAGATCTAGTGTCAATTTCTGCACTGCAGAGGGTACATCTGGACTGTCACGAAAGATAAAATCAGTCATTAGGTACATCTGCTTTAGGTCATGAAACATAAAGCTGTCATTATTCAACTTCTCAAAAAATTCTCCCCTATATTTCCGTGACTTCTTTTGACCAAAGAAGGAAAAAAAGAAAAAGGGAAAAAAGCCTTCACATTTACCGTGTCTAGAACCCTTCTCAGCATGGTGCCGCCAAATGAGTGTCCACATGACACGAGCATAGCATCTTCCAAAAATGCGCCACTGAAGCACAGCCAACAAAAATGTGAGAATACTGATGGCACATCGATTACATTCAAAACAATTAAGTAAAGACCAAACCTTGGACCTCAAAAAAGAAAAAGTAACATTTATATAGATCTAATTTTCAATAAATTTGTCCGATTTATAATAGATAGTCATTGGATACAGAGGAACTTGGGGCCAACTCTGGATCCTAACCACCCGTGATGCAGAAACTAATATAGATGGGCATAAAGCCACTAGAGAAGGCAACTATAACAGGTGTTGAGAACAACCGTTAGTTGTATCATGCACTGACAGATATTGGTAGTTCAATGTTATGTTTATGAGTTCATGATTTAAAATTTTTCTACTGTACCCTTCAAAGGGACATCACTGTGTTCCTGATCACACTACTATTGTAAAACTCAAAAGAGTGAAACAAATTATCAACCTGATAACTGTGCAATTAGGTTTATGATTGCCAAGAACTATCAGTATCATTAACAGGAAAGAGATTGCAAAATATACCAAATTTCTTTCAAAAGAGGTTTCCTCTCCCTAAGAAGGAATCAGATGACTAATGTCATAAAAATTGACAAAGAAATAGTATTCATTCAGGAACACTCAACCTCAAGAGATAAGTGTTTAGTGCTATCCACTCATCTGAATAAAAATGCAAGTTGGCTAGTAGATGTGCCATCCTGAAGTTCCGGATATATAGTGGGTTATTTCAATTTAAATTAATAAGCATGATCCCTATACAGCACCCCTATCAGAATGTATTGAGCAAAGAGGAAAAATGTTCAACTTACGATACTGGATCAGAGAGGATACTTCTCAATGATGGTTCCCTGGTCAAATTATCTTGGCTCACCTGTTGATCCAAATCTAAAATAAAACTTCTTTTACAATACTGATAGATTTTCCAACAAGAAATACAGCCGGGAAAGTAGCTTCCCGAACGAATATTTGTATACAGACTGCAGCCTATATGGAGCATAATATGTATAACATTAAGTATAAACCAATATACTCAGTATCAAGGCGCTACACAAACCAGGTGCAAGTTGCAGCACAAAGTTATGCATCATGAGTGCTAACACTTAATATTATCTTTTACGGCCAAATATGAAAAACAGGGAAACAGAACTTACATAAGCATTCTCAGTCTGATGATGTAACACATCTTCTTCAACAGAAAGTTCATCCATGAACTGGGTCACAGAGATGGGCACATAACTTTGGGGAATGACATGCCCAGCTGCTGCAATCGGTGAACAATCAAGCACGGCATTGCGCTGAGGCATAAGCCTAAAAGCAAGTGAAATCCTGCAGGCCAATCATTTGACTATTTTTAAGTAATTACAAAATTAATGCTGTTTCCAACACACAATCAGCCTCCAATTGTATCCAAAATTACCTTTCACCTCCGGAGGTGCCTGATGAGTTTTCAAATGCAAATCGATATGAAGCAGCAGGCCGCAAGCCAGCCGTTGCATGGCTGAGAGCCTTGCCTGTAAGCAGTAAGAGTTCCCCTGGGATTAGGCCATTATCTGCCATGTACCAACGGCCATTGGGGTCACAAACCTAGAGATAAGAGTAAAGCACAGATGGAACTGAATACAGGGGAAAGAAATGTTCAATAATAACAGAGTATGAGTTAGCCGGCAGTTTTGTGATTCATGGGAGTGTTACACATCCAATTACCCCTTCAAGTACAGGCTTATTGCATATAAAAGTAGCAATACCTGAAACCCAGGAGAGTCTGAACACATGAGTGTCAACAATCCCTTTTCCATTTCACTGTTCGAGGATAGCTTTCCTCCAAGAATAGATCCTTTTCCATTTTGCATGTGAGTGCCAGATAAGCTCGCAATGAGCGAAGATGAAGAAGCCTCATTAGCAGGCAAGGGACTATCATCCAGCAAATGATTGAAAACACTGCATGCAATAGCGTGGTGCGACTATCATAAGGCCAATGGAAAACAGAAGGTACCAAGTAGAGCCAAACAGAGAAAATAAACATTAAAAACAAAAAATTAATAACAGAATTTATACTCGCTTCTCAAACGAAGATGTCTGGCAATGGCACATAATGCAGCTCGAGCTGCTTTTCCCATACATCTAAAAACATCAGCCATGCAAGGAGGGGATTCCTTATCTTCTGAAGTCCTGTCAGGTGACAAAAAGAGAGCTTGAATAGAAATCAAGTGCATATCTAATAATGAGCAAACCAAACAGTCTAATGGAAGACCGATAAAGCCACCAGAACATAAAAAAGTGGGGATTTTGGATTAGCCATGGACACTCAACATGTGAGGTTATAACCTTGAGTTCTTCATAGTAGTTACTGCATTCAACATTTACAAATATAACTACCTTTAACTTCAACGGTCATAGCAATTGTGCTATATTCCATTTACAGGAATGCCTACTTGCTTTTCAGCTCAAGTGGCGGCAATATAATCTTTCTTTTTCCATTTTCAGCGATCAAAGACCAGACAAACCAATCACATTCACCAACAATTCTTCCTAGGAAACCGCTTTTTCTTTTTCAGGATTTGCCACAAAGTAAGAAGAGATATCAACTAAACGAAAATTTGAAATTGATTACCTTCCTGGACGATACACGTACACCCTACGACTAGACTTGTTCCATCCACCACCGTTGCCATTTCCTCCACCACCAACCGCAGTGGTCCGGAGGTAGAATCGGGCGGATTCAAGCCCGCACCTGAGCAAGGCAGCATCGTCAGAACCAACCTCAATGACGGCGGCGTTGTGCCTCATGAGGGACCCAGAGAGGGCCTCTACAGCCCGGACATAAGGGCCTACCGCAGACCCATCGTAAGGCAATATATCAGAGAGCTTAACCCGGGTCAATACCGCCGAACCAGCAGAGTCCTGGCACTGTACCGGGCCAACCCCGGGTGGGACATAGTTGTCCCGGCCGAGAGATATGGTGGTGTGGTTGAATGAGGGAGAGTGAGATTGAGCTGTCGGAGTCGGAGTTGTGCTGGAATTGGGTGATCTAAGGGGAATAGGGGAGGAGAATGGAGGAGGATTATTGTGGTGTGACGGCGGCGGCGGCGGAGGAGTGGTGATCTGGTGGTGGTGGGGATGTGGATGCATCATGATCATCACCATCGATCATTTCTCTCAGCTATCGGTAATCGTGATGCTGTTCTTACTTTACCGAATGAGAAGGGAGAGATTAGGGTTCCAGAAATCAATCGATCGTGAGTTGAGTGATTTGTGGACAGTGACAGTTGATGAAGTTGAAACTTTGGAAATGGGGGGTTTTGGCCTTTCTCGTGAGGGGGTTTTGCTTTTGATCTTTCGTGGGACTGCAAAAGTGAAGCATACGTGTTTTTTTAGCCCGTTGATAAATTTTTTTTTTTTTTTTTTATTTCTCAAGATATCCCTCCCGTCGATAGCAAGAGAACTAATCCTCCGTCCCTACGGTCAGCGCACTAAGCGGTAGAGAGCTGGTCAAATAGTTTGTTTCATTCACATGAGCGGGGATGGTCAAATAGTTTGTTTCATTCACGTGAGCGGGGATCGAACTCCTGATCTCATGCTTAAGGGACGAAGTGTTAAACCACTACGCCAACTATGTTGGTTAGGCCGTTGATAATATTGTAAAACTTTCTTTTTTGGGAGTTTTTAGTTATTTATTACCTTTGTACAGTACCACAAAAATATTTCAATTTGAAAAATTAAAATATAAAAATTAAATAATTTAATCATGTAAATTTAAAAGATAATATGAAAATTTGTATAAAATTTCATGACTAATCAATTTTATAATAATAATAAATTTTATGTTATACCAATCTCATAAGTGTAATTTTAAAATTTATATTTCTAAAATTGAATTATAATTTTTTTTAGACAGGTGTAGTATTTTCCTTACTCCGAGATCTAAAGACCAAACCATAATACCGATCAATCTAGATTCTTGTGCAGTGTCTACACCCCAAACAAATATTTAATCGATATTACTACATGTTTACATTCGAGTTTAAATTCTAATGAAATTAATATTACTTGATTAACAAATTCGTCCAATCAGGCTTGTAATGTAGTTCATAAATTAGCTTCGAAAGTACTAGCTAATCGAGTCCGGGTTGTACTTCCATCAATTATTAGTGACTCATAGTCTGCATTTGTTCCCGGTAGCCTTATCACAGACAATATTTTGGTTGCTTATGAAACGCACTATTTCATGAAATCAAGAACATCGAAAAAGTTAGGTTTGATGTCGTTCAAACTTGACATGAGTAAGGCTTTTGATAAAGTAGAGTGGTCTTTTTATGTGAGATTATGAGAGCTTTAGGTTTTCATGTTTCATTTATCAAATTAATATATCAATGTCTGTCTTCAATGTCATTTTCTTTTCTCTTAAATAGTTGTCAGTTCGGAAACCTCATTCCTAAAAGAGGTATTCGACAAGGGGACCCACTGTCTCCTTATCTTTTTATTCTTTGCTCAGAAATATTTCCATGCATCCTCAGAGACTTGCTGGCATGTGCAAAAATTCATGGCATAGCAATTAATCGCAATATTCCTTCAATTTCACACTTGTTTTTTGCGGATGATTCCCTACTGTTTGGTCATGCAATGGAGGAGGATGCTGTCCAATTTAAATATGCTATTGACCCCTATGAAAAGGTGTTTGTTCAGCGTATTAACCAAGACAAATCAGGTGTTGTTTTCAGCCCAAACACAAGTGCAGAAATGCAGCAGAAGATCCTGTTAATCCTAGGTTTTCAAAAAGTTGAAAAACATGAAAAATATCTAGGATTACCTACTGTTTCTGGACGAAGTAAGAAGGAGTTTTTAACCAAATAACTGACTGTGTGTGAAAGCGCATTTCAGGTTGGAAGCAGAAAAATCTATCAAAAGGAGGAAAAGAGATCCTGATAAAAAAAATGTCATTGAAGCAATCCCGATGTACACTATGTCATGTTTTAGATTGCCTGATTCAGTCATTCAAAAGCTAAATTCTATGAGTTCTTCGTATTGGTGGGGTGATATGGGAGATAAAAGGAAGATCAGATGGCTGAAATGGACTAAAGTGACACAACCGAAAGCATTTGGAGGTCTAGGAATTCTGGACTTGGAAAACTTTAATTTGGCTCTTCTAAGCAAGAAAGCTTGGCATATTCTTACCAATCCAAAATCATTGCTGTCAAGGATCTTAAAAGCAAAATATTTTCTGACTTCTTCATTCCTAGATGCTACTCTTGGAAATGCTCCATCATTCACCTGGCATAGTATCATTGATGGGAAAAATACTTTGCTTTTAGGTTGCAGGAAAAGAATCAATCCTGGGTTAAATACGGGCATTTGGATGGATCGCTGGATTCATTGCACTACAGATTTTAAAACACATAGTGGCTTCTCTGTCTTACCATATAATGTTGTTGTTGCTGATGTAATTGATCCTAATACAGGTAACTGAAATTTGGATTTGGTTCGAAATATCTTCACTCCTGATGAAGCTGAAAACATTCTTTCCTTGATCCCTGAAAATCCTTCTGCAAGTGATAAATGGATTTGGCACCATTCTGTGAATGGTAGATTCAGTGTCAAAGCGGCCTATAATGTACTGATGTTGTCTCCTCTAGTTCCAGTTGATAATCATCCTTTTACATATCTTTCTGCTGGGGATACTTCTTTCTGAACCAAGCTATGGAAATTAAAAATTCCAAACAGAATTATTCATTTCCGTTGGCACTACGCTATTGATTCTCTTCCTTCATTGAAAAACCTAGCAAAGCATGGTTGTTTTCTTGATTCACCATGTCCTTTATGTGATGTTGCAGTTCCAACAACCTTGTATATCTTCATCAATTGTCCTTTTGTTTTACAAGTATGGATGTTAGCAGGCCTGCGGGACAAATTCTAGCATATCAATGACCCAGGTGAGACTTATGGGTAAGAGAAATTGTTATACATGGGGATAAGTCAGTTGCTGAATTTTTATTTTTTTAAAATAATACTTTTTATATTCAACTTGAAGGGGTCGGGTTCGAAACTTTCTGGCAGTTGCTGAAGTTTTTAGTGTATTATGCAACATGATGTGGTACGCACGTAATGATCGCCTATTTAACAACCACTTAGCTCAACCAACAACTTTAGTGACTAATTCTGCTTCCTTGCTCAAAAAATTTAAAGTAGCAAACAATCAGACAGAGGGTTAGAGTGCTGCTTTACGTTCCAGTCATTTTTTTCCAGCAACAAATTTGCAAAATTGCATATTATTTAATGGGGCTGTTTCACGGATTCGAAATTGTATTAGTATGGGTGTCTATATCTGAGATCAAGATGGGAAGTTTGTGACTACAAAAAGTCGTTGTCTGTTTGGTTTTCGTTCTTCTGAGTTTGCTAAATTTATGGCCTTGAAGGATGCGCTTTTGCTAACGAAGGATCTTCAACTCATCAATGTTACAATTATGGGTGATTCTTTTGTTGCTGTTTTAGCAGCTATAGGGGAAGCAAAATGTTCAACTCTCTGTTTATCTGTATTGTTGGAGATTAGACAATTATTATTGGATCTATCTTTTAGGGCTATATATTGGATTCCAAGACCAAAAAATGAAGTAACTCATGTCATAGCTACTTATGTCAAATCATATGTAACAGATGAACTTGGTTTTATCTACCGAGTTGTTTGTATCATTCAAGGCTAAATGATTTCCAGTAAGATTAATATAATTTATCTTTCTTGAAAAAAAACAAATTCGTCCAAAATAATGTGGCTTGAATTTTTTAATTTTTTTTATAATATCACAAGAAAAAGACATTAAATATCGTTTCTTCACTTCTAGAAAGCTCAATTTATTGGTCTTTCGTGAGTGAGATCATTGTTACACGGTATAATCTTCATTACACAATCAGAAGATCCGTTAAGAAAAAAAAAGTAAAATTAGAAGTTCATGTATGTATTTGTGTTTTGAAGTCAAAATATGCACAGCCGGCCAGATTTCTGATAAAATTAATTCTAACGACTTGGCCGAAATTCGATCATTCACGGCTTCAAAAAAAACATCGACGGCCAAAAGATTTTCCGTAAGATTTTTGTATTACGTAGATTTTAATGCGTATTCTAAACACATCTAATCAAATCCGCGCTTTAAAACCCAAAACACTACAAGTGCAAAATGATGGAAAATTAACCAAGAATCTGATCGTTACATATTTCAGTGTTTATATCAGCAAGAAATCATGGAAAGTCCATCATACACATAATCCATACTATCACAAGTTTTTTAGCAGAAATATAACAACAAACTCATTTCAACAGTACAAATCAAAGATGATTAGATTACAGAGGAGCAGGAGCCCAAGCGCCATCACTGAAACTCTGATCATATTCAATCGAGGCAGTAGGACTCAGTACTTCATCAAAGGCCGCAGCAGCAGCATATGGAGCACTTGCAAAAGCCGCCGATACCGGTCCGGAAGCGATACCGGAGCTCCGGACAACCTTAGACACCATCATCATCCGGCGAGGGCTGTTTTGAAGTGCCTTGCACATTTCTGTTAAATCGGCTCCTGTAATAATGTAACAATAATTAATATCATTAGCCCACCAAATGAAAATGGAAAAAAGAATAATAATAATAAATTAAACTGACTGATTAAACCGATTCGGGCTGTTGGTTAATTAGTCACTTGCCTTCAGCCATAGCCAAATCATTGTAAAGATCGACAATGTTGGGGCAGTTTAGTGAGCAATCGAAAGAGCAAATGTTCGAGAGCGATCGCGAGTCGATTAGGCCGTCGGATGAAATCCCGACGATATTTCTGTCAAGTCCGCAGGCTTTGATGCATTCATCAGTTTCGATATGATCATGAATGTCATTGTTGGCAATGACTCCTGAAGTCTTGCACTGGAATTTTGTTGTTTCCTCTGTCTCCAGCAAACAACGATATCCAGATTCTGAAACTGCGTATGAGCACTGTTCCATTGGCAATTCCTCGCATATTAGTCCACCTGCAAATTTCAACCCAAAGAAAAATAAATAAATAACTATCTCTTCATCCCAATTTAATAGTCTTGTTTGTTAAACTAAAACAGTACGTTGTAAACTAAGTTTAGGAATTTAGTTGGAGTTACCAAAGGCTCCTTGTAAGAAAACAAAAAATGCAAGGAACAGAACTAGTGCCATGTTTCTTTCAGGAGCCATTGAATTTTTTCGCTCTCAAATTTCAAGCAGCTATTTCAATAATGAACTATTTTTCTTGGCTCCGGCTAATAGAGGCTTGTTGATGGGATTATATATAGAGGAGGATATGAAAGAGGAAAAGGGAAATGACAAAATGCATTAACAAGAGAGAATTTCCATTAGCTTTTCTGATGTACCACGTTGCATCTTTTGAAAGATCCTTTGTCCTAGCAAAGCTAATTTAAATTTCCAAAAATCAACAAATGTTGTGATTGATTGATCCGTTGTATGCTACCGCTACTGTATGGTAAATTATTAGTTTATTACAATACTAATGTTCTCTTTCGTAACGTTCCGACAGTTTGATTGATCTAGCGAACCGGCGTTGCGGCACTCCAGTTGCAACTTTTTGTGTTCACACGGTAGCTAACAGACAGTTGGAACTTTGAACAGGTAAGAAAGCATCATGGTTATTACGAAGTCCCTTGGTTTAAAATTTGGTTATTTGACGTGACACTTTAGTGTAACACTTCACTAAACGATGACGTTGAATAGTATTTTTTTTTTTTTTTTTCCTTTTCGAGAAGAAGATGTTAAAATTTTACGAAAAAAAAGTAAAGAGAATATCAAAAAATTTTGAGATCAAGTAATATCAGGAAACAAGGTCAGCTGATCAACTTAGAACCAATTTTTACCGAGAATGTTATAATTACATTAAATGTCATAGAAGATTTATATCAGTCCGTTTCAAAAAGGTGAAGAAAGTTCTTCATTTTGTTTGATATGATTATGCACAAAAGAGGCCACAATGCCATTTGTTTGTCTGCGCCTTATTATCTGTATGTATTCTGGGCCGAATGTTAAAAGAGAAAAACAAATAAAAGCAAATTTTTGGCAAATATAGTTTAGGGGAAAAAATTGCCGTCGAAGTGTCAGTTGGAAGGGTATATTACAAATAACTTTGTGCTTTGGCATCGTCTCCAAATGGTCATTCGTTATTGGAAATCTCAGCAAAATTAGTGATTTTCTTTTCCACCTTTTCCCATAGCTTTTAGAAATTATTAGTTTTGCGTCCTTACTTTATGAGCAATCTTTCACTTTCTTTTATTTTATTAGGGAGTTTTTTTTTTTTAATAATCGTAAACCTTAACTTATTTCATAGCTTGAGGCATTAAAGAACTTTGACTCACTTTAAGGTAAAAACAATTACAACAATCAAAGATTGGATTAATCGAGTTTTCTCCACTAGTAAACATGAATATATCGTTCGTCGCCATGACAATCTATCATAGTGTTGGAATATGATGAGATTTTACATGTAGGGCTGTAATGATTAAATGTGCTAGGATATTAGTGTATTTTTGTAGAAAAAGGCGGTGAGATGGTCTAGAACTTTGATCCGTGTGTGGTAATTTTCGTTGTACCAAAAAAAGGATAATTGACTCGTTTTAGATCTTATTACCACACAGTCTAAGGATCTATTCATTCCCTAAACAAAATTAAGGTCATTTTTTTTAATCTTTAATTGTTCTCAAAATTAATTTACTCTTTCCATCAGGTGTTTTGCGCACCTCACCAAAAGTTTATGCTTTTATGAAAAGGTGGCATATTCTGCGTGCAAAGCTGTGAAAATTAAGTATTATTTATAGCACCAAGTAGAACACAAGTTACAAATTCAAAATGCATAACCAAATTTGGAGAGATTACATTTATTATTGCAAATCAAACAAGAGAGAACCAGTCTCTTGTATAGTTTGCGCACACAATTAACGGACATCCAAATGCAACCGATCATGAAGCGGATGAGCAGCAAAACGGGATTAATTGATGTTTAATTGATATGATCATACGTATCGACGTGACCGGACGAACCAACGGAAGAAGTTGCGGCTCCGTCGGGATCGACACAATTCAGGCCAACACCATCGCCGGTGGAAGTTGTGTGTCCAAACGTATCGACACAGCCCGAACCAGCAGCACCAGAATTGGCTGTATGTCCATTGACATGAACTCGCCCACCTGCACGAGTCAAAAAGTTATCCCATACACGAAATTCCGCAGATTAACTAGTAAATTCGTACTGAAAATAAAACTTCAAACTGGACAATAATTTGGGGACGAAAAGAGTAAAAAAAAATTTTTAAAAATATATAATGTGATGATTAAAAAATTTAATTTGTACTCGTTTCGTCCCAAAATAAGACTCTGTAGTTGCGCGCATGAGAAAAACCTTAGTACCTAGAGCTCCTTGAAGGAGAAGAGAGAAAGCTAGGAAAAGGATCAGTTTCATTTTCAGCTAGCTTAGATTCGAAGAGCTTTATTTAGATTATAATCTTGTGGTACTAAATGCTAATGATCAATTGAGTTTGGTGGCTAGAGGGTTGGATGCCTCTTGCTTTATATAGACGAAGAAAGATTGCTACTAACGTTGTTAACTAAGAACTGAGAACTGCAAATCTTGCTAGTACGAGAAAACTGATCTTCTGATTTGTTTTGATATCGTTAACGATAATTTCTTTCTATAACTTTAAAGAACTCATGTCAATACGTTTGCAGAAAAAGGCTAAATGACAAATGTAAGCACCCTTAATTAGCAAGACCCTTGCTTTCAACTTTTTCTTTTTTTCCTTCTTGTTTTGGTATTTGTTGACGATAATGATGATTCATGCATCATATTGCTCTCCGTATTGATAAGGAATAATACAAAAGTACAAACGGGATGATATACTTTCTCTGTCCCAAAATTATTGTCCAGTTTGAGATTTCACTTTTAGTACAATTTGAACTAGGAATGAAAATTCAAACTGAACAATAATTATGAGACGGAGGGAGTATGCAATGTTTGCCCAGTAATTGGGTCGATACATTGTATAATCCTATATTTTTAGTCCTCAAATTACTCTGGAGTTGGCTTTTGTCCACAATGATATATTCGTTGAGGAACATAATCAAGGTCCTCGAGGCGTTTCATCGTTTCTCTTAACGAGTTGCTTCATTATCATCCGTATCACATTGCTCTCTTAGTCTCAAAATGAATATCGTGTTTATTAAACTGATAAATCGCCAACCGCCTCAGAAGAAAGATATATCAACGAAATGAAGTAACAAGAAATTGAATATTAACTTTACATATCCTTGTATACATGTCCTTATATAGTTAAGATACAATTGGAATATGTATATCAAGTGCGTATATATGTTTCTACCATAGTATACTGTATACCTAATAATCATCATGTTACAGCTGCAGAATGAGCTTTCCAATCTTTTGACAATAATAATAATATTGTCTACAGCAGACTGATCTGCACAAAATTGGTAGAGATTAACTATCAGAAATGAAGGGATGCATCAGCTAAGTTTATTGTGTAAAACAGGGAATTGGAGCTTCTGCACCACCCTGGGCAAAAGCAAGAGCACTTGAAGCTGCATTCGCCGAATCAACACCAGATTCAATCTCTCCAAGGTTCAGATTTTCCGCGGCATCGGATTTAGTGGCGAGAGTACTCGAAACTGCATCCGCTGAAGCAACAACAGATATTTCAGTCTCTCCGAGGTTCATATTTTCCGCGGCATCAGATTGAGTAGAAAGAGTAGTTGAAGCTGCATTTGCCGAAGCAACAACAGATTCTGTTTCTCCATGATTCAGGTCTTCCGCGGCTTCAGTTTTAGTAGGAAGAGTAGTACTTGAGGCTGCATTCGCCGAGGAAACACTAGGTTTTATTGCTCCATGATTCAGGTTTTCCGCGACATCAGTTTTAGCAGGAAGAGTAGTACTTGAGGCTGCATTCGCAAAAGAAACACTAGATTTTATTGCTCCATGATTCAGATTTCGTACGGCATCAGCTTCAGCTGCTGATGATCCACGGTTCAGATTTTGCATGGTTTTTTGTCTTCGAGCAACAGCTTCAGAACTTTGAATTTGCATTTGTTTCATTTTGCGACGAGAACTAGCTGCCAACGCCTTGCACACTGCAGGTAAATATACACCTGAAAAACACACACACACACACACACACACACACACACACACACTTTCAAAACCATTGTTTACCAACTTCCCCTTAATCCAAAATCACAACTTGAAACAAACTAGATAACTATTTGAATAACATTGAGAACGAGGTTGATGTAATTTTCTCATACCTTCTGCAAGAGCTAACCTGCTGTAGAGATCAACAATGTTGGGGCAGTTCATTTGGCAATTTTGAGAACACAGTTTCTTGGAGAATCGTGGCTCTAAGAATTTGTCAGTGGAGATGCCAACAGTTGTCTTGTCAACCCCACATGAGTTTATGCAGTCACTACTTTCAATGTGTTCGCGTAGAGCAACGCTTGCCATTATCTCAGAAGTCTTGCACTCGAACTTGATAGACCTATCATCTGAAAAATACGTCTCAAGCGAGCATCGCTTCCCGGATGATGAAATCGCAAATGCGCACGTATCTGGCGACAGATTCTCACACTCTAATTTCCCTGCAGAGATGAATGGATAACCAAACTACTTAACTCAATACAATTGACAAAATTTGCGTGAGTTATGCGTAATTCTACCGTATCCATGGACTGTACTAACCGAAAGTTCCTCTCAGGAAAAGCATTGCGGTGAGGAACACGATCAGGGGAGTCATTCCAAGAGATGAGCTTTGCATTCTCCCCAAAAATAAAAACTTTCATTAATCACGTGTTGCTTCAGGATGGAAACAGGACTATGTTCATGGCGATTATATAGAGTAGAAGTTGTGGAAGCATATGTGCCATGCGTGTTATAGGAAGAGGCGGGCTGTGATGTCAATAATGTTGAATGCCAAACAAATTTAATGGACCACTATCTGTTAATATGGTTGTAATTTGTAAATTATTAGTACGTCACAGGTGATGAATTTTCATCCCAAAACCAAGTGGGGTGGAATTTGTGTTTCTAGTTGATCACAAAATGTGTCTCTATTTGGTCAGAGTTTACCTACCAAAACATTTAAACTCATAGGGTTTGAGCTTAAACTGAAGAGCAATGCCCGAATTGTATCATTAAGTTGTGGCTTTGCTGTACTACTAGGTTAATCACCTCCCCTCTGAATATGACCTGCTGCCACCAGCATTCCGGTTCTCCTAGCAGACCAACTCAGGCCCTGCATTGAGCAGAGAGATTCGAGAGGGCCTTGAAGAATTTCACATGGAAATACCAATCAACTAGTACTCTCAGACAAGGAAAAGACAATGCAACTGATCGAAAATGGTGTTATGGTATGTTTGGTCAATGAAAATAGGTTTGCTTAGGTGAGAGGAGCTATGCAGAGGCAATTAGGCAGCCCTACAAGGGACCGCAAAGCCGGCTTAAGTTGCCCTGCCTAACTTGTTGAATTTACCCTTAATTTCTTCTAGATTGTTGTTATCTGCCTGTTGCCTTGATTCCATATACTCAAGGAACATTAAACTTGCTTGAAAAGCTATCTCATTAATGGAGAAATCAATTACCATTTTTCCACCAGCAAAAACAATCCACTATCCATTAATACATGTCCCAAAACCTGTGTCCATATCTATTCAAGATGTTCAGGAGATTAAAGAACCAAGCTCTCAAGCTTTAGAGGAGTCCGAGGAAAAGAACCTAAGCCATAGCTTTTGCAAGGGATCGGAAGAAAAGGAATAAAAAGTACATTTTGTAGAGATCAAGTAAAGGCCTAATCCTAACATTCCTATGACTCGTCCTCAGAGGCAAATACATGTCATATGTGTGTTGATCCAGTGTGACAAGGAAATAGAATCAAGCAGCCTGAACCTCAGGATTTACAGCCTCCGGCTCTGCTTTCTTTGGATTTGGAACGTATCTCCAGCAGCGTTTGTGAACCCCGCTAATCTTTTTAGGTTCAGCAACTGGCAAACCTGTGTTCATTCAAACTAATGATTAAAATCTCAAACTCGACAATATTGATCAAACATTCCAGCTAGAGAACAATATATAAGAACGAGAAAGGAACTTGAATACAACATGAACACGAAAATAAGATCCTGACAGGAGCAGTAAATCAACTGCCAAACGATTCCAATTGTTCTAAGCAATGAAGCACAAAGTAGTGCAGAAGTATTCATTTTGCATTAAAAGTAAAACCATCATGATACTTTTAGAATAAACTAAATGAATGAATTGCTACTACAAAGACCACCTGCTCGCATAATTTCTTTCTTATAAGTAAATCCAGTCAATGGTGACGAATTTTTCTATAAGAACAAATTCAGGGTTCAAACTCAAAAGGGAAAATTAAGACCTGGAAGATGCAGGCTTAGAGCAGTTTGAAGTAAACTTCACATCACAAGCCCATGATATTACTGAGGTACAAATCTCCAGATATGCCGTTTCAAAGTTGCATTAAAATTAAACCGCACAGGAAGCTTAAATGAGGCAAGTAGAAAAAACCATACTTCAACAATTAAGATTAGCAAAGTACCCCAGGTAGAAAAATCCATTACAACACCTAATGCCAGAATACAATTCTTAAATTCATCACACCAAGAAGTTGAAAACAAAGTACAGGACACCTTTACTCCTATATTGCCTCTCTAGCCAACCACACTAAACCCTTCATAAACCCTTCTGATCATTATTACCATTAAAATCCCAAAAGTTCTTTAGTTTCAAGAGAATCAAAAAATACAGGTCTCCATAATGCCAATTCAAAAATACGTAATGCTAATGTACATTTGGGCAAACTCAATTCACACACTCTGAATCGCAAAGATGTCTTGGGCAAATAAACAAACATGTCATAGGCAAAAGCCACTTCTTCATAAAACAACAATTACCATCTTTATAAGCAAGACCCCAAGCTTTCCCGTGCCTTCCATCCTGCCAGAAACCAATCAGAAACAGATTCAAACCCAATAACAAACAAAAACCAATATAGAATGAATCCATCTAATGGCCTTAAAGCGGGGTTTTGTCACAAAACCTTATAAAGATTGATCTTTGTGATCTGATAGGAGACATTGGTCCAGTGGCTCTTAGCCATGTGATATCCAACACCCCAGTTGGGTAAAAACTGAGCCACCTCGAAAAAATTCTTCTTCTTCTTGCGCCTTGGCTTGGTGGAATTGGCCGCAGCCGCTGAAGAAGAAGAAGTAGAACCAGTTGATGGGTTTGCGCTGAAACGCCGCAATAAGTCGAAAGAGAGTCTAAAAAAGCTTGGCGTCCGTTCGGTTGAAGCTACTCTGGAGACGAGAGCGCTCGCCATTTTTTCAATTCTTCAAAAGCTCCCTCCTGTTTGGGAAGTTTGCGGCACAAATGTTCAACAGTGGACTCGGACCAGCCCAACAGCCCTGTGACATTTCCCTTTTTCTTTTTTGGGGATTTTTTTTTTGTTTAATTTTCTTTCTCACTCTTTTGGGTGATAATTTCATGCTATTTTTTAATTCGCCAATTATTCATATTTAACTTTGCACTAAAGAGCGAACCCTTTTAATTCAGCATTAATATTTTGTATGATAAGAAGATTAAGATAAAAGGGAATCGTATTCAAATCTACTATCTAATAAAGTAATAACATTAGCTACTAATTACTATCTATACTTTTTAATTTGACAATTGTCTTTACATTTAAAATCCTAAAAAATTTATGAGTTTCATATAAATATATTATCTCAACGATGGTGCAATGGTTGGAGTTACTTTTGGAGTTGCTCTTAGAATTTATTCATAGTGAATTTTTCCTATTCATATCATTTTTCTTACTTACATTCTCAAAAATTTAGTTTTTCTTTTTTCAGGACTAATTTATTCACGTGAAAAATTAAAAAATTTAAAAATGTATAGTAAAATGTAATGGTAACTGTTGTGACACTGACACGTGTATAAATACATAACCATCTCGAATTTTGTTTGTAGTTATCGAGAGAATAGTGTGTCTTTTCATTTCAGTATGAATTGTCATTTTACGTATCATTAGTCTAGGAAGGACAATTAAGTGGAAAATTACTGTAGGGATTAAAAAGTTTAGTCAAAATTTTCAACTATAATAATTAGATTAAAAAAACTTGGTCTTTATTAATAAGGGATCAAGATGTAAAACGTTGTACTTTTTAAAGGCGGGAAATTTGGTCACGCCTTTAAAGAATTTAGCAACACTAGGAGAGACACAAATCATCATAAACAGGGGCCTGCAATCCCCCAACACTTTTGCATCCAACTCCATCTCGTGTACTTGATGCAATATTTTGTGCAAAAACATCAGACTTTAAAAATCAGATTTTAGTGCCAAGGAATCAAGAGAGCTGGCCTATACATATTGCAGCAAAACAGGTCAAACAAATCAAAATGGAATTCAAGCAAATTATGAATTTGCACCCCACTTGAAACACAGCTTTCCTCTGCCACACATATCCCAAATTATTACTCAATAGTCTGAGCCAACAGATGATTAACAGACATAAAGATGTTGAAAGTACATGCATAATACATAAGATTTAGGCATCTTATCAACTTAACTACAATCATTTTCTAAGTTAAAAGGAACGGCAATCCTTTTGTCATCCCCATCCACGACCTCAAAGTAGCTGGTCCAAAGGAGCTCCCACTAAACAATTAAAAGGAAATTGCGCTACATTTTACTTTCCCTAGAGAGAGGATAAGCCATGACCCTTTTTATAATGCACGAAACATGAAATTGGTTTCATGTATATATTCTGGAGAATGACAAGCTTTTTGCAAGGTGACAAGAAAACAGGATAAAACAGAACAAACAATACCAGCCAAAAATAAAAATTGCTCACAAGAACATATGATATCCAGTTTAGAAATTTCGAAACTACACAACATAGATATACTACTCAATAGTTTGAACCAGAAGATGATAATTAATGGAAGCCAAACCCAGAGAAATCAAGTTCAATGAAAACATACATTATAATACAGGAGATTTTGATAAGCTTTCCTACAAGTTGAAATGAATGGATGATGGCAAATGCCAATCCATTAGTCATTCCGCATCCTGAACCTCTAAATACTTTTATGTAAGTGAGCTTCCACGGATAAAACTGGAAATAAAATGCGCACCAAATCATGAAGATCAAACCTACATCTTTGAAGATTATACGAATAAATAGGCCTGAAGCGACGGCGTTTGGGGAGAGCAGATCGTTTGTCCATCTTGCGCCTGTCTTATCCTGTCCAGGAAAAGAAGCGACGGCGTTTTTCTCAAAAAGGGGCTGGACATATTTTTCTCTCCATTTCTCCTTTCGTTTTCGTTTCACTTTCCTCCCAGAACATCTTTTTCTCCCTCTCAAGCCTCTTTTGGCTTCAACCCTTCACGGCCGACGAAAAGTTTCTCTTTTCTCCTTCTTCCCCCTTTTTCCCTACTCATAGTTGTTGCGTTATTGAAGTGAAACTTGTTGTGTATGATGATGGTTCTGATGGGAGAGGATTAAAATTGGAGGCGGCAGTAGAAGGATGGGGATTCCTGAGGTGGAATTCTTCAGATGAGAACTGAGAATCAGAGTTCTGCAAGAAAAGCCAGTAAGGAAAGTATGGAAGGTAAAAGAAAAACAAACGCCAAAAATAAAAGGATAAAGTCTATGCGGCCCTTTTTGAACAAAAAACGGTATCGTTGTGATCCCGAGACAGAATAAGACAGGGGCAAGATGGACAGACGATCTGCGCTAGGCTTTCGGGAGATGTGATATAATTAACTCAAAAATTAATCCCTAAAAATTGACTCGAGAGCAAAACTCAGCCGATATCTGTTTCGAAGAGAACAATGGGCTTAAACAAAGTTAAACATGCTGGAGAGAGAGAGAGAGTATAGAAGGAAAATATAGGCTAATATACTGGCTAACCCCGTTATTTGTTTACTTGTTCAATTCCCTTACGTTTCATTTGTTTAATCAAGGCTGTGAAACAAAAAAAATTATCTTTAACATTCTTTTAATGATAATTAATATAGGCTAATGTACCAGCTAACCCCATTACTTGATCATGCTAACTGAGTTTTTTTAATCCCTTTTTGGGTTTGATTTAGTTCTATTGATCTTAAGTTTGGGGGCTATGGTAAACGTCTATGTAATTTTGTCTTTAATTGACCTAAGGGACAATGTGTATTGCTATGTTTGATCTTGTGGATGGCATACATGAGGTGATGGATTAATTCTTTCTATGTTTGATTAACTTGCCGTTGGATCACAAACTCATAAATACATTACATTGAGTTAAACTTCAAAAGAGGAAACATGCAAAAGAAAAAACTAGTCAATTATAACTATGCTTTATGAATTTAGAATACAAAGTGAATATTCCTAACAGCATATAATTGGCTCATTTGGATCCATATAAGGGAGAAGATCTTAAGGCATAGACAGAGTTGCACAACTGACATCAAGGTCAAGAAGACAGTATATCCCTGCAGTACTATCCTCTGGAACAGGTTTCTTAACCTTAACAAAATCAATTTGCTTGCCCGCATCAACCTTATTATTAGCTTCGTCCACTTTCAAAGCATCTTCAAACTCCTCATCATCATCATCATCATCTTTTTCATCACTCTTGTTTGGTTTGCAGAATTTCTTCTTCTTCTTCTTCTTCTCCTCCTCCTTCAAGTGTTGCTCATATAGAAAAGCTTTATACCTTTTCTTCACGAACTGATCCTTCTTGGCACAGTCATGATCAACATCGAGCATAGCATTAGGAAGCCCAGCTATACCCGCCTCTTCCAATTCCAGCTGTTTCCGACTATCCTCCATGGACTTAATCCTCTGTTAGATCTCAACCAAAATACAAATTCAACCCACAAATCCGAATACTTAATTTAATCAACAACGATGCGAACTCCGGAAAGAATTTTTCTTAAAGAAAAAAAAAAACAAAATCAACAAAATCAGAGATCTATATTAATTCGTAAAACAAGGAACTGGAAGACAAACTCTCGTAAGATATGCGTAAAAATAAAGAAGAGACCAAGTCTTTATATAGAGATGTAAATTACTACTAATTCCTAGTAGGAGTAGATTTACCTTACATATATGGATTAGGATAAAAACCATTTAAACTGTCATCCCCTCTCTATAATTTTCACTGGAAAACCGCCTTTCATTTTACAAGTCAAGTAAGCCATGAAAACCGGCTCAACGCCTTCCTCCATTGCCGGCACCACCTTACACCGCCGCAAGACACCCGCAACAACCCTCTTCATTTGCAAGAAAGCCATCTCTTTCCCCAGGCAAATCCTTGGCCCTGCCTGGAACATGGGATACGTGTACGAATCCCTAGCCACAAAGTTCCACTTGCCGGAGTTTTCATCCCTCTCCAACCACCGCTCCGGCCGGAACTCCGGCCAGTCCGGGCCCCACACCTTCTCCACCCGCCCCATTACACCAACGATCAAGACACAATACTTGGTCATCGTCTCCGAGAGTTCTGTATTAACCTTGCCAGACTACATCGAATCTACAGCTTCCATTCACTCTTCTTAATTGCCTGGAGATATTCCAAAAACATCAATAAGAGTTTTGACACAAAACTAACACAGATTTCAAAAAAGATACAGTTCATACACACACCACTGGGGGTATTAGATAATAATAGAAGCTTACCAAGTATCCATAGCAGAGGCAAATCGCAACAGAACAGATGATTTAGAGAGAGAAAATTTGGGGGAAACAAATCGATTGATAGAGAGAAGAATTTCCTTTAAAAGCTCGCCGAATGAATAAAAATTGAAATTTCAATATGGGGAACAATGCCCATATTGTGTTGGTGGCGTTATCAAAGTTATGGGTCATTTCCCTAAATAGACCCAAAAAAAGGGAAGAAATTTATATTTTAATTATTTTTTTGTGGTCCTGAAAACATGTCTCGAAAATGCGTTTTTCATTTTTTTTTTAGCTATAATTTAAAAAACGGACTTTCAATATCCGTTTCCTTGTTTTAATTTTTAAAATAATTAAAATTGAAATAAACAATTTCGCTCGAAATAAAAGGATAGGAAATATTGGGAAAAACGTTAAACAGAAATTGAAATTCTGTTTCCTTATCAACAAAAAAATAGAAGACTCAATTCCGTTTTTCGTGTCATCCAAAAAACGAAAAACGGGATTCCGTTTTCCTGTTATCAGGTTGTCAGCCGCATTATTGGTCTGACACTGATAATCTGTACGAATCACTGGTGTCGCAGGCTTTAATAAAAAAAATCGAATTGTAAAATCCGTTTTTAGGTTTATTTATGAAGAAGAATTAACACAGTTACCAGATCTGGAAAGTTTTGAACGGGAAGAAAAAAATATGAAGAGGTCTCCAGTTTGAACCTGTTTTTTACACCTGAAAATTGTTATCATTAAGGTTAGTATTGCGTTGATGTTATTTGTTTCCCTTAATCGTATTGTATTAAATTAATTAATTATTGGTCTTATTAAATTTGAATTAGAATATTCAGTATAAAAATATTGAATTTATTATGAAATTCGATCTGGACAGTTATATTAGGAAATTTGGACTATTTTTTGAAACATTGGATTATTTATGGAAATCTGGACTGTTTTATTAGGAAAATATTGGACTATTTTTTTAAATGATGGACTGCTTATGCAAATTCGGATTGTTTTTTAAATGCTAGACTGTTTATGAAAATATGAATTGTTGTATTCGGAAATAACTGGACTGTTAGAAACAATACTGGATTGTTTATGCAAATGTGGATTGTTTTATTTGGAAATGATTATACTGTTTTTTAAATGTTGGACTATTTATGGAAATTTGTACGGTATTATTTGAAAATGATTGTACTGTTTATGGAAATGTAAAGTGATTTTTTAAGAAATATTATATTTATAACAGAAAAAATGGCATGGAATGGTCCATATTTTATTATTGTGTACTAGAGAAATAAATATGTTGTGAGGATAGCACGATCAGAACATTTGATAACAGGGTAGATGCGACATTAGTTATTGAGCGCAAGCTGTCGTATTCTGAGTTTTTGGGCAGAATTTGTGATAAAGCGGGTTGGGATAGAAATTATGTAAATCTGAGAATTAACTTGTTGTATGAAAACAACGGTGTAAGACGAAGCGCAACAATTACGGACGACTCGTCAGTGAAAATTATTTATTATTTTTCAGGTTCATCATATTTGGAGCTGTATGTTGAAAATGAAAACACGGTGCATGCCCAAAATTTGTTAGATCTGTCTGGACAAAAACAAGATGTTACATTTGTGTCGCAACAGCACCAGCAATATTGGATGAATAATTCTCAACATGTAGAAGCAGGGCCTAGCAGGAGTAGCGGCGATGGATACGTTGCTGAGGGACATGGTGGGGGTCAAAATGATGACTTTGATTCATCAGATGAGGATGATGCATCAGACGGAACTTATGTAGAAAGCGAAGAAGAAGTTGACTTCTAAACTGATGTGTCTGACGAAAACGACTTAGAAGAAGAAGAACAAGAAGCAGAAGCAGGAGCAGAAGCAGTGGAGAACTTAGTCATGTCTGGTTTTGGTCAGCATGTTTATTCAAACATTGGTGATTATAGAAATAGCATATTGGATCGAGATTTGAAGTTAAGATTTGGAAAGGTGATAGAGAAAAGCTTGATTTGAATACCTGTTTCAACAACGGGGATGAAGTTCAAGCAGCTATCGAAGACTGAAACATATATCACAACAGGCAATTTTATGTTCTTGCTTCTGGACGTAAGTCATGGGCTGCAGAGTGCGCGACAAGAAGAATGCAAACTCCAATTGGGCAATCTACTTGTGCGTGGCGGATGCGTGTATCTTTGAAGCATAATGGTCCGTGGCAAATTGTGTCCTAGGTTGATCATCACAATTGCGTTGGAATAACCAGACAAAATGACCATCGCAATTTGAGGTCGAAGTTAGTAGCCAAACTTATCGGGCGTAGTGTTGAAAATGATCCTGGTTTTAAGGTGAAATCAATCAGGGATGCTGTGAAGGAAGCTTATAAGGTGGATGTGAAGTACAAGAATGCATGGCATGCAAGAAGAAAAGCTATCGAAGCGTGTTATGGTAGCTGGATCGATAATTTCACGGAATTGCCCTGGTAAAAATTTAAAACTTATTATTTACGATGTTAAAAAAATATTGGGCTGTTTTTCAAATGTTGGACTGTTTATGCAAATCTTGACTGTTTTGTTAGGAAAATACTGGACTGTTTAGGGCAATGCCGAACTATTTATTTAAATCTAAACTACTTGTTGGTGCAAATGCAGACTGTTATAATTCTCGGATTATTGGGCTCTTTTGTATTTATGATAGGTATATGGATGTACTACAGAAGTCTAATCCCAACACAGTTGTTGAGTGGAAATGGCAGCCCGAGATTGAGAATGATGAACACCGGGTCTTCAAATATGTTTTCTGGGCATTTGGTCCTTCCATTGCGACCTTTCATATGTGTCAACTTGTTGTGAGTATTGATGGCACACACATTCGCGGTCAGTACAAGGGTAAGCTTCTTAAAGCAATGGTGAAAACTACTAACAACCACATCCTGCCCATTGCTTTTGCAATTGTAGATGAGGAGAGCAAGGATAGCTGGTCATTTTTTCTCTGTAATTAAAGGCTTCATGTTGTACACGACAGAATCACGTGTCTTATATCAGATCGACATAAGGGGATAATCAGTGCACTGAAAAATAATGTCAATTTGTGGTTTGAACCATATTTTAGATACCACAGGTATTGTCTTCGATATGTTCGGAGCAACATGGTGGCGAAACAGAAAAAACAAATTGCGCGAACCAATCTGGTGTACTGGAAAATGGGCAAGAAGCGGTAAAATCACAAGTTTCTAAAATTTCAGCAACAACTGAGAGAGTACAATGAAGCATGTCTTGCTTATATGATGGCTATTCCGAGGGGGAGGTAGAGTCTTGCCTACGATCAAGATTATGCACCTTGGGGCATGTTGACAACAAATGTATCTGAGAGTTACAACAATATTCTAAAGGGTGTTTGATTTTTACCAATTAGAGCTGTGGTGGAATCGACTTTGGCGAAGACAATTAAGTTCTTCCGTGATCAGTATGCAGATGCCTTGAAGTGCAATACTCCTATCGAAGATAAGTATTGGAAGAAATTCTGTAAGTATGAGAATACGGCAGCAACTCACAAAGTGGAGCTGTATGATTTCTAGAACCAAGTGTATGAGGTCATTACAGGTTGGCATCGTGTAGGGAAAGGTGGAAATGAACACAAAGTAGAATACAGGGATTGGCGTTGTTCATGCAAGAAATGGCAGACTTACAGGCTTCCTTGTTTGCATGCATTGGTTGTATATCGGTGGATTGGTGATCACCTAGAAAACATAATACATGAATATTATAAGACGAGCACATGGCATGAGCAGTTTCGTCATTCTAGGTTTGTTCCCGTCCCAAGAAATGGTGTTGATTTGTATGATTTGTTTGTGGCTGGTTTTAAGGCTGGTTTCTTTTTTTCTTGAGAATAACTGCATTCGCATCTTCATTGTGCTCTGATTTGTATGATTTGTTTGTGGCATCTTAACTATATGTATGATTTAGGGTGTTGTAGTTTACTTGTTCTGCACTTTGTTGTTGGTGCTACATGGTGGTATATTCTGTAGAAATGGTGTTGCGCTTGTGGATCCATATTGTTGTTTTCTGCTTTCAAGTTTCATTTTTAAATTGTATTTTAAATTGTAAACTCTTAATTGCTGTTAAAAAGTACGGTGGTCTATGCGCAAGATTAAAAAAAAAAAAAAAGGTCTAGCAACCTTATCTTTTCAGTTTTGTGCAAGATTCATTTCAATCCCCCTTGAATGGGTCTAGAAGTTTTTCAGTAAATTTTTGGTGATTTTTGTGTTTTTAGTAGTTTCATATTAATTGTACGTTGTTAGTTCATCTTTCATTTTGGTGTGGGGTGATTTATACTCCTTTTCACATGAATTTTCAAGCTGATGCTTTGAGCGATATCTGCAAAAAGGTAGAAGACTACAAGAAATCAGAAGATGTCTGCCAAAATTCAGTTTGTATGAATATACTTCTTGAACTCACTTCTCATTCTATGAGTACTTTATCCCTTGGAGCACATGAGATGCCAATTTTGAAACCCACACAATCACTTGTTGATCTTCAACCACAACCTTCTCAACCGGTTGGCAAAGTTCGCAACGAAACATTCCTCACCGTGGGATTGGAGGAGGCAGGCAGAAAATCATGGAAGAAGAAGAACCACAAGATGATCGTGGGACTGGAGGAGCCAGGCAGAAAATCGAGGAAGAAGGAGAACCAGAATTTGATTTTGAACTCAAAGCCGACTTGTTTCAAACTCCAACCCCCCAAAATTAGGACGAAGCCAACCAAGAAGGTGAATCTACAAATATGGATGTGGATGTGGATGTGGAATCTAGTCTACCTTTGGCGTTAGCAAGGCCGCGTAGAAAAATAAAGAAAGTCAATCGCTACACGCCATCCACTGCCCGACCCGAGCCACTTCTACAGGAGGAGGAATTGTAATGGCTTCATTTTGTTGATAATCTACTTTTGATGAACGTTTTGTGATGTAGTCTTTTACTTAAACATGTTACAATTGCAATATTTTGTTGACTTGATGTGTGAATTCAAGGGTTATGTTGAGTTGAGGCTGCTGTTGGTGTTGTTTTGGTGTTGTATGGTAACTGCTTTTCAACAGATTTGAACAGGTTTTCAATTGCAGATCTGTTCTGTTTTTTTTTCTGTATACAGGTTTAAAAACGGATTTCGACATTTCGTTTTTTGTTCAAAATATTTTCTTAAAACGGATTTCGACATTCCGTTTTTTGTTCAAAATACTTTCTTAAAACGAATTTTAGATTTCCGTTTTTTACTTCTAATAAAAAATTATTTCACATTATGCTGGGACAAATTCGATAAAAATTGGTAAGTGAAAAACGGAATAAAAATTTCCGTTTGAATCAAACAAATTATAAAGTACTAATTACAACTAATTCTTAAAAGACGGAATTTGAAAATCCGTTTTATGAACATTACATGTAAAAACGGAAATTCTATTTCCGACAAATATTTTTTCTGACCACTCCCTCATACAACTATATTTCAGTCGACTCCTATTTGAAACATATTTTGGGGCTTGACACCGTTATGAAAAAACAGAATAGCAAACTTTCGGCGGGAAGAAATTAAAAAAAAAAAAAAAAAAACGTGTTTCGGCTACTTTGGGCTTACCCTAGCGTCCAGGATGGTGAATAAAAAAGGGTCCAGAATGTATTGGGCTTCAAACACCAAGAATGATCCACCCCAATTTTTTTAGAAGATTATATAAGTTAACTCCTAAAATGTGTAAAAATAACAAAACACTCCTTTTTCACTTTTTATTTTTCTTTTTCTTCTTACTACTCTTTATCCTAATAAAAATAAACTATGTATTCTTTGAAGAAGTATTCATTTATTTTTTAGCTTTATCGTACAAATTAATCCTTACGTATCTGTAACTCATGCTTGTATTTACATCAATATATGGACATTTTTCATAAAATAGTTTAGCATGAACGATACCATTTTTTCAATTCATTTTTCCTAATATAAAGAATAAAAGTATTTAATTAAAATTTATATTTCCTGTAAAAATAAAATATCCCTTTTACCCTATTAAAACAGAATACAGGATGTTGATGTGGCAACTTCTTATTAAAACTTTTTGGCTCCAAATGCACCATATTGCATTGACCATTCTGCCACGTGTCATCCCCTTTTTAAAAGAAAAAAAAAATCCTTATCCGGAAAAACAAAAAGTATTTTACAAAAATAGCTACACAATTTTAACTCCTAACATTTATCATTTATTAATCAAATTAAAATAATATTTAAATTTACCCATAAACTTATCCCCTTTATTACTCCACATTCTTTTGTATGATTTCTGCATCGTTGTACTTTTCAATATTTTTTTTCCTTGGGGCAGATGATTTTTTTTTTATTTTTATTTTTGGCTAAAAAAAGGAAAAAAAAAACCAAATATGTAGCAATTTTATTTTTTCTAAATCAAGAATTTATTTATCTATTAACACAAAATTAAAGTAAAAGGGCGCCCGAACATCTGCCTGGACCGAGCATCTAATTTAGTTTAATTATAAAATAATTTATTAGTATATTTTAGTGTATATCACAATTTAATTTAACTCAAAAAACTATAATGATATTAATATCTTCAGAGAAACTAATTAAACTAAAATATAGAATAATTAAACCCTTCAAAAAATTATACAAACATAAATTTTTCTTCTCCGACCCAACACTTATCCTCCACCACAACAACGCATCACTCTATTTTTACCTCCATTCAGTTACTTTAAAATAAAATTATATACAATATATAAGACTTCTTACTAAAGTGGAGTGAGATATATATCAAACGATTGTCATGAGATGTTAAAACTGCGTAATGATAGATATACACATTTTGCATGAAATGTGTTGTACTATTTTAGTATATGCCACCATCTATATCATCTCGTGTGTGGATCAATGTAGAACTGAAATACTTTTTTGATATAAAAATAAAACTTATGTCTGTACTTGGACTTGGGTCTCAATTATGGTAAAGAAACAATCTCCATAATTTATTTTCTTTCAAAAAACTTAGTCACACAAACACGAGGAATAAAAACTATTAAAGAAAATATTTAATGTAGAGGATCTCTATGATTTATAAACAAGGACATTCATTAGAAAATATATAAATTTTGATGGGAATTGAATAACAATTTAGCGAGAAATTTATTAGAAAAGATAATAAATGACGAACATTTATGGACGAAAATGTCCAAAATTTAGTGGGTCTGTTTGTTTTTTTTTTTTTTAGTATATGTTTTTAGGTAGTTTTGATACTGAAGATGTAAAAATTTATATTATAAATGTGAAAAGGTACGGTGGATAAGAGTTTGAATGGTTTTTGCCCTGATAAAAGAATGGTGCGTCGACTTTACTAAGTTGTCAAATGTTGCGTGCCAGTGCCACTGCCAATACGAAGAGTAATGAGCTACATCATATCTATCATCAATTGTAGAAACTTTGTAGTCCTCAAATGAAATTGCATCTAAACAAAAAACAGCCTAAATCTAAATTATTGGAGTTCTTAAAGTTTATTCGAGTAGATTTTTAACACTGAAAATCGCCTGATTTAATGATGTCTTCCAATCAAAATTATTAACCATTTAGATTTTAAAGTACTCGAAGGCTTCTCCTTTCAAGTTTGATCTTTAATTTCAACAAGAACATTCTTCAATATCCCCGTTCCCCGGACTGTTCAAATTACTTCATCAACAGTCGAAGCACCAAATATTCTCCTGCTTCACTGATCTCATTGGTCCACCAAGTTAATTGCCCTGGATCATCATTTATTTCACAGGGATCGAACCCTCTTTTATTTCAGCCCCTTCCGAAGGGCTGGATATGAAGCGCTGGCATTAACTGAAATTGATTGGCTGCTGGTGTTTGTTTCCTTTCCTGTTGCAAGACCCTTTTTTTGGAGGGATTAGACCGTGGTTGACATAGTTTGAGTTGTATAATCACTTCAAACTCGAAGCAATAGTATGGATTAGTGGTGGCCTTATGGGTAAAATCCATATTTCGGAACAGGCTTTTAATTTTCCCTCCCAGATCAATATGGCCATCTATATTTTCACAGTTTGATGAGCAGCAGCTCTTCACATATTCTAATGCAACTGACTAATCATTCACAATCGATAAAATTAACGGGATACACAACAAAATCATATAACGACAATTCACAAAACATTAAAGACAAACCAACACAGGTTGACAGAATAGTAGTAATTGCTGAAATAGGAACCAGATTCAAGATCATAGAGATATGTTTTGTTCTGCTCAAAATATAAAATACTGTTGCCCCCCATATGAAATATCATCCTACAAAGCAATTTGGAGAAGTTGTAGTTGAGGTTAAACCCACAGTTAAAGCAACAACTACCATTCTACAGCTACAAAACAAAGTTAACTGAAATTCCCCCCCAATATACTTCAATCATTCATAAACTTCCTCTTCATCTTCATACTCTCCCTCCTCATCAGCTGTTGCATCTTGGTATTGCTGGTACTCAGAAACCAGATCATTCATGTTACTTTCAGCCTCAGTGAACTCCATCTCATCCATACCCTCCCCAGTATACCAATGCAAGAAAGCCTTCCTCCTAAACATAGCTGTGAACTGTTCACTCACACGGCGGAACATCTCTTGAATGGATGTAGAGTTACCAATAAATGTTGAAGCCATTTTGAGACCAGTTGGTGGTATGTCACAGACAGTTGATTTGACATTGTTGGGGATCCACTCTACAAAGTAGGATGAGTTTTTGTTCTGCACATTCAACATCTGCTCATCAACTTCCTTGGTGCTCATTTTCCCCCGGAACATGGCTGATGCAGTCAAATAACGTCCATGTCTAGGATCAGCAGCACACATCATGTTTTTCGCATCCCACATTTGTTGAGTCAATTCAGGAACAGTCAAGGCTCTGTACTGTTGAGACCCTCTGGAGGTAAGTGGTGCAAATCCCACCATGAAGAAATGAAGACGAGGGAATGGAATGAGGTTAACAGCTAGCTTCCTCAGATCAGAGTTAAGCTGACCAGGGAACCTCAAACAACAAGTGACCCCAGACATGGTTGCAGATATCAAGTGATTAAGATCACCAACTGTTGAATGCATAAATACAGTAAGTATGAGAATATTTCATGCCAAGGACAAAGCATACAACAAATATAAAACAAGATGAAGACTAAATCATGCAAACCAAACAATGGTAATCAGATTTTACTGCAGACATCAGATCAAATAGTCATAAAAATTCATAAACCATTTACACACATCTGAACATATCAAAGATCATACACAAGGTTTTTTATGTCATTGTGGGAATAATATCAAATGAAGCAAATTAAAAACAGTTATACCAGGCTAACTCAGTTTCAGATTCTAATAACAAGCATGAGAGGGAAAAAACGTAGCAATTTCATTTGAAGGAATAAAGGAATGAAAGGCACTTACAGCTAGGAGTTGTGAGCTTGAGGGTACGGAAGCAAATGTCATACAAAGCTTCATTGTCAAGAACCATGCATTCATCTGCATTCTCCACGAGCTGGTGAACAGACAAGGTGGCATTGTAAGGCTCCACAACTGTGTCAGAGACCTTTGGAGATGGGAAAACAGAGAACGTCAACATCATCCTGTCTGGGTACTCCTCTCTGATTTTGGAAATCAATAGGGTTCCCATTCCAGATCCAGTTCCTCCTCCCAATGAGTGACAAACCTGAAAACCTACAATAAAAAACATTTCCAAAACAAACCATAAGAGACGAACGAAAACCACAACATAATAATAACTACAAACCACATCCATGAATCTCAAACAGAATCAAATACGAGAAAGAAGAAATAGTACAAAGATATTGAAAAATCCTCTTAGGAACAAAACCAAATACCTTGCAAGCAGTCACAATTTTCTGCTTCCTTGCGAACCACATCGAGAACAGAATCAATCAACTCCGCTCCCTCGGTGTAGTGACCTTTGGCCCAGTTGTTTCCTGCTCCAGATTGGCCGAACACAAAGTTATCAGGGCGAAAGATCTGTCCATGGGGACCAGATCTGACGCTGTCCATGGTCCCTGGCTCAAGATCCATGAGCACAGCACGAGGGACGAAACGACCACCACTAGCTTCATTGTAATAAACGTTCACCCTCTCAAGCTGAAGGTCGGATTCACCATGGTACCGTCCGGTAGCATCAATCCCGTGCTCCGCACAGACAACCTCCCAAAACTTGGCCCCAATCTGGTTACCACATTGACCACCTTGAATGTGAAGAATTTCTCTCATCTTTTCTTGTGATTGAAACGGGTAAAAACAAGATTCGAAAGAAGAACTAAAGGAGAGAAACCGAAAAGGGATTTTTTTGAATCTGGAGAGGAGGGTTTGGAGAGAGAGAGAGAGAGAGAGAGATTGAAGAGAGAGAGATAGGAAAATGAGGAGGAATAGTGGAAAAAGGTAGGGCGCGTTGTTATATATAGGTGGGGCTCGTTTTGTGTGAGAGAAATGGGTTCAGTGTGTGAGTGTGTGAAAATGAATTTTGGGAAGAAAAAAACGAATTGGAAAAGCAACGGCTCTTGTTGGTTTTGAGATTTGAATTTTGAATTGTTTGTTTTTGTGGGGTGTACAGATGGGCTTTTTAGAGGGAAATAATTTCGATGGACAGGGTGTATAAATTGTAACGGGTGAAAATCAACGGTTAGATTGAGATAATCTCTTCTCTTTTTTTCCTTTTTCTTTTTTTTTTTTGCATTAAAGTTGAATTAAACCTTTCTTTTTTGGCTTGATGACACATGATCACCAGATTGATAGTACTTTTTTACAGCTTGGAAAAAAAACATTATGTCACACAATTTTTTCAACAAAAAAAAAATAGCATCAATAATAAATTCAATATGTACTAACAAAATATGTGAAGGGTTTATTTTAATATTATCTATCTATCTATATTATTCTAGATTTTCCGTTTCCAGTCTCAAAAATCCCTCATGTTAAAATAGCTAGGGTTAGATGTTATCATAATTTTCTTAATTGTCAAAATGTTAACAATATTCATAAAAAAAAAAAAAGAAAGGTGACATGCATCTAGTCGTATGAGAACGAAGATAAACAATATGAGCATTGATTTTCAAGGTAAGCTGGAAATACGGTACAAAATCAAATTCTATACAAAATAATACGAAGAAATGTCGAAGAAACCTAAAACTATTGTTGGGGTCTCGTTGATGAATTCGATTTGGGGATACTAAAAAGTAAAAACTAACAAGAGTAACAAAATTTTCCGTCAATGCATAGAAAGTTATTTCATCTCTTTGGTCATTGGTCAACCTTTATATAACAAAATATGATACTCCTTCTGTCCCAAAATTATTGTTCAATTTAAGATTTCATTTTTAGTACAGTTTGAGTTAAAAATAAAAACTCAAACTGGACAATAATTACGGGACAGAGGGAGTAATACAATTTCCTTTGATTCAGAAATGGGAAATTATTTTCAGATGGAGAGAAAAGTGCATTACGCATAACACAACTTTTGGTAGTTAACAAAAACACTTTGAACAGAATAAATTAGACTAATGTACTGAACATGGAGGAATTTGTCGACTTTGTTTTTTAAAAAAATATAAGCATATTGTTAACTGAGTACCAGATTTGTTTGCGTTCTTTGTTGTTGGATTTGAATATTTGTTGTTCACTTCGGCAAGAAACCCAACTGACTCCATTTTTTGTTTATTTACAGAAATCAGAAGTGAGGACAGATTCCTTTACCACACCCACATGCAAAGCTGATCTGTACACACAATTGGATAGGCACAAGGCGGGTCAGACCAGCACTGCTACGACCTGCTAACAAAGACTTACTTCTTCATTAGCTGTCATGTTTCTGCTGTCCTGCTTTACTCGAGCTGGATACAACCATTAGCAACCAAAAACCATCCCAAAATGATTGCCCTTGTTTATTTGTTGCTTTGATTCCAGCTAAAATTCAAAGCTTACTTCACAGTTTATGAACTGCATGGGTATGGCATAAAAGGGATCAAACGATAATCTAAAATGGGACAAGGAGGATTGATCTTTGAGCTTGTCAAACCATTTCTGCTATAAATATGAAAATCTCTTCAAATTATACAGATTTTCTTCTACAAAACTGAAGGAGAATTTGTTGTAGTATATAATAACCAAAAAAAAAAACAACAACAAATATAATCTGCCAAAAAATACATTCAGATGTCCTTCAGTGAATCGTATGTACAAAGCTATGGAAACCGTTGCTGTCCGGATTTCAGCAAACCGCTTGGCTTTTCGGCCTTTGATAACTCTTCACACCTGCTCAGACAGGATCCCTCAGTGCTTGCTAAGGATGTATCCTACAAAAAAGAAGATGCACCAGGCAAGAAAAGAGAGTGCCCCTCAAGGCACATTAGTGAAGTAGTTCTGGAACGAATCAGCTTAGCACATTAGCTGAGGGATGAGAGTTGAGATGATATCACTACTCCTTTCGTCCAGTATTTCTCCCAAAAGAAATTTTTTTCCACCTTTAGTAACCCTTATTACTAGTCACCACTATCACAATCACATGCAATGTAAATTGTGGATTTACCATTCAGGACCGAAGCAAAAGAAAACCATGCCCAAAAAACTTATTATGGATTACTAATTAGTGACGGTCTCGTTTCAATCTTCCAGTTCTATTTTTACAGCAGTTTTCAAAATACCTTCTTCTCAATTCTTTTCTCTTGTTTTTGTTGAGTGTCGTTTTGTATTCTTTTCTCCTATGACATTATGATCATCCACAATTCAGACTTGTAAAAGAGGCATTCAAACTAAAAAGTAGTTTTATAGGTCAATGTCAGTGAGGAAACTTACTACCACTATCACAAAAGGAATTAACCTCAGTTGAGCTTTGAAAGTTTCAAAATAAGCTCATGGTTTCCTCCAATAGCTTATTACAGCTCAAAGACCAAAATCATTATTCCTCGTCACACTTCGATGCAGATCCTCAATGAAACAAAGCAACTCCATAGCAAAGATGATCGACCAAACAATGCTAAAAAATATACGTAGAAAAAGAAAAGTCTCTCTTTGGAACAGTTTGATCAATTAGTAGTCAAATTTTTCTTTAATTTTCACTAGATTTTCCTATAGGCAGATCTGATTCTTCATGTCCTCGCACAAAGGCGACCCTTCCCACTTGCGTTCCCCAATAGCACATCTCATGAAAATAGATACAAAGTTGAATCTTTGATTCGACCCTCCTCACGTATGTTCAATCTATAGGATGGCATGACATATGAAATACAATTACGGCTGAACAACTGAGGAACAAAAAGTAGTAGCTATGACGACAGTTCTCTAGAAAATTTCCAAACAGGAAAACATCTTACATATTTGATGCGCATAAAAGTCACTTTCCTGATGGGCAATCACAACTCTAAATGTTTCCACAGTAGCATGGGAAATCATTTAGACTAATTCAACTGCCAATACTGCATACTAGGAGTAACAACCAAAAACCACCAATACTAACTGCCAAACTATATAACCAATAATTAGCATATTAACCAATAGTATCTAATAGAGCAAAAACTTGTGGGTCAACTACACAAGAAAAACAAAAGCGTACCAGCATTCTAAAACATATTCCAGTTTGTTACAATTAATATCTTCCTCATCCAAGGATTAAAAAGGCTCCACATAAAAACGGTATTGAGCCAAATGTAAAATATATTTGATCATGGACGGTCACATCTTCATTCATGCTGTACAACATACAACTGACACTAAAATTCTGAATTAGTTTTACTTTACAAGACTTGAATAGGGGATGGAAAAAAAAAACCCCCAAAGAAACAGCCTATTCCCCCAATAGATTTAGTTTAATCAAAAGTTAGTCTTCGTTATGTGGTAGATGCACAATGCCACCACAGCTTCATGAACCAAAGGTCTGACTCAGAATCATGTTCCAGTACAACCAAACAAAAAGGTCATGAATTGATCCCTTTTCTGATCACCTAATGAAAGGAGACCACATCCAAAACCGAGGAACCAAACCCAATGATACCTCCCTAGGATGGAAATTACAGAGGAATACCAAACATAGCCAAAGATGCCCAAAGGCTCATTCTGAAAACACAAGTTTACAACTTCCACCAGAATCTCCATATTTCATGTACATAGAAAGGAGAGTCCACTTTACTCAAAAACTTCCACCTAACAAGCCCATCAATTGCATTCAAAGACCCTACACTTTCCCCACAAATCAAGAATAATAACCATACCAAACCTAAGAAATATTTTATTCTCCCAAATTCCATAAGGAAATTCTAAGGGGAAGTACTAAATGACTAATACCTCTTATTAGGATAACAAGCAGAAAACAATTTGTTAGATTGAAACATGAGCCACAAAGCGTCAAAGTGAAAAGAAGCATTAGGAAATCCAACAAAATTTCCACAGCATGAGGAATGCTACAAACCTGGAAATTGGAATGAGGAAGCAGTAATTGATGTCCAGGATCCATTTAAGAAAGATCACCCATATCTTCGCTTTAGGCCCCACTTTTTGAGAAAAAAGAAAATGTATAAAATGTAAGAGTTTCTTCCATAACTAAATTGCAAAAGTCAATCGGTATCAAGGAAGAACTACAAAAGCTGAAGGCTCTTCTTTATGATTAAAAAAAAAAAAAAAAAGAATTGCAAAGACATCAAGAGAAATTTAACATTACAAAATAAGACCAACTTCAGCACACGAAAAAGAAGGGCAAGGTAGCCAATAACTCGTCTAGAAAAGTATTTGTCTGGATTTTATATTCACTAAACTCAGTTACCAACATTGTGCCATAGTCATGGAATCAATCCCAAAAGGACCATATAAAGGCTAAAAATCAAGGTTTTTTTTCCCTTAGATTAGATTAGGCATCATTTGAAGATCACTATCTGTGTCTGGAACGTTGGTTAGGAAGAGCCTGTTCAAGCATTATCAGAAATAATATTTTATTCATGCGAATTTATATATGTTCTTGTGGTGAGTATCCTCATCTTTTAATTAAGATATGGTCTTGTGTCTTGTATCTTGAAGTCAAATCTTAGAAACATTCTACATGAATTAGACATCAGCCTAGAATCAAGTCCTATAGTTACTAGATTGTAGAACCTAGAAAGTCTTTCGTCATAAACATCTATATCACTCGGCACATCAGCATCATTGGTAGGTCAGAGTTCAGAAGTTCTATTATCTACTTGCTACTGTGATTCTAATCATTGATCTTTCCTGATAGCTCCTCTACTCGATCTTTATTTGTACTGACCACACTCCCAGAATCCACTTATATTTTGGCTTCTACATGTAAGAAAATTTTGAAAACTGCCTGCAGAATTATCTCAGTCCTAGCATAATAGAGACGGAAAACACTAGAAATAAATGACAGGACCATTAGAAACCTCTTTCAATACATCAGGTGTCCCATCATCTTGTTTGGTAACAATGTGATAACAGACTTCAATTTTGCTAGTTCAGAATGGACAACCTTAGTAACCATAACTTCCACCGTCAAATTTATTCAAAACGCAGTAATCCCAGCAGCAATTGGGAACACAATATGTAGATTCACACATGATAACCAAATCTACGGAAACTCAAAGCAAAACAGAGGGGGTAAGGGCCATGCCAACAATTAAAATTTACACTACTAACTTTGTAATTAGATAGTTATTGATGCTGCCATTAAATGAGTAATAAATAGCAGTAAATTGCCATTATTGCTGATGCCACATTTATTCCCAGTATCTCCTGCCAAGTGGAACCATTAATATTAAATATGCTGACAGTAAATGAGTAAGAAGTCATTATAGGTGATGTCACATTACTCAGATATTCCTAGTACATCCAGAGTAACATGGGCCCGTAAATATTTAAAGCCAAGCCAATTGGACTTATAAGGTTTCATATGTTACCAAATAGCACCCACTTTAAGGTCCAATAGCAACCTATCAGCTGTCAAAACCACAAAACCAAAAAACTGTCGGGAATAAAAACAAGAGAGAATACAGTCGAGAAAACCAAGAAATAACAGTGAATTTAACTCAGTAAGCTTGGAGTTGTCAAGAAAGTTCAATTTGGGATCAACTAATGTATAGCAAACAGACGTAGATATATAAGTATCTGCACTAATAGTCATTACTACTTCACATCTCTTTTTTATTGACGTACTCAAGGATAACAGCAGTATGCCTCTTTGTTTTCATCATTTCAAGTAGATTTTTAAACAGCCAAACCATTAATTTAAATATTATGTAGTAACTTCAAGGCCTCAGGAAAAAAATTTGGACATGTTGAATTACATTCAAAGAGTTATCTAATGAATCCAAATCCTATAAATATGTTCAGTTACATTTGATCTAATTAATATCATACTCGGTCCTATGAATGCCTTCTATACGTTCGCTGATTTGCCAAGAACCAATGTAACCAAGTTTTACATTTGCTCATTCGTGCATCAATTGAGCCTATCTCACCTCACTTTCTAATGCATTCTTCTAAATTCTCTCTCTCTCTCTCTCTCTCTCTTAAAATCTTATTTCTGGTGCTCCAATTTCTGTTAATCTTTACAGTGTGCCAAGCTTCATATCCATAAAATACAGCTGGTCGAAAAGGTACATGTAATTATCCCATCAATTTGGATGATAATTAATGATCAAAACATAGATACAATTCTTCATCTGCCCCAACTCCCAATTACCAGAAGTCTATGTGTGAAATTTTTAGATGCATCTTTTTGATGCTTGCTAATTTAGAGTGCGAGATGCAAAACAAAGTGTAAAATTGGGACCTCGAACGCTATTAACACAAAAATAGTGTCTTCTAGTGAAAAGGCTCACCAAAGACCAATCGTCATGGCCATAGGTAAGGGCAACAGATGGCACATCCTAAAATAATCAGACAACCTTGTCCAATAAAGAGAATAATAGTTACTGGAGAGATTTATACATTTTTTTCCATATTACTCATCAATTACAATTAGTAACCCTTATACTTCCATGCGGCAGAACTTGTGCAACTTTGTCACATTGCCAAGTATTCTTGCCGGAAAACATTATAAGCAATGACTAGAGATGAAACACTTTTTGAGCTGATACATTTCACTCATCTTAAGTGAGGATTTGGTCAAAATCACTCCAGCATTCGTAGTTGCTTTCTAAGTGATCTTTTGAAATGGTTTTTTAAGTATAGAAAACATAAGCCAAGGAACACTAATTTAACACATTCCTGTATAAATATTTTCTGCTGAGAAACATGCATGTCCATACCAATATTAGTGACATAAATATGTGACGATCAGCAAGACAAGCTCTATTAAATAACTTTTTAAGCGGCCCTGAAAAATTCATGACATCAGAAAAGCTTAGGGACTAAGTTTGTCTGTACTTGCACACTGGAAGGTGTCCTATTAAATCATAGACCTGAAATACTTTAAGAAGTGTTCTTATATGTAACTAAAGAGAGCTGCATACAAAGGACCAAAGCTGACTGGAAGGAGTAAGCTCTTAATTAAGATCAGGGTAGTCATATCTATGATATTTTGAAAATAGCAAAGCTAATCCGTCGCTTGCCACAGTGACCAATGAAAGATGTATTACATTTATGAAGCCTGTCCTAGGAGTCTGGGTCTCCTCAGCAGAGTCAAATTAATATTACAAAAACTCATCGGTGTTCAACCAACCCAAGAGGTACTGCTTCTATTACAAGAAACCTAATAGAGCCATTACCATCTTGATCCATAACAAGACAAACCTCGTACCCCCTTTTTTTCCTCCGCATTACACAGATTTTTCCGGATTTTCAATACTGCCAACAATACCAACTGTTAACCAGGAAAGCCACAGTTTCTATTTGAAATCATAAAATTTCTACAGCCATGTTAATTTCAGAAACAATGAAAAGTAGAGGACATAGGGAAACCAGATTTCTCATTCATTCTTGCCGAAATAAACATGGAAAGGGAAAAAAATTAAAAGGTAATTCAATCTGACAACATTCCAAATAAACTTTAGCGACGCACAAAATTGAAAAGAATGAAAAATGTGTTGGTCGGGCAGGGGGGGAATTAAGGGTACAAGGAGGTATTTTGTCCCTGACAATCTGATTGACATATCAAACTAGACCTTCTGCAGAATAAATTCTGAAATGGGCAACTAGAGAAATAAGCAAAAGAATAAGTATGAGAAAACAAAGCAACTTTTAGGTTAATATCCCATACGCAAAACAGATTACTTTCCACACAAATTAATGCTTATTTGCATTGAAAATTATAGGCTGAAACAGACAAGAGAGGAGCACAAGGAAAAAGACAAGAAATGGAAGAGGATTTCAAATTTGTGGCGAAGTAATCTCGGAGACCAGATTCCCTGGTGAAACAGAGTCGAAAATGTCAAGTTTTTTTTTTAAATCTAGAAACTGATGCAACCCATAAATTGTGGCACGGCACTCAGCCAAAGATAACCAGCAAGATCTTTTCATCAAAGATTTTATCAAATTGTTGATCGATCAAAAAGTTACATCTCTTTCTTTCTGTAATGATTTCACAGTTTCAATATGATGAAGCAACCAACAGTAACTTTTAAATACTCCACACAATCATTTTGCTACAGAAAAAACCTAAAAAGGTACTATCCAATTGGACAAAAACAATGAACAGGCTGGAAATGTTTTTACTGAATCCAAAAGTTTCCATGACGTTATTCCTTGTTATCTGGGAAAAGACAGAAGTAGCGAGGAATCTTGCTGCTTTCCCTCCATAAAACTGTATAATAAGATCTTCCAAAGGCAGTAAGAAAAAATTTCTTTTTCTTACTTCTAAATGATAATAATAAAAGGATAGCATTCATTCTACATACAAAACATACACAATATAAGTGCTTCAGGCAAAACATGCATCAATACTCTTTCCTGTGGGAATCATATAGCTACTCCTAGAGAAGTGTGACTAGCCTCGAAGACACTGTCCAATTGATATCTTCTTTTTTCATTTTTAAGTTAAATTATTTTACGTTCTAAGAGACACTGAGGTCAAACCAGCAACCATTTTTAATTGGCTTACATTAAACCATTCCATGAGCCCCAAAGTTTACTACAGCCCAATAGTCACTATCAGGTAAAAATAAGCAACCACTTTAACTACCAAAGAAAATTAAAATTCAAAGCTAAAATACCACGTAAACAGCAGCAGCCTTAAATGAACTGAAAAAAAGAAACAGTCCAAACCAGATAAATAATGACATAGAAAGATGTATCACCTAGATTGCTAGACACTAATTTTGTTGCGAAGCGCAACTACATAAAGGAAGACTGGTTCACCATCCTGCACAATCATTTTCCTCCATCCTGCAAACAAATAGGTGACTGTGACTCAAAGCTTCTTCCCACGACCCTCTAAACCACTGTTTCTTTTCTTGCTCCAAAAATCACGACCAGCACGATCACTTGAAAACCTGTAAGGAAAGAGAGCAAGCAAACTAATTCCTGATTCCCAAACTAAGAACCACTGGGAATTTTGTATGTTCACTTACTTCGCCTTTTTCTGATTCTGTTGCTTAATACTCATAACCATGTCCATGGACATCTTCTGATGTTCTCTTGTTTGCGAATGCAAGTCCAATCCTTCCACTGTTTCACAATCGACCTGGCATATGCGACACCATCCCATGCTTATATGCTTCCTCTTCCTTGAGTTATCAAAGTGGGCCATGCCACCCTGAAATCCAAGTGATTTACTCAAAAAAACTTGCAAATTGCTTAGACCCAGACGAGCAAACATCAGATTCAATTATCCATGCAAGGATGAAAACAATATGAAAACACTTACTGGGTAAGGCCCATCATTAGGGAATCCCTGAGATGAAAAACTGCTTCTAAAACCAGGCTCCCCAAGACGAGGCAAACCTGGTTTGTTACCTGTGTAAGGTTCACCGTAATGGTGATTTGGAGGGTGATTTCCAGGCCCTGCTCCTTCTCCCATTGGTGCATGATCACCCCTTCTGAAATGGCTGGGAGGAATTTCTTGCCTAAAGCGATCACCTCTCCTGATATGGTCATGAAGATCAGGAACCCGATTCTCAACAAATCCCAAACCATCTGGACCATAATGCTCCCCTCTCCGGGGAAAACCAGGCATAGATATAAATCCGTTTTCATGAAATGGATTAACTTGTGGATCGCCAGGAAGGTTGAGCCTCGAACCTTCACCAAATGAGGGTGCTTTCCTTCCAAAGTAATCCTTATCAGGATTTCTAGGTGGTAAATGTTCCACATCATGCTTAGAGATCCCAGGACCTGGCTCATTAAGATAAGGGTTAGCAAATGTTGCAACTGTGCTTCACCTCAGCTAATTGGGTAAGACGTAAGGGAATTTGTACAGCATCATAGAAGAATAATACCAGAAGGATGAAATGCAGACTGGAATCTGGAATTGGGACCACCGCCAGCAGAATCCTTTACGGGCCTGGCATCGTAGTTTAAACCATGTGGCAGCCCCCTATCAAATGACTTTGATCCTGAATCAAAACCATAAACAATAAAACGCATTCAGGAACCAAAATAAGAATGAAAACCAAGATAACACAAGCAAACCAATTACGTGTAACAAATGAAGGACTTAAGTCTTATTTTAAACACCTTGATCCAGAGGCCAAATAGGATCTTTTGTGAAAGACTTCGATTGTTCCACGGGTAAAGCCCTGAACCTCTCATCTTGATAACCAGATCTGTCAAATCCCGATCCCCCATTCATTCTCAAAGCATTTGGTTCCATGGTAGATGGGTGGCCAAAAAAAGCTCTCTCTCCAGAAAGCTTCCCATAATCTCCATCGAGATTTCGAGGGGGTCTTCCCTTCATCCCACCTTGAGGATCACCTGATCCGGCAGATAAAGCGGATGTCCCCAGCGAGGCACCAAAAGGGGCAGGCCCCCCAGCAAATGAGGTTGTGGAGACAGAAATCCCACTGAGGACAGCATCATGAGTCTGCTTCTGCAGTGGCACCTGCTGTGATTGCTCACGTGAGTTTATAGGTTGACTTGGCAGAGACGACACCCGAGATCCCTGAGGCCTCGCTGTAGCTTCAGATCCAGGAACTTGTGAATGAGGTGATGGTCCAGGAGGTGGTGTTGGAAGACCAGCAGACTTTTGCTGATTAACAAGCCCAGTGGCAGACTGCAAGATTTCATTCCCAGGTTTCGGAAAAATTTTCTGACTCTTGTTGGATTGCAAATCCTCCAATCGAGCATCATTGCTAATTTGTCTCTGTTTTCCTACATCGGGAGAATTCTCGAAAGAGTACCCCTTATGTTCTTCCTTCAGTGATAGCTGGCCTGTAGGCTGAAAAGAAGGATCTTTTCTTCCATGTAACTCGTTAGTTTGCCTAGTAAGTGGTTGACTATTTATAAACTTATCAGTACTTTGTCTGATAGTTTCTTGCTCAGAAACCAAGCCAACTTCAGGAGTTAGAGGCCTCAACTCAAGAGAATCGACTATAACGCCTTCTGCAACACTTTCAGAGGCAATCTGAGAAGATCCAGTGCCAGACATAACACCTCTTTCAGAAACATTACCACCCTGAGACAAAGCATGGGTCGTCACAGATTGAGGAACTTGCTGCCCAGGGGCTGTCTGCATTTGGTTTTGGCTATTAGATGAATAGGAGTGATTAGTCGAATGCTCATAAGGCCCAATCTGTGCAGGTCTCATTTGAGCACCAGTAACAAAACCTCCGGAAGACTGCACAGCAGGCTGCGGCTGAACTGGAAACCCTTGATTTGGCATCAATGGTCTTCCCACATAACTCTGGGTTTGCTGAAGCTGTACACCAGGGGCCACCGAAACATTCGGCTGTAACTGAACATTAGAATTCTGAGGCACCATATGCAGTGGACCCTGAGAGTGAAGCTGGGACTGCTGCGGTGTGGATTGAGTTTGAAGACTGCTTTGAACAGAGCTAGAAAGGGGTTGTACATATTGCGGGATAGAATGTTGATTAGAGTGAACTACAGCACGCTGTTGATAGCTAAGCGGTTGATTTTGGTGGTGAAATTGCTGCTGCTGTGCAGGGGGCATGCTGGTGACTTGACCTTGCGGAAACAGCCCTAGCGTTTGATTGGGAACTGCACCTTGTGATGAAGGACGCATTAAAGGAGGTTGAGCGAGAGCCTGCGCCTGCATCTGATTAGAAGGAAACGACCCGGCTGCTGGATGGGAAGACAAAGGATGCTGCTGGGGAGGCTGAGGTTGTTGGTAGGGCTGATATCCAGAGACTGCATGTCCTGAGGCTTGTACAGGTTGGGGCTGCAAACCAAGAGCAGCATGATGATTGGGCTGAATGCCATGAACACCAGGTTGATTGGGCTGAGTGCCATGAACACCAGGTTGATTGGGCTGGCCACCAAGCGCAGTCGGTTGATTGGACTGAGAGCCAGGTGCCGTAGGTTGACTGGCCTGGGAAGGGCGTAAAATAGGTTGCGGATGAAGTTGGGGCTGCATCTGCTGCTGGAGATGAGGTTGTGAAGTCAGCATCTGTGGTTGCAAATGAAAATGAGAAGGCTGGGAGTTGTTCACGGTGAGGTGTGGCTGTGGATATTGAGCTGGAACATGTTGCTGTGGAGGATGCAAGGGAGCAGAAGGGGTTGGGAGCTGCGGCTGGAGATAGGATTGGGGTTGTGGCTGGCCTTGCAGATGGGGCTGGGGCTGGGGATGGGGAAGGGGCTGGGGCTGGGGCTGGGGCTGGAGCTGGGGCTGAGGCTGGGTTTGGGCCTGGGGTTGAGGTTGAGGCTGCATGGGAATTGAGTTATGCTGCTGAGACAAAGCAGGTGGAATCCCATGGGGTGTGTGCGCAGATAGCTGACCATGAGACTGCATAACTGAGTGAGGTTGCTGTTGCCGATTGACTGGAGGTTGATTCAGACTTAGAGGGACTGGAGGTTGCATTTGAGAATTTATTGCAGCAGCTCCATGAGGCTGGATCTGTGTTTGAGTTTTTGTCTGAGGTTGGATAGCCGGGAATTGAACAGAAGATTGTGATTGAACGTGAGGTTGGGTGGGATGCTGTGTCTGAGCTTGAGATTGGACTTGTGTCTGTGAAGAGGACTGCCCCTGCACCTGGGTAGACGTTTGGCCAAACGGAACATTGGGCTGTCCAGGAATCTGTTGTGGTTGCTGCTGGTATTGCTGAACAGCTACTTGTTGGTATGGATAATACTGTTGATAAGCTTGCTGATATGCATCATATCCATATCCAGGATACTGCTGATAATATTGCTGATACTGCTGTTGATACAACTGCTCTGCTGTCGAAACCGCTGCTGTAACTGTACCAGAAGCTTGAGGGTTTCCATCAGGTTTCTGATTTAAGTCCTGCCCAGGAAGAAGAGAAGCAGAAAGAGATTTCTGGGCCTCAGAAGTCGGAACCCCGGCCTGGCTGTTGGCTTGGTTTAGATTTACAGCCCCGGTTGCAGCAGTAACACCAGAACTGGGAACACCTTGGGCGCCATCTGGAGCCTGTTGCACTTGATATGCACCCTGAAATCACAATCGGGTTAATCAAGAAAGAAATCATGACAATTTCTGAGGGAGGGGGGGTAGTTGTACTTAAAAGCACATATGTAAGCAACAGTGTACTCACAGGGCAACTCTGGGCATGCTCATGCACCTGACTATGCACAATTTGAACTCCACATCTATTGCATATAACTGGAGAATTGCCAAAGGAACAGCCAAGACAATGAGAAGTGCATTCAGCCAAAGAACCCTCCCATGTGCACCCACTCCTATGATAGAGACATCGTACTTTCACTTTCCCAATCGTTTCAGCATAAGCTTTATCAGATTGAATTAGTGGCTGCCAAAAGACAAGTTCAGCATCAAACACAGAGAATACTAGAACTAGATGAAAATACAACTAAAAACTGCACATTTTTAAAAAGAACTTACCTTAGAATCCGCTTCTGTAACTAAGTATCCATCGTAGGGGCATGCACGGGTACTATTTGCAACATGCGACAAACAAGGTTTGCAGAAAACATGAGTGCATTGTGACTGGAGTGCTTCATTTGGGTAGACAAGTGTGCGGCACACAGGACAAAAATATTCACCAGGATAGTTTTGAATGTCAATTATACATTCGATATCGAAACCCATTTCGAACTAAAATAACTTCGTCAACTCCAGCCGCTCACCAAATTGGGAATCTAAATGTGAAAGAATTGGATATCAAAACAACATGAAGTACCAAAGCCAAATATGCTTATACAAACCACAAGAAAAGGACAAAAAAGTGCAAAAAAGATCCTACGCGTGCTGGGTTCCAGAGAAGGATTTTATGGAAGGTTCAAGGAAGGGAAAATAAAATTCCAACTTGAAAATGAGAGAGCACCAAAAATAAAAATCTCAGTATATACAGGCACAGTGATGAATGATGCCAGGAAAATACAAAACTTAACACCAATACAAGTCACAATGTTGAATGGGTAGAGTGAATAACAAAAACAAAACAAAATGGTGTGCTTTTCCTCATGTAAGTCCTGATGAACAAACAGCATACCACATGTAAGCCTGCCAATTTTCAAAAGTAAAGCTTCCCATATTTACACAAGTGGTCTCCATAACATATTTAATAGATGAATTAGGATTCATGTCACCATATGCCACTTTATGTGCAAAGGGATCCTGCTGGTACTTTAAAAGAGTTATACAAGAAAACAAAACAAAAGAACCACCCAAAAAAAAAAAAAAAAAAAACTAGAATTTCATCCCATGGACCAATTCCATCAAAAAATAGAATGATTCTTAAAAGCCACGGAAACAAAGACTCTACAAGTAGGATGGGCAACTAAGATGTCACGAATCTTAAAAGTAGATCACCATATAGGAACAGATGTGCGCAGGAAACACAGGCGAGCAACACTTCAATCCATAGGTATCAATGCCTAACATGAAGTTTTCAAATTGGCCACAAGATATGGATATTTCAAAAAAGAAGTTTATAACCGGGAAAAGAATGTGGTGAACAAAAGAGAGATCCATACAAGATGAAAAAGTTGATGAATTTGACGAAAAAATAAAAGAATAACTACTGACCAATTGTCTCATGCAAAGAAAAAAAGTCATACAACCAAGCCCATATATGAGAGCAACCAAAAGAAGCAAAAGCATGCTTCGTAGACGAAGTTTCATCATGAGCCATGCTAAAGCTAAACGCTTACGGAAATAATTAAAAGGTTTTTAATAGTAGGGCATACGCCACAAAAAATGACAACAACCATATTTGGAATCAACTTGAGAAACTAAAAGTGAAGATATTAACCCAGAACGAACAGACCGTGCAAACACGCGCCAACTAAGAAAGGATTCCAAATTAAAGTTTAACCAAAAAAGCAACCCGAAAGATTACGTTCTGACATATATATGGAAACATTAAAAGACATTGTAAACTGACTTCCATAAATCACCGGACAACCGCTTCACATCACTTGTCTGACAGGAAAAAGTTCCTCAAAAGCATCTACTTAACTTTCACCAGATAACCCTAGAAGAGTAAACAGCTTTTTTAGACTGCTTTCATTGAGCTTCACAGCAACGCCCACAAACAAAACATCCTCGTAAAATTTATAGAGATTAACACAACATTAAGGGTAATTGACAAACTTTACGAATAACCTTATGTTACATGCAGAAACAACGCACCGCAGCCTTAGCTAAGAAAAAACATTTTGAAATTTCTTTTCTCCACCCAATTACTGCAGATCAGTTAATTCAAAAAAAGCATAAATACATAACACAAAAGGATGGTACTGCCAATACAAAGACTTGTAGAAACTAATTCATAGACCCTTGACTACTAAAGAGTTGTCAAAATCAATGCATAGATATCAATAAAATATCCAATTATCCAATACAGACAAACAAACCACCAGAAGTGTTACCAACAATAAACTAAAGCAATAGACAATAAATTCATTTTCACATACTCACACCACACTGAACTTATACATCTAATAATGCTGAGGTTTTAGGCTGAAACAGAGAATGAATGTGATTCATGCCATGACCTTCTCGTCCCATGGTCTGATGCATATAAAAACAGACATATAATTCCACACCAAAAGAACATGGAGTAACGCACAGCAAATTCACCAAAACAAGGCATGCCCTTTATCAACTTAACTGTAACAAACACACACGAAAGCACATAAAAAAAAACCTCAGTGAAACCCAGCTAAAATCTAAGACACAAACAGTTGCAATCCAAGCAAACCATTAACAGGCGGATCCCTAATCATAAATCGTGGACACACAAAAAAAAAAGAACAAATGCATAAAGCCTGGCGCAAGAAGGATCGAATATCGATGCATTTGTTTGCTCAAGTCTCACCTTTAGATTTTAGAAACGATGCCGTACGTCGGCAAGTTGAAACCCTAAACCAGAAATCGCAGAAAGGTTCTTTTTTTCCCCTAAAAATCCAGACACGAAATCACAACATTCGGGAAATTGAACAACTGACTTTCCGATCATATAAACCAAACATTTCTGTGAAATCTTTATCTATCCCAAGAAGAACGCGGTTTTGGGCAAGTGAGTAAACAGTGAGCAGATAGTCCAGAGAGTCGGAAACCAAAGCGACTGAGGATGAATGTGAGAGAAGCTCGCGGAAACAGAGGCAAGCACAATTAGCGGTGGTTTATATATATGATGAGGAGAAACCGAAGTTGGTTGTCTTTTGATGATGCTCTCTCTGTTGGGCCTGGATCGTGATCGTTTTGTAATAAGGCAATAGGCATTTTTTGGGTTGTATGAATTGAGCAATAATATTTGCTGAATTTGTTGGTGGCATCAAAATATTCATTGTCGTTACGAGAAAATCACACAAATATGTGGTAATTTGCGGGGAAAAAAAATAGAGTATTTATTTATTTATTTACATTATTTAACTTAAAAAGGTGTAAATTTTTGTTAAGAGGTGTCCAGATGTTCTTAGGTACTCGAATCATCATTAGCTCAACCATTATCATCATCGCCGCTATTAGACAGTATTTCACGTGTTATGTGAGATCCCGTTTATTGAAACGCATTCCAACAATGGATTTGACAACTTGCGTAAATCAGTCATTTACAGAATTACAGTATCGGTTGGAGATGCTCTTGTACAACAAATTATATCACAATATCTTATTAAAAACTTCAAAAAAAAATTATTATATGTACATTCATAAAGTTAGGCCACGAGGCCCATGACCTTATTTACAAACTTATAGTTACAGGATTAGCCACAATATTCATTGGATGAAATCGTAATTTCTCTCCAAGTTACATTTTGTAAATAGATTAGAAATTTTCAACTGAACTATCTAATGTATAATTATACTTGTTGTAATTATTTAAAGTATAATATTAAAATATTCATTTAAGTCGGCTATGTTGAGATACAACAGAAAAAATATTGAGAGAAAATTATTAAAAACCAAATTCGACTTGATACAAAAATAATTAAAAATGAAAAATCTATCATGGACTTGATCGTCGGAGTTTTTCCATACATACTTACATAATTGATCGTATCGTAGTTGATGATGTTCTTCGCGATCGCATATTTCCGCATTTCTTTGAATGTATTGGTGAATGTTAGGAATTGACACTTGATAATGCGACCCGCGTCATCAGTCCAGTTTGTTGTCTCATCTCCCTCGTCTTCAACTATCATATTGTGTAATATGATGCAACTATACATTATACCTCTAAGTGATGTCCTATCCCACAATCGAGAATGTATATGTAAAATATTTCAACGGGACTGAAGTACTCTAAATGCTCGCTCGAGATCTTTTTTTGCTGCTTCTTGCACATTTTTGAAGAGTTTTATCTAATCATCAACCGGAGATGTGACACTTTTCACAAATGTTGCCCACTCAGGTTATATATCATCAGCTAAATAATAACTCCCGTTGTATTGAGTGCCATTTATAGTAAATTGAATATTATGAGCATACCCATATAACATATCGTTAAACAGAGGAGATTGGTTGAGTACATTGATAGCATCACCGTTAGATCATGCAATTCTAAAAAATGCATGACATATCCATAAATTTGTAGATGCGACTGCTTCAAGCACTAGGATAGGAGAACCTTGATCACCGAAAGTAAAACGACCTCTCCATCCAACTGGACAATTTTTTCATTTCCAATGCATGCAATCAATGCTACCAAGCATACCTAAAAAATCATGCCGTTCATCGTGCATCTAAAGTAAATGTTGAACGTTACATTCATTAGGCCTTCTCAAATATTGTGACTAGAAAATTTCAATCGCGTTACCACAAAAGTATTGTTAACACTCTAGTGTCGTACTTCTACTCATCCTTAAATATTGGTCAACAGAATCGACTGGTAATCCAAACGCTAATTGACGAAGAGCTGCTGTAGTTTTTTTAATAGGAGAAAATCCCATTTTACCAGATGCATCATGACTTTGTTGAAAGTATTTAGAGTGATTTTGAGGGATTGTATGATGCAGAGAAATAATTCTTTCCTCATACGGAACCTTGTACGGAAGTAGCTGAAGAGAATACTGGATTGTCAGAAAAATAATCATTAAATAGTCTTTTTTCTCCAATGTTGCGATCTCGACAATATGCATTCATGTTCACGAAGAACTTGCACCTCTTTGTTGCTCAATCAACTCATCCAATCTCCTTAAATCCTCTAGACCTGTATTGTCGAAGATTTGTTTCCGCATGTAATCATTCATTTCATCTCCAAGAAGAGATGGATCAAAATCAAGAAGAGAATTTTGAGGCATGGTTGTGTGTGAAGTTTTGTTACAAAAAATATGAATACCAAAGAGTTGCAAAGGCTTGAATAATATCACTAGTCTCATTCCATATTTATAGAGTATACTTACAACAAGATCAAAAGAAAGATTGACTACACTGTCCATGTGTGAATAGATAAAAAGAGAGATGTGACTACACTATGGTACGTATGGATAAATAAAAAAATAAAGAGGTGGCTACACTGTCAATGTATTTATGGACAAAATAAAAAGAGAGATGTGACTACACTATGATATGTATGGACAAATGAAAAAAGAAAGACGTGACTATACTTTCAATGTATTAATGGACAAGATAAAAACAAGAGGCGTGACCACACGATGGTACGTATGGACAAATAAAAAAAGAAAGACATGACTACACTATCAATGTATTTATGGACAAGATAAAAAAGAAATATGTTACTACACTATGGTTCGTATGGACAAATAAAAGAAGAAAGACGTGACTACACTAAGGTACGTATCGACAAATGAAAAAAGAAAGACATGACTTCACTTTCAATGTATTTATTCATGTAAAGTATTTAATACTTACTTTTTTGAGCTTATTGTTTTGATTTTCATTTTTTTTTTTTTACTTTTTTCATGCAATCATACGATGGGGTAAACAATAATACATCATATTTAAAACACAACAATATAATGTAATAAAATTCAAATACAGTGACACAAATTCTTACATTTTAGTATAAATAAAACCAAAGACTTGCAATGAAAATGACTAAATCAAAATAATAACCTAACAAGACTATTTATAATTAGACAAGATTGTTTCACATAAAAGTTCATGTATGGCTCGTTGTTCTGGTGTGATTTTTGAGGTGTCCTTCATCAAAATTTCATATTCTCTAGTAACCGTATGCCTCATGTGCACGTGGTTGTAATATTCTTGTTGCTCTAATTTGTTGGCTTCCAAATCCATCATGTTTTGTTGAAATTCAACAAGTTCGTCGTCATCATCCCGTGCCTTGCACTTTCCTTTTGACTTTCGTTTTCCTTTCTTGGCTACTTTTTGGCCTACTGCCGAACCTCCTATTCGATCTTATTGATTTCAACATTTTGATAAGCATTTGATGATAAAGTTTATGATCAAAATTCGTCGATACTTGTTCGCTTTGACGACTCTTTGACGGTCGAAACAACTATCCATTTTGGATCATCTTTCACAATTTTCCACACATGCTTATGTACAAAATATTTTTTCTTAATTTGGTAATATAGCTCACAAGCCGTATCCTTTATTAAGTTATCACTCCACTCACTACGGTGCTCATTCCATAGTTTATTATAGTGTTGGTTAAATTCATTGACATACTTTGAAAATCAAAACCAATGAGACTTAACTTACCTTGTTCTCTTTGCGGTAAATATCCTCGATTATTGTTGTAGTAGGCAGCAATCTTCTTTCAAAATTCCTTCGCATCTTGGTAGTTTCCCGTAATACTACATTTAGAAATTGTGAGCCATATATGAGCCAGAAGTATGTCTTCCTCCTTACTCCAACCTTGATAATTTGAAGTATTTTCTTTTTTTCTGGTGCTTGCGGGAGAGAATTAATATCCAAACCAAATTGAGTTGAAAATGGTGAAAAATAACCTTGGGGAGTTGATGCCCTTGGCATTGCATTTGGAGAGTCAGATTCGTCTCGAACATTTCGGCTAGTTGAAATTGGCGTAAGTAGATTTCATGAATACGAACCCGTATTTGTAAATTCCATTGAATAATTATTTCCAATCATTTGAGAAAAATAACCGGACGGTTGATACATCACGAATGGATTTAGGGCATAAGAAGAAGACAAATTAGGGATCTCAAAATTTTGAGGACATCTAAAATTTTGCATATTAGGATAAAAATTTTGGGGCGGAAAATTTAAAAATTTGTTAGATGAATTTTCATTGTTTGTAGGAGGATTTTTGTTATTTTTTTCTGCTCATGGTAAGTAAAAAAGAGAGAAAAAAATAAAAAGATGGTGTATAGTTAGGTATAGAAAAGAGAATAGAGAAAGTGGTGTGTTATGAAAATCAATGTTGGTGGTATTTATAGGCAAATTTTTAAATTATGTTCTAAAAAATTATAAGATTATAGTGAAAAACTGTAACAGACGGCTAGTTTTTTCAATGTTCAATAAATTTCTAACGGTCATAAAAAGGAAGAAACAAAAATTTTGAGATCATTTTGAAGAAGACAAAAAAAACAGCCAGATTATAAAGAAAAAAAAACATGTTGTAATTAAATGACCAATAGTAGAAAGGGTTGTTTCTTATTATTTTAAAAATAAAAACAAAATTTACTAAAAAACGAAATAAGGCAAAAAAAAATAATAATAAAGGCATGGTGGCTGACCATTCAAGGGCCCTACCGGAAAAAAATTGAAAAAAAAAATAGGGTTGAGCAGCTGCTGACCATGTGACAGGTCCCGGGTTACCTTACTCTTTATCAGAATTGAACCGCTTGAAATATTTGTACCTCCTGACAATATTATACACTCTTTCTAATGGTCTCCTCATTTTTTTTTCCTGACACAACACAGAAAAATAACCTATTGTTGTGGATACTCTAAGGCATTTTGATTTACCATAGGTTTTACCTAGTATTTTTTTATTAAAAAAAACCTTAAACATATTTTATAATAATTAGGAAAACATAATGAATGTGGAGAGGAATTTTTAAGGGTTATTTTTCCAATCGAAAATTCATACTAGATGAAATTTAGGACAAATCAAAATGTCTTATAATAAGAAAACGGAAGGAGTATAAATTATTGGGATTGCCCTTAACAAAACTTCCTATTGACACGGCAGCATTCCACTACACTCTTAATGTATACAACTTTTTTTTTTTACAATAATTTTACACTATTACTCATATAATTTTGGATCCACAACCCCATTATTACTACCCTACAACCATCTTTCTATTAATATTTACTACATTTACAAATAAATACATTTATTAGATTTCAAAATTGATTATTATAATTTTATTATTTTCTTAAAAAATATAAAAATAGAACTAAATAATATAAGAAAATGGAATTAATTAATTATCATTTACTAAACAACACATTAATAGAGTACATTAATTCAAAAAAGCAACCTCAACAAAATTTCAATACAAAATGATATTGATAAAGCATGTACAAGAAAAAAAATTTGTTGATCTATTCTAAAAAGAAAAAAATAACCGTAACATTCAAAAAAAAGAAAAAAAAAATACAAAATAGTGAACATAAAAAATATAAAAGGAAAAAAAAAAGAATGGGCCATGTGGCATCCCGTCAGCGTAATTCAGCACGTAATTTATTTGACATGGCTGAAATGAATATGTAGCATCTAACAACAATATCAATTTTCCCACTTGATATGATACAACAATTGTATCATTGTTGTACATTCTCTGAAAAGTAATCTCAAAGTATGACTAGGAATTGAATAATAGTCTAGTAATTAGGATGTAATGTTTCCTGGTATTAGATCCGGATTCAATTCTCACAAAGGGTATATGAAAGAGAGTTTTACCCATATTAAAGTGCGGTCGGCTGGAATATATATATATATATATATATATATTGAAAAAAAATAAAAATCTCAAAGTATGTACTAGCTAAGTTTTAAGAAGTGGGAGCTTTGATGTGTCATCAACCTATTAGACTAAAATTCAATACTCTTATGAAAATAGATGACATTATCATCACACACATTATTACAAACATATTGTCCCAACATTAGTAACTGTGAAAATTAGCATTTCCAATTGTGTAGCTTCTCTAAGGTGGATAGTGCATGGAGAGAGTACACATGCTAGCCAAATGACCCAAAATCGCACTATTGAGTACTGACTATCTTTCTAAAATGTAATCTACAATTCCGTTAAAGTGATGTTTGTGTTCCCAAAAAAAAAAAAATAACTAAACCTAATGCAGACAGTGGCAGAATCACGATTTTATTAAAGTATGTGGTAAAATGTACCCCGAAAAAAATCAATATGATTATAGGGGTGAAAAATTTTATTAAAAAAATCAGGGGCGAAATTATTTTTTTTTCCCATAAATTTATATTAAAATTTAAATTTTGAAGGGGTTTTTCATTTTTCTTTTTAAAATTCAGTAGCCCCAACTACTATCTTCTTGCTACACTGTCTTGAGATTTCATTGTTTGAATGAACAGTGTTTTGCAATTTTGATTACTTCTTTCGTTTCAAACTGCTGGTGGTCGTTTTAGACATTTGGAACATTTATTTTGGTGATGATGCATACTGTCGTTTAAAAAAAAATAAAAATAAAATCGGTGATGCAAATACACTTGTATAAAATTGGGGGAAAACGATATACAAAAATTAGTATGTGAACTTAATCTCTGTAAAAGGCCTCTATTTTTGACTTGGGTGATGACAATTAGCGTATTGTTGGAGAGCGAAAAGAAATTCATACAAACTTCGTTTAATATTTTGTTGTTTTGCACAAATAATTTGCTTTCAGTGATTAAAGTCATTCCAACTTCCAACCTTATGATTCCTGAAATGAAAAATAAGACCCTATCCTTGAGTCAAATTTTCCCATTCGTTTGTTGGTATATATATATATATATATTTATTTATTTTTTTTAAAAAAATTTGAGTTACAAATTGCCAAAATCAAATCATTCAACAATGTCCCTTTGGTTATTCGGGCTAATTCCTTTTTTTCCCTCCATCTAGCAACAATAGTTCTGTGTGTTATTTTCATTAATATTTTAACATTTTGATTTACAGAAAAGACACTAAAATGAACAGAATTTAACAATAGTTTTTTTAATTGATAATTCTTCCAAAATTTTTTTAACGAAAGCAAAAAATGAAATAAGAATGTAATGATGAGATAAAGCGAGTGTTGCTTATCCAACTACCGCAGCCCACTGAAAGTATGAACTCAGCCCAACCCACTAATTTGATTTCCCACGAACAAATCAATCATATGTGATCAGGTGTCAACTGTCAACATCCATTTTATCATATCAAGACCAGAAAAGCAAAACGATTAAAAATCACTAATTCACATTTCCCATAGGCACATAATTATTCTTAACATTCCATGCTTGAGTTGTCACTCTAATATCTTAGCAAAAGACAATGATACTCTATATCTATGAAATGATTATCAAATTTGCTGCACAAAACTAATCGAATAAGAAGACAATTATTTTGGAGATAATCATTTTTCTCCTTAAAAGATATGTAATAGGATAAAAAAATAATACATATCAGGTTATAGTCACTTCGATTAGAAAATATAATTTTTCAAAAAATTTCACTTTTAATATATATCAGGTTATACTAAAATTGAGAATCTGAACTGGACCATAATTATGAGACAGAAAGAGTACTTATTATTTTTTTCTCGTTGAATCATCTCAAGGAAATGATCGATTGTAGATTTGTAGGAGAGTAACAATTTTCTTTTGTCTTTTAAAAATTTCCTTAAGAATCTTTCTCATTACCATTTTTTTTTCTTTTTTGAGAAACAGTCTCATTACTTCTTAGGCGGATGCACTTAATTTTTTTGCTTAAATGAATGACAATATAACACGATGCAAGCTCCATGATGCAGGTGCGCCCCACGCGCTGCCCAAATAAGGCAGAATAAAACAAAACAAATTAATTAAAGAGTGACGGTGACGGCCATCAGACTTCACTCCTCCGCAATTGCCCAGTACGTTCCTTCGTCTTAACTCCATCCAATTTACACACAGTCACACACCAAATATATACACTACTATTAAAAACCCAGCTGACACCATCGTACGCATTCATCGGTCGCGCCCCAAAAAAAAAAAAAAAACCTACCTGCCTGCCTCTTTGCCTTTATAGCTCTGCTTACCTCACTAAGAAGAATACTAGATTACAAAATCCCGAAATCCCCTTCACTTTCAGGTATCGGTGCGAAATTTTTTTCCATTTCTTTGCTCATTTCGTTTGTGTTTTGATAGTAGTGAGACTCCTTCATACATTTGATTTTAGGAATCGATTTTACATGGGCCTGAATTTTGCATTGTTTAATGATGTTGAGCTTGGGAACTTTGTTGGGTTTTTTAGTTTTTTGGGGGGTCCTTCTCTGTGTATCATGGAACTTTGTTGGGAACTTTGTTGTATCATGGAATTGAAGCAGGTTTAAACAGACACGTTTTTTCCAAAGTAGTTGCGACTTGGTATTGATTGTTGCAATGGGAATTTCTTGTTTATACTTGTCTGGATAATGGGTAGACAGAAAGAGAGAGAGAGTGAGTCAGCTCAACTGCCTGTTTTAGTATTTTGGGATTCTATACCGGGTTTCCTCCCTTCTATTTACTTTTGGAAAATGCTAAGGATTTGGCTTAGTTGATAGTGATATTGGTATGCTTAGGATTCTCAGTGCTGTTTGTTGATAGTGATCTTTTTAGCTTATAGCTTTTGTTCTCTATCAACTTCGCCTACTTTTGGTTCGTTTCAGATGATGACAATATTTAGTGTCTGCATATAATATCATATGCATAAAATAGGCAAGGTACCCTATGTAACTTGGTCGATTGGTACTGATGGTAATCTTTTTGTTGCTTTTCTCTAGTGAAATGCTAAGGAGTTGATCTGTTGAAACCTCTTTCTGTTCAAGATTGGGAGACACTCTATGGAGTTGCGTTATTTTATCGATATTCATGTGGGGAGACCAGTGGCAGTTATTTGGTTTGCCCTACTGCTGCTGCTAGTTCAAGACAATGGTGTAGGGGCGACTTCCAATTATTTAATTGGCCTCGGAAGTTATGACATCACTGGTCCTGCTGCCGATGTCAATATGATGGGATATGCCAACATGGAGCAAATCGCATCCGGTGTTCACTTCCGGTTGCGAGCCCGAGCATTTATTGTAGCGGAACCTCAGGGTAACCGTGTTCTTTTTGTCAATCTTGATGCTTGCATGGCCTCCCAGATAGTTACCATCAAAGTGCTTGAAAGATTGAAAGCAAGGTAACTATGTTTCGAGTCATTTTATGTTCCAATAGTAGTCACTGCATTCAGAGTAATGTTTTATCTGTTCTTTTAGCATCTTATTTACATGCTTGTAATTTAATGTTTTTGGTGGCCTAGTTGAATGAATTCGTGTTTCTGCTGTCTCAGGTATGGGGATCTATATACCGACAAGAATGTTGCTATTAGTGGCATTCACACGCACGCCGGTCCTGGAGGTTATCTACAATATGTTGTGTATATTGTAACATCTTTAGGATTTGTTCGCCAGTCATTTGATGCTCTTGTTGATGGCATAGAACAATGCATCATCCAAGCTCATGAAAATTTGCGGCCGGGATCGGTATTTATCAATAAAGGTAATGGAAGAAATATCCTCTTTAAAGTGCTCCCATTATTTGAGAAATAATTTTACTTAACAAATGAATTAGATCCTGGTTACCATTTTTGGTGTATTGAATCCAGAGGTTTACAGATCTTTCTTTATTTCCTTCCAAATCAGTGCTGTCAGGAATATAACTAAATGCCATTTGACTACTTCATTAAGCAAAAGTTTGCATGTCTTTCTTTTTCTATTTCGGTTCTGTTGTACCACTTTTAGCATTTGGTACTTATAGTCTATGTAAAGGCTCACTGTCAGCAATACTTATTTGGATCCAAATACTTTTGGATATTTCATTGTTCTCATCAAATTTTACCTTTGAACCAACAGGAGAAATTCTAGATGCTGGTGTCAACCGCAGTCCTAGTGCTTACCTTAATAATCCTGCCGCAGAACGCAGTAAATATAAATATGATGTTGATAAAGAGATGACCCTTTTAAAGTTTGTCGATGATGAGTGGGGTCCAGTTGGTAGCTTCAATTGGTTTGCAACCCATGGAACATCAATGAGTCGAACTAACGGTTTGATAAGTGGGGACAATAAAGGGGCTGCTGCGCGATTTATGGAAGATTGGTTTGACCAAAGTCATGCTGAAAAGACATTCTCTGTTGAAGCCGGATCTGGTGAGATCCATCGTAGAGTATCCAACATTGTTCCTGTTGTTGATGAAAAGCGTAAGCATTGTGTCTATTTTTCACTCTTACTGATTTGAGCTTACATGCATCAAAGGAAGTTCATAGTTTCAGTTTGAGCATCTCCTTGACATTAACTTTAGTGAAATTGCTAAACTATTTTACATTATGTACGCAGATCATGAGTTACTTGAAATGGCTGCTTCATTTCAGTCTTCTCGTGGCCGACCAGCAACCAAATCTATGAGCATTGCTAGACGAGTTCGTAGTGCTCTAAGGCTGACCAACAGACCTAGATTTGTATCTGCATTTTGTCAAACTAATTGTGGTGATGTTAGTCCAAATGTTCTAGGTGCATTCTGTATAGACACGGGTTTGCCTTGTGACTTCAATCACAGTACTTGCGGAGGGAAGAATGAGTTGTGCTATGGACGAGGACCAGGGTAGTCATCCATCTCTGTTTTGCATTTTTCATGTTTTTTTTAAAATGTAAATTTGCGGTTCTTTGATTTTCTTATTGGCTCAAACACAGTTACCCGGATGAATTTGAGAGTACGCGTATCATTGGTGAAAGGCAATTCAAAAAAGCTGCCGATCTTTTCAACACAGCAACTGAACAGTTAAAGGGTAGGGTTGATTATCGTCATACTTATCTGGATTTCTCAAAGCTAGAAGTAACAATACCAAAGGCGGGAGGGGGTACTGAAGTGGTTAAGACATGTCCTGCCGCTATGGGTTTTGCCTTTGCTGCTGGTACAACTGATGGACCTGGAGCTTTTGATTTTACACAAGGAGATGACAAGGTGTGCTATTTCATTTCCTTTTGTAGGAAATACTCATGGCCTTTGTGGTCGTAAATCTGGTAATTTTGGTCACAATTACATTTTGATTCTAATATCTGTGATGCATGCCTTCAGGGGAATGCATTTTGGAAACTGGTCCGCAACTTGCTTAAATCACCAGGCAAGGAACAAGTGGACTGTCAACAGCCTAAACCTATTCTCCTTGATACGGGTGAAATGAAGGAACCTTATGATTGGGCTGTGAGTGTCCATCCTCTTGTGACTCTTTGCTGCAGAAGTAATTAGTAACTAATTAAGACACCAAGTGGACTGATGTTTAAATGTCTTTTCCATTTCAAATCAAGATGCAGATCACAATTTAAATTTTACCAAAGGCATATAAAAGCTAAATCTTCTTTAAAAAAGTTTGGCTCCATGCTTCATGAATAAGGCAAATTCTTTTTACCAGAATCGTGTATATATGTTGTTAGGGATTAGATTGCTGATGTGTTTTTCTGCCTGTTTATACTGCAGCCCAGTATTCTTCCCATTCAGATATTAAGGATAGGGCAGCTGGCCATTCTTAGCGTGCCTGGAGGTACTGGCTCATCTTGCCTAGTCAGTTTCCATTTTCTTCCAGCATATTTTCTTTTTTAATGATAAACTTAGCTTCTCATATGCATAATCTTGATGAAACTGGTGATTAAAAACGTTACAGGTTCCACTTGAGTATTTATTTTATTTCAAAGCTGTTATGTTCTCAGCCTGGCAAAGAAAATTGAATGGGTACCTGTAGACATACTGGATGAAAGACTTGAATTTGTTTTCCCATTTTAGGTTACGAGGATGAGGACTATGACTTAGTGACACGTCTAGAAGCTAATGAATATGAACCATGATGTAGTTGTCCCATTTTGGCCTTGGATTTTGCAAAAAAACTGTACAATAAATTTGGAAACCTTGGATGAACTTGAAAGCTTTTTACTGAAGAAATTCCGTTAAGTTGATCAAAAGGTACAGGACTTACTGCAATCCGTTGAATCACCCATTTGAGACTCGATCCATGTTTTGCCTAAATATCGCAATAGTTCACACACAATTCCTCCTTAATGCTTTAAAAGGTTGATCTATATGTCACTTTCGCATTTACCCTTTAATCACTGCAGTTTTTCACTTTCTGTAGAGTTTTGGATGTGTCTTGCAAGGTTGTAACTGTTTCTAGTGCCTTGTACTCTTTTGGATTCCTTACAGAATTCACGACTATGGCTGGGAGAAGGCTCCGTGATGCTGTGAAAAGTGTGCTGGCAGGAAGTGGTGGACAGTCTGATGGAAATATTCATGTTGTGATAGCAGGGTTATCTAATACATACTCACAGTACATCACCACCTTTGAGGAATACCAAGTGCAGAGATATGAGGTCAGATGACTTCCACATTTGCTTGAAGATATCTTGTTACAAAAATGTTTTAGACGTCATTCATGTGCATGTTCTGCGTGACTTGCGCAAAATTTAGCTGTTTGCTCCACTATTCCAAAATCCCCTACCCCCGAGATTTTTTGTTCTTTTTATGTGTGCGCGCGTGTGTGTGGGGGGGGGGTATTTGTTTGGATTTAATAGTCCGGTATTGCATTTTCCATGTAAAAGGGTAATATATGCTTTAAATCAAACTATAATGTAAACCAGCTACCAGTTAACAGAGTTTTGTGGATCTTTTTCTTTACATAAAGGAAAAATGTCAAGGATCAGGCATTACTGAGATTGACTTGGAGTTAAATGAGTTCATAATCGGGAATTAGAATTTTCAGGTTGGACAGGGTTGGGTCTGTATGAGTATTGGTGAAGGAAGGTCATATTTGCAGTTGTTAAGTATAGAGACAATTAAAGAAAAGGGAAGGGGAGGGAGTCTACTGTACTGATCAAGTGTTGGAACTGTAAATTAACCTTATTTTATGTAATTTGGGATGAGTTTGACATACCTTGAAATAATGGTAGTTCATGTAAGAGGAAGAAATGTTTTCCTAAACTTTTATGAAGAGTTAGAACAATTTCTTGCCAAAAGCATTTCCAATGCTTGTTTTAGATGAGCGTCGCCCATCATGCTGCTGATATATCTCAAAGTTTTCATCAAAATTATGAACTTACTCGTGTGAAGCTTCAGTTGATCAGTTGTCTCAGCTGGTGAAATTCAACTGATACTTTTCACTTTCACCAGAATCAAGAAGTCCACTTACACTTGTAGGTTGGATAATTTTACAAGCTATGATACTTGACATTTTCAGTAATACATTTTGGATTTCACTTGTAGGGTGCCTCCACACTTTATGGTCCGCATACACTTAATGCATACATTCAAGAGTTCAAGAAGCTTGCAACAGCTCTAACAAGTGGAAAGCCTGTGGAAGGAGGCCCATTACCTCCAGACTTGCTGGACAAACAGATTAGCTTGTTAACGCCTGTTGTCATGGATGCCACCCCCGTAGGGAAGAAATTTGGGGATGTTATAACAGATGTGCCAAAGAACGCCACCTTCAATAGAGGTACCAAGGTAACAGTTGTTTTCTGGTCAGCCTGCCCCAGGAATGACCTCATGACTGAAGGTACATTCGCGCTAGTTGAACTTCTCCAAGGGAAGGACAACTGGGTTCCTGTGTACGACGATGATGATTTCAGTCTCCGCTTTATATGGTCAAGACCTGGTAAACTCAGTACTCATAGTCAAGCAAGCATCGAATGGAGAATACCGGAAACAGCAACACCAGGCGTATATAGGATAAGGCATTTTGGGGCAGCTAAAGCTCTTTTCGGATCCGTTAAGCATTTCACGGGTTCATCTAGTGCTTTTGTGGTGAGCTAAAGACTGTTCCCTCCCCGATATGTATAGTCTAAATCATGATCCAGGGGTTTTGCCGTCTTACTATTGAAATGTAATGTCATAAGCTCTAATGCTCGTGTAAACTTAATCTCCACGCTTCCCGCTATCGAAGAGCTGAGAGCACAAACTTACAGCTGAAGATTACCTCTACTACTAATCCTATACGTTGTCAGGACATTCGGTATAACTTCTCTGTATTAGTACTGATTGCATAACGGCGAAGTAAAATTGAACAAATGTAGAGCTTGAAAGTTGAAACTGTACTGTTTTGCAGTATATAGAAACTCTTAATTTACATGTCCTTTCTTTCTGGACAATTCTTGACTTCTTGTAATCCACAAATAGAAAACTTATGAGTAACTTGATACTCCGTCCCAAGTGAGTAGCATGTTTCTTTAACTAAAACTCTTTGATTAGATGAATCTCTCTCGTGTAGTGACTAGTGAGATAGTCTACACTTCCTTTTTTGGAAATCCGACCACGCTCTATTTAAATTTACATTGATAGGATTATTTAAATTTTGTTGGATGTCCAAAGCCTATGCTTCTTGAGTTCACGTATTCACGTTGGTCAGTCAGATTATAGTGAATCAGCAGAAGACAAGGAATTTCATTATGCTGAAGAACAGGGGTTGATTAGTAATAATATAAACTTTAGGGCAATTGGATGTAATCCACACTTTACGGGGGAGTTTGGATTTTGAAATTCCGATGCCTCTCCAATTGACAAATCTGATAAACGACGTCGCAAAGCTAATGATTTTCTCTTCCATTTACTGAAGCCTGCAGATCTCCCGCTGAACGGGGACCTCCGGCCTTTCGGAATTTTACTAGCTGAAGTTGCCAAGCTTCGGCAAGTTCTAACGGAATATTCCTTCTCTCTGAAAATTCTGAACGGGCGCAGTGATTGCCTGATTGAAGAAGAAAGTTAGTTTCCAAACAGAAAGGAAAAGAGAAAATGTCTGTGCAAGAGTACTTGGATAAGCATATGCTCTCCCGGAAAATCGAAGACGCCGTCAATGCCGCCGTCAGGGCGAAGACTCCCGATCCTGTCCTGTTCATCGTACGGTTTATTCATTATCGCCTACTCCTATGCTCGTCGCAGTTCTTTATGTGCTCTGATTGTTTGTTAATCTTGTTCGTTCTTTTATTTTTTTGGCTATATTGACAGTCAAATCATATGAGGAAATCTGTGCCTTCGGTGATTACAAAGGTTAAAGCTAGACAAATTCTTGACAGCAGAGGAATTCCGACCGTCGAAGTCGATTTGTACACTAACAAAGGCATGTTTCGTGCTTCTGCTCCCGGCGGCGCTTCTTCTGGAATGTGGGCGCTTTCCCTTTCACCTTTTGTTTTTTTTTTCTCCTTGTGTTCTTTCTTCTGACCACTCTTCAGCCTTGCTATTTGCAAACCATAATTAGTCTTGTATCTCTTTTTTCTCCCTGCTCATCCATATGCATGATCGAGGGGGATTGGAATTAACTACTCGTCTTAGAAAATTCAAAGTGTTTTTCAGTGAAATTCTTGCTTCTACTCAAACTATGGGATCTCTTCTTTTCTGAAAAATGAAAAAGTACAAAAAGTTGTTGAGTTGAATTGAAGTAAGTAAATAAGGTTCTATTGTGGCTGGAATCAGTAATTCTGAAAGGGAAACAAACATTATACTTGTTTCCTTAAACTTTGAGAAATGATTGATAGTTCATGATTAATTCCACTTTTAGGGTTTGCATCAGGCAGACAGGCAGTATATTAGTCTTTTATAGTGACGAGATGCAAATTGCTTAGCTATTTCTTACCACCTCACACTTGATTTGAGTTTCTTTCATGTGCAAGTAATATAAATGAATCTTAAATTTGATGTCCAAGAATGATATAATTGTAATGTATCTCTGATTTTAGGTACGAGGCTGTTGAGTTACGTGATGCAGAGAAGGGAACCTATCTTGGAAATGGTGTAAATAGAGCTGTTAGAAATGTCAATGAGAAAATTTCTGAAGCTTTGATTGGTATGGATCCAACTCTTCAGTCTCAAATTGATCAAGCTATGATAGATTTGGACAAAACTGAGAAGAAGGTAGCTCGCTCGTAAATGTTTTTGTCAGATATTGTTGATAATTGTTGGCATATGAGCTATGGGAAAAGGTTCAGATTTTTTCTCTTTTGCATAATCTATATTTCCATTATTCTTTCTTGTCATCAGAGGAATCAGTTTCACTCAATCAAAGTTGTAGTTATGACTGTGTATTTAAAATATTGCCTGCAAAATATCACCTTAAGTTGAAGTATAGTACTCAAAAATTTTGCAGCTTTATCACTTATCATATAGCCAACCGTGCCATAGAGAATAGTCAAATGCTGTTAGTATAAATATCTTTGCTCTAAAGATCTATTATGTTCTTCACCTCTGCTAGTGAGCTGGTAAAGATTTGGGACATATATTTCATTGTTTGCCTGAAGAACTATAGTGTTGATATTAGTCTGGAATGTGGCATGATACTCCTCAGTTCAAATTTCACAAAACAATTAATTTGACAATTTTTTCTGTTTGATACTTGATGGCTCAACGCCTCAATCAAATATAAGCCTATACCAAACTGACCTTTATCTTTCTGCTCAAAAACAAAACACCACTTTATCGTCATGTATAGAGCTCTGTCGTTTCCAATATTATGCCATCCTACCGACTTCCTTGATGTATATGGTTATAGCTGATTGATCTGGCTTTACAGCTGATGTTTCCCAAATTTATATCTACCTATAAGAGAATGTAACTTTTGCTTTATGTACCATTGTTTTATGCTTCTATCTTTAATGTTTTCCAGTTCTGCTGAATTTATGCATTCCTTCCTGCTCAAGTTGAAACTTCAAAGTCTGTGTTTGGCATTTTTCATGGCAGGGTGAACTGGGAGCAAATGCAATTCTGGCCGTGTCAATGGCTGCTTGCAAAGCTGGTGCAGCTGAAAAAGAGGCATGCGAATATTGTTCTTTTTCCAATTAAACACAAGTGCAAGATATTTGATTTGAATCTTGAGAAAAATTTTAATTTTCAGGTTCCAGTTTACAAACATATTGCTGATCTTTCTGGCAAAACAAATCTTGTTCTGCCTGTTCCGGCATTCACTCTTATAAGTGGTGGAAAACATGCCGGAAATAATCTGCCTATAAAGGTAAGCTGTTTAATCTCCAACTGCCTATCTTAACAAAATATGTGGGCTTCTGTGATAGGATTCGTTTTCTTCCTTCTGTACCTGCAGCTACTTGCTTCCTTCAAAATTTACTTTTATTTTGCTTTAGATTACAAATTGTCGCTATCTCAGTTTCACTTCAGTCTTACTTTTACCAAGTTGAGCAAATTTCATGATTCTTATTATGGCTTATGATTACCTTTCAGCAAATCATGATTCTTCCAATTGGTGCTAGAAGGTTTGAGGAGGCATTGCAAATGGGCTCGGAGACGTATCATCATTTAAAGGTTGTTTTTCGTGGTTCTGATGGCGTGATATTGCTTTATAGGTGCAAGTTTTGAGAAGGTTGAATGTTACCATGGCCTGAATGCTGAATGAGGCGCTCAGACAGGACAATCTGTTTAATTTTTTCTTAGTGATTGACAAGTAAGATTTTGTGGGCACGTACAGGGTTGTGAAACTATGTCTTCATTAAACATAGTGTGATCTGGTTGTACCTAACTATATAGTTTAGCTGCTGGTAATCCTGGCACTTCGAGGACAACAAGTTGAATGAAGTGAATCGGGACTTTTTACATGGTTAGCCAATCTTTGCAATTGAAACAGGCTGAACTGTAAATTGCAATTGATGTTACAATCATCAATCAGTTAATATTGGGTAGATTAACAATGGTATGAGTCACAATTTCAACAATTTCGTTTATGGCCGTTACTTGGGGTTTAAAAGCATAGTTACCTATGTAAATTCAATGATGGACATATGTGGAAAATCTCTGAAGTGATTGATCATGGCATTATCAGATATTATATTTGATTTTTCTTGATATCATGAATTACTATTCTGGCCGTCATGCCATAGTTATATCTATTGTATTGTTTTTCATCTGATATGCTCATTATTTCATTTCAATTCTGTGTTATGGTAGGCTGTTATCACCGAGAAATATGGAACTCATGGATGTGGTGTTGGTGAAGATGGTGGTTTTACTCCTAGTATCACAAGGTAAAATCTTCAATTGTTATTTTATTTTACTTTTTGCCTCTTCTTCTTTTGGGATGATATTTCAGCTCGGACATTCTGGTTTAACAGCATTCAGGAAGGTTTGGATCTTGTTAAGGAGGCAATAGCCAGAACAGGGTACAATGAAAAAATAAAGATTGCTATGGATGTTGCTGCCACAGAATTCTGTATAGGTGATTTCTTTTAACTTCAATGACTGGGATGCAAATAAACATTGCAGATGAAATAGTATCATGTTATTTTGGAGAAATTTACTCTTATGGCTCGTGGAAAAGATTGGAGTTGGATCCTAGTCTGCTCCTGTAATTTCTGCAATTGTACTACATGCCGTCCGTTCTTTGCGTAGCTCCAGTTAGTTATTTCTCGATTCCATTATGTTGCTTGGTAATACGATGCTAATCTTCGTTTGAATTCTCCACACTAGGTACAAAATACGACCTAGATTTTAAATTCCCAAACAAATCAGGACAAAACTTTAAGTCTGGAGAGGATATGATAAACATGTACAAGGAACTTTGCGCAGGTCAGTAATTTCTAGCTTCATGAGCTGATATATTCTATTATCGTTTTCACAATGTAGACTATTAAATCAGTCATTTTATCTCTAGCTAGGAAACTCTAACTTCTCTATCTGCCCTGAAAATTTGTGTTTTGTTTTAGATTACCCTATTGTATCAATTGAGGATGCATTTGACAAGGAGGACTGGGAGCATTTCAAGTATTTTTCAAATCTCGCACTCTGCCAGGTTTGTGTCATGTTTCTTAGTGATTGCTTTTAGTTTTTCATTGCCGTTCTTTTCTGAAGCAAAGGAAGCAATGTAAGAATCCTAGCACATGATTATTCATTTTTGTTTTTACTTACAGAACTGTTTTCTTGATATATTGAGAATGTGATTAGTTAGCTAATAGAGATCATAGAAATCTGTTCGAGGTGGTTAATTAAACTGATCAATATAAATGATTTTAACTGGGGTGTGTGATGCTGGGATTCAAAGTATAAATCAGTTAGCATATTAGGGCCTTTTTTTCGTACTAGGAAGCTAATATAGCAGCCATCACGATCCTAACAATATTCGTTTTCATCACTCCGTTCATTTGATAATTAATATTTTCATATTGCCGATAATACCTCCTTGCATTCACAATACACAAATTTGGCAGTTGCAATATAGGTTTTAATATTTCACTGGACCAAAACACCAAGTATATAGGCGCAGTATAATCATATTCGTTCCAAACCCTTTTCTCTTTTTTGTTTTGATGCGTGAAGATACCTTCTTTTAGCGGGATACATGTGCCAGTACTAAACATTGGGAGTCAAATTCCTGATAGTATTCATGTCTGCATTATCAATCTTCCCAACTTTTCCCTTCTCCCTAGTTGACCCTCTTCTTTCCTGTGTTTATTTGATGCTGTCCCGTTTTCTCAAAGTAGATCATTTCTGTTGGCAGGTTGTCGGAGATGACCTATTAATGTCAAATCCTAAAAGAATTGAAAGAGCAGTGCAAGAATCTGCTTGCAATGCTCTGCTTTTAAAGGTAACTAATGATAAATTGCTGCATTTCTACTTTGAATTGGTTATTTGCATATCTGAGCATCTTTCCAGCAAGAAAATTGCGTGAGGGGATTGTGCTATAGCTGGATTTGATGGTCTTGGGTTGCACACTTTAGTAATTAGTTTAACGCTTTGTTATTGTCAATGGTAACATTTGAAAAATGGGGAGCTACTAGGAATTATGGCACCTTAAAATCTTTTCGATTGTTGGTTGCATGATGAAACTGAGATACCTGAGGACTGAAGTCCATGGGTGCATGACCTTTGGAACAATTTTTACCTTCCTTCTCATTTGTTAATGCTGTTTTTTTCTGTCAAATACCATTTTTTATCTCCCTGCCCATTCTTTCACTCTGTAGTCTTGAATCTTGAATCCTTATCAAGACCCTCCTTTATTCAGTTGTGCGACATGATCTGTTGATCTTAGATTGTTATATTAAGCAGATGTTTCCTTGTGCTGCTTTCATTTAGCTAGGCAATGCACTTTTGCATTCAGTAACTCATGAGAACATTGATGGTTGATCTTCAGGTTAATCAAATTGGAACTGTTACAGAGGCTATTGAAGTTGTAAAAATGGCGAAGGATGCCAATTGGGGTGTGGTAATATCTCAAAGAAGTGGGGAAACTGAAGACGCTTTCATTTCAGATTTATGTGTTGGCCTTGCCACGTGTCAGATAAAAGCAGGCGCACCTTGCAGAGGAGAAAGATTAGCAAAGTACAACCAGGTACATGTATCTTCTCATGTGTCTACAATTTTAGATTGGTTCCTCTTGTTATTTGAAGAATAATAAGTAAATCCAATTTGATCATGATCATAGACACCATTGTTTCTGGTGCGGGGAGTTGTTTCTTGATACTGTTCTTTGATGCTCAAAGCCTTGTTTGCATGTCCCCCCCATCTGTCTCCTGAATACTTAGTGGAAATGTAGACAAAAAGAAGAGTCATCACGAATCAAAGACATCAGATAAGCCATAAATAAAAGGTATCTTCATATCTAACCTATTGCACTTCTATTTGCAGTTGCTCAGAATTGAGGAAGATCTTGGAGATCAGGCAGTTTATGCGGGTGATGACTGGAGACATTTATGACCAGAGTTCTTGAAATTTTGGGGATAGTAGTGCACGCCTCAACGAAGCTTTTTAGAGTCTTTTGTGATTATGCTTTTCTCATTTGAACTAGAGTGTTTTGTATCAATTTTGTGGATGAGGGTTAGTCCTTTTAGATTTGTTATTGATAGACTTGGGGTGACAAGGCAAACATCCAATACAGCTTGGAACTGGAAAAAGACATCAGTGTCATCCATGTTTCTGAAAACTCAGGACATCTATGTTCTCTGAATTGTTATCTCTTGGCCATAACTATTAATGAGATTGCATTTACCCTAGAGATTTCCGAGTAATGTCCAAATCTTGTCAATTACCAGAAAGAGATAACCTGAAGTTCGAGAGTATCATTTCAAGGATGTGGAAATATATCTTTTAAGGTTTTTTCGTCAATTAAAAAATGCGTAGTAGATAAAACCTATGACAAATCAAAATGTCTTATATTAAGATACCAAGTATTGTATAGTTTTGTTTTTTTTTTCCCCTAAAAATATCAAGACTGTTTGAACCTTTTTTTGAAATCAAATTTTTTAGGACTGTTTGAATATTTTAGCGGTTTTGTTTAGATTAATGATTGGCTCTATTGAATATTTTAGCGGTTTTGTTGATGCGGGATTGTGAGGTTATTGTTCTGTGGATTTGTGAGATCAAACCTTCTGATTGAAGAATAGACTCCGTTGAATATTTGTGATGCGTGTGTGTATAAATTGCTTAGCGTGAATTTGTTTGTTACCGGGAACGGTTTCACATGATTTTTAGTCTTTTTTTTTTTCACTTTGCTTGGATCATTTTTTTGTTGATTTTTCGTTTTTTGTTTGGTATACAATATTTATCCATTCTGAGGTATATTTTCTGGAAGCATAACCGAATCCCATGATTCCCATGTGAAGGACAATATAAATGTCGTGGTATATCCAGAAAACTAGTCGAAAGTCGACGAAGAAGGTAAATCATCTCCGGCTTTAGCTGTTTGTTTTTTGGGTCGAACTCTTGGTGGATTTATATTGTTCATATTATGAGCTAAGGTATCTTTTGGATACTATTCGAAGCTATTAGGGCAAGAATTCGCATATGTCAATTGAATCAAACTCTGTTAATTTTCAGTCTGATTTTGTTGATTTGCTCGGTTTGAAGGTGGGAATATTTGATACAATCTCCACCGACCTTAAATCAGATCAATCTGATATCTAGGTTCCTTCATTACAAAGTAAACTACCAAGCATCTATAGCTGAAAACAGGGGCAAAGACATAGCCATAGAAAGGATTCTTAATAGCAACAAACGCATCTAGAAGTAATGAAAATAGATGCAGAATTAAAGACTAGATTATGGACTAAATTTTTTCACAACCACTAGCTGACATGATAAGTAAGAAAGTACTACTATCTAGTTCCAGTTCTGAAAGTGCAGGAGTAAACAAGCACAAATAAGACATCAAGATTTGGCCTCTTCGTCCTCTTCTTCAATCTTCGGAGCCAAATAGAACCTTATGTAACCCATCTCTGCAATCTTGTATTCCACCACAACAGGAAGCTCTGAAGAAAGACTGATGGTAACTGAGTTTGACAGTGGGCTAGCTTTGGTAAAGGAGTTCAGGTATCTCAGGGCAAATGTCAAAGACACAGGCTCGTTCATTTCAATAACAGTTGCATCCTCAGGCTGAAGAAGACAAAAATTACAGCGTCAGTTCAGATACTACAGAGCAAAGTGCCAACTTGACTAATTGACAATGGAGCATAATAGACCAGAAAGAGGATCTACCTTATCTACTGTTGTATTCTGGCGGCAAACAATATTGGCAGCACCAATGTCACCTCTTGTAGAAAATTTAACACCTTCCTTTGTCACAGATATCACAACTGAAATTCCCCAAGAAGATACAAAGCAATAAGATTTATGAACACAGCACTACAAAATAAAGACACAAAACAGTCGCACAATTCAGGGTAGAACGACTGGCTAAGATTGTTTACCTGTGTCCCCAATGCTACTAAGGTCCTTACAGATTCTGGCAAACTCAGCTGAAGGCATCCTGACAATAGCATGATATTCTGCCTCTGGAATTCCAAGATGCTCACTATCAATGTCCATCAGCTTCATCTCAAAATCTGAAATCTTATCCTGGGCTGCAAATTTACAAATACACAACCAATTAACAATTAGTAAATCAATCAAAACACCAACAAAATCAAACAAACGTAAGACGGAAAAAACATACGCAAAGAGTGAAACTCAAAAGGCACAAAAACAAATCCATCCAAAGAATAACCAATTGAAGGCACACCAAACGACGAGGGTTTATCCAATCATTCAATACGAACATCACTACATCAAATCGAAATGGAAAACGGAATGCCAAAAAAAAAAGGAAACATACTAGGGCTTTCAAACATGAAGGTGACAGTGTCGCTGCCGTCGTCGCCCTTGATAGTGATGATGTCATCATTTCCGGCACATTTCAACATCTTAGCCATATTATTCAGATTCATCCCCATGGAAAGGCTACGGTCACAGCGGTAGTGCTCAAAACCCTCAGATCTGAGAAGCAGCGCCACCAGGGCGACGTGGCTGGAATCCATGGCTTGCAAGGAGAACCCACTGGCGGAGCAATCGAAATTCGCATCGTTCACCAAATCCTTAATCGCATCCAGAACCTTCTTCAACAGGCTACCCTGAACCAACCTTAGCTCCAACATCTTGAAGAAGAAAGGGTACAGAGAATTTTCGCGGGCTTAGCTTTAGGGTTTATGGAGGGGAGCGTTTTGAAAAGGCGGGTGCGAATTTTGGGAGAGGGAAAATAAGGGTCGGGTTTTATATAAGTGGGGGAAACCGGGAAATGTGTCCGGGAAACATTCGGGAAGCGTGCTTTCGAATTTTCATTTTTAGGGATTTTGATAAATGGCGGGACGTTATTGAATTTTGGTGGTAAACTTTATTAATTCCCGCCGAAAATTTCCCAAGAACATGTACCCGATGGGCCTCTTGGGCTTTTACATGGGCCTTATCATTAGCTTAAACAGATGGCTTTTAATTCTCTTTTTTTTTAATTTTTTTTTTTAGAAGTTTCTAAGGCTCTGCACCCAAAAATGTGTTTTGTTAAATATTCAACCATATTTAAGGTTTTTTAAAATTTTAATACTCCATATGTCAAAAAATTTATTACCCAGTTTGAATTTATATTCGTATTTTAATTTATACTAAAAGTAAAAATCGAAACTAGACAATATTTTCATGATGAAACGAGTACACATTAAAAAACGTTTTAAAGAACAAAAAAGATGTAAGCAGAGTTTTATTTTTCCTCTCTCATGTTTTTTTTTTTTTTTGAGGGATGAAAATTTCATTTAATATTTGAAAAATCGTCCAGAACGAATTGAACAAGAGGTGCAAGATACAATTGATGAGTACAGTGTTACATTTGATTGATAAATCATATGAATGTGCTCGTTATGAATAAACATGTACATATCTATACATAAATCAGTATGTGAATGTATGTCGTACCAAATTTTTTTAGTCTCGAATATATTTTTTAAATACCGGTGTAAAGCTCTAATCATCGATCTAACAAATAGATCAATAGGTGATTCTTCTCTAATGTAAACCACAACAAAAGCACCGCATGCTTGAGCAACGAATCTAGATCCACAAACTGCAACTCGCCGATGAACAAATTGTGATTTGTAATCTCAATATCAATTCTTTGCCGGAACCGCGATCCAATTGACTAAAAACAAATATCAAACCGAAAACAAATATGGATATAATCCACTTATTCTTACAAAAAAATAAAAGAACTTGTTTCTCCCATCTCCCATTAATGAGAATTTCATTAATAGAAGATGGAGGAACGATTGAAAATATTTTAGGGTTGAGGGGAGAAGGGACGGCGGCTGAGAGAAAGGCGAGGAGAGTTCTTTTTCATTAACTTGTTATTTTTCCTCACTCATGTTGACTATCATACAATCCTTATACATTAATACAAGAGGATTTTATGATAATTGAGCGTTCTGATTCAATTGAAAATTTTCTCAAGACATATGTCACATTAATAGAAACCGTACAAAACTTACTTCAAAGTAATAGTTTCTTAAATCCCAATAATCTAGCTATTTGAATTTTGATATTTATTACTAAGATGAATGAATGTATATGATATAATTCGAATCAAGATTAATCATGGCTTGTTTGGCCAACATTTTATTTTAGTCTTTGTTTTGGGTTTGAAATGTGATTTAAAATTTGGTTTGAGAGAAAATTTAAAAAGTTGTTTGAGTAATATTTTAAATAAAATAATATTATTTTTAGACTACTTCTACCATGTGCGGTCCGGTGGCGGATGGTGGCAGCGGAGATGGTCTGATGGTGGTATAAAAAATGATGTAAAAATAATGTTTGAGTTAAATTTTAAAAAGTAAATTAAAAAGTTGTTTGGATAGTATTGGGGTTTGTGTTTGAGATATGTTTTAAGAGGTAAAATGAGACAAAATGCAAAATAAGTTGTTGCCCAAACAAGACCTCAATTATTTGAATTTGAAACCATATCTTCTCTAATAAATTAACCACACCTACAAAGATCGATAAAACGGATAGAGATTTGTATCTTTGGTTGTGGTTATTTTCACAAAACTAATGTTGCAATTCTACTTCAAGAACAGTGGACAACAATGCCTGCACTAGATTAAAGAATAAGAGGAAGAATTTATGGTTAGGACAAAAGAAAGTTTTGTCTCCAAGTCACGAGTAAACTTGCTTTCCTTTAGGCTCAATTCGCCCGCTCTGCAGTGCAATCGTCTAGGCAAATTTTCTATGAGATAAAATGGAGATCATGTTGTTTCACTATGCACTTTAGTGAACCAACAACCTGATACAAGGATAAGAAATGTCATTGGAAATATTTAAAGTATTTTGGTAATTTTATTATACACTAAAAGCATCCAAATGATCCATATTTACAGAGTTAGAGGAAACTCTTGAGGATTAGACGTAACCTTTGGTTATGGTACTTGACATAACTTTTCGTTAATGTCTTTTCATATGGAGTTCACAGACACAACCTATTAGTTATGTCTCTACAATATATTAAAAACACCTAATAGGCACAAGATATTAATTGTGTCCCTACAATATATTGAAAATAACTCCAACAACTAACACGTCTCACATAGTACGCGGGGTAAGAATCAACTCTCACGCCACACAATCCATACGAAGTGGACTACTATATAGTGCCATCAATAATAAGATGTGATCTTATTACAATAAAATCTCTATAAATTAATCTTCTATAAATTAATACTCTATGAATTTCTAAAATATGTAGATGTCATTTGAGGAATTGTACAAAGTTTAAGAAGACAATAAATACTTGGTTAAAATACTAAATTATTCTCATTTACTCTTAATGCAATTCTATTTGTAATATTATTTAATTGTAATACGTTTCTACTTTAAACACAACTACAATTTCCGATGTAGGAGCCATGTTAGAAGAAATTGGCAAAACATGTCTCAATATGCGAAAACGACATATATTTTGAAAAAATGAGTTTTCTTTTATCAACATTTATTTTGGAACACAATTAATAAATATAGAGTCATTTTGTTATATGAAAAGCAAAATCTTTTCAATTACCAATAATACTCTTATATAAAATTTTAACACAGCTGTTGCAATTAATTTTTTTTTCCTCATTTCTTTTATGAATCAGGTAAAAGTCAATCTTTTATTAAAAAAGAAAAAAACCTTGCCTAACTTTTTTCCTTCTCCAACTTTTTTTAAAAAAACTTACATAACATTTTTTCTTCTAATTTTCTGTAATCTTGAATTAGAACCTTCAGTATTGAATAAAAAATTATTAAAACATGATATTTGAGAATTTTGTAGAGAACAAAAAAAATCATTAATAGAGAATACACAATTCAGTTCCAAGCAAATAAAAAAACTGACAGGCGATATTTTATGTTGAGTTTTTTTTTGTTCTCCGCGAAAATTTCTCAATTATCATATTTCAATAGTTTTTTTATTTTTTTAATTCAGTACTAGAAGTTTTAGTTCAAGATCACAGAAAAATGAGAAGGAAAAAATCTGCGCAAGTTTTTTTCTTTTGTTTTTAATTTGGATAAGGGAAAAAAAACTTACAAATTTTTTTTTTTGATTTGGAGAAGATTAATACTAATGATCATATTTTTTTGATATACTAATATTAACAATTATAATTAGTCAATTAATGCAAATAGCAAACACGTTAATAACTTGTTTTTACGACATCTCGATTTAGCATCACATGTAAATTTATTACTAAAATTTCTAATTTAGTATCATGTGTCCAAATTACACCTCTCTCTCAATATGTAGAGATTATTATTATTTCACACAACTGAACAACTAACGTGCACCCATCTTTCAACCCCTAGCCGACTCTTAACAAAAATTTTCTTTCCCCCATCTTCCCTCGATGGAGGAATTGATTTTATTTTTCTTAGTTTAGAGTTTTTTTTATCGTTTAATATGTGGAATATGTCCTCAAAATATTTTTCATTCAGTAGATTAATTGTGATTTATTGAGACGGTAAGATTTTCTTGCTGTATTCGTGGCGTCCATCGTATTGTTGCTGCGATGTCCGTGATTTCGTTCGTTGCTTTTGACTACGCGGTTTAATAATATTCAGTTATCATAGATTTATTTGAGAAATATATGATTTAGTGCTTTTATCAGATGATTGTAGATATGTTATTGAGCAGATTGATTATCTGGCACGTGATATATCCATCGTTGTATTTGATAGATCTAGATAGGTTTATCCACGAGAAACACAACAAGTTTAATTATAAGTTATGTTCTTGTTTTCACTGTATCTTTCATTATCAATTGTTACCGGATGATTTCTAGTAAAATAATATAATATAGAATAAAAAAAAAAACCAACTAACGTACATCCAGTATATTAGATTGTTGCAACTCTAGTTTGCAACTTTCATTCGTAATTATCTAATATATCATGGTGTTCTACTATAACGATTGTTTCATGTGATCGATATCATCACTTGGTTAGCATCTAAAATTTACTAGTGATGTCTGGTCGCGCAATGCGCGACCCTGGCTCAATATATTTGTAGATCTTAGAAATGTTTGTATCTGAAAAAAAAAATATTTTGTATTTAGCCCGATATATTTTAGAAATATTTGAGGAATTTTAAAAATGTTTTATAAGTGTGATGTTTGTATTTGGCATAAAAATAAATTGTATTTGACCCGGTACGTTTTAGAAATGTTTGAAGATTTTAGAAATGTTTTATAAGTGTTACTTCTTAAATATAAAAAAAGTCCAAAAACCAAATCCAAAAAAGTATATTCTTGAAACCCCAAACAAAAAAAAACGTACTTCATTAGTAAATAAAATAATAATAATAATAATAATAATAATAATAATTGGTCAACTGGGAGTATGAAACAAAATCAAAAGCAATTAAACAAAGAAAAAACACACTTCATAACTGGCCATATACGAAAAAAACCTGAGACTCCATAATTAAAAAAAGAAAACCACTCTAATTGAATGAAACATAAAAAACAAATTTAAAAAACCACACTTTATAACAAAAACCCAATCAATTAATTCAATCCAAACATAACTAAAATCATACAAAAATTCTAGACTAACTAACCAAATAAGAAATCATATCATACTACCTGACAACAGCTCCGGTAGCTGTAACGGATGGACGCATAAAAATAATAGTAATAACACTATTCTTGAACGGGAAAAATAAAAAATAATAAAAGCCAAACTAATTATCTGTGAAAATAAAATCATTTAAATTTTACTACTTGTAATGGCACCACCACAACGGCCGAAGCAAGATCAATGAGATTTTTTTTTCCTTTGTATTTATATAGAGAGGTAAAGAGAATATTTTTTGAAGTTAAAATTTTATCCGATTAGGATGTAGTTGATCATCACTAATGAAAAGATTGAACATGCTAATAGGAAAGGAGTATATTTCACCACATATTTTCAATTGATGATTGATGAGAAATTTATTTTTTTTAATTGTGGAGAAGGGATTGATTAAGGAGTCGATTGTCGTGGCGATGTGGATGGGGATTTGGATTTTTTATGAACCCGTGTTTTTTTTTTTGTTTGTTTTGACGAAAATAGGAGGTGGAAATAAATTTGGACTGCATTTGCCTTTTAAATTTAGGAGATGTGGAATAAAAATTTATTTTAAAAATATGATGTGGAAATGCCACATGTCAAATGATGGTGCTTTCTCTTAAGTGTGGTTTTTGTTTCTAATATAGTAAGATATGATCACATACTATCGACCTCTTAAAGTGATCAAGTAATGACATATTAAAAATAAATTAAAAAATATTTATGATTTCAAACTATAACTTGATTTTAAAATGAATGAATTCTAAATGTAAAATATAAATACAAATATCAAAATTCAATGCGAACTTTTTTTTTTTTTTTGAAACAAAGAGAATATTTGGATTTAACCTCAATCCTTATTGATCGATCTTCCTTAACATTCCGTAAATAGTGTGTCACTTTTTTTTTTTACCTAGTTAAGTGCAATATACAGTACTTCCACATTTCTTCGCCTTAGTTTAATTGGAAAAAGAAAATAAAAATTAAACATATCGTGTAAACTTCGGTCATCACCTGAAATCTTAAGCAAATTGTGTATTGCATACTAACATTGCTTCCGGCCGCCATGCCCAACTCCTTTGGCAGTGCACAACATTGTTATTGACGGAACCTTGATCAGGGAATCGGATCTGTATTATTTTTTCCGTCTCAAAATAATTTTTTTAAAAAGAGGTAGAAATACGGTTCTTATAAAAGTTGTAAAGTTTGAGTTGACAACATTATTATACAGTGATCTAAGGTTGAACTTTCAAACGTTAAGATGAAAATTGCCAAATAACATACCAATCCCCAAATCATTGTCAATCACAAATGTCAATGTCCCCAATACCAACTGCCGGAGTTAACAAAAGCATGTGGCCACAAGTCCACAACTACCGGTTGAAATACTATCACTCGTCATTTCTTCCATAGATAATGATACTGGGTTTTCCCGATGAAATTATAATATGCAAAAAATTACGCTATCAAATCAAACACTTTAATTGGTAAAAGTCTTGATCGAAAATGAGGTTATCTGGTAGAAAGTAGAAACACAAGGGAAGTAATCCCATGGATTTTAACATCACAAAATAACGATTCAATGAGGCAAATACTGATATCGTGGCCAAAATATTTATTTTACAATTATACGATAAATGCAACGTTTTATTTCGAATGAATAACCGAAAGAGTCCAAGATTTATTTTGTTTTTTATTTTCGTTTTACCAACTAAAAAGTGATGCAAATGTATTTTTTGGGATGAAAATTGTGGTAAAAATAGTACTCCTCCATTACAGTGGAATGCCTTAATAGTACTTTCTCTGTCCTAAAATTATTGTCCAGTTTGAAATTTTACTTTTAGTACAATTTGAATTAGAAATGAAAATCTAAACTGGACAATAATTATGGGACGGAGGGAATACTTTTTTTTTTGAATTTGATTTGGTTCGTCCTAAATTTCATTTATACGTTATTATAAAATTGAAAATAATATCTTGAAAATGTAGTATTTTTTTTCATTTATTGCATTCTCCAAATTATATAGTAAAAAAAGAAAAGAACTCAGGCAGTATATCCTATTTTGCTACTCAAATATGTTCTACATTTTCAAGATATGTCTGTCAATTCAGAACAAAAACTGCTATGTTCAAAATGTTTTATAACGATATAAACTCTCATTTGTCGTTAATTTCTTAACAAATTTTCAAATAATTAGCTAACATTATAAACCAAATTAGGAGATAGAGATCCAAATTCCAAACTGAGCTTCTCTTTCAAAGAAATCATTATTCAAGGCATTGAAAGGTGGAAAACGTACATGGTAGGAAATTTCATGATGATTTAGAAATGGTTGTTTGATTTTTTTAAGGATACTGACTTGCAGTTCCCCATCCCTTTCCCACAAGTTAGCTGAAGAAAAGGTTAACAACTCCAGTATTAATTACGTTATCGCAGGTTCCAAGGAAAAAAAGGGTTATTGGATTAACGTTAACTCAACAAATAATTTTTTTTTTTATTTATTTTTCGTTTTTATTTTTATCAACATAAGGCACTGTTCAGTATCCTTTTTGCAGTAGCAGTATTTGAACTGCGTAGAGTTCTGAGCAGAGAGTGTCTTATATATATATATATCCAAAACCAAAAAGCAAAATCCAAAAATCCAAGTTGGGAATGCCGGCCATTTTAGCTTGCGAGATTACTCTGCTGATTGAAATCGTAGCAGGGGAAGAAGAAGAAGAAATCCATAGAAACAAAGCCCTAAAAAAATTCATTTTATGTGATTCGAGTGGTCATCTCCTCCGACAATGACGGATCAATTCGAGATCTCCTTCGCCGGAATCTTCCTCAGCAGCGCTTTCGCCGCTTGCTTTGCCGAGGTTTGCCCCCATTTTGGAATTCTTTTTTGGGTTTTATTGAAATTTTGCCATCGCTTACTGTTATTTATTAGCTCAAACTGTACTCTGCTAGAATATCATGTTTAATACTTATGATTACTGACATCGAATTAATCTATTTGGATTGCTAATTATGTACCTGTGATCTTTCCATTTGACCCCATTTTTATTCCTTTGGGTATGCTTGGCAGTTGTGTACTATTCCTTTGGACACAGCTAAAGTTAGGCTTCAGTTACAAAAGAGAGCTTCAGGAGGTGGGGAAGCTGGGGGTGCTACATCCAAATACAAGGGTTTATTGGGTACGATGTTGACTATTGCTAAGGAAGAAGGTCCTGCGGCGCTTTGGAAAGGAATCATTCCAGGTTTACACCGTCAGTGTCTCTATGGAGGTTTAAGGATTGGCTTATATGAACCTGTAAGTTTAATCCCTTAACAAACTGATGAAGTCCAAATTCATTTCATGTGGTATCCGTATTTGATAATTGCCATTGTTCTCCTTTGATCAGGTTAAGGCAGTCTTGGTTGGGGGAAATGCTGTTTCAGATGTTTCTTTGTTTAGCAAGGTTCTTGCTGCTTTACTGACTGGTAAAGTTTTTTTTGTTTTTATTTTCTTCTTGAGGGGAAATGGATTAGCTTGTTTTTATGTCCTTTTTCGACCAACTGTTAATAATGATGCACCTGTTGATTGGTTACTTTTTAAACTGCCGTAACTGATCGATTGATTCATTTATTTTTCTTCCATATATAGGGGCTATAGCAATTGTCGTTGCTAATCCAACTGATCTGGTAAAAGTTCGCCTTCAAGCTGAAGGAAAGATGCCTGCAGGGGTGCCTAGACGGTATGCTGGTGCTTTGGATGCTTATTATACCATAGTCAAACAGGTGTGTTTCTCGTAGCTGTGAGACAATTTCTGAATTTGATGATTCTAGTTGATTGCTTTTTGGTTACTAAATTTTAAGCGATTATGTAATATAGGAAGGACTGACAGCTTTATGGACCGGGCTTGGGCCCAATATTGCCAGAAATGCAATCATAAATGCTGCTGAACTGGCTAGCTATGATCATGTAAAAGAGGTATCTTGATACTTCAACTCTTTCAGATTGTTATCGTTTTTTTTTTTACCTGAAGCTGTTTTCTGATGGTGTTCTTTCAATTTGTTCTCCAACTAGGCCATTTTGAAATTTCCTGGATTTTCAGACAACGTGTTGACCCATCTTCTAGCTGGCTTGGGTGCTGGGTTCTTTGCTGTCTGTATTGGTTCTCCTGTTGATGTGGTAATTTACCTTTTTCTTTTATTATTTTTTTTACAATTTTGTTCCAGTGCATGCTGAGTCACTTCTCTGAATCATTGTTCGCACCCAACTTTGCGATTTTTTGGAGTATCTTTTGGTTCAGGTTTGTTAGTCCCGTAGAATTAATGATGGGAATGTGATGTTGAATTGAGGTACTTTATGGATCAAAGAGTATCAAAACAGAACAAGAGTTAAAACATTTTAATTTTCTTTTGTTCTTTTAGTTGTTTTAAATGAGAATTGGCAAAATTCTGTTTGTGACCAAAAGATCATTAATTGTAATTCCTATCACCCTTGTGCCAAGTCAGATCCATGATGGTTTCCATCTTTATTGACTGGATACATACATTTTCCGATGATTTTCTTCCTAACCTTCATGTCATGAAGCATATTTGTTGCACTGATTAATTGCATATGTGCATTCAATTTGACTAGGAAACGTTTGTGTATGACATGGTATCATACAGGTAAAATCCAGAATGATGGGAGATTCAGTCTACAAAAGCACCTTCGATTGTTTTTTCAAAACTTTAAGAAATGAGGTACTGTCTTCCTTGTTCCATTCTCCACTTTTATGGTTAAGTTCCAGAACAACTTGTTTTTATTATGGTTTTAACCGTAATGATTTCAATAGTTCGATTATTCAAGTTCTTTGCGGCAATGGACTTGTTAACATTATTCTCCCTGCTGCTTTGCTGGGATGGTTAGTATCTCCTGCTTGATTGCCGATTCTGTTTTGAAGAATGTAATTGTGATTGCTTTGCTGCTGAATTTTTAGGTTAAAAAATGCACAAAACATTTCCTTATTTCGATTATCTTTTGATCTGTTCTTGATATGTGCAGGGACCTTTTGCTTTCTATAAGGGATTCCTTCCCAACTTTGGTCGACTAGGTATATGGAATGCCATCATGTTTTTAACTCTTGAACAAGTAAGTGAACACTTGCTCAACTTTAGGTAATTTATTGGTTAATTGCAAAGTAAGAAAAATTATTTAGCGCTAAAACAGTCTTATGTCCTTATCCATTGCAAATGGAGCTGGAAGAGTCATCAGTGACAATTCTTTCAGCTTTGTGCTAATAATGGATTAGATCAAAATGGCTCATCAAAATTTCGGCACTTCTTATTGGTGAAGTTTCCGGAAATCAATACATCAATGCACCAATGCATCTTGGGTCGTACTACTTAAACAGCCTCTCTGTATTGACACACAGGGGTAAGGCTGCGTACATCTTGACCCCCCAGACCCCAACCGAGTTGGGAATATATACTGGGTTGTTGTTGTTGTTGTAAAACAGTGTTATGTCCCTCTTTAGTTGTTGAAGTGTTGCCCTAAAAACCAGCAATTTGCTAGGGTGTTCTCTGTTCTGTGTTAATTCCACAGTATTCTCTTGCACTTATAAACTAAAAGATTTTATACCTACGATGTTAATTTGCATGGTGGGCATTTCAGCTTTATTTTTTGAAATTTGAACATTGCGCATCAGAGATGTGATCCTTGCTTCTAATATGTTTGACTCCAGTTCTAATGGAATTTGTATCAAGTTTGCAATTTGTGGGCCAGCTAAAGACAATTGATGGACATACTGCCACTCTTTCTGACAGGTGAAGAAACTATTTATGTGAGAAATGTAAACCACATCTCTTTGTGCAAGCAGAAAGGCCCCTCTGCTGGGTGCTTGCACCAAATTTTGGAGATCTCGTGCTTGGGAAGTTCTGTCCTGCATATAAGTGTTCATAATTGAATTGATGAGGCTCATATTTTTTTCCGGGGAATTCAGATTGCTGGTGCGTTGTCTTCTTATCCAAATATCACCGCGAAGCAAGACTGCACGAAACTTAAACGCCCCAATTGTTGAAGGTAGCTCGTTATCCTGTATCACTTTGTAATCTTTATTCATTGTTAATAGCAAACTTTAAACTTAGAGAAAGACTGCTTTCTGCGGCAGATACTATTGAGGATAAACTGCTAGAAGAGATATCCTAGACGATATCAAGTCTTGGGTAGGAATAGGCCATTGATATACTACTATAATTTATACGGAAATAATCTACTTGTACTTTCTTGTTATGATTCAGGATGTCATCATTCATCATTAAGGTTGTTCTTTCCAATGACAATTTACTACTGCCTGGCGGCATATCTTGGTCTACTTTAGAAACAATGCTCTTCCAGAATCAGTACCTTGTTGATTCTGTAACCTGTATCCTGCTTCGGAGTTTGGGGTTCGAATAAATCAAACGAATGATATCTTTTGTATCACTTGAGTGTAAATAACTTTGTTTCCCTCGGAAAACAATCAATATCGTCTCACCAAGAAGACTCAAATGTTGACACCTAACAAGTAGAACAAAATTACTGAAAGGAAAATACAACTCGTACTACGTACACAACTCTCTAGTGGCTACATCTACAACCTGAACCTGGTAATTAGGCTAATTCTCCATTACAATTCAATAGCCATTCTTGGGAACAAGATACACCCTGGCTTTAATTACGGAACCATTTCCAAGCTTGAACCCAGGGCTCACCGGAAATCCCACCATCTGAGGCACACTTACACCCATTCTTCCGGCGCCAACTCCACCAGGAATCCTCACCACATTGTCCATATACTGCGGATGAAACTCCGCGCCTTTAATCGCTTCAAAATGACTAGGAGGTGGATCCATCGAAAACGCAAGCAAATGCAGCATCCAGACAGCCTTGGCCAACGCCAAAAATTCCCCGTAGAAATGACTCCTGGGATGAGTTCCGGCAAGGACAAGCCGGCGCTGCTCCAAGTCCCCGAACAATGATTCCTCCATTTTTGGGTGAACTATTGCCAGGTACTTCTTGAAACAAAAGTTCCCAAAGCTGCAGGTTGGGAGTATTCCCAACAGTTCAATCGGATCCATGGATTTCATATCCCGGTACTGCGTGAAGCAATCTCGCCGGTGCTGGTCAGGCTGGGCCAATGATGAAAGGCTCCCGTCCATATAGAAGGTCTCATGATCGAATCCCTGAAACATTTTCCTGTTCACATAGGATTCCAATGCGTACTTTGCATGATTAGCTCCGACGATGGAGTCTGTAAAAGTCGTCGTCGGTGTTGTAGTAGAAGATTTGACGTTGGAGAATGAGGCAGCTTCAATGGACCTCACGGCGGCTGCTATATCCCAATGGGCTGAACGCATCAAGGAGAGGAGCGTCGCCGTGAACGACTTTGCAGCTTCTTTCACCGTTCCCATCGTTGATTCGAACAATTCCGGCGCCGGCGACGGCGCAGGACCAGGAACTGCATCGGAAAAAGCAAAAAAAAAAGAAAAGAAACTCAGTTCATCAAAAGGCTGTAACTAATTAATCATCAAATTATGTTAGGGAAAAAGGGGAAAAGGAAAAGGCGGTGACTGAAAAGTGGAGCGTTGACCTGGGCCGCTGCTGCTGACTCTTCTCTTTGACTTGCTGCCCTTTTTCCCACCACTGCCACTGCCGCTAATAGACGACGCCGTTCTGAACTTCTCCTTCAAGTTCTCAACCTCCACTTCTTTCGCCTTTACTTCCTTCTTCAGCTCCTCCACCGCCGCTTCGTAAGGCGCCACCACTTCCCGCAGCGTCGCCGCCCCCACTTTCCAATCCCCTCTCCCGACATTATCAGCTCCGGCGATGCTCCTCTTGTACCTCTCCCTCAACACTCCCAGCCTCCGCAGCTCAGCCACCACCGTGACGTCGGCGGCTCGCATCTTGTCCGGATCCCAAGGAGAATGAGCCTCCTGTAGGGTGACGTACGCCTTCTTCATCGCCGACACCGCCTCAAACACTTCGCCGATCAGCATTTCCATCTGGACTAATTTCTCAGTTCTTGGCTCGCATTGGCTGCCTTTCTTGCTGCCGTTTTCTCCTTCCCATTTCTTCAGCGAATATCCATCTTCGTTATCATCTTCCTCGTCGTCGTCGTCGTGAAGTTTGTCTTCGTCTTGTGTTTGGTAATTGTCGTCGTCTTCGTCGGAGGGGAGAAGGGAAGCATCGTGGTTGTGCCGGCCGGATGCTATGGGGTGGAGGAGGCAGTTGGCAGTGACGCGTTGAATCAGATCGGAGAAGTTGGATACTCTGGCAGCCATTTTTGTCGATGATATTCTACTGAGTACTGGCACTGGTGAAAGGCTAAATTTAGTCAACGAGTCAAATGCTCTAAATGTGCAATAGAACAAGACAACAAATAAATCCTTTTAAATGATTTATACTATATATGTAGTGCAGCAGTACTTTTTTTATTTTTTTCCCATTTTCAAAATTATTTGTGCAATTCACGATCAGACGAGATTTAATAATTAATATTGGTTGCAAGTTGCAACAAAGCAGAAATACATTTCACCATGTTGGGGATGGTAAAAGAATTATTGGTTGCAACAATTTTCCAACATATATTATTAGTACACTACATGAATCTATTTACAAAATAAATAATATTTTCTCGTCCCATAAATGAATCTTATTTCTTAATATACACAATATTATTGATATAATTGTACTCTGTAAATTACGATTTATATGGTAAACTATTTTTATGGGACATAAAATACAAGACAATCTCCCTAAATTAATAACATAACACTTATTTATAATGTAAATTATTTATATAGGACAAAGAAAGTATAATATAATCTCTGTAAATTAATAAAATATATATAATAATAGTTTTTTCGTTCATAACTTTTGCATTATTTTTCAATTAATTAGAAACAAATCCACCACATGTTCTTCTGTAATACCGAGTCCCTCACTAGTTAAAAAAGATAATATCCATACGTTCCAATTATTAAAATAGTGTCACGTGTAATCTAATATAAAAGCACCATAAAAGATCATTTGTGTGCAAATTTCATTCATAATTATCTCTATAATATACTTCATTTCGTCCTATAATGATTGTCTTGTTTAAATTTTAAAATTTAATTCAAATTATACTATGAATAAAATAAAAAATTGAAAATTAGTTTCGGATAAAGAAATTAAACAAAACCCAATAGTAATGAACTGGTTAATGATAAAGCTGTTTCTTTATTGATTTCGCTTGTATTAAAACTTTCAATTTTGCGAAGTGATTAAAGTTAGCAGACGGAATGCTTAAGGATTACATAATTTAGTATATATTAGACTGCAATGTAATAGTTCATATATCTCTAATTAATCTAATACACATGTGCCATTTAAAAAAGAAAATAAAAATAAATAAAGCGCCTCTCTTATTTTTATTGGGTTACATATTTGATTTTGCCCTGCAGCGAGTGGAGAATCATTGCTCTATAAATGGATTTTTATTTTTCGAGAGTGATTAGTCCATATTCGGAAAAATTGGTCGATCTATCCAAAGGTTGACATGCATTGTCAATTATACTCTATTCTTTTTTGGTTAGCCAATATTACCTTAAATTATCCAACCGATTTTGTCCAATTTGACAATTTCCGTTTAAATTAACGGAATTTTGTTAGTCTTAATTACAAAAACACCCTATAGTTTTGAAAATTATAAAAATAACCCGAAAAATTTATAAAAATAACCAAACAGTCTTTTTTCACATTTTATTTAATTTTTTCTATTTTCTATTTCTTTGTACTATTTCTCATAAGTATAAAAATATATTATATGATATTTAAAAAAATTAATTTGAAACACTACTGTGCAAATTTATAGGTATGCATATTTGTACCTCATGTTTGATTTACATAAATGTTTTAATTTTTTAATAATATAACTTGACAATAATGATATTATTTTTTAATCTTTTTTTTTCAATTTAAAGAATAAGATTTTTTGACTAAAAACTAAATTTTTTAATAAAAATTAAAATATTTAACATAGATTAAAAATTAATATATTAGTATATTTTAATTTATTACAAATTAACTAAACATACTATAGATTGTATTATCCAATTCAAAAAATAATTAAACTAAAATATAGGGTACAAACTAGTGTTTAGGGTGTTCAGCTTCGTGAGAGTAGATATAAGATTAATTCTCACCAAAAGATTTATAATCGGGAGAGTGATTTTATTTATATTTAAGCATGGTCTGCTAAAGGTGAGAGGGTTGAGTTGGATGGTCAGGTAATTTAGGATGTGAGATGATTATTACTGTGTTCGAGGCCTTGATTCTCACTGCGGCAATATTTTTTTTATATAAAAAAAGGTGGAGTCCAGTACTGCAATATATTTTCTTTGTTTTTTCATGCTAAAGTTAGATATGTTAATATCTCAAAAAAATTATCACGAAATGTTAAACCATCGCAATAATAAATATACATATTTTTTATAAAATATTTTGTACCATTTTTTTTTTAACTTTCTGTTCGTACTTGGCCTTTTATAGAAAATTTCTATTTTAGTTTAATTATTTTTTTTAATTTTACAATACAATCTAAATTCTGTTAAATTAAATTGTAATACATTAAAGTATACCAATAAAATTTCTTTAATCTATGCTAAATGTTTTATTTTTTTGTGTAAAATTAGTTTTAGTTAAATAATCTTATTTTTTAGATTGAAAAAATAGATTTAAAAATAGTATCATTACTGTTAAACTATATTATTAAAAAATTAATATGTATGTGTAAATCAAACATGCCTTGCAAATATGTAATTATAAATTTGTACATTAGAGTTAAAAAATAAATATTTTTTTAAAAAATCATATAATATATTTTTATCGTTACAAAAAATAGTAAAAAGAAATAAAAACAGAAAAGAAACTGTTTTGTTAATTTTACAAATTTTTTAGGGTCATTTTTATAATTTTAAACTATTAGGGTAGTTTTATAATTAAAACTTATATAATTCCGTTAATTTAAACGTAAATTGGCAAAGTGGACCAAATCGGCTAACGGTTGCATAGTTTAGGGTAATATTGACTAACCGAAAAAGAATATAATAGAATTCACAACGCATGTCAACATTTGGATAGATCGGCCAATTTTTCCGTCCATACTCTATACATACGAAAAATTAACATGCTTAAAACAACAAAACTTTTAAAAATTGGTTTTACAATTTTTTAGAGATTGGTAGATTATTATCTGTATAGGTAGTATTTTCTAGAGCGGAATTTATTTAGTCCAATTTTATAACCACTACTAGAAGAAGTTACCAAAGTTAATTTGATGACATTTTGTCATCTATTTTATTGTCCACGGCGCAGTAGTACCTCAATAGACTACTGTAGTTAGTGTACATTTGGTTACCGCCAAGCTCAAAAAAAGAAGAAAAAAAAAAAAAGAAAACAAAAACCCGTCCATTTTGCAAAACAATTTCTTCCAAAACCTCACCGCTGTCGGAAAATTTGAACTAAGCTGAAGTAACGGAAAGCTCAAGCGAAACGCGTCAAGATGGACCGGATCGACGCCGCGAAAGAATTGTCTTTCCGGGTCGGATTCACCGGCCACAGTGGTCACCTGACGATAGAGCCTCTCCATCCCGGCGAGCGGAGCACTCCACTTAGTTCTCTCCCGGACTTCATACTCGTAATGCTCCTTTTTTTTTTGCTTAAATTTCTCTGCCTATCCAATTCATATAAAGTAGGTTAGCCGTAGCTTTACATTGAGTATGCTTTGGTGTTTTTTATGATTTATTTGTTTGAATTCTGGCACTTGATAGCCGAATTCGCCGGCTAGGGCAGTCCGTTTTCCGAGCTATAAATTGTGCATTCAAGGTTTTAAACAAAGAACTTGCCGTGCTAAGTTTTGTTATGCATTTGTGATGTTGATGCTTGCGTCAAATGACGTGCACATATATCTCTTCTAACTTTTATGCGGGGTTTCACCAAAAGCCATTCACATGTTGTTAATATTTGTTGCACTTTGCTAATTAGAAGTGATTTACTTACATATTTTCAATTCCGATATCGACGAAGTTTAATTAATTAATAAATGTGAAAAATTAACGGCTTGAGAATACTAGAAGACTATTGTGCTCTATAACATTGTTTTGCTGATAACTAGTTATTGACACGGTCCTGTATCATCTGGATCAATTTAGAGCCTTGAGGTTTTAATTTTATGTATTTGGAGTTTTTGAGGTGGCGATTAAGAAATATAGAAGGGTAGAAACCATGGCTTATTTATGTTACACAGTCAGATCCATATTTTATTGTCTTTTGGGTACATAGACCGGTTCAAAGTTAAAGCTTAAAATAATGTGATCCTTAGTGTCAAATGCTTCCCTTTATGCACGAGTGCAAATTTTTAATTAGTAAAACACATGTTATTGAGTAAAAGCTGCCATTGGGAAATCAAATGAATTATGTACATCTTTGGGAGAATCCTCTTGGAAGGTCAATGGAGTTTAGTTGATTGCAATAGTAATGCTGAAAAATCAACAATGCCATATTCTAAAGTGCATAGGCAGTTAATGCTGAAAAATCAACAATGCCATATTCTAAAGTGCATAGGCAGCGAGAAGCTTTGTGGTAGGACTGCAGGCGACTGTTTAATGCCGAACAAATCAACAACGAAATATTCTAAAGTGCAGAGGCAGCGAGAAGCTTTGTGGTAGGACTGCAGGCGACTGTTTAATCAGTTATTTAATTCTTTTGAAGGATTGGGGGTATGCTTCCAACTTATCTGATGAATGAGTAAAAAGGGTAAGGACACGGATAAGCGGAGTCATTGAAAAGGTCGACCACAGAATGCTTATTGTGCCCATGGAAAGGTTTAGAAGAAACAGGTTGAAATTAGAATGTTGCAAGGACTGAACCAATGGTGTTTATTTTTCCCCGTAAAAGAGCAAGAAAAGAGATGATATCCTTGTTACTCTTTTAAGTATTAATTTATTTTTTTAACATACTGCCTTTTCACTTCATAATTGCTTGATTTGATTTGTGTTGTGTTGTGAGAAGGTAATAAAATGCAAATAAACAATTTATGTTTAGATTACTGTTGGCCCTTCGCTGACGTTGATTACGTCCTAACTCTACATTTCAATATTTTTTCCAAATATGAATTGAATTTTTTTTTCTTTTGTTTTTTTACTTGTTGGAGTTTGAGCAGTGATACCTGTTCTTTGTCATCATAAAGGTTAATATGTGACAAACTGACAATGTACAGATGCAAACAAAATAGACACCACTTTAAGTGTATCTGAGTTGTTCGTACTAAAGCCAAATTGTCCTTTAGTTACTCTATGAACTTAAATATGCTGCTATTTGTCAAACTGAAATTGCAATCCTGCCATTGTTAATCACACAATATTCAGTTGATTAGAGAAATTGCTAACCCGGGACTGACATGTATACCAATAATTAATGGTTGTGTTTAGGTCAATGATAGTTTTCATGGAGCTCCTCATTTTGTTAAAGAACTTTTACCTTCTAATTAGTTTTGTACTTTCTATTGTTCTTTTAACAAATTATGATGAGTGAAAACCAGGAGTTTTTCTTGGAAATGCATGATAGATACCAGAGTTGTATTATGTATTGTGTGACTGGGACGATACTTATAATAATGAGTCAGTGAGCCTTTATAGAAAGTTAATTAGATTGTGTGCTTGTTCTTCTTGAAAAGGTGCCCGATTTTATTTGTTAAGTTAATGCCAAAATTACCTAATCCGCACGTAATTATTAAATGTTGGCAGTTACTGACCCCCAGAAGATTTACATTGAATTTGTTTATTTATTCAGCCTCCTGCATATCCCCGTGAAACACAAGAATCAATAGAAGAATACATAAAGGAGAAATTCTTAGAACCACAGTTGGACCCTGATGAGTTTTCTGCCGAAAAAGCTGGAATGCAGTGGGAATTCGATTGGTTTGACCGTGCTAAAATTCAAGTGGAGCCATCTTTGCCTCAATCTGTTGTTGTTCCAAAATGGGAGTTACCTTTTAGACGAACAAAAAGAAATCCTGAGCATGATATATGGGAGCCAAGCTCCGAAGAGGTATTCAATGCTTTTTTTTGCTTTTTCTTGTTACCTCCTCGGAATTGCAGGGAATGGTAATCTTCTTATGGAAGTTCGATAGGTTGCGTTACTTCTACTTGAAAAACTGGGTCCTGACTGACTTTCTTTTGTTTTGGGGGGATTATGGTGTGTTTTTTTAGGTTGACTTGTCAGAACTTACAGCAGGATCTGAGGATTCTGGGGTATTGCCTCGCATTGTGGGTCCAGCAAAGGACTTTGTTAAAGGAAGCCTCAGTAGTCGACCTTTCCGTCCGGGTGGATTGGATGATTCTTCTTCTTTGGGCAGGATTCTTCCCGGTGGAGCTTCCACTGGTGAGTGGGTGTCGGAGATTCTTTATGGAGGTCCTGCTCAATCGATTCCCCCAAGCTTTAAGGATGGGCTTGATCTTGGCGATCTGAAGGTAATGCAGCTTAATTCTCTTTCCTAATAGAAAATCGTCTGCTGGAAATTACTAATTCTCCTTAATCACTATTTATTTTAATTGATGTTGTTCTTACTTTGTGAAGGCACATTCAAGCTCTTGGGAAGTTTATGCAGATCACAATCCTGGCAAGACAACTGAAGCCAACACAACTCAAGATGTGAAATTGGTCAGTTTTTGGAAATATGCATAATACTTCATTTTAATAGGAAGACTCTGATGGTTCAGACTTATGCATGCTTGAATTTTTGGAAGTTATTATTTTCCCCCAGTATGGGGTTTATTGACAAACCACCTTTTTGCTCTCCGCAGAGTGATCTGTCTCTGCAGTTTGATGATTTATTTAAAAGAGCTTGGGAAGAGGATGTTTCTGCATACGCTGAAGACGGTCTGTTTCTCTACGTTTCTCTTCATTTTTTGCTTGAAGTTTGACTTGGGGTAAAATTATATGTGAATAAGTATCAAATATGACGTTTCATTTTTGGATTACCTTCGTGGGACTTAATAGTGGGTTTGGCTTTATGAGACTTAGGCCCTTTCTTGTGACACTGTTAGCAGATTGCTGTTTGGTTCCATAGTTAGAGGGAGGATATCACAATTGCCATTTTGGTGATGAGTTCTCTTCATTAACATGTTCTGAGTTTCAAGATGTTTTATGTCCAAGTATTTTTTTAACCTCTAACTTGCCTTGTTTGTTCTGTGAAAACTGCTATCATTTATTTGTCTGCTGGATAGAGTCATCTATGGGGTTTATATCAGTATTTTAAGCCTGTATGTTACTTGTTGAATCCCCACTCTCTTACTCCTGTGTATCAGTATTTTAAGCCTGTATGTTACTTGTTGAATCCCCACTCTCTTACTCTTGTAATCTGAGATGTTGAATCTGCTGTACATGTAGGTAGTGTATCAGCAATATCTACGGAAATGATCTCCGTTGATACAGCATCCGAGACTAAAGAAGACGGTAAGGAGGTTAACATGAATGAATCATCTGTCTTGGATGAGATTCTGACCTTTGAACCGCAAGCAACACCTTTGATTGAAGGTGATCTGAATACTGGCAGTCAACCGCAGAAAGAGGTTATAACTTTACTTTGTTTTGTTGCTGACGCTCTTTAAATTTAAGGCCGTCCAAATGTTTTCTCTTCACGAAGCAGCTCTTGGTGGTGTGGTGTTTCACCGCTTAATGAGAGGGGAATGTTTCAATTCGCAGACTTACCGTTGATGCTGTAGAATTCAAAGTTTTTTATTTGATGACATTTTATTTGTACAATGGTAGGCATGGGTTGTCAGTGGAGATGGTGACAAGATTGTTGAGCGCTTTCATGAACTTGTACCTGATATGGCACTTAATTTCCCTTTTGAATTGGATCCATTCCAAAAGGAGGTAAAAACAATTGTGTTGTTGGATTCTTGTTTTATGTAAGCGGTGTGATTTCATTGATCTGTTTAGTGTAGAACTTTGTTTTGGCAACGATGTGTTGTCACTCAATTGTCTTGTAAGACTTCTTTAGCTGAAATAGAATTTGCTGGACTCTCTTGATTACAGGCAATTTATTATCTTGAAAGGGGAGATTCTGTCTTTGTTGGAGCGCATACATCTGCCGGAAAGACGGTAGTTGCAGAGTACGCATTTGCTTTGGCAACCAAAGTACGGTAGTTTTTTATGTACATTTTTCTACATATAACATTCTTTTGGATTTATTGTTAATTGGTTGTCTGAAATTGTTTGTAGTCTTTCTCTTGGCTTGCTATGAGATTGGAAAGATTCTAAAACTATTTTAGTAGTTGCTGCTGTGTGTAAGTACTTGACTTTTGCTTTTTGCAGCACTGTACAAGGGCAGTGTATACGGCTCCTATCAAAACCATCAGCAACCAAAAATATAGAGATTTTTGTGGCAAATTTGATGTGGGCCTTCTCACTGGTGATGTTAGCTTGAGGCCAGAAGCATCGTGCCTTATCATGACGACCGAGATACTGAGATCTATGCTCTATAGGGGTGCTGACATAATAAGAGACATAGAATGGGTAAGTGAATATGGAAAAAAATGTCTTACAACTCTTGTTGTATGTTTATTTCTCCTTGTATTAGCTTGTATCTTTCATTTGAAGTTTTTTACCGACACCTCATTGGTATGCAAATTGTAGGTTATATTTGATGAAGTTCATTACGTGAATGATGTCGAGAGAGGTGTTGTTTGGGAAGAAGTGATTATTATGCTCCCCAAGCACATTAACTTTGTTCTTCTTTCAGCTACAGTAAGTCTTGTACAATTTGTGTACACTTTTTTGTCTTGTCTTCTCTATCTGTTTGTTTTGTTTTTCATGAAAAGAAGTTGAAATAAAAGATGTAGGAAGCTAACTTGGTGCCACTTTAAATTGGTGGATAAATGCGTCAATCTTTGTCCTAGTACTTTTTCATTTATGGTCTAGTACTTGTGCCGATGCTTGAACGTGTTTATACTTCACTTTCTAGGATAGTGTAAATAAATGGGATTGTTGCGCAGGACTCTAATGTGAGTTTTTATACATGGTTCAAAGTGAGGCGGTTAATTATGATGTTTTAATTCGAAGACTACTAGTAGCTTTGCAGCCTTGACCATGTTACACGTAACTTCTCTTTGTGTACTGTTAAAATAATGTAGGCTCCAAATTAAATTGATTTATGTTCGACATATCTTCATGCCCTGCTGCCAAATGAAAGCAATATATTGGCATTTGACTAATTTGATTTCAGTTAAATGGTTACATTACGCTTTGTATGAGTTTGTTATTTCAACTACTTACCGCCTTATAGCGTTAGACAACATGCTTCCTGAAATGGAGAGTACCAGAAGAAATTCAATAGAAATGTCTTAGTTTACTCTTTATGCACAGTTAGAATAAAATATATTTCCAGTTCTTTGGATGGGTTCCTCTAACCTTTTGAAAAACTACAATAGAGTTTCTTAGATTCCTTGAATATTTGCCCAGAAGATATATATTAGTGCTGTTCCTTGGGGAAAGGATTTTGGATAGAAACAGAACCCCTTGGGTGTTTGTGTTCTTTTCCTCTCCTGACATTGGTAACTGTAGGTTTTAGTTAAAGTAACAAAGATTTTATATCGTCCTGCAATTTGGCTGATGCAGATACATGTGAGGTTTTTGTTTTTTGATCATGCGATAATACATGCACATTTGGGCCGTTTCACTGTCTTAATCTACTTAAGCCTTTAGACTGTGAAACTTTGTAGAAAGGCTGAAGGGAGAAAAACTAGACTGTTCCTGTTGGTGATTAGCGAACACAAGTGTTTCTAGTTGAGATTGATGTTAGTTGCTGTCACTTTGTATTGTTAGTTGCTGTCAATTTGTATTGGATTCTATCGCTTCCGGTTTATTTTTATGAGTCTAGAAACAAGCTTTTTGTCTGCTACTGGTTTGAATATGTGAACAAGGGGGAAGTATAGTAATAGTAAGCAAGTATCCTGCTTAAATATATAGAAGATGGTGCGTCAGCAGATCAATCCCCGTCTTGAAGCTACATGCATGAACTTAGTTCTTAACGTGAAAACTTTTGCGCATGGAACATCTTTGCATTGTGCTTACGTGTTTGATGCTGTCAAATCTTTTCTTTGTTGAAATGTTTATGAAAAATCTTCAAGTTTGCTTCGGAACTTTCATGATGTTATTTGTTATATGTATTGGTTTTTGTTACGCAGGTACCCAACAGGGATGAATTTGCTGATTGGATTGGTCGGACCAAGAAAAAGAAAATTCGTGTAACTGGGTTAGTGGGCTACACATTAAGAAGTTAAATTGATTTTAACTAATAGTGCACCAATTAAGTTACCAAAACGAAGTTCTCTTTTGTCATTTTCTGGTATGTCTGTCTTTCATCAGGACTACCAAAAGACCAGTTCCTTTAGAGCATCACCTCTTTTACTCTGGAGACTTTTATAAGGTCTGTGAAAATGAAAAATTTTTGCCGCAAGGACTGAAAGCTGCCAAAGATTCAAATAAGAAAAGTTTAAGTACTGTTGCTGGTGGAGCTGGAGGTGGAGGCTATTCTGGATCTGTGGCTAATGATAGGGCTCGAGGTCACAAACGTGAAAGTTCTTCCCAAGGGAAACAGACCAAGCATTCGGGATCCAATAACTTTGGAAGCAGTGGTGGTGCTTGGGCAAACCAGAACAATGCCACGGGTCATAATTCGGGGATGTGGAGATCAGATGCTACTTTGTGGTCGTCGCTTATTAAAAAACTATCTAAGAATTCTTTGTTACCTGTAAGTGGAATGTTTGATTTCTTCTGGATCTTTTTTCCTTATAAGAAAGTTTTGTGTCGATGATAATCACTGATCCTTTGGAAAAATTCCAACTAGCAAAACTCTGTCGTATCAAAGATATCTTAAAAGTTTACATTCATGGCTGTGGGCTCTCTCATCGATGCTTATAAACATATGCATTGATCTTCTACTATTTGTACTATTCTCTTGATTGCTAAAGTGCTTGAAGTAGATTTAGCTTTTAGTTGCTCTCAATAAATTATGTTTCAACGTCAACTTGTTTACGCAGGTGGTTATTTTTTGTTTCTCAAAGAACCGTTGTGATAAATCTGCTGATAATATGAGCACAACTGACCTGACAAGTAGTTCGGAGAAAAGTGGTATTCGAGTATTCTGTGATAAAGCATTTTCACGGCTGAAGGGGTCCGATAGAAACTTGCCACAGGTGCTATGTAATTACAGGATCTCTATTGCACATTGAACGTGCCATTTCCGTGTTCTGATTCATATTCTCATCTGCGTTCAGATTGTCAGAGTTCAAGACCTTCTACGTCGAGGAATTGGTGTGCATCATGCTGGACTGCTTCCCATCGTCAAGGAAGTAGTTGAGATGCTTTTCTGTCGTGGTTTAGTTAAGGTATTCAAATTTACTGTTATTTTTGATATTTCTATAATGAGTCAGAGTTTGTGTCATCTGAAGTGAACAGCTTTGTGTGGACTTTCTATTTTTGGAACTTGTTTATGTGTAAAGATAGTTTTTTCCGGCGCTTTAGTCATTTTCCTTTTTTTGAAAGAATTTGAAGTGTCTGATTCTAAATATTGCACATATTCCTTAAATTCCCCGAGCTTGTTATAATTCTTTTGACCTGCTGTTTTGAAGATAGTCAAATGACATGTCTATAGGAAAAATATACAACTGCTAGCTAATAAATTACATTCATTGTTATATTTTTGTTTTGCCTCTTTGAATGCAAATGCTTGAATAATGTGACTCACTTCACTTTAGATATTGAATTTGATGCAATAACTTGCAAGGCATCTATAAAGGCATGTTGATATTATAATTTGATGCAATGGCATGACACTGGCTTGTAAACCAGTGTTTCATGGTTATGTCGTGAACTGGAATGGGCAGTCCCTATTCCTATTAAAACAGGTTACCCTCAGTTTTCCACTGTCCATTTCTGTGGAAAAGTGTTTGGAAGTGATGACAGAATTTCTAATGTTCCCTTGAGGGTGAAATTTAAATACTTTAGTATGATTGAAAAAGTACTTTACTGCTTAGCCATTATTCCAATGTGGTGTCAAAAGCATGGATCATATAATATAGTTACCAATGTGATACGTCAAAACATGTCTTTTCCATTTATTCATCTTGGGTATTTTAGGTTCTTTATTTAATTGTTTATTATTAAGCCTTATCTCACTATCAACCTGTGTCGAGTTTTCATGTGGCTTGTTGAAGATATAGTGATGTGCATTGTTCCAGAGTCTGGATTGTTGTTTTTTCTTTCTTTTTCCCCTCATTTGTCTCTGTGTGTCTGTTGGTGGTGGTGGTGGGGGAGGTTATATTTGCAAACAGTAAGTAGACAAACGAAAAGACACTTGGTTCCACCGGCCAAAAATCTATCTGGCAACTAGGAAAATTTTCCAATCCAGTTATATATTTTTTTTCCTGTGTTTGTGTGTATATATTCTTGTCATTGCTGAAACTTATTATTTAGCGGGTTTTGAACTTCCTGGTCAGGGTTCCTGAAAATTTGCTGATGTTAAAATGCCTCTGCAGGAGTTGTTATTGTTGTTCTTTTTTCCGCCTTTTAGGATAATTCCATAAGGTGGCCATTGGATGGTTTCTGTGGCTTGTTCTTAATAGATATGTTTGTGCTTTTGTTTTTAAATTGCTGTTGCATTTATTCTGTACATAAAGTTTGTGATACTTCTGCTTGCTTTTGTGTTTTAAGCTGGGTTTTGTGCTGCAATCAGATAATTAAAGTTTTGGTCCCTTTGTAGGTTTTGTTCTCGACTGAGACGTTTGCAATGGGAGTTAACGCTCCAGCAAGGACAGTAAGTAATAATTCTACATCTTCTGATTAAAGTAAATTTTCAGAAGGCGCTTGTCTGAATTTCTCCATGTATTTACTTGTTTACGCTTGAGCCAATGGACTTGTATTTTTAGTATGTTTGGTTACCATTGTTTTTTTTTTTGTTTTTGTTCTATCTTTTTTGGAGTAACCTTGTTAGTGTTCAATATGCACCTTTATTTGGTTTTGGAAATAATTGTTAGTAAGGATTATCTTCCACTCTTCAACCCGATTAAAATTTCAGTTTTCCATGAGTAAATTTTTGACTGATAAATTCTTGCACTGGTATTGAGTTATTACTATTAGCTTCAAGTTCTTGTTTTCAGCTTTTCCCTAATGCTTTTATTCTATCACAATGGTATTTTTGTCTGTTGGCCAAGTTGGCTGTTGTCATTTCCCATGCTTATAGATAATTAATAACCTCCATTTCTGATTTCACTTGACTCTTTGGTTGTGTGGTTGAGCAATAAGTGGCCCGTGAAACAACACCTCTGGGTTGGTTTGAGCTTGTGCAACTTGATCTCCGCAGGATTAAATTAATCACTAAGTAATTATGCTGAAAGCATTGATCTTGTTTAAAGTTACTTTTAATTCTTCGAAGTTCATCAGAAATTTAGCACTACCGTTGTCTGAGTGGATATTTGTGATGCTTTAGAACATTGTTTTCAATTTGGTGGCCCAATGTAATTTATCCACACCTTTATCCTCTGTTTCTCGCTGGACTCCTGTAAGGATTAAACAATTTGTTAAGTGTCTATCACTTTACTCGTCCTGTGTGTGAGTTAGAATTTTCCTTCCAAACATTACACACATGCAAAGATTACACAATTTGTTAATTGTATATCACTTTACTTTTCCTGTGTGTGAGTATGAATTTTCCTTCCAAACATTACAGACATGTATTGACCTTTTGGCAGGTTGTTTTTGATACTTTGAGGAAATTCGATGGCAAGGAATTCAGACAGTTACTTCCAGGAGAGTATACTCAGATGGCTGGACGTGCGGGGAGGAGAGGATTAGACAAAACCGGCACAGTTGTTGTCATGTGTCGTGACGAAGTTCCCGATGAAGCGACTTTGAAGAATGTTATAGTTGGTAATCCAACTCGGCTTGAGTCTCAATTTCGGCTAACTTATATCATGATCCTGCATCTACTTCGTGTTGAAGAACTGAAGGTACATAAATGCACATTCTATTGGTTTAAAGATAAGGTACTTTATGTTGAGTGTATGATTGTGGATTCTGTTGATTGTGTTGATGAGTGAAGTTTCAGAGCTGAAATAAACTTCACTAAGTAGAAGCCAGGACAAAGAGGGATACTTCAAAGCCCAACTGTTTCTCCTTTTGGATATTGACAAAATTAGGGACCTCCCATTGATCTAAATCCTTATTTAGTATTTTCTTCCATACACAGCTTTAGTTGCACAAGTTTTCTTGTGCGTTCTGTTACTGTTATGCACAGCAACAGGCCTATTGCAGCTATTCCTTATTGTTGACTTACTATATTGCTGTACACAGAAACTTACAAGTGTGATCTAGGACTTTATCTGAAGTTATTGCTGCAAAATCGGCGACATTAATAGTGAATCATCGTAAACTCTTGACCTTATCACCTTATATAGAAGTTAGAGCAGTCTCACATAGAGATGCATTTCTGTACCTATCATGTTTTGGGTGACAGATAAGAATAGAAAAATTTGAAAGTTAGGTTATTTGAAAAGTTGATACAGGATGCTGTATTACACTTAACCGTTTGTAGGAAATCTTCTCATGAAGCCTAGAGTTCGCGATGATCTGATTGATTTTGATTAATTAGTTTGGTACACAGATTGAGCGTCATCATTTGAAGCCTGGGATATGATTGTCAGTCTTTTTCACTTAACAATAATGACTTGACTTGAGGCTTGCTTATCTTGTATTTAAAATAGGTCGAGGACATGCTGAAAAGAAGTTTTGCTGAGTTTCATGCGCAGAAGAAACTTCCAGAGCAACAGCTCAAGTTAAAACAAAAACTAGATCAACCTACAAGAACAATTGAGTGAGTATACCCCGATGAATAACTTGACATTATTATGGATGGGAGTGTTGGGATGAATATTTTCCTTTGCCGTGCATACATGTTAAATACCTCGTGGCATGAGGGTAATTTGTTTGCGTCATTGAAATTGGTGCAATTTGATCTTATGCTAAACTGACGAAAAGCACATCTGGCATGAATGTACAAGGAGTTGCATTATTGTGCCATTATTTATGTTAGCATTAATGAATTTGCATCTTGTTTGTAGATGCATCAAAGGTGAACCTGCAATAGAGGAATACTTTGAGATGTATTCGGAAGCTGAAACTTATAGCAGGAAAATAATTGAGGCGGTCGTGCAGTTCTCAGGTTCGCAGCAGTATCTTAGTCCTGGAAGGGTGGTGGTTGTAAAATCAAAATTGGTGAGTACTTGTTTGTGTATATCATCTGTAAAATAGTGGAAGTTGCATTGCTATTGCCTTTCCCTTCATTTAGCATGGCCCTTTTTATTGTTTATTTGTATATATATTTAGACTTTTGCTCTCGAAAATGAAGAAGTGGACTGTATATTTGATTCATAAGCCATTGGACTCTGGTTAAGATAGATTAGATAACTCTATTTTGCTAACAGCTTTGCCATTCAATGTTGCTATTGGCAGGACCAGGATCGCTTACTTGGTGTTCTGGTAAAATCTCCTTCTTCCACTAATAAACAGTACTTGGTTTTGGTATTGATACCTGAAGTTACTCCGGCTATGCAAAATCCATCCGGGAGTGGTAACTCAAAAGACAAGAAGGGCACTGAATTACAGATGCTGTTACCTAAGTCAAAACGTGGTCTGGAGGATGACTATTATTCTTCAGTAACCTCTCGGAAAGGTTCAGGCGTTGTCAACATAAAACTACCCCATCGTGGTAGTGCGTCTGGTGTCAGCTATGAAGTTCGGGAAATGGATGTTAAGGACCTTCTATCAATTTGTAATTCCCGGATAAAAATTGATCAAGTTCGGCTTCTGGAAGATGTAAGTGTTGGAGCTTACTCCAATACTGTTCAGCAGCTGCTGAAATTGAAATCTGATGGAAATAACTTCCCTCAAGCTCTTGATCCTGTCAAAGGTTTGTTACAGAAGATCTACTTAGTTTTACGCAAGTAATAACTGCATTCTTGTTATTTTTATGCTTGCTTAATAATTTGCCCTTCATTTTGTGGTATTGAAAGTAGCCGAGAAACTTGCTAGAGGGTCAAACAGCAATCTGTGCTACCTCCGGGAGTACGAACTTTTTTACTGATGCCTGCTTTAATAGTTATTCTTTTGTTTCTTCTCGAATATGGTTCCGGTCAAACTTTCAACTTCATGAAATTAAGTAGGAGTTGGAAGCCCGGAAAAAGATTGAAATTATTGAAAAAGACATTTGATAGAATGGGTGCAATATGATCTATGTAGCAGACCTCAAGTGATGGGATAAAGACTTAGTTGTTGAATGTGTTTGGTCAAATTAAATAGAAGAAAAAAAATTTCATAAAGGTCCAGATACCATGTTAAGTACTGCATGAGTGAATTTAAACTTTAATATCAGAAACTGTCTGCTCTGCCTGCTTACTGATGTTTATAATGTATCCTCTATAACTTATTTTGCATGGGGTTGGTGTGTTTGAAATTTTAAACTCATCACTTGGTTTTGATGTGCAAAAGTTGCGTTGCTTATTAAACTATGAATCACTTCGTTTAATAGCTTTTCATTCATGTCTTGTTAGTTATGTTGCTCCTTTCACTTGTGTTGTGTTTTAAATTATCGCACAGATCTGAAGCTGAAAGACATGGATGTTGTTGAGGCTCATAACAAACTGAACAACTTGTTACAAAAGATGGCACAAAATAAATGTCATGGGTGTATAAAATTGGAGGAACATATAAAATTAGCTCGTGAGTTGCACCAGCACAAGGAGGAAGTGAAGGCCTTGAAATTTGAAATGTCAGATGCAGCTCTCCAGCAAATGCCTGATTTTCAGGGACGGGTATGTGAATGTGATGAAATTTTGCTGTTCTTTCTTAAGCAACTTGATTTGATATGCATGTTTAGGTCAAAGATTATTTTACAAATTTATGCATTTTCATGCAGATAGATGTTTTGAAGGAAATTGGCTGCATTGATGCTGACCTCGTAGTTCAAATAAAAGGCCGAGTTGCTTGTGAAATGAATTCTGGGGAGGAACTAATATGCACTGAATGCTTATTTGAGAATCAGTTTGAAGACTTGGAACCAGAAGAGGCTGTGGCAATAATGTCTGCCTTTGTGTTTCAGCAGAAGAATACTTCTGAACCTTCTCTTACACCGAAGCTTTCTCATGCCAAAAAAAGGTATCTTGTTAATTTCTAAGTATCTGTCTACTTGATAAAAATTTTGATATGGTTAATTATTAAAATAAGGTGACGTGGTCCTTTAATTTTCAAGTAAATTATCTGATGTTGCATTCAAACCTTCTTTTTCTTTGAAACTTCATTCTTAGGCTTTGTGAATAATGAATATACTAGGCTTAAGGCCTGAAGGGCTGCATGTGCTGAAATGAACAGCTTTAGATACTTGTAAAAAGGTTTTCTCAGGCAAAATTTCAATAGGATGTGATGCCTTTTTTATGAATGGATCAAAGAATTATCTTATTGACATTTTATTTGTGAGTTTCTTACTGCAGCATGTTTTTTTGGCTAAATTTTGGTTTTTTGCTTCCCAGAGTGTACGATACAGCGTTGAGGCTTGGGCAGCTTCAGGAGAAGCGCAAGGTACAGATTGATCCAGAAGCATATATCCAAGAGAATCTCAAATTTGGTCTTGTTGAGGTGGTATATGAATGGGCAAAGGTGAACCTCTCTCTACTTTGTTCTTTTATTTGTACCTCTTTTAGAATATGCTTCTATACAAGATAAGAGCATATCTTTTGACCTTGTTTTTTATATTTCTGATAGGGAACTCCATTTGCTGATATCTGCGAACTTACCGATGTTCCGGAAGGCCTGATAGTAAGAACAATTGTCAGATTAGATGAGACGTGTCGTGAATTTAAAAATGCAGCTGCAATCATGGGCAATTCTGCGCTGTACAAGAAAATGGAATCTGCTTCCAATGCGATAAAGCGTGATATTGTTTTTGCTGCTAGTTTGTATGTCACAGGTTTATAACCACACGAAGACTCTGAAGACCTGATACACATCAACTGATATGAGACTCCCTAGGACACTAATTCATCAGCATTCTTTTGTTGATTTTTGGATTTTACTTCCCGGTAAGCATCATCCTTTGGAAGTAATATTGGTTTTGAAGGCTTCACATATGCTGCTCCACTGCTTCAGTCGTCCTTGAAAATTCAGTGGTGGCATCTGAGGTTTGTATTGTAGCCTAATTGATTATAGAGGTTAATTTGTAGCTTCATGGGAAGTAGTATCAGGACTGTTGTGATCTGATAGTGTTGATGCCGTGATGGAAAGATGACGTTGTAACCTTTGTCCTGTAAATAAACAGTGAAAATGAGCATGTAAAGAGACAAAATATTGAAACTGTGAATCCGTTATTAGTGTTTTTTTCTTTCTGAATAGTTGATTGATACATGAAAATTTTACATGGAAAATGTACTAAGAACAGTGCGGTTGCAACCCATTAGGTTCTCTGGTGAGTGTGTGTATTGCCTTTACACCACTTCCAAAAAAAAAAAAAAAAACTTTGCCTTTACTGAGAAAATTTACTAAAAAAAATAATTCAGCATTTCTGTTTCCTATTTTAGTATGAAATATTTCAAAATTAAACATTAATTTTGATCAAACCGTCCATTCATAAAGATGGAGGAGTACAAATTCAATTCTATTTTATTTTGGTACCAGCTGGAGAAAATTAATTTGGATTTGGCCCAAAACGCGCCTTAGATATGACGTGGCCCACCGTTTAACCCCACCTTTTTACGAACCAAACAGTAAAAAGAGCCGTGCGCCAGAACAATTAATTAAACCAAATTCCATAAACGGTTCGCGTCCGCTCATCCAGAAGCTTCTCCGATTCTTTTTTTTTTTTCTCTCTCCCCCCTTGTTGATGCCGTGCACATTTTAATTACGCTTCCTCCATCGCCCGTGACTCTCCGATCACATTAGAATATTAACCTTACCAAACCTGCAATTGATTCGTCGCCGGTCGCCGATCTCTCCGGAAGTAAGTTTTTCGTCGGCAACTCATTATTTGTGACATCGAATTTTGGGTTTTATCATCTGTGGAATTTGATGATGATACATGCACGTTGTGTCAGGGCATAATCATCCAGTTTTTGTCAATCGTTACGAAAATTTTCTGTGTGTAATTAGATTTATTTATTAGAGACCTCATTTATCTATAGAATAAATCGAATTACGTTGCCTTGTCTTAACGTATCCTACAAATTCAGCTTAGTTCTAGATTTCTGGCTGTTTAATACTTTTTAGCTGGTTTCTGTTGATAAAATTTTGACTGCTCTGTCTAGAATTTGCATTTTGAGATTTATGTGTGGTATGCCCTTCCTAGTATTTTCGAAACTCTTCCTCTGCGTTTGTATATTTTTTATTTTTGAAATTTTCACTTTTATTTTTTACTTTTTATTTTTTTTGTATAGAGCGGATCTGTTGAGTCTGGTCTGTGTCAAATGATGTAGTATACACTAAGTTGCCTTGTAATTAATGTCTCTTTTGGTGTTTTCCATTTGTTGGCCCTAATTTACAATTTTTCTGTCTCTTTCCCCACAGATGTCGTACTCCAGGAGGTCAAGGTATGTTTTGATCCCTCAGACATTCTGGATCATGGTTTTATTAAGTATTTGTATCTGGATATGTTGGTATTTATCTTCTTTGTGCCTTTTCTGTAGGTACTCTTGTTCCCCTTCCCCTCTGAGGCGATACAGTAGGTCAGTCTCAAAGTCAAGGTCATTGTCAAGGAGCAGGTCAAGGTCAGTTATTTATTTTTTTAAGTGTGTATTAGAAGCCGACATTCATATGTTTTATGAGTTCTTCCATACTTTCACGGTCCTTTTTGTTTAATATCTATTGACTTTTATGCTATTTGTCTGGTTTATTAGAAGTCGCGTCTCGAGTGATGCCGAGAATCCTGGAAACAACTTGTACGTGACAGGGCTATCATCCAGAGTCACAGCAAGAGATCTTGAGAAACATTTTTCAACTGAAGGAACGGTAATGGAGTCTCTTTTACGAACTTGTTTGTAATTTTTTTCAACTTTAGAATTATCTATGTTGTCAAACTTGCTACTGTGACATCAATTATGAAGATGTAGATTCCTTACCCAGAGAATCATATCTTTGATGTGTTGTGCTACTTGATTTAGAAAATTGTTCGACACTAATGGAATGAAGTTGATAAATTACCTAGTTTAGACAATCGTGGACATTTATAGAGAATGCTAATCTATGTCTGTTAAATTCCTTTCAACATGTTGGCCCATTTAAAGTATAGAAGTGAAGCAGAGGGGGTAAGGGTAGTATTATGCTTCAATTTTAAGCGATTGTAAACCCTGAAAATATAGTTCATCTGTCGATTATACCGGAAAAAGAGTCTTCTGTTGAGCAGTTTTGACAATCGGACCATATGTTTGAATGCCTTTGTGGTTGGAAATATAACATGGAGTTCCTGGATTGCCCGTTTGTGATTTTGTGATAGGTTATCTTTTCAATTATAATTAGATTTTTCGACCATCCTCAATGGTTTAAAGTTTTTTTTTTCCCCTTTTTTTCTTTACTACCAGCCTGTTGTCTTGATTCAGTGCCATTTGCTGTTCATATTTTGCAGGTTGAAGATGTCAATCTTGTCCTTGATCCATGGTCTCGGGAATCTCGTGGATTTGGCTTCGTGACAATGTCTACCGTTAAGGAGGCTGAACGATGCATCAAGTATCTGAATAATTCTGTGCTTGAGGGCCGGGTCATCACTGTTGAGAAGGTAATGTTTTTCCTTTCCTCTGCCTTGTGATCGAACATGGTTATGAAGATTCCACGAATCTTCATAAATTGTCCTTAAATTGTTGAGTTTGAGATTTTTTTGCTCCCCGTGAAGTTTTCTTTGGCAGCAGGTTTGCTGTATGTAGCAGCTCTTCTCCAAAGTTCAAAATAACAAATCAAATCAATCACATGAAGCAAATATCAGACTTCTCTAGAGGGTTGTATGCCCTGCATTTCTCTTTTATTTTTGCAATTTCTTTGTCCATAATTCAGTTGCTCCTCTACATTTTCTGTCATTGAAAGATTGGTGCTTGACCAAATAAATACTATTTGCTTCTTGCTTTTATTTCTAGTTTGTAATCTGTCCTATCTGTATATGCCTGCAGGCTAGGAGGAGGAGAGGTAGGACACCAACTCCTGGTAGATACTTGGGGCTAAGAATGGCTCGTGGTAAGTGGCACATCATTAAACTGTGCTTCGCTTCTCTTAGCATTTGTACTTCATGAATGCTCCTTAACTTTTCGTTTCATGTCTGCACAATTCAGTGCGTCATCATTCTTCTAGCTACTCTCCTGATTATAGGAGTCATAGCCGTTCTCCTCGTTATTCATCTGAGAGGTACAGTAGCAGGAGCAGGAGCAGGAGCAGGAGCAGGAGCAGGAGCAGATCATACTCTCCCTACTACAGTCGCAGACACAGAGCTTACTCTCCCTACTACAGTCACAGACACAGAGCATACTCTCCATATTACAGCCGACGAAGGTCCTACAGTTCTTACAGGCGGGGAAGATCGTATTCTCTATCACGTTCCCCGTATAGCAGGTCGCCAGTCAGCAGGCGTGACAGATCATACTCTCCATATCACAGAAATTATTCACCAGTTCACAGTTACCGTAGGAGCTACAGGTGCCGGTACTACTCCCCTTCCCCGTCCCCTTCCCCTTCCCCGAGTGTTTCTCCCAGGTACCGTAGGTACTCTGGAAGAAGTTATTCGCCTAGTGTATCAAGCAGGCGTTCTAGGAGCTCCTCTCGTAGTGCATCACATAGCTATTCTGTAAGGAGTCACTCTCGAAGCGACTCAAGCCCACAGAGGTCTTCTAGGCGGAGCATCTCTCGAAGTGTTTCCCCTGCGCCCAGGAAGAGCTCAAGGCGAAGCTATTCCCGTAGCATTTTTCCGAGACCAAGGAGCCGCACAAAAAGGGACAAATCCCGAGCCTCTCGTGGTAAGCGTTGTGCTTCTCGGGACAGTGGTTCTTCCAGGAGTCGTTCAAGAAGCCCTGATGCAAGTGCATCTTCCAGATCCTTCACAAGGTCTGCTACTCCTGTATCAGACCCATCGTCCTAAAGGGTTGTAGGCTTCTTTAGGTGTTGGGAGCATACCATGGTTCTGCTTCTACTTTGCCTGGGATTGTGTTGTATATTAGGACTACTAGCATCTGTTGTATTTTATTTTTCTTTTGAAACTGGACTACCCTGATACTCTGAACTGTTGTCGTGGTGGATGATATCTTATCCCCTCACTGTACGGTTATTGTTTGTTATTAATGGAAACTTGTGCGGTTGTTCAAATTTCAATCCGTGTAAGTTTTTGAATGCCCTTGCAAAGCGAAGTTCTGCTGCATGGGTATCGTGTATTTTGATTGGGAAAACTACCCTGCTCTCATAGGTAGTACATCTCAAAAACTCCTCACAGCCAATCACACTTCTGCAAGAACTCCTAAATGGTTTACTGCAGGGTGTGCCTTAAAACACTAGCCTTTCTAAACATATTGCCACTGCTGGATTCATTGTATCACGAGAGCAGCGAAGTTGAAGTTATGAAATGAAGGCAGGCAATAGTATCAACTTGGTATGCAGCTCAGTTTTCCCCTGGTTTTGATTTCGCGGCTATACATATTGTTTTTGTTGCAATGAAAAGGAAACAAAAGACAGCGATATCAACAGCCTGAGAGAATAACCAAAATCTTTAATAATGTTTTATACATGAATATGGCATTAAGCGACTTTAAGAAACGAAATGGCAATTGATGAGCCAACAGTAATACATTTCCAGAGTATTAAGGCAGAATCCAGAGTTTGTGCTACAGAACCGTAGAGCTTATGAAGATGAATAAGGGCCCATCTCATGGAGAAGAAAATGTACGAATGATTATGATCCAACTATGGAACAACGCAATCCTTTATGTTCCAGATCTCTTTTGCATACTGGGAGATTGTCCGGTCACTGCTGAACTTTCCACTTCCAGCAGTGCTCAAAATTGACATCTTGATCCATCTTTTCCTATCCCTGCAAGCAACACATATTCGACCCCAGATTAGGTTGGATGTCTTAAATTGTTAAAGTTAAGTATCCAGAATCTTGTCCAATGATCTTCAATAAATCTGTATAGAAACTCCTGTAATTCTCTTGAAGCACTTATAGGGGAAAAAAAAAAGAATCTAAAAGGGAAAATCAAGACCATATAAACTTCACATTCATAATTCAACTCTCTCTCTCTCTCTCTCTCTACATATGCATCAAATTCAGAATAGACCGCAAGAAAATGATACATACTTGTAAGCCTCATCCACCTTGGCCTGAGTGTCTATGTAGCTTGGGAAATCATGACCAACTAGAAAGTAGTCTCCACGACCATATCCTGAATTCCCCTCCAAGGAATCGAGAAGTGGATTGTAATCATAGCTTCCAAATGCTCCAGACCTAATGAATTGTTTAGCTTCTTCAAACCTAGGATCGGGCTTAAACTGCAGAATACCAAAATACAGGTGTCAATCTCAAAGTTAAGTTATAATTCATTGGACCAATCCAAAAGCAAAATACAAATTGAATATACTAGATAGCATACAGACTCATGGGATAACTTCACAAGTGAGGGGGACAACCATGGTAAGTACTACTGGCATGTACCATGAATCTAAATTCTTCCGCAAATCATTCACTCTTCGTACCAAGAGCATATAACCAAGCACAAAAATATCTTGGAAACTGATACCCATTCATGAACAAGTACAGCCAAAAACATTGAACTACGCAGCCTCACAACCCTAGAACAAAGTAGCCTACCAAGATGCTCAATGAAGTGTTTTCTTTGATGTCCTTAGCAACAACTGGTGCAAACACAATTTCATACACAACTAATGTGGAATTATTTAGGCCGTGAAGAATCATGTTAGGAGGACACTGGCTTATCATTGGAAGAGAAGGATAACTGAACAGTGTATGGGAACTACTCTTAGACACAATATGTAAGAATTGCCAACTCAACTAGGAAATGTCGTGACATCATACCAGTCCATTTTCTCTATCTTTGCGCAATTGAGAGACTTCTTCTGCTTGTGCACCGAAAAGGAAAAAATTATCTTCTCCTATTTCTTCCCTTATTTCCACATTAGCACCATCTAGTGTTCCTATAATGAGGCATCCATTAAGCGCAAACTTCATATTGCTGGTTCCGCTAGCTTCCATGCCAGCTGTACTAATATGCTGAGACAGCTCACTTCCAGGGATAAGCATCTCAGCCACGGATACATTGTAATTGGGTACAAAAACCACCTGAAAATGAGAATTAATCAACATAACATTACTGGTCTAGTAGGATACAACAGAAGGCATCATTTGACCTTAACTTTAATTTTGGTGACCTTCATAATTAGTACTCTTGAAGAACAAACCTATTAGAAGTTTGAAATGTAAAGATAAACATTTCTCATGTTGATTTTGACATGAACTCTGGGGAATGAAAGTAACTACAACAGCAGATTAATTATAAAATAATTATTTAATGGCAAGGATGGACTCATATTGGTAGCTGATTCGATAAACAACCTCTTCAAAAGCTACAAATTAGGCAAGAGGTGGAATATGCTTTTGAATTAAGGAAAAGATAAACAACATTGAACAACTTGAATGATATGTACCAGAATTTCTTAGCTAACTCTATTACCTTCAGATAACTGTTCACTTCAGGGTCACTGTTGACTATGGCACCAACATCATTCACTAGCTTGACAATTCTTTTGGCATTTGTATATGTTGCAAATGCTTTTCCTCCAATCATGATTGTACGGGGTGTAACCTTTTTCCGATCATCGGAAGTCATCTCCTGGAACAGGTCACTTTTAAGAAAAAACAGACATATACCTTCTAGGAAAAAATATCATATCATTTATGGATTCAGGATACTAAGCAGTGGGAGAATTGCCGAGGAACGTTAATTATAATTAACTGATTAAAATCCATAAAACAGTACTCCAGACAACTATTATATCTAGTCCTCAATTCAGTAAATTAGTTCATGTTTCTAATGCTAACTCATACACAGTAAGAAATGGGTAACAAAATCACCTCCCTAATTCCAACAGACAAAGTAAAGCTGGGGCAAAGGGAGCCTGCTGAAAAAGATTTTAAGTATTTAAAGGTTTTGAATCTGAGATTTTAAGCTACTATAGATCAATGTCTAAAAGTAACACTTAGCATGATAGGAAGAGTCTACTACCTTTAGCTTCTTATACCTATAAACTGTCCCCAGAATGTTTAGCAGCTGTCTTTTGTACTCATGGATACGTTTGACTTGAATGTCAAAGAGAGTATTTGGATCAATTGTCACGCCAGTAACTCGTTTAATGTATTGTGCTAAACGTTGCTTGTTCGCCATCTTAGCTGATTCCCACTCAGTTTGTAATGCTTCACTGTCGGCATACTTGAGGGACAAACAGTAACACAAGAGTCAGAGAAAACAGTGCTCGTTCACAGAAAGGTCTGAAATAAAGAAATGTTACAAGTTTACATACTTGTCGAAGTTCTGTGAGCAGGTCCAGACTAGTCACCCATTTATCTGTTTTTAACCATTTGGTTATTATGTCACTAAGTTCCGGACTGCAAAACCGTAGCCATCGACGAGGAGTAATCCCATTAGTTTTGTTCTGGAATTTGGAAGGCCATATGGAGACATAATCAGCGAATAGCTCGGATTTTAGTATGTCGCTGTGTAGCTGAGCAACACCATTTACCTGAAGACATATGCCAAAAGAGTTCAAGAAATAGGAACTTGAAATGTGCTAAAACCATAAAAGGTAAAGAAAATTCTAACACTGAGATATTGAGACCCAAAATGATTTAAAGACCATAGAGTGACTCAACAACAACACAAGAATTGGGCCAGATAAGAAAGTTGAGGGAATTCAAATATTTGATAACTTAAATGTATTTCCATTTAGATTAAAGAATAGGGGAAAAAATGAAAACCCTTCGAAGCACTGGGCAATGGGGATGTTCTCAGAATCTCTAATCCAATAAATTAGCTGAACATATGGAGGCTGTCAAAACATTCATCAGAAATCCAAGTTTAAGAGTATTCTTACCGTGTGTGCAACCACCACGCATAAGTTAGCCATACGCACAACTGGCTTCTGGGGATTGTGGTCCAAAATGCGAATGCTAGAAATTTTACTCTCAAGATCGGGTCTCGTCGACTGGATAAGCGCAATGAACTGCAAGGGGTTTGGACTCCAGATCAGTTTTAGTAATCTTATGTGGTGTACATAAAAGACAAGTAAATTAATAGGCAATTTTACCCTCTTATCAATCTCCTCAATGATTTCCATATGGCGTGGAAGGAGCTTCCACATGACTGATTGAGACCACTTTTCTAGCGCCTCAGGAAGTACAGTATGATTTGTATAAGCAATTGTCCTGAAGTAGAAACATCTGCTGTTTCAATCCGAGCATATACCAGAAAAAATCTTCCAGAAATATTCACAACAATCGTGTACAGTTATCTACCCCTCATATTTCACCATAGAGCCAAACTTCTTATTTGAGAGATTCCAAAGTAATATACTGAAAACGAGCACTGTGGTATGGAAATTTACATTCTATTGATCTTCTCAGATATTGTAAGAAGCTTCAATGCAATCTAATTAACAACGCATCCTAAATGGAAAGAAGAGAAAACACAACAAAAAGAAAAAGAGGCACCTTGTAGTGATACCCCAAGCATCATCCCATCCAAGTCCCTCCTCATCCATAAGTAAGCGCATAAGCTCGGGAATCGCTAGGGTAGGATGTGTGTCATTCAGTTGAACAGCAACCTTAGTTGGAAAATCGGACCATTCGACTGCTCTATTCCCCTCATTTCTCTCCTTAAATCTGACAATGATGTCCTGTAAGATAATGGAGTTAAAAGAATCTTCACAAATCAAACGGTAACATTAACATGTATTGGGAACAAAATGAAAATTTATAATCAAGCACTTGCAGCTACCATCTTCTTCTAAATCCCGCAAAGTTAATAGTTAACACAGATGGCCTGGGAATGTTTCTCAGGTATCTCAGTTGAATGGACATTCACATTTTCTCTAACATATCAGCACACTTTGAATCATCCATACTCAATGATCAATCACTAAGGTAACATGCTTTGGTGCCTCTGAATAACTGGATGGAAAGAAAATGAAACTTTCATCAATAAATGAGTGCAGCATACCTGAAGTGATGCACTACAAAGGAAAAACTGTTGCTTAAGTCTCAACAGCTTTCCACTTTCTGTAGCATCCCCAGGATAAAGAACAGCACATATCTGCAAGGTCGGTCAAAAAATGATATGCACAGGTCATTGGCTGAAATCATGTATTAATAAACTGAACACTCTGGCAATATCATAGAAATTACATTGTAAAATATTATCACCACCTTTTCTTCTTCTTATTTTTTCCCCCCTTTTTGTGGGGTGGCCGATTATAACTTTTCTCAGATTAGAAGACGACTAACCTGTTGGGCGCTGGAATGAAGCTGTGCTGCAGATTCATACTGGCCATCATTGAATTGAAACAGGTTGAAATCTTCAGCACCAGCTTTAGCTTCCCAAAGGCGAAGACTATTGGTATTCTTGGTTTTGTATCCAGGAATAGGCACATCGTAGGCAAGAGCTTGTATGACCTCCCCACCAACCCACTTTCGGCTGCAAAATTTTGTGGGCAGAACATTACAAGAATGATAAATATATTACTATTAAATACCATGTCCAATTGCAAACAAGTTACATTTAATAGAATTTATATATTTTTTAATTTTTTTAAAAACTTTTTTAATCTAAATCTACAGTCAACAGAAAGTTGTATGAAGAACTCACGAGCCAGTCTCAAGAACCTCAACACGACCAAAAAATCTAACTGGGAAGATGATATCATGCCTTGCAATTTCCCAAGGACTAAATTTCTGTATAAATCCACATAAAAGTACCATGTTAAGAGTTTTGTAATTAAAATACGATAAAGTGGTCCAACAAAATACAGAGGCATCAAACCTCCAACCAATCTTCAGCTATTTCCTCTTGCCCAGCTTTGCTGATCCGCTGTTTAAAGAGCCCATATCTGTACCTCAAACCGTAACCCCAAGCTGGCAGGTTCAACGTTGCCATTGAGTCCAGAAAGCACGAAGCAAGTCTTCCTAAACCACCATTACCAAGTGCTGCATCTTTCTCCTAAAAGGAGTAATTCAATTGCAAGGAGAACATACATCTGGTTTAGTTCAGAATCTAAAACTGTAATACCAAAACGGATGAAGAAACTTGGTTGGCATTTAAATACCATTAAAACATCATTTTTCAACCATCGTCTAACAAATCTGCTATAAAGCTCCAAAAATCATTTGTCACATAAGTTTCAAGTTTGTGGCTGAAGCAAAAACTATGTATCAGGAGTTTTGTACTGTTTTTAGTACAAATTTGAAAACTCAAAGTGGAGTATTTTTTGGGGACGGAGGTAGAAATAAATATCATGTCTTCCGTTTGATTTCAAAAAAAAATTTAGCTCTAGTTCTATATCTCTGGAATTGAAGTCAGTGTCACTATTGATCAGGTCCATTCGCACTTCCCACACATTTATCCAACTAAATATGAGCGACGTAGTAATGCAAAAAATAACTCATAATGCTTAACCACCTGCTCAACAATTTCCTCCAGTTCATGGCCCAACTTCTTCAAAGCTTCAAAATATGCGTCTTGGACATCCAGGTTTCCAATTGCATTAGTCAAAGCTCGTCCTTGTAGATATTCCATGGATAAATAGTATGTTTGCTTAGGGTTGACTTTGTGGTAATGGAGATAAGTATCATTCCATTGCTGTATGGCAATAGACAAGAGGAGAAGCACAATTAGCCCAGGTTATTGTGCCTTGCAGAAAAAGTACTATAAGAGTTCTAGAATTAAGCTCATGCAGACAGTTTCACCTACAGAAGTATAATTACACCTTTCAGAAGATCTTATTATTCAGTCAGGATAAGTGAAGAATGTGAATTTCTTCGTGAGATACATTCACAAAGCATCGCTGTATCTGAATCAAACACAGAAGAAGAAAGATTGTGGCGTGATTGCTGGATTCAGTTCAAATGACTTCTAGTCGGAGACAAGATAAAGTTTTCAGTTTCCATTTAGTTCTACAGATGCTGATCGCTATCTCTGTAATTGTGACTGTGACTTTAGGCATGCTCACCAACACTATTCCACGTTCACGAAACACAGTCTGTAATAAGGTTTAAAGAACCAAGTATGAAATGCTTAATGTGCCACTAAAATTTAGTAGATAAATGCAATGGTACATGAAAATGATTTAACCCCTTGATCGAAATATTAAAAAGATATCAAAAGCATAGAGACCGGAGTACTCTTTACACTAACAGATTTGCACAAGACAGAATCTGAGCTGCACAGGACAGATACGTACAACATCACGAAATATCACGTCAATTCAAACTAATTATTTGCTCATATCCATTATACTACAGGAATGTAACCAAGAAGAAACCGTACTGAGGATCAAAAGGTTCAAAATCAAAGTCTGCACAGTGCCTAGTGAATACTTGAAAAAATGAAGGCAAAGCAATTATCTCTCCTCCCCAATTACATCAGAAATACTCGATATAATTAACAAAATGATACCGGAAACCACTAGAAAAAAATAGAACAGAACCTCAAAGGCCTACCAAAGGTGATATCAAGTCTGCATTCTCACCTTAATCAGGCGATCACGAACACTATCAGCAGTGGCATAGTAAGCTTGCTCTGGCTCAAACTTGAAGGGAGAAAAATGAGGACTGTACTGAGCATGATAGATGATATTGGATGCAATTTCCGTCGGTTCCACGGCAAGCGGCAGAGCAACCGCCGGTATTTCAGCGGAAATGCCAGATTTTTTACCGGCGCTGCCGTTTGCACTCGTTGTTTCTCCCATGTATTCGCACTTATAAAAAAAAACTACAAGAATGAACAAAATTAACTGTTAATTTTAAGAATCCTTCGGCAGATCAATACGATATTTGAACTTCGAATAATCTAAAACTCTATTCAAATGAAAACGAAAATTCCGGTTGGATTACCACCTTGTGATCGTTGAGAACGCAGCTATCCAGTAAATGAAGACGGCTCCCCTGAAGTGTTTGAGAAATGTGTTTGGTTATGGAGAGAGAGTGAACATAAAAGTGAGAGAGAGAGAGAGGCTTATGAGAGAGTATATTCTGCGAGTGTGTGACTGTGTGCGCGAAAATCTGGAGATATATTTAGACAAAGTTCCAAAAATCAGTGAGTGACAGGAACGGAGGATATTCACCGAAGCCAAAATCTACCATAATTTGGAAAGAGAAAAACTTTTAAAAAAAAAAAAAAAAGTGCAACTATTAATGTGAAGCGAAATTAAAGGTTTTCCTGTGAATTATTACTTGCAAATGCATCATCATCGTCGAATTGGTGTCAATCACACATCGGACGAGAGAAGAGATGCGTTTTGAGTGGACGATTTATATTCTCATCATCACCATTTCCGCAACTGTTATATACTCTTCCAGACGCTTTTTAAAAATTGATGAAAAGGAAAATATCCAAACAACAAAACCAGAAAAAGGAAAATTGGAGGAAAATGTGTGTAACGATGTTGTTTTTCTTTCTTTTACGTGACAAGGGCACGTGTGGCTGGCTGGCTCTCCAAGAACCGTCCACGAAGTGCCACACACGCAAGAGTGAAGTGATTATACCAATAAATATCTATCTTGCGGTTCTGCGGGCTGCTGATAATGCTGTACTTGTTCCCATTAATTTGATCGGAATTCAAAAGCCCAATGCCATTCTCACGGATTCGCCATGAGTCACTCACTCTCTCTCTCTCGTCAATCCTTCTAGTATCTTTCAACCAACTGATTGTAATGTGTTTAAAGTCAAAAGAAAAAGATAACTAATGTAAATTATGTAATTGTGATCGTTTTTTTGGGCTTAATATTGGCTTTTGGGAGACAAATTAACCAAATATCATTACAAGTTTTGTTGACGAATTTGTCGGGCTTCTGTAACCTGATACTTACAACGATTATAAACATCATTTTTATCGACTCGTTATGTGTAGATGATCAATATTAATCGACAAAACATCGTATTTAATTGGGAAAAGGATAAAAAACCCCCGAATTATATTCCAAAGACTAATACCATCTCGACTTCTCTTATAATGACAATTACCCCCTTGACCATCAATCAATGACATAATTGACCCCTCTAAGGCAAAAATGACCAAAATGCCCTTTTCATCTTAAAACAAATTTTTGTGGACAAGTTCTTTCTTTTTTCAAAAACTTATTTTGTTTAACAAATTATCAAAAGATTTATTTAAATATAAGACATATTATTTAAGGATAAGACACATTTATTTGAGGATAAGATTTATTCAAAAACTAATTTTGTTTAATTTATCTATGGTTGAATTTCTTTTTAAACAAATGATACACTTCAACCATATACTATATTGATTTTAATAACAATGGAAAAATTCAAAAGATGAATAATGTTGAATTTATGCTAGCTTTTCGACAAAATATATATTTTTTTGGAAACAACATTCACTCCTAACTAAATTAGTTTTTTACAAAAATTAATTATTTTTTTTAAAAAAATTGTTTTTAACAAAAGTAGGTGAATATTTTTGTTTCTAAATAAATTTTTCAAATGATTGTTAAACAAAATAAGCCATTGAAAGAAAAGGATAAAATATGGATAAAAAAAATATTTTTAGACAAATTTTTATCATTTTAACTCTCACGGGAGTCAATTATGACATTGACCGAAGGTCAAGGGGGGCAATTGTCCTTATAAGAGAATTCGGGGTGGTATTAATCTTTGGGACATAATTCGGGGGTTGTCCTTTTCCCTATTTAATTTAGTGACATTAGGTTCATCGACTTAAGCGTCGATTCATTATGCGGACGCCAAAGTCGAAGGACAAAACTTGAACAAAAACTTGATTGTGTTTTTGGAAGGTCGTGTTCTTCGTCTCAACACCAAAGTCGACATAACAAAAATAATACGGAGTAGTTTTGACTAGAATCTGTAGATGTAATTTACATTAGGTTAAATGCACATTTTGGTCATTTACGTTAACATTTGGCTAATCTTTGCAAGGTTTTTGGTTGTTTTTGGTCCTTTGGTATTATCATAGGAGTTTAGCCGTATTTCTGTTCATTTTCAGAACAAGAAATATTTATTTTTTTAGAATAATTAATATTGAATAAAATGATATCAAATTAATAATGGTTTTTTTGGTACAATCAAATTAATAATGTTAAATAAATACAACATTATTTTTTTAAAAAATCAAATTTAGTTTTTTTAATGAAAAATTTCTAAGCATTTTTTTAAAACCCAAACGGCCAAGCCCATCACTGTGAAATTTTCATCCAATATATTTCCGTGTGCATTTTGTCGATCCTTTCTTGATAGATTTATTTGAAGCAATGATGTCAAAGAACACAAAATACAATTTTGTGGAATCTCAAAATGGAAAAAACTAAAAGTGAAATGTGGATAATAATTTTGGACAAAAAGAGTATATAATGATGATATTAAGGTTTATCAACACTATGGCGTTAGTTATCTCAAACTAAATCAACATTTTACATAAAATTGAGATTCGCCTATTCGGATGTCGGGTACTCGGGTTCATTTTAATGTCTTAGTTGACGAACGAAAATAAACATAAAATAAAGGCTGGTTGGCTTGGTCACGATCGGGATGCATGAAAAACAAACAAAAATCCAAGGTTCATCGGGTTCTTAGAAACGATGCCTAATCCCTAATTCAAAGAACAAACTGTAGACATAATATCAAGGTTCATCAACCTGACCAGACTTCTGATATCATGATCTCAACGCCTAAATCAATGAATACTACTCCCCTCTCCTAAGAAATACTTCCTCCGATCCTTAATATAAAGTATTTTGATTTGTCCCAGGTTTAATCTAATAAACATTTTTAATCGACGAAAAAATCTTAAAAATATTTCATAACAATCAAGAGAACACAACTAATGTGAAAATATGTTTTTGATGTTTTTTTGTCAATTAAAAATGTGTACTAAGTGAAACGTAGGAAAAGTCAAAATGTCTTCTAATAAGGACCAGAGAGAGTGCTACTAGTAGATATTGAATTCCAGTAGTACAAATTTTAAAATTTAGTATGAACTTTTTTATTTTTTATTTTAATGACACAGAGATAATATTGTATCAAATTGATTTTCATCCATAACTTCACAAGTTCTTTTTTTTTTTTTTCAATCTTTATACCTAAGTCGATAAAACAATCATATCATTTTCATCTAGGTTCTGCCACATACAAACGAACCATCCTCCCATTTCAAAATAAAATGTGAGTGAATGAAATCTTGCCCAAAAGATAAAGAAAGAAAAAAGGTGATGAAATCTGGATAACTTCCCAATAAAATGTCAATCCACAAAAATAAATGTAAAAATGTGACTAGCAGCACAACGAGGAGACGTCCCGCTGCAAAATGGTGACTTATTAAAGAGTAATTTCTACTCGAAACTCGAAAGTAGAAGCAGTCGTTTGGGAGACATGGGATTCATTGTATTGTTGTAGCGTCGCCGCGGCGATGATTGACAGGATCAGCAACCTTCCGGAGTCGATCATTTGCCACATCCTCTCCTTTATACTACCCACAAAGTCTGTGGTTGCAACTAGCACTTTATCCAAGAGGAGGAGATTTATATGGACAAATGTTAGCCTCCTTTGATTTTGTTCTAGATGACCCATGGGGAGAGAACGGGTAAAAAAGACGAAAAAGATAAAAGACACACTGTGAACAAGGTTTTGGTTCACCAGAAGAAACCTGAAACAATGGACAAGTTTGGTCTCACTTGGTGGTGCCCGTGCCAACCTCTTTATGTTAGTTAGTATATGGATCAGCAATGCAATTTCTCAGACATGTCAAAAGTTCCCAACTGGTACGGTTTCTCTTCCCAAACTTGCTGTTTTGGAACTTGATGATGAAGTTGTGTTGATGAGTGGGAAACTGGGTCATATGACTCGGTTAGATATGAAACGGAATCATCCCAGTGTTTTGGTAGGCTTATCCCTAACTGGTGACAATTTTAGGGATTGTGAGGTATCTTCCCGTTCAGTCAGAGTTCTTCGAATAGGTTTCTGATGCTGGTAGTGATGACGCCCCTGTTGAAAGCGGCCAGCTGGAAATAGATGCCCCCTCTCTTGAACACCTTGTTCATTAGTATGAATATAAGAAGGAATAGATCTTGTTACAGAACCTATAATACTACCAAAAACATTGCGCTATACAGCAAATCGCTCAAAATACACACGAATAGGACTACACGTTTCCTCACCCCTACTATTCCACATCTATACACAAATGATATACACATTCGTCCGCTATCATTTCCACAATGATACATGACGATGGTAGCTAACTTGGCCAAATTTCGGGTTTTTTTTCATCACACAGTAGCAAAAATATTGCCAACATTGTCTGGTAGTATCGTGTTGCTGTCCAAATGAAATTTAACTCATACAGAGTTAACAACTCTGTGGTAGTCACTGTCTGCAATGCTATACAGATCCTGCAAGTCCCTTCTTCTTCTACCCCCTGAGTTGTGAGATGCAGAAGCCGTTAATGCTGCACTTATGTCCTTAAATTCCTTCCGAATTTCCCACAATACCTCTGCACATTTCTTCATGGAAGGTCTCGACGGCCTCAAAGGTGAAATGCATTCTCTTGCAAGTTTTAGTACCTTCTCAGCTGCCTCAATCGATGCTGGATTTCTTTGCAATCTTGGATCCATTACTACCACAACTTCCTTGTCTTTTAATTTTCTCAGAGCCTGAAAATAACAAAGATCAGCTTCTCATGCTTGCCAAAATTCAATGAGCCAAGCAGTGATAAATTCAGTTACACAAAACCTCAGTGATAGCAGTAGACCATTGGCCAAGTTCTATGATTTTTTTATTTTATTTTTTTTTACTATCATTGCATTGACCAACTATGAGTGACGATGAGTAAGAGACCTTCGAAAAATCACCGTGTTCGAATGCAAATTTTTTTGAAAGAATAAGAAAGGGAAAATCTTCTGATCTGATGTCATTTTGTTTTACAGAAAGTACTCAATTTGTTGCTTACCCATCTCGCGGTTACTCTTGTATCACTGCTTTTGCTTTGGTGATCAATTGGATGTCTTCCACTCACCATTTCCACAAGTAATATACCAAAGGAGTACACATCACTCTTTTCTGTGAGCTGGTATGTCTTGAGATATTCAGGATCCAAATAGCCAGCTGTTCCTTTAACTTGAGTAGAAATGTGTGTCGCTCCAAGATCTTGATCAGATGCTATACGTGCAAATCCGAAGTCAGCAACTTTTGCACGGAACTTTTCAGTGATCAGTATGTTTGATGCTTTGATGTCTCTGTGGATAATTGGAGGATCTGTAGTTTCAGATGAATATATAAATCTCAGAATCTAGTAAAAAAACACTTGGGAGCCATAATCAGCCCTGGTAATCACAGCTAATCACCCCCATTAATCATTTCCTCATTCTCAAACCTAATAGATACCAGAAAATGGGAGCATCCATACCTAACAAATCACAGTATAAGGGATGGACTATTGATCTTAGGAACGAGTATTTAATATGTGCGGCAAACTGATATGGGACAGAACTTCAAAATAACAAACCTGTGTAGGTGTGCAGATAGGTAATTGCATGAGCAACATCAATTGCAATGTCCAAGCGTTCTGACATTTGAAGTCCATCTCCATGTAGCCCTGAATCAGAGATATGTCAGATAATCTGAATTTGACTAATCTTACAAGGAAAAGACTCCATTCCCCACTTAGTGTCCACCAGATGATCTTAAGAACCTTATTCATCATATACACATTGTATATCAGTTCAAACCGAACAACTGAAAGACTACTTAACGGGACACTTTAGAACCTCTTCCCACGTTGTCAATTGGTTTTCGGTTGAATCTTAATAATAATGTTTACTAAATGCAATCTTAAAAGGCCACATTGCTTGAAAAGTCTAATTTTCCGTAACAAGGGAGCTAAAATAAGGTACAGAATCAGGTGAAAACTAGGACAATTGGAGAGAATTTTTGTTCATAGTTGCATTGTCTTACCATCTAGGTGTTCTCTAAGGGTTCCATTGCTGACATATTCGATAATGATGATAAGTTCTTTCCCGTGCTCCAAATACCCAAAGAATCTCACTAAATTGAGGTGCTCGATCAATGATAGAGTCTTAACTTCATTCTTGTACTCTGCAGCTAAGCGGTGGTCATAGATTTCCTGCCAAATATTTCATCTTCAAAGTTATTTACGAAAACTGATTCTTAATATCAAATGGCCTTAAAACATTCACATTAAATTACCTGTTTTGCGCGCTTTACAGCAACAAATGACCCATCCCTAAGCTTTCCCCTGTAAACAGTCCCGAATGCTCCCTCACCAATCTTATTAGCAGGGGAGAAATTCCCAGTGGCCTTACAGATCTCATCAAAGGATGTCTGAAGCGAACCAATCTGTATAAAATATGAAGCCGAGAAAGAAGAAGAGTCGCGAGAAAAGTGGGAGAATCTGCTTCTGGAAGAGGATTTACTGTTGCTTCTTGTTGTACCAGAAGCATCTGTTGAATCTGAAACAAAATTTCGAAACTCAGGATAGAAGAAGAATGGTAGAAGAAATATAAGACCAAATTTTAAGAAGTTGGGCCAAACCCAATTCGATGCAAAAGAATCTTACTACTTACAGGAAAATCCTGGAGGTTTAATGTTGGAAGGAACTCGATCAAAATTTGGGTTGATCTCCTTGTTCTTCCGACTGAAGAATATCCCAGTGATTAGCCCAGTAAATTTCTTTGCTGCAACTTTGATGAAACTAAAAGCAGATTTATTAGACTGGGTATTTTGAGTACTCGGGGCTCGAAAGGGACTAGGACTCTGGTTTCTGATTTGGCCCCGGCGGATTGCTACAGGGCTGGGAGTATTATTCATCTTCTGAAGCAAAAAAAATGGAACTGGAGGAAGAGAAACCTTTGGGTGGGTTGAACCAGAAAGTGTTTGACGAAGCATTTTTATCTCTTCAACAAGTAAATAAAGCAATGATATCAAAATTTTTAGTAGTAGTTAAAATGTTACTGGTCATCTTAGTTTGAAAATTTTGATTGTGGAGCTATTACCAGCTAATCATGGACCAGTTCAAGGATTTGAAGCACTGTTTAAGAAGGTTCATCATCATCCGACCAGGTTTTAGTTAAAAATAGTAGTACTAAGAAGCAGTCAAACTAAAAATTACTTGGGATTACTTGTATAACAAAAGTACCTTACCTTTTGATATAATCTTTGATGATTGGTTTGAAAAGTCAACCCTTGTAGGTTTGTAGTTTGTAACTGTGTATGTGTCGTCTGGATGTTTTGTAATTGTTTTGTTGTTGTCCCAGTCATATTTAATGAGGATTTTGGCGCGCCAGCGAGGTGTGACTGTACTCAAAAAGTCAAAACTTTAATACCATCATGATACTATTTTTTGTTAATAAAAAGGGTCTGATGGGATATTGGTCGATGGATCCAATTATTCATTTCATTTGTTAAAGATGGCCTCTTATTAAGAAATTTTCCCTTACTAATAATCTTTTTTCCTCATTATCCGTACAATGGTTAGAAGCCCACTCAGCTAGGGGTGTAAACGAGCCGAGTCGAGCCCGAATTTACCCCTGTTCGAACTCGACTCGACTCATTTTTTGACAGACTCGAGCTCGGCTCGAACTCGATCGAGTCATTAAATTTTAAGCTCAAGATCCGATCGAACGATTTTTAGTGAGCTCGACTCGGCTCGACAAAGCTCGAATCCAACAATTCTAAATTTTTAATTTATTTTTTTATTAGTTTCTACAGTAAATCTCAACTTCCAATTTTCATCCAGAAAAAATCAAAAAAATAAAATAAAATAAACAATGAATGGAGAAGAAAATCCAGATCGATTAGCATAACTAGTCCAATAAATAAGAAATGTGGAAGAAAATTACAAGAACAAATAAGCCCACAAATTTGCTCATTGGTTCCACCAACGCAATGAATACAACCAAATCTTTAGTTAAGAACACCCCCGAAATTTCATCAAACCTTAGATGGAACGATTTCTTTGGAGAGAAATTCAAAAAAATGAGGGGAGACTTTTTTTAATATTAAAAATAAATAAAAAATTTGGGAATATCGAGTAGCTCGACAAGCTACCGAACGAGTTTTGACTGGACTCGAATTCGACTCGTATATTTAATATATTGGATCGAACTCGGCTCGAGATCGGTCAACTTGATCTCGATTCGAGTTTTGACCGAGCCAGCTCGCGAGTAACTCGTGAGCGACTCGAATCGTTTACAGCCCTACACCCAACATTAGTTAAATCTTCTCTCCAGATTGAATGTTCAATTCAAATTTCCTTGAGTTTGTAAAATTTCTCTTGTTATTATTCATCTATCTGTTCAATTTCATATTTTCTTAAGTAGGAGATGTAGGTATAAAAGTTACTCTCATTAAGCATCTTCTCTAATTACTAATCATCTGTTTCCTCATTACAGGGTATGATAATTTAGATACTGTACTTTTGAAAAAAAATATATATTTTCACTTAACAAGAAATATTAAATCAGTGCCGAAATTTGAGGCAAGTTGACGGCAACTTGTTTCCCCTATAGTTTTCAAGTTATGTACATGCCATTGTTCTGTTTATTGCACTAGCCAGAAATATGTGGATGCAGTTGACACTTGACAACATATCATCAAAACGTTCAGTGTCATCAGCAGTCAAAAAAGAAAATACAAGACTAGGTCCAATGCAAGTCAAACGAGTGCTGTTCTGATATGATTATATCTTTTTTCTCTGTAAACAACTCTAGTACTTTTGCATTAAAAACAAAAATTTGTCTACCTTTCACAAACAAGGTTTGATAAACGACAAGGGCGATCATTTACATGTATCTAAAGGAAAACAATTCGTCTTAATTTGTAGGGTTCACTAATACCCTCAACCCTAACTCTTGATCCTTTCTCATTCCTGTAAGCTACCAATTTACAATCCTGAAGCAACTGAATCCAAAACAATCCGATCATGGATATTTTAACTTTTATCAAAATTGACCCTCTCACCAGTTGAAAACGCGTTGTAGAAAAGAGCAGCAGCGAAATAGAGAACTGATGTAAGCAATAAGAATCCTTTGAACGAACCAACAAGCTCCACAAAGTAGCCAGCCCCTACTGTACCAACAATGGCAGCAAATGTACCAGCAGTATTTGACATTCCTGCAATGAAATCAACCGAGACAAGATTACTTACTGCAATGCAACCCACCAGCTAGAACAAACGCCACCAATTGAGGCATACAAGCATCCAAAGACTTACAACGTACCACCAAAAAACAAAAAACAAAAAAAATCAAGAAAATAAGTAAACTTACCATGCAGTACCCCAGAATATTGGGGTGCGATTTCCTGATCATCCAAGGAAAAAGAACATAAGGCATCAGTCAGTTCAAGACTTAAAGATGCAGCTAATAAGATGATAACTACTACATGAATTATGCTAACCTGAAGGTTCACTAGGAAGCCACAGTGACTGAAGGATTTAAGCCCAACTGCTAGAGTTAGCCAAGCAGACGCAATGGTAGGTCTTTTTGCCATAGTTAAGCCGATGAGAGCCAAACCAGGGCCGATAAAACCAATTGACTGTAGGGAACACAAAAGGTAGTATGTTTTTATGCCTTCTCCATAATAAATTCTGGAGGAATAATCAATGCGATACAGTACAAGAAAAGAGAGAAAGAAAAAAAGCAACAAACTATGCTTTCATGTGGTAAGTTGAATACCACATTTAAATGCCCAGAACAAAAGTTCCAAACTATGGTAAAAAACTACATCAAAAGTTCTACTATATGACCAAGAGGATATATCAATCTTAAACTTGTATGCATGGCGATTTGCAAACTTGTAACTAAGAACAACTGAACATAAAAGGGAAAAAATTAACTCAAAACACCATGCTGATAGCGAAACGCAGAAACTGACAACAAGAGTACAAGACGAGCTTTTATGGAAAGTAATAAATTGCTCGACCTAAGCGAAAAATTTTGTGACAGCATTCGTATTTCTTTATCGAAATAGGCTATAAGTACTAACTTGACATTCCCAATGAAACTGAATCATAAGTTTAACGGACAATAATTTGGAAGTACTAACTGTCCACGTGCATTCTTAAATTGCAAGGCGAAGGAAGGCATAGTGCCGGAAGCATTTATACCCAAAAAAAAAGAAAAAAAAGATTGGTAATTCAAGCAATGCATGGCAACAAAGATAACACCAGCACATTTATTTTCATATTATAAACACAATCACAGACGTACTTGCATGATCTTCCGAGTTGATGTAACACTTATGCCCCTTTGAATCATCATGTCAGACCAAACACCGGCAAAGTACCCAGCCACTGCCATCATACTCCAAGGAACAGCACTAAACCATGCTGCATGTCTAAGATCCACATGATAGATCTACAAGCCACACAAGTAACCTGTCAATCAACTTTCAGCAATACGAATTGTAGCTAACCAAAATATTGAATAAGAATCACTATTTACCGTCTTGAAATAAATAGGCATCCATGAAAGGATTACAAAGAAACCCTGCAAAACGGAGAGAGAGAGGTTAAATATAGTAACATATATGGGAACTTAATAGATCTTCATGAGTATTTTGAATTTCTCTAAACAGGTTAGATATGTTTTTTTTTGAATAATCTGCTATGCTTCTTGAAAGGAGGAAAATCAAATTTTCAAGTAAAGCTACCTGTTCCTTAAACCAATGTCATCACTATTAGAGGTAACATTTGGTTCAGATACGTTCACCCATCAATAAATCAGGTGGTTCAAGACAAGAGGAACAAGGAATTACAAGGTTAACCAATCAAATACATCAGGAAGAAGTCAGAGCCACAATATGTGAGCAAAATAAGCATGCATTACCCAGCTGTGCATTGCATTTGCAATTATCAGAGACCAGGTTGGCATCTTAGAGAGCAATTGTCGGAATGGAGGGATCACTTTGCTTTTGTTCACTTTATCATTGCCCACAGGATACACCTTCCCCTTCTGTATGTACTGCAACTCATAAGTTGATATTTGGCGAGATTTTTCAGGACTGCTTGAAGTTGCAGATAGCCAAACCAAAACCCAGAGGAAGCCAGATAACCCAAATATTACAAAAGGACCAAAGACACCACCCTGTGACATCAAAATGGGAGAAAGCGTGAGTCCAATAGCACTTCCAAGCTGGAACCCCGCCATTGCAAGTCCAACAGCTCTTGACCGTTCTGTTTGAGGAAACCATCTGAATCAAAGATTCAAAGAATTCCTCAGCATCTAGCAACACCATATTATCAAATAACAAGACTGCCAATGAATATATACATCACACACATGGCAAGATTAAACAATATATTCATGTAAATAAATACCTTGCAATCATGTTGTTCATGCATGGAAGAGCTACTCCCTCTGCAATGCCGAGTAACATCCTCATGGACATCAAAGCCCACAATGAAGTTTCTGCAGCCCAAGGAGTAAGAAAGGTGGCTAGAGACCACAAGGCGACACCCCAAGCCATTACAACTTTACCCCCATGTCTGTCGACAAGTGTCCCTCCCGCTATCGGTGAGATTAGGTATCCCCAGAGAAAAGATGACTGCCATTAGCAACTAAATTAATACGCAATGGTTGGCACTTGGCATGATATAAGCAGATGTAACAATGCTATCTTCTTCTCTTTTGTCGGGAAAAGAAAATACTATAGAGCTACGTCGCAACTTTTATCCTCGAATAACTGCTGATTCCTCATCTTTACTTGTTTCCTTATTGAACCTCTTTCTAGAAACAAACTATCAGTTAGTCCATTTATGTCAGGAAGGAGCACAGGAAGTTCCCCCAATGTCTTTCAAATGATTTTTTCAAAAAAAAAAAAGCTGCAAGGCAACACGGGCACATTTGAAGGAAAGGCAACTAGTCAACAAAATAGTCAAATGATGAGCTTCAATACTATTGAGAGAATGGTTAAAGGGCCCTCTGTTATGGAACCAACGCAATGATTCTTTTTCATTATAACAATAGCCCTAAATCTTAAAACTCCAAGGGGAATTGTAAGAAATCAATTAATTTGAAGTTACACTTATCTTCATTGTTCAAAGGCAACATTTCATGTTATAGAACAGAAGTCAAAATTTTTCTCTGCATTTTCTTTTAATTAGTCCCCTACTTTCTCCAAAAGTTCCAACATCAGTACATAACATTGCACTAGAAACAATCAACAACGGTTCCTAAATTTTTCCGATTCAAGTAACCAAACAATTCAAAAAGGAAAACGGGAAAAACACATATTCAGAAAGGAGGAAAGAGCAACCTGCACAATTCCGGCGAAAGACTGACGCCAGCCATAAGAAAGCGATAGCGGTACGATTGCGACTGACATGACAACTCGATCGGCATTACACAGAGCTAAAGCCAGAGCCAACATGGCCACCACTTTCACTCTCTCCGAAGTGATAAACTCCACCGCACTCGGCTGCGTCAATCCGTCGCTTCCATCCCCAAACGAGCCTCTTCCACTTGAAATTGACCTAGCATCATCAGAAGATGCCCTAACTCGCAGAGCTTGCATGCCTCGAATTTGACGCGGAAATTCAGCAGCGGGAGTGATGTTGATTTCATTGGAGCACCCACGCTTCGTCAAATTGAACGACAATTGATCACTCCTTCTAAAGAGTTGCGTTTTCGAAGGCTTGGGAATCTGGAACCTCGCGATGAAACCAGAGCTTCGAAACGGTCGCCGGAGAGTCATCGAAGAATCCATTCTCAATTTACTGCCGAACAACTAGAGGTTGAATTTTCAGAATATAAATGTGGTCAAGCACAAGTCCATAACGCGACACGTGTCGGCAGCAGGAGTGAGCTTGTGCGCGGTGCTCAGAGATGCGGACGGAAACGGATATTGGTCGGCCGGCGGCCGATAACGAAACTATTCATTTCCATTTTCTTTTGCACCAACTTTATGCGGACTAGTGGATGGAGATGGATAATAATAGAGTGAAGTGAAAACTTTGACTGTATTTTGAAAAGGAAAATTAATGATAAAAGATTTTTTTTTTTTATGTGGTCAAATCACAAATTTCATAAGTCTTCTCGTGTTTATCCACTAAATGGGGGCGTTTCGGTGTTTAAATTCTTTGAATCGAATTAAATTATTTGATAATACTAGTATTAATTAATAGGAATAACGTATCTTACCAAAATGGATATTATTGTAAGACTGATGATTCTGTCAAAATAAATTTTAGCAGTGAAAACAATTTTAAAACGAAAAGACACAATTATCCCTGATACTCATCCTTGGCTTCTGCCAACGGGAATCATCAAATTACCAATAATGTTAGGATGAAAACCTAAACAATTTATGTCAATTGCTGTCCAGAGAGATCAAAAACTAGTATATTAATTTTTTGAAAAACACTCAACTTTGAAGAAGAGAAATATAATCGTAAGAAAACACATTCACGACTTGTTACGAACTGCACCTTTATGTTCCAAATCGTTTGTTTGCACTAAAGGATTAGGACTTCGGCGATTCTTAATTTGCTGCACCGAAAGTTACAAATAATTTATTTTATTTTTTCAAACACAAAATTTATTGGATTCAATTAGATAAAAACATGTAACAATAAGAGGAGAGAAAAAGAAACACCAAAATTGTTTTGCTGTTTCGTTGAATAGAGAACATAAAAACTATAGCTCTCTATGAGATGGGTGAAAATGAAACATTTTGGTTTTCTCCCCCTGCGGCGGCAACCTGGTGGCGGCGAAGCATTGTAGGTTAGAGAAGCGCAGAAGCCAAATAAAAAATGATGATGAAAAGTGCTGAAAATTTATGATGGGTAATTTATAGTATATATATTATACTATGAGAGAAACCGAAGAGAGAAAACAAAAAAAATATTTTTGGAGTGTCAAGTAAGCAAAAATTCTATATGTCAATTTTTTAAAAATTTGGGAAAAAATAGTTCTCGAATTTATGCTAATAATCCTTGAAGTATGTCAATAATATCAAATCACCCCAATCACCATAATTATGAAAATTAATTAATTTTAGTATTAAATGCTCTCATTTTTTTAAAAGAAAAATCACCTTAATTTGGTAACAAAATTTTTCTTTAATACATGAACTAAAGGCCAAATCATGGCTACAGTCATAATTTATTCAAACCTAATTAATTCAAAAAAAAAATTTCATTCTTCAATAATATAAAAATTATTTAATTATTTTAAACTAAAATCAATCTAAATTTCTACATGACTATCCAAGAATCCAAATAATTCGAGAAAAACAAATCCTAAAAAAACCTATAAATGATAGCATACTTCACCATTACAGTAATCTCGCAAATATTTCACAATCATCACAAAAACTTTCACGCTATCCTCATATTTTAAAGAAAAATCAACAAATAATTGAGCTTAGTCCAATTTGAATTTAACTAAAATTGCGTCGAATTTAGTTGGATGTTTTCGTTTTTTCACGAGTTATTATCTTATTTCACTATAAGTTATCAGTCATAGACGCGATCATCTTTTTTTTATTATTTATGATAATATTTCAAACTAATAATTTCATTTGCATTTATCGAATTGAAAATTTAAATATTTTTTATAAATGTATATAAATAGATGTGCGAGTTTAACATCTAGTTATATCATTTTATGTAAATTTTGTTTTGGATGCTAAATTTTGTTTTGGCAAAATCATCACCCTTAGTCCAATTTGAATTTAACTAAAATTGCGTCGAATTTAGTTGGGTGTTTTCGTTTTTTCACGAGTTATTATCTTATTTCACTATAAGTTATCGGTTATGGACGCGATTCTCTTTTTTTATTATTATGATAATATTTCAAACTAATAATTTCATTTGCATTTATCGAATTGAAAATTTAAATATTTTTTATAAATGTATATAAATAAATCCCGAACATCGTGCGGGTTTAATATCTAGTTATATCATTTTATGTAAATTTTGTTTTGGCAAAATCATCACCCTTATTGTAATGGATAATGTCTAGCTCAACTTAATTTTAACACTAACAAACAAATAAAATTTTCAATCACATACACTACATTGGTTTCATTTGATTTACTACTTCCTGTATATATTTGTGCTCCTCATTTTACATTTTTTGTTACAATCTTTTGGTTCCAAATAAAATAAAGTGTTCAATTTAGCCCTTTTATATTAACGAAATAAATAAGATGTAAATATGTCAACTAGTGCAGTCCACCATGTATCAAATGGTGAGTCCAAAAAATAAAGTAAAAGTTGTGTTAAAGTTTTTCAATTTCAATCACCATGTTAAAAATGGCATTCTTCGCTACACTTTATAAGTGTTTTTTTCTATGTTGTGAATGTAAAATTGTGCGAAAATATAAAAAAGGGAATATCTACTACTATATATAAAGCGAGAGCACCCTTCTGTACAGTAATTCTTCGTCGTTACTCCTTCTTCTGTAATAGTGGCAATTTAGTAAATAACTTAATTAATAAGTCTAATTTTGGAAGACGGTGTTTTCTTTATTCCATTTTTATTTTTCCTATATTCTTCCCTTCCTCTATTTGTAGTTCCTGGTAACCCATCTCTCATTGGAGCACTCTCTCACCTCTCTTCGGAGTTGGAGTAAACTCTTCCAATTTGTATTGGTTTTTTCACCATTATATTTTCTATTTCAATTCGTATTTTTCCAAAAATGAATAATTTTGTGCACAATGCTACTGATGGCATTATCAAAAAATAATTTAAAAAATATCCTTAAATTAAGCTTCTCTTGATTGTTATGAGATATTTTAAAGATTTTTTTTTCGTAAATAAGACATACGATATAAAATATGTGACAAATCAAAATGCTTAATATTAAGGAGATAGTACAACTACTAATTTTGTCCACACATAGAAAGTGATCCACGTTTACATTTGGCAAAGAGTCGCATGAGGTGACCCTTATCATAATATATGATTTTCTTTTACTCATGCAATAAAATAATTAACAAAATAAGAACTTTCATGACAGAAGCATATTTTTCATGATTTACACCATATAGTTGAATGGCCCAAAAGTATATCTACTACTTTCATTTTATCACCCAAAAATTCAGATTGAATATTAAACATTTTCATTTTAAATGGAAATATTTGTTCAAGATTTGTGTGTGTCCAAAGTATTATTAATAATTTTTAACAACTTTATTTCATTGGAAAGAAAAAACTAAGCATTGTATTACCAACACGAAAGGATAAAATCATTACTTTTATTTTGTTGTATTGCCAAACAAGATAACAATTCTTTTACTAGAAGCAATTTCCAGTCATTTCGATAAATACTCCATACTCAATCATCTATTAATTATCAACGCTTTGAAGTGTGAAGCTTTTTACTTTTTATTTATTAGTATTCACTCAATTCAACACTAAACATTTTTTTTTCTAAAGCTTAATAGAAGTAATATTCAAGAAAAAATTTCAGGCTAAATGAATTTTTAAGCATTAGAAATTACTAAATGAAGTACAAAAAAGAAACAAAGAAATAAATTTTATATGTTAATATTTTTTTAAGTAAAGTAAATGGCGTGGGCCTAAACACCCACCGTTACTAAATGAAAGTTATTTAACTAATGGTTAAGAGGGGTAGATTTACTAATTTTTATTAATAAAATTAATTATCAACTTTATTAAAACGAATATCATAACCCAAACATGTTTCTAGATCAATAGTTTATCGCCCAATTCTCACTATCACTATGCATGCGTTATGAAGTTCAAGAGTTGATTTTATCAATGGTTACAACAGAAACAAGTAGCTAGAGTGAACAGGAGGCGTTGTCCATTCTTTTTGGTGTCAGCAGTATTACAGCAACAACTTCCAGCTCCTTGAACGGGTATAAAATCTCTTCCACCAGAACCTACTACCTAGTGCTACGTTCTCAAGGGAAACTATAAAGCAACCTGGAATTTTCCAATTTCCGCTATCCTATAAAGCAAACGTGCAATTCAACAAGAACCAAACTAGCTAACGATGAACATTACAAGCATGACAGGTATAAATACTTCAGCAAAACACGCAGGCCTGAAGAGCCGCATCAGATCTTTTAACCTAACAGATGGAAGTAATAAACATTTTCCAAGTACATTCATTACACAAAATTCAAGCCACTCACCAATGAAATAAACCGTGCAAGTAAGAAAGTTACATGAACAGCTTCAGTCACCAACTGTATTCAAGTCATTGAAGGATCGACATGAGTAGATGCAAGCTTCTTCCAATTGGCTGAACCTCTCTAATAAACCACTAATCCAAATGGAGAATCATAAGAGCTTTTGTGAACTGTTTCGCCTGTCGCAAGGTTGTTCGTGGTTTTTACAGTTAGAATAATAGGAATCGTATATTCATTGTATTCTTATGTACAATATACACAGTATACATATAGACAATAACAAAACCCTACAAGACTATCATAGGAGTTACATATATTACAATATGCCCCACAAATTGAGGGCGGACAATCTGTTCCGCTCTATCCACACAGACAATTATATTTAGTGTCATCAAAAGAAGGAAAGCTACTATTAATTGTGCGACTAGCAGACTCCGGTGACGACAACATCCAGGTAGGTTGTCTTCTTAGAGACAATTTCACTACGTTTTACGCAATTGGGAGGAGATTTTTAGTTTGGGAGGGGATTCCATATTTGTTGGTGGTGGTTCCAGTGCATTTTATATCTCAAGGGCCGAGGCCAAAAGGGGTGGGATTAAAAATTTAAAACTAATTGTATATATTTACACAAGACGACTCGGTGTCGCTCCATCGCTTTGGAGGAAGGGTTGCCCAAGATATTGGGGATTTACCGTGTTGAAGATGGAACTGTTGAACGTTTTCAACGCTTTCCAGGTGAGTCCCTTGCCAGCCCCCGCTTATGGATTTCTCTTGGCAATTAGTTGGTGTTACAAAAGGTGTTACAGAAGGCATAAACGGTATGGAGTTGAATCATGTATATCGGGAGCATTTGCTAGCAACTTTAGCAGCATCTAATTTTGAAGGACTAATACGGTTACATAATATAGTTGGTGTCTCTAAGTACCAATGTTTTGCAATAATTTAGATTACCAGCCTCTTGTTTTACCAAAAAAAAAAACAAAAGCATTACTTACCATGAATTCCTGTCCCCTTCGTTCTCTTCCTTTTTGAAATATAGTTTTTATATTTTTGGATCATTCTTTATCATTTTATACTTTCAATTTTTTTTTCCCTTCAAACAAAGTTATGAATTTGTTAGCTAGTTCAGTCCACCAATTATCAAATTGTAGACTGTCTTAGTCTACACTAATATTAAATATTGAATCACGACATAAAAAAATGTCCATTTTTCCCTGCACTCTCCCTTTAGCTAATAAGTGTTTCATCAACAAAGGATCAAATTTGAAAATTTAGGATCCCTCAAAATCATCCACTCTCCTCTTTTGGTAGAGTGCTTTTATCATATTGAGAATCTAAAATTGTGCAAAAATATAAAAAGGGAGATTAAAAAAATTAAGCTATGTAGATAGAAAAAGGAATAAACCATCGCTAGGTGAAACCCAAACATACCACAGCCACTTTAACGGAGTGTATTTTTCATGATCATTTAGCCAATTCTCTGAGTGAATACCTGCTCTATCTAGACATAGAATTGGTTTATCCGGATGAATGCTGCTAACAAAAAACATCACGGTTGAACTATCTTATCCACTGTGAATCAGCTTCAAGATCAAATAGTTTCTTGCCCAAGTCTCACTATGACTGCACATCACGAAGTTCAAGAGTTGATAGTGTCAAAATAGTACAGAGACAAATAGCTACAGCAAACCAAGAGGCTTTAGACATTCGCTATCTTCATTCATCTATCCTAGGGACTTTGCCATTCATACTATGCAGAACCATCCATTTTCTTCTCACAGATTTCCTGATAAGGCGTTGTCCATTCTTTTGGGTGTCACAGTATTACGGCGACAACTTCCAGCTTCTTGAAAGGGAAAGAATCTCTTCCACCAGGACCTAGTCCTTTGTTTTCAAGTGAAACTATAAAGCAACCTGGAAATTCCAATTTCCACTATCACAGCAAATCCTAAGGCATAAGTGCAACTCAACACGAACCAAGATAGCTAGCGATGAACTTACGAGCATGACAGGTATAATTCTTCAGCAAGACATGCAGGCTTACAGAGCCACATCAGATCTTTCAACCTCACCGGTAGAAGTAAAACCACTTTCTAAGTATATTCATTGCACAACATTCAAGCCACTCACCCATGAAACTGTGTTAGTAAGAATGTCACACAAACAACTTCAGTACACCAACTGCATTCAAGTCATTGAAGGATTGATATTAATACATGCAAGCTTCATACAATCGGCTGAACCTCTCTAATAACCACTCATCCAAATGAAGAATAGGAAAACCTTTGGTGATCCCCTACTACAAATACTCCCATGAGCCATGATATTTCTCACAAAGTACAAAAATATAAAGCTAGGTTGGTCATGGTTTTTAAGATTGGTACCACTACAAGTTTGTTCCAGAAAAAGTTCATATATGTATGACAGAGGTGACGAACAGAAAGAAGGTAATAACCACACATTTTCTGTTGATTCTGAGGCTTCATATGTATGTTTAGCCTCTCTTTAACTTTTGCCAGAACTTGAGAATTTCAACCTATTTATGGAACTCATTTGCATAAGAATAACAGAGATAAAACACATCATTAAAGTCAAGATGATTTTATTCCATTCACTGTGCAACTAAAAGAAGTAAACATGATCATCCAATATGCTACAGCAACAGAAACAAGTCCTAGATGTAAAATGATCCTTCACGCATCTCTGACATACATGAGTTGCTTCCATATTTACATTTTGCTGGCATGTCTACCAAACAGTGAATGCCGACCTTCAGCAATAAGCTCGCCTGTCGCTTTGTTCTTTATAAGCACAACTGTTCCAGAGTAACCCCCTTTCCTACCTAAAAGCTTTGAGCTGATCTCCAACTCGTCCTGCCAATTTGAAGTTCACCAACCAAGAAAACCATATTTCTGTTAAGTGCTAATGAGAAGAAGTACATTTCATCAATAACTGTCACAACAGTGGCACCACCCCAAACTCTAATACTCCTGCCCCAAGTACCACAAGACAACTCACCCGTCAAGTACAAAAACAATAATTAAAAAGATCAAAAGTACTGAGGCACATGAGTGCTATGAATCCAGCTACTCACACATAAATTTACAACACCGTCAAACGTAGACATTTAAGTGTGAAAAAAGGAACCAATTTGAAAAGTATTGAATTTACAAAGCAACGGTTAGGTGTAAAAACAAAAAAGAGTTGAAAGTACAGATACAAGCAATCCCACAAAAAGAAAGCGTAAACAAACAAATTTAAGCCTTTTACCAGTGCATATCACCATAGTAGCAACTAAATGTATGTGAAAAGCCAAACAGAAATCAATTATCCCTTCTGTAAGAAAGCCATAAACCATTATTTAATTCAAGAAATTTATACTGAAAACCCTACGGAGTGGGCTTACATCGAGTTTTGCAGTTGAAAGATAAGAAATCGACATGTCCACCGAAACATTCATAGGAAGACCTTCCACATGGACCAAGGCACCACCCATTTCATCCACCAGATTAGCCACCGCCCCAGATGCCAAATTTCCATTTCTATCCTACAAGAAAGATAATTTCTTGATTGTTTATATGAATTCAGTCAACCGACAAAATTATAAATCATCGAAGATCAAACAAAAAAAAAGCCAATTTTGCGAAGATGAAAACACGAAATTCAATTCAAGAAATGCAATTGAATTGTAAACGTTTCCCACTTACGATGAGGCGAGAAGGGACTTTGAAAGTGCAGGAAACGAAACCGGGTTCAACTCGATCAACCCGGATACCACGAAGGGCGTAATACTCGTAGAAGCTATGATCGATATTGACCCGGTGTGGTGGGAAGGTGAGTCGAGAAACGCGTTCGGATTCTTCCTTTGATATTTCCAGGAATTCTTTGGCGTTCTCCATTTTTCGTTCAATTTGGAGTTCCTTACTACTCGGCCACTGTTTAGCTAAGGAGGACAACAATATCACAGTCAAAACTCCAAACGCCATTATCGTATAAATAAAATAGTGTAAAAAGATGAAAGGAAAAAAAATTACTTTTACTACTTGTTAATCCAGGGAAATAGAAAAGAAAATACGAAAATTACAAGTTCCCAATATGTTTGTTTCGTTTTTTTTGTGTGGCTTTTGGTGTTTTTTGTATTGAAAATTTAAAAATTGTATTAGAAATGTAAAAAGATATGCTGGGATGTGACATATATTATTATATTATTCTGAAAAAAACTATGAGAAAAAGGAAACAAACAGAGCCTACTCACTTGTCCTATACTTGTTTGGTTGTTTGGAAAATTGAGGAAAATAAAGTGGACATTCTTAAGATTTTAATTCAGAGGAAAATTAATATTTTACTTTACTTTATGATTCCTAAGAATATGATTCTGGAGAATCTAAATACTTTCCTATGTTTGTTTACATGTTTGGAAAATAGGCTTGAAATTGATTTTTTTTTTATATATATATTTTTGTCCCCTATAAACCTCCAACATGCCGGTTTTGAATTTCATTTCAAAATGTTGAAACTATCCGTTCAAAATCTAACTACATGAACAACATTAAAAATATGTGTGTAGGTGTATAAATTTTATAATTTAACAAAAGGCATATAATTTTTAGCTAGATGAATCAAGTTAAAACTTTATTAAATATGATCGGCTTAAATTTTGACGTTAGATATATTTACCATAGCCATTTTAGTATTACAAGTTATTTAATGAAACTTGACTTTCTTTGTTAAAAAATTATAAATTTATTTATCTAACATTTATACATGAACGATCAATAATTCCTTTTTTTTTCAAAAAAAAAGTTATTTTGATAAATAGTCTAATTTTATGTGGCCAATCAAGTATTTTAATAATTAATAATGAAAAAAATCATTGTTTGTTTGCTAACTATTAGAAATATCATAAAAATAAGACTTATCAGTATCATTCATATTGCAAACTAAATTAGACTAAGTTAACTTTTAAAGAATTTTCAAAGTCAATGTAAGCTCTTTTAAATTAAATCATTTAATTAATAAATAAATTATTTGTTAATGTTTTTCAAATTGAGAATTTTGATATTTTAATATTATGGTAATTTTAAAATTTAAAAAAAATGAAAATACATTTTTTAAATCAAAATTAATTTATAGATAATTTTATATTAGACAATATAAATTAATTATAGTGACTAATTTATCTGATCAAATAAGTGTCAATTTGAAAATAGAACATGAGTAAATTAAACAATAAATGATTAGTATGATAAAAAATGGTATGAAGATTAGACATAAAAAAATGTATAAAAGTTTAGAATCCAAAAGAAAGTAAAAAGAATAACAGCTTTTACATGGGTAATCACAATCATGGAATCTTGCACTTATTTTCTTTGACTTTCTTTGACTTTAGGAATCTTTTTACTTTCCTATAACTAAATAAACATTGGAATTTAATAATTAGAAAAATGATTACTTTCTTGAACAAAATAAACATGAAAATTTAAAAACAAGAAAAAAGAGTACATTCCCACAGATATTCCAAGACAACCAAACAGGCCCATAAGTATAAGAAAAACAAATCGATATTCCTTCTGTGAAGCCCATGCCCAATGTTTTGTTACGAATGGAGACCGTTCCGTTCGGAAATGGAAGTTTTAGCATGAAAAAAGTGAAAAGAAAACAAGTCGGAAACCGAGAACTCGACGAATTCCAGCACCAGAGTTGAAAAGAACTCAGAGCAAAGTCTGGATTTCTATTCAAGATTTTACAGTTATGATATTCGATGATTCTGGAACCTTAACACTGCATGATTAGCATTAATTCTGACTTCAAACTCAATTAAGTGATACAATAGCGTTCTGCTCCAAATTATTCAAATCCTCAACCGACTTTATTTACGCGTGCATGACAATCCTTCCCCCTTTTCAAAAACTTGTCTCAAGTTTGAAAATGTGGAAAATGCCCCTTGATAAAATTCTGATCTTCTCAGGAAGCATTCTCAATCTCCAATCCTCTCCACTTAATCAGCCATTGGATCACATCCTGAGAACCTCGTTTCACAAACCGATGCTGCAACACCTTCTTAGGCTCCAAAAGACAGTCATGATAATCATCAAGATCAGGTAAATAAAAAATACTAACTGGAGCTGGTCCAACATGTTTTTTAAGCAGTGAAACATGGAAGGTGGGATGAACTCTAGATCCTGGTGGTAACTGAAGTTTGTAGGCCACACTACCAATCTTTTCCAACACCTTGTAAGGACCAAAGTATCTATTCATGAACTTCAATGAACTTTTAGACACCAATGATTGTTGCCTATAAGGCTGCAACTTCAAGTAAACCAGATCACCAACCTGAAATTCCCTATCAGTCCTCAACAAATAAGCATTTTGTATCATTCTTTACTGAGCCTTGGACAAATTATCCTTGAGGTTCTGCAAAACCATTTGTTTCTATGGCAGAAAGTCAGAAGCTGCTGGAATCACCATATCTGTATAAGCTCCCAAGGGTATTCCCTCTGGTTGATAACCATATAGTGCCTGAAAAGGAGTCATTTAAGCACTAGAATGATAAGTGGTATTATACCACCACTCAGCTAATACCAACCATTTGGACCTTGTATTAGGTAAAGTGTTACAAAAACACCTTAAGTAATTTTCCAGGCATTGATTCAACCTCTCAGTTTGGTCATCTGTTTGAGGATGATATGCAGTGCCTAAATTCAAGGAAACTCCCACAGCTTGAAACAAAGCCTTCGAGAAATGAGTGGTGAAGATCGTGTCCCTATCATAAACAATACTATCAGGCAATCCATGGAGTTTGTAAACATCTCTGAAGAACACTTCTGCCACATCCTTGGCAGTAAATGGGTGCTTTAAGGCAATGAAATGGCCATAATTGGTCAATCTATCCAGTACCACCAATATACAGTCAAAACCATTCAGAGTGGGGGGTAATTTGTCAATGAAATCCATTGATATTCCTTTCTAAGCCTGATGAGGAACATGAAGAGGTTGCAACAGTCCAGGGTAGTGCAAATGCTCCACCTTATTGGCCTGACAAACTGAACAAGCTCTAACAAAATCCTCCACCTCTTTTCTTTGATGCTTTCATGTGAACAAACTCCTTAATCTCTGGAAAGTGGCTGCTTGACCTGAATATCCTCCCAGAGAGGAAGAATGAAAATTTTCCAGCAACAACTTCTTAATTCCACCCTGGTTACCCACATACATCTTACCATCCACCTTTACAATCCCTCCAACATGTTGCAGTTCAGGATGGTTATGTTGATCTACAGTAGCTTACCAAATCAGTTGTTGTGCATCATTATCATTGACATAACTACTTGCCAACTGCTGCATCCATAAGGGTTGCACTGCTAAAATAGTATTGATCTGATCACCCTCCATCTCACATCTTCTAGACAAAGCATCAACAACTACATTTTCCCTCCCTCTTTTATATTGGATTTCATAATCCAATCCCAACAGCTTCACTAACCACTTGTGTTGCAAGGGAGTATGTAACTCCTGCTCCCGCAAGTATTTCAAAGAATGGTGGTCAGTCTTAATTATGAAATGATGACCCTGCAAATAATGTTTCCACTTGCTCACTGCGATTACAAGTACCAGCAACTCTTTTTTCATAAGCTGACAGTGCTTTATTCTTAGAACAAAAAGACTTGCTGATATATGAAATAGGCTGACCTTGCTGCATAAGAACAACACCCATACCATCACCACTAGCATCTGTTTCCACCACAAATGGTTGATCAAAATTAGGCATTTTGAGCAATGGTGCAGTAGGCAAAGTTTCCTTCAGTTTTTGAAATGCTACAGTTGCTTCATCAGTCCAAAGAAAAGCTCCCTTCTGCAATAACTTAGTTAAGGGCTTACTGATAACCCCAAATCCCTTCACAAATCGACTATAATAACCAGCCAACCCATGAAATCCCCTTAACTCTTTCACATTTTTAGGAATTGGCCAACTTACAATACTGTCAACTTTTGTAGGATCCATATGAACTCCCTGATCTGATATGACATACCCCAAATAGTCAATGGAGTTCTTGGCAAAAGAGCACTTGGACTTCTTAGTATACAACTGGTGGTCCACCATTATTTGTAACTGCATAGACAGATGATGAACATGTTCTTCCAAATTCAAGCCGTAGATCAGAATGTCATCAAAGAAGACTAACACAAATCTTCTAATATAAGGTTTAAAAACCATGTCCATCAGGTTCTGAAAAGTAGCTGGTGCATTGGTCAAACCAAAAGGCATTACCAAAAACTCAAAATGTCCATGATGAGTTTGAAATGCAGTTTTGGGAATGTCCTCCTGACAAACTCTAATCTGATGATACCCACTCCTTAGATCAATCTTGGAAAAGAATTTTGAACCTTCCAACTCATCTAACAATTCTTTAATCACAGGGATTGGATATCTGTTCTTAACAGTCAAAGCATTCGGGTGTCTATAATCTGTACACATACGCCATGTACCATCTTTTTTCTTAGTCAACAAAACCGGTGAAGCATAGGGACTGTCACTTTCCCTTGCTTTTCCCTTTTTGAGCAATTCATCAACCTGAGTCTCAATCTCATTCTTGTGGGCATGAGGGTGCCTATAAGGCTTCAACTTGAAAGGTTTAGCCCCAGGTTTGAGCTGAATGTGATTATCCACTGTTCTCACAGAAGGCAATGATGTTGGTTCCTCAAATACACAGGCAAATTTCTTAAGTACATCCTTGATCTGTTCAGGTAAATTTGTCTCCTCCTCCTCAGTTAATACCTCCAGTTGGTTTACATTATGTGCCTCATCCCACTGCTGATCATTCTCATCCCATCTCATCCTCTTAACCATAGGACCAATGTGAGCCTCCAGCTTTGATCTCTTAATGGTTGCCAATCTGTTCATGCCTTGTGATTCCTCCTCAGTGGTCATGGAATTTCCTTTTAGCAAAAATCTCTTGCCTTGCCAGGATAACTCAACACAACATTGATCATAATCAAACAAAATTGGACTGAAATGAGACATCCAATCTGTTCCCAGAATCATATCATAGTTACCCAACTTCATAAGCTTGAAATCAAATTGAAAATGGTGTTTTTGAATAGATCACTTAGCACTTGGACAAATGACATTATTCTTAATCTTGTGGCCATCAGCAACTTTTACCATATAAGGTTTCACCACTTTTA